ATGATTAATAGGGTCGGAAATGATTCCTTCACTGAGTTATAAGCTTCTGATTTATACCAATACCCTGCAAAATGGTATAAAAAAGGCAATTTTTTAGTAAAACAGTGTTTTCCGAATATCATAATTAGGCCAAAAATGCATAAATTTCAATTCGGAAAGCTGTTCTGTGCTCACTTTTAGAGCGCTAACAAATCTGCATACTGCGTTTGTTGATGCTGTTAAAGCGTCTGACTAAAATTAAAATTTCTTGCAAAGTGGTATAAAAACAGGCAATTTTTTTTAGTTAATCAGTGCTTCCAAACATCATAATTAAGCCAAAAATGCCTTAATTTCAATTCGGAAAGCTGTTCTGTGCTCATTTTTAGAGCACTAACAAATCTGCATACTTCGTTTTTAAATTTTAAATTCGATTTTTTGCCGAATTTTGGCAATTTTAATGATGTAACCCCTTATCGTTTTTTCAAATTTTGAGACCAATTTTAAAAATTTGGTATAAAAACAGGCAATTTTTTTAGTTAAACAGTGTTTTCCGAATATCATAATTAGGCCAAAAATGCATAAATTTCAATTCGGAAAGCTGTTCTGTGCTCACTTTTAGAGCGCTAACAAATCTGCATACTGCGTTTGTTGATGCTGTTAAAGCGTCTGACTAAAATTAAAATTTCCTGCAAAGTGGTATAAAAACAGGCAATTTTTTTTAGTTAATCAGTGCTTCCAAACATCATAATTAAGCCAAAAATGCCTTAATTTCAATTCGGAAAGCTGTTCTGTGCTCATTTTTAGAGCGCTAACAATCTGCATACTTCGTTTTTAAATATAAAAAATTCGATTTTTTGCCGAATTTTGGCAATTTTAATGATGTAACCCCTTATCGTTTTTTCAAATTTTGAGACCAATTTTAAAAATTAATTTTTTGCCCGAACATGGCTAGATCGATTCAGCTCTTTATTCTGATCAAGAATATATATGATTAATAGGGTCGGAAATGATTCCTTCACTGAGTTTTAAGCTTCTGATTTATACCAATACCCTGCAAAATGGTATAAAAAAAGGCAATTTTTTTAGTTAAACAGTGTTTTCCGAATATCATAATTAGGCCAAAAATGCATAAATTTCAATTCGGAAAGCTGTTCTGTGCTCACTTTTAGAGCGCTAACAAATCTGCATACTGCGTTTGTTGATGCTGTTAAAGCGTCTGACTAAAATTAAAATTTCTTGCAAAGTGGTATAAAAACAGGCAATTTTTTTTAGTTAATCAGTGCTTCCAAACATCATAATTAAGCCAAAAATGCCTTAATTTCAATTCGGAAAGCTGTTCTGTGCTCATTTTTAGAGCACTAACAAATCTGCATACTTCGTTTTTAAATTTTAAATTCGATTTTTTGCCGAATTTTGGCAATTTTAATGATGTAACCCCTTATCGTTTTTTCAAATTTTGAGACCAATTTTAAAAATTTATTTTTTGCCCGAACATGGCTAGATCGATTCAGCTCTTCATTCTGATCAAGAATATATATGATTAATAGGGTCGGAAATGATTCCTTCACTGAGTTATAAGCTTCTGATTTATACCAATACCCTGCAAAATGGTATAAAACAGGCAATTTTTTAGTTAAACAGTGTTTTCCGAATATCATAATTAGGCCAAAAATGCATAAATTTCAATTCGGAAAGCTGTTCTGTGCTCACTTTTAGAGCGCTAACAAATCTGCATACTGCGTTTGTTGATGCTGTTAAAGCGTCTGACTAAAATTAAAATTTCTTGCAAAGTGGTATAAAAACAGGCAATTTTTTTAGTTAATCAGTGCTTCCAAACATCATAATTAAGCCAAAAATGCCTTAATTTCAATTCGGAAAGCTGTTCTGTGCTCATTTTTAGAGCACTAACAAATCTGCATACTTCGTTTTTAAATTTTAAATTCGATTTTTGGCCGAATTTTGGCAATTTTAATGATGTAACCCCTTATCGTTTTTTCAAATTTTGAGACCAATTTTAAAAATTTATTTTTTGCCCGAACATGGCTAGATCGATTCAGCTCTTCATTCTGATCAAGAATATATATGATTAATAGGGTCGGAAATGATTCCTTCACTGAGTAATAAGCTTCTGATTTATACCAATACCCGGCAAAATGGTATAAAAACAGGCAATTTTTTTAGTTAAACAGTGTTTTCCGAACATCATAATTAGGCCAAAAATTCATAAATTTCAATTCGGAAAACTGTTCTGTGCTCACTTTTAGAGCGCTAACAAATCTGCATACTGCGTTTGTTGATGCTGTTAAAGCGTCTGACTAAAATTAAAATTTCCTGCAAAGTGGTATAAAAACAGGCAATTTTTTTTAGTTAATCAGTGCTTCCAAACATCATAATTAAGCCAAAAATGCCTTAATTTCAATTCGGAAAGCTGTTCTGTGCTCATTTTTAGAGCGCTAACAAATCTGCATACTTCGTTTTTAAATATAAAAAATTCGATTTTTTGCCGAATTTTGGCAATTTTAATGATGTAACCCCTTATCGTTTTTTCAAATTTTGAGACCAATTTTAAAAATTAATTTTTTGCCCGAACATGGCTAGATCGATTCAGCTCTTCATTCTGATCAAGAATATATATGATTAATAGGGTCGGAAATGATTCCTTCACTGAGTTATAAGCTTCTGATTTATACCAATACCCTGCAAAATGGTATAAAAAAAGGCAATTTTTTTAGTTAAACAGTGTTTTCCGAATATCATAATTAGGCCAAAAATGCATAAATTTCAATTCGGAAAGCTGTTCTGTGCTCACTTTTAGAGCGCTAACAAATCTGCATACTGCGTTTGTTGATGCTGTTAAAGCGTCTGACTAAAATTAAAATTTCTTGCAAAGTGGTATAAAAACAGGCAATTTTTTTTAGTTAATCAGTGCTTCCAAACATCATAATTAAGCCAAAAATGCCTTAATTTCAATTCGGAAAGCTGTTCTGTGCTCATTTTTAGAGCACTAACAAATCTGCATACTTCGTTTTTAAATTTTAAATTCGATTTTTTGCCGAATTTTGGCAATTTTAATGATGTAACCCCTTATCGTTTTTTCAAATTTTGAGACCAATTTTAAAAATTTATTTTTTGCCCGAACATGGCTAGATCGATTCAGCTCTTCATTCTGATCAAGAATATATATGATTAATAGGGTCGGAAATGATTCCTTCACTGAGTTATAAGCTTCTGATTTATACCAATACCCTGCAAAATGGTATAAAAACAGGCAATTTTTTTAGTTAAACAGTGTTTTCCGAACATCATAATTAGGCCAAAAATGCATAAATTTCAATGCGGAAAGCTGTTCTGTGCTCATTTTTAGAGCGCTAACAAATCTGCATACTGCGTTTGTTGATGCTGTTAAAGCGTCTGACTAAAATTAAAATTTCCTGCAAAGTGGTATAAAAACAGGCAATTTTTTTTAGTTAATCAGTGCTTCCAAACATCATAATTAAGCCAAAAATGCCTTAATTTCAATTCGGAAAGCTGTTCTGTGCTCACTTTTAGAGCGCTAACAAATCTGCATACATCTTTCTAAATTTAAAAAATTCGATTTTTTGCCGAATTTTGGCAATTTTATTGATGTAGCCCCTTATCGTTTTTTCAAATTTCGAGACCAATTTTAAAAATTTATTTTTTGCTCGAACATGGCTAGATCGATTCAGCTCTTCATTCTGATCAAGAATATATATGATTAATAGGGTCGGAAATGATTCCTTCACTGAGTAATAAGCTTCTGATTTATACCAATACCCTGCAAAATGGTATAAAAACAGGCAATTTTTTTAGTTAAACAGTGTTTTCCGAACATCATAATTAAGCCAAAAATGCATAAATTTCAATTCGGAAAGCTGTTCTGTGCTCACTTTTAGAGCGCTAACAAATCTGCATACTGCGTTTGTTGATGCTGTTAAAGCGTCTGACTAAAATTAAAATTTCTTTCATAGTGGTATAAAAACAGGCAATTTTTTTAGTTAATCAGTGCTTCCAAACATCATAATTAAGCCAAAAATGCCTTAATTTCAATTCGGAAAGCTGTTCTGTGCTCACTTTTAGAGCGCTAACAAATCTGCATACATCTTTTTAAATTTAAAAAATTCGATTTTTGGCCGAATTTTGGCAATTTTAATGATGTAGCCCCTTATCGTTTTTTCAAATTTTGAGACCAATTTTAAAAATTTATTTTTTGCTCGAACATGGCTAGATCGATTCAGCTCTTCCTTCTGATCAAGAATATATATGATTAATAGGGTCGGAAATGATTTCTTCACTGAGTTATAAGCTTCTGATTTATACCAATACCCTGCAAAATGGTATAAAAACAGGCAATTTTTTTAGTTAAACAGTGTTTTCCGAACATCATAATTAAGCCAAAAATGCATAAATTTCAATTCGGAAAGCTGTTCTGTGCTCACTTTTAGAGCGCTAACAAATCTGCATACTTCGTTTTTAAATTTAAAAAATTCGATTTTTTGCCGAATTTTGGCAATTTTAATGATGTAACCCCTTATCGTTTTTTTTTTAAATTTTGAGACCAATTTTAAAAATTTATTTTTGCCCGAACATGACTAGATCGATTTGGCTGTTAATCTTTCAAAAGTCATAATGAATAACATTATATTACCCTGAAAGGTAAAATTTCAAATTAAATGATATTATGCATTATTAAAATAATGTTTTTTTGGCTTAGTTATGCAAATTTTAGAAATTCAGTTTTCTAAAAAATAATAAAATATTCAAATATTTACGACTTCTGCTCAAATTGTACATAAACGTTGCTTTCCTAACTACTAATTACCTTTCCCATTTATATTAAAAAATATAAAATACTTAATTTAATTTAATATTTTAAATTTCAAATGAAAGACAAAGAAATTCACCGCAGCCCAAAAGCTGTAGTATACTTTAAAGCGCTGCATAGGCAGTGACTCTCAAACTGTTTGCTTGAAATTCAAATGAAATAAATAAAAAATACTCACCGTGATAGGAAACAGTAACAAAGGATATTTGCACACAGGACTCGGTGCAGCCAATGGGCTTGAGTGTCCTGACAAATTGACCCTCCTGCAGCGTGTACACATTCACAGTGCCGTCCTGAAAACCCAAAAAAATCAACGATAAGTTTACACAACTCCTAGAAACACAACTCCTTATAAATCCTTACCAGTGAACCGGAGACCACCAGATCCAGCTCCGTGTAGATGGCCACACTTGAGATAGCATCGTCGTGGCCATAGAGCACGGTCCGAGGCTTTGGAGAGTAGCTATTCTGTGTATTCAGCTGCGTGATGGCCTGTAGGTGCGACTGGCCAGTAAGCGCATGCACAGGGATGTTGCTGGTGGAACCGCCACCACCACCGCCACCCTGCTGATTCGCCTGAATGCTCCACACAATGCAGGTGCAATCTCGCGAACCCGTCACCAGATACGACCCGCAATTGTCGAGGGCTATGCACGTGATAATGTCCAAGTGGCGGGTCACGGAGGCCACCGCCTTGCCCTTGTTGAGGTTGTAAACCCTCAGAGAGTTATCCCAAATGCCACCGGCGTACAGGAGCTTGCCATCCGTGCTCACTGCAAAGAGCTGCGAGTGTGGCGGCTGTGAGGCATGGAAGGGTCCAAAGACACGCTTGCGGTTCCTTCAAGAAAGCTCATAAAGTTAGTAATTCCTTAATACTTAAAGCCAAGGCTGGACTTACTTTAGATTGGCCGTGGTGGCATCTATTTCCAGCAGGAAACCCTGATCCTTATCGAACGACAGCCACGAATTGCAACCCAATATGGTGGATTTGGATATACTGACTAGAACATCGGGACTGAGCTGCAGGAAGGATCTCGGAGGACTGCGCGGCGGACTGAGGTACACGATGGGATCCTTGGGCGTGGACAACTCACAGTAATACTGCACCACCTTGTCCAAAAACTGGGTGAGATCCGGTCGCCTAAGCTCGGCACGAACCAGCTTCAAGGCGGTCTCATCCTGGGTGAGGCGTCGAGGATGCGGTTCCCTTAGCAGTTGAGAAGGCACCTGGCCAAAGTTGTTGATCATGCCTGCGGGAAATTTACAAAATTGTGAGGCAAAGATAGGAGAAAGCATGTAAATAAACACACCTTCCACAGCCTCCCGTTCCACAGGATTGGTAATCTTATCCAGATCCACAGCACCCTCATACGAACAGTAATAGAAGACGTTTAAAGCCTCTGCAGCCTTGGGTCCTTTTTGCTTATAACCGAAGATCAAATCGATCCAGTGATGCAGATGCTGGCTGACATACTCCGATTCCAAAGCACGCCGATGAATGGCTATAAACTCCTCGGGCGTGGTGGCCCAGGCGGGTAGTATGACATCGTCAACCTTCTCTTTGGTGATTTGTAAGTGACCCAAGTCGAATCTGCATTGAAAAAGAGAGATATAATCGCCACGAAACAACAGTTCTGCTATAATTTCTACTTGTTCATGTTCTTTAGAAACTCCGGAAAGTAAAAGAACTCCGGGATCAGCTCCTTAACATCGTTGGGATTGTCCATTAGCAGCTTCCATGTCTGGGGTATCGAATGGAATTGTCGATCGGCCACATCGAAGCGTCCGCTTTGTAGGTCGATGTGCAGCGAGGTGAAGGGTTCCACGCGCAATAAATAGTGCAGGACGCCGGCCGAATTGGAGTAGTGAGTGCCATAGTGGAATTTGGGTATGGCACCCGAGGGATCCTCAAAGGAATCGTACTTGCTACGCACCTCAGCCTCGTTTTTGGGGTTAATCTAAAGAAAAGGAATGGATTTTTTAAATAATATGTAATAGTAAAGATATAAAAAAGCAAACTTACACATCCAATAGGCTTGGACAGGTCACGGAAAGACTTGGGATCGGTCAGATCCAGCACATCGCTGGTGTAGTCTGCCAGGATCCAGGGGAAGACGGGATACTGGCTCAGATCATTGTAGGATCGTCCTGCGATAGTGTTCAGGTACATCAAATACTCAAAGTTGGAAATCTCCCGATTGATCCATCTCTGGGTGAGGCCAGAGGCTCTCAGCAGCTCAGCTGGAGATCTTCCGGAGCCATACAATATATTCGGCAGCGGTAGACCAACGATTTTGGTAAAGACTTTGTTGCGGGTCTAGAAAATAAACAAAACTCATTAGTTTTAATCCCCAAAAACCTTAAAATAGACCCACCTTCGTGGTAAAGTTCAGGAAGTAACTGGTCTGATCCACCAGAAAGATCTCTAGGGCACTCCTACGCAGATTGTACTTCCGAAGATGCACCTCTCGTATCTTGTGCGTCGAGAATCTAAAGTCATGCTTGGAGGCATCCTCCGTGGGCGGACTCAGATCCACAAAGGTAAACACGCTCTGGTTGACTTCGATGCGACCCTTCACCTTGGTCATTAGCGTAATGAGTTCACAGTCCTGTGACATCACTAGCTTCTCCAGGGCCACATCCTGCTGCGCCTGTGTGTCAATAAGCTGACGCAGCTCCTCCTCCAGCTGGGAACTCTCATCGTCGGCGAGGAAATCACGTACCACGGCATTCTTGATGGTGGAATCAAACTCGGAGATTTCCCTGAAGAGAAGAGGCATTAAAATGTAACTCTGTAGAGGATTGGGATTGGGTTTAGCTTACTTCGTGTCATAGGCACTGGTTGCATTGTCCCGAAGATTAGCAGCATTTTCGTGCTTGTTGGGATATAATTGAGGCTCCAGTTTTAGACGCATCCTAGCCACATTTTCATGGGGAGATAGCTTCCAGAACTCCTCAGCCAAATCCCTGGAAAGATGGTTAAAGATTTTAAACTTTTAAAAGCTGATATTTTGTGAAATTAAACCCTAAAGAATCTTAAATTTTATAATTCTCTAAATAAAATTAAGGATTTCAGGATATATCTCGGGATATTATACTTTGCTTTAAGCTCTTCTGTGTACCCTTTTTTGAAAAATAATACTATTTTCTTTTGTTTTCAAAATTTGTTTATATTTTTAGGGTTTTTGCGATGAAAGTTATTTTGTATCTCGACAATGATTAATCGAATATGTACAAATGAAAGTCCTTTGTCGAGTTGTCTCTGCTTCTCCGTCTCCTTCTACTCCACCTCCCTTTTAGGCAACAATGGGTGCGGCCAGAGTCTTGGCAAAAACTGGAGCTACGGGGGCAGCAGCCACGGGAGCAGCCACGGTCTTGGCCAGCACTGGAGCAACGGGAGCAACAGCCACAGGCACATCCTTCTGCACCACAGCATTGAATCCATTGATATCGTCGGCATAGTAGCTCACAATACGACGGGAACCATCGGGCTCGATCAGGGAGTAGGAGCCGCGAACAATGTCACCATCACGGGTCTCCTCCTGGGTCTTGGAGTCACCGGTCAGCGTATCCTGGACATCGTAGGCAAACTTGTACTGCGGGTAGGCATCCACAACCTCGGTGGCAATGGGAGCAGCCACTGGAGCAGCCAGGGGAGCGGCAACGGGAGCAGCCAGGGGAGCAGCAACTGGGGCAACTGGGGCAACTGGAGCAGCCAGAGGAGCGGCAACTGGAGCAGCAACTGGAGCAGCCAGACGAGCAGCAACGGGAGCAGCAACTGGAGCGGCGAATGGAGTGAAGGGAGCAGCGGCATAGGTCTTGGCCACCAGAGGAGCGGGTCCAGCCACCAGAGGAGCCGAGTAGCCCAAGGGAGCGGAGTACGCAGCCGGGGCAAAGTACGGAGCAGGTCCCAGAGGTGCGGAGTAGGCCAGAGGAGCGCCCAGAGGAGCGGCGGCCAGAGGGGCAGAGAAAGGCGCCAGACCAGCCTGAGCCGAGAGGGCCATCGAGGAGATAACTGCAACAACCTGTGTGGAGGTGGGGGAGATATGTTAACCTCTTGACCGGAAAACCCATGCTCCTCTACTAACCGTCAAAGGATTCATTGTGCCGCTTGGGTTTGGAGGGATTGTCACCGTCGATTATCGAAAATGAACTGACATGCCTTGGCCAAAAAAACGACGACTTTATATAGCAGATGCGTTTGCAAAATTTGCATGCGTCGTTTGCTCAGCTGAGGGAATAATATTGCGTACCAATTGCGTATGGAAGCCGGAGCCCATTGTCGATGGCTCCTGACCACCGTCGTCTCCTCTGGGTCCTCCCTTTTGGGGTCGCTTCCTACCTACACAGAGCAGCGTCTCTCTCTCTACGAAAAATTGATCCAAATTCGCTGCACGTAGTCCAATTTTCTGTCGCGGCTGCTTCAGGTTTTCATTTTTATTTGTTGCCACTGTATATAGTTTTTATTTTTTTTGCCTTGCTCGGTTCGAAAGTGAATGCGATTTGATTATATTTCAGAGTCGAGTATTTTTTTTGGTAATTGTCATGCTAGATTCATTCAATGGCAATGCCTTAATTTTCTTTTACATCAAAGCGAAACCTAATTGAGTTATTAAATTGAAATTTTAAGGGAGATTTTTAACTTCTTAATATTAATTGGAAGTAGTTTTGTCGAAGACTTTTTGTGCTTCTTATGTGATTGTTTTGACTTGGGTGGCATTACGCTAAATTGGAAAGTTTTTTTCTACAGTTTTTTGTTGGTTAACAATTACAAATGCTAATGATTAACAACTTGTACATAATAAGGCTGCTTTGGGTTTCACTTGACAAAGGGAAACTGGGTCAATTTGGGTTAAGAATATCGATGAGGGCTTTGGGAATCAATAATCTCTATATTTAAGGTAGGAAAATAATTCTGGGAAACCCTTTGCTAAGGGTTGAGATGGGTTTCAAGATGAAAATTTAGTTAAAAAAGTGAGCACATCATCATCATTTAATATATAAAGATCATCTTTAACCTAGGTAATTAATAATTCAACTATTACACAAGTGATTCAGTTCCTCTGCAAATAGAATTACTCTTTAATAATCTTCTTAAAATCTTTAAATGGTAACCTTTAACTTTACTTTTTATACCCTTGCAGGGTATTATAATTTCAGTCAGAAGTTTGCAACGCAGTGAAGGGGGCACCTCCGACTATATAAAGTATATATATTCTTGATCAGGATCAACAGCCGAGTCGATCTAGCCATGTCCGTCTGTCCGTCTGTCCGTCTGTCCGTCTGTCCTTCTGTCCGTCTGTCCGTCTGTCCGTCTGTCCGTTTCTACGCAAACTAGTCTCTCAGTTTTGAAGCTATCTGAATGAAACTTTGTAGTTAGCCTTCTATATACTCTCACTCGTATATATGTCGGAACGGGCCGGATCGGACAACTATATCATATAGCTGCCATAGGAATGATCGGAACATTTTTACAAAAAAATTATAACATTTTTAGTTTTCAACAGAATTTGATCAAATTTGAGATATAGCCATTTCATATTATTCTACAATTTTGTGTTAAATTTTATGAAAATCGGACGACTATATCATATAGCTCCCATAGGAACGATCGAGAAATTAATACAATTAAATTTATAACTTTTTCAGTTTTGAACAGATTTTCATCAAATTTGAGCTATGGCCATTTTATATTATTCTTAAATTTTGTGTCAAATTTCATGAAAATCGGACGACTATATCATATAGGTGCCATACAACCGATCGTTTGATGTAGAGGAAAAATGCAAATCTGTGAATGTAAAACTGCAAATATAATATGTATAGGGGAATGAAATGAAAGCAGGTATTACTTCATTGTTTTTAACACAAATATATATAATTTATATTGTATAGATTCCAATTCATAGAAGTTCTATCTGCAAGGGTATATAAACTTCGGTGTGCCGAAGTTAGCTTCCTTTCTTGTTTGACTTGGATTATGCCCTCGAAATGTGCTCCTCTCTTCCACAAAAATAAAACCCATAAAGTTTCCTGTAAATACGAGTCTTTAACTTTGGAGTTTGGCCAAAGCCGTGGTAACCATCTATAACTGATTATAGATTCCCCATCGATGCCATGCTGTAACTGGTGGCTGGCTTCGTGAGTTCGTGACTCTTTTGCCAAAATGCAACCAACGACCTTGCGACTCTTTGGCTGCGGATTCACTTTCAGAGAGCTGGAGAAGTCTCTCTCTCTCGAGGGGGAGTACTGAATACTCCAAGAGTTAGCCACCGGAAACTGGTGCGTCCATTTTGGCTATGGCCAATGGAATGCTCCAGCTGCCATAGATGCTTTAGTTCCTTGCCCAATCGCACCGAGATGAGAATTAATTAAAAGTAGACGAAATACCAATTGTGGGCAAGGTCGTAGTTTTCAGCGCTTAAAAGCTACCAATTGCCGGCAGCAGCAGTGAGTCGCCTTTTGGCCCGATCGAGGCAATTACGTTGGTTAAGTGGGCGCTGCTTGGGCGTCCAGGTGAGGTGAGGTTAGGTGAGTCGTGGAGACGAGGGGCACAGTAAATGCGTGTGCGAGTGCGTAATTGCGCCGCGTCCACGTCGCCTCTGTCCACTGTCCACCGACCATTCCCTCCTCCTAAAAAGAAACCCACGAAAACTTGCCATTTTTGTTTTCTAATTAAACGAGTGGCCAGCAAACGATTGATCTTGTTTCGATACTCTAACGTTTGAGGGGTACCATGGCTATGATATGGGGGCTATGTAAGGGAAATGCTATATTTGTTTTACAGGTTAAATAATATATGGTTCAAATAAAGTAAAATTAAGAAAGGAAGCTAACTTCGTAAGGCCAAAGGTCGAAAATGAATCCTTTAAAAGGTACCCTTTAGGGATTTCCTTCTCTGTATCTATTCAGTTGTTCAAGTAAGAACTGATACGTCGTATTACGTTATTTGATCACTTTCTTACGTTATCCAAAAATAAAACTATGAATTCCCTCAGTTAGATTTATTTTTCCTGTGGCAACTGCCCCCATGCCACATGTGGCAGCTATTACATCAGACAAAGTTCGGCCTGAGAACCTGAGAATGTGCCAAAAAGAAAAAGAAAACGAAACCAGATTGGGCAGCGGAAAACGAGTCTGGTGCTGGAAGTGGTGCCTTGGTGGTGACTCGGCATCTTGGAGCGGCGCTCTTGAACGGATCCAAGTGGTGAGTGAGTGGAGTGCAGCTATTCCATTGAGAAAAGCCAATGCAGCGGAGCAGCAGCAGCACCACCACTGCAGTCATGATGAAATCCGCACCAGAAACACGAAATCCGACATCAGCTGCCGCGATGAGGTCTGGGGTGCAAGATCGAGATCGAGATCGGGGCAGCTAGTCAGTCGCCAGGCCAAATGAGACGCCGCAATTGTCACTCTGCCCATTAGATTGTCCAGTTTTTGCGAGCAGAGGAATTCGGCTGGCGATATATAAAACTGAAGAACTGGTGGCTAAGGCATCTCACACTTGAGCTGAGTTCTCGCCGTGCAGACACCAGACACCAGAGACACCTCCAGTATCCTCCAGTCACACATCCATTGCCATGTTTGCCCAGGTGAGTTATGTGGCCAGGATTGCGGATTATCCTAACATGGTTTTCCCTCAGACTCTATTCGTTTTGGGACTGATCCTGTCCGCGGTCGTGGCCATTCCCATTGATCCCTATGGACTCTCGGCTCCCTCCATTTCCTATGCTGCTCCTGCCATCTCCTATGCTGCTCCTAAGCTCCTGGCTGCTCCTGCCATCTCATATGCTGCTCCCAAGCTGTTAGCTGCTCCTGCTGTCTCCTATGCTGCTCCTGCCATTTCCTATGCTGCTCCTAAGATACTCGCTGCTCCCGCTGTGGCCGTGCAAAAGGTGGCTGTGGCGGAGCCATACGATCCTAACCCACAGTATAGCTTCTCGTATGGAGTTACTGATCACCACACCGGAGACTCCAAGCAGCAGGAGGAGACCCTGGTCAATGGGGTCGTCCACGGCAGCTACTCCCTGGCCGAACCCGATGGCACCATTCGCAAGGTCACCTACACTGCCGATAAGGTCAATGGATTCAATGCGGTTGTGGAGAAGAAGGGCGTGGCCGCGGTGGCCATTGCCAAGCCAGCACTGGCTGTTGCCGCCGTTCCCGCCATCACCAAGATTGGATATGCCTCGGCACCTGGTCTGAGTCTGGGTGGATACCACTAAGAGGTCTCTCCAAACTGGAGACAAAAACGATGACAAACACTGTGTGGCCTAGTTCTGGGATTACCATGACTAGGACTAGGACCGTTGTTGAATAGTTTTAAAGAAAATCACTATTAATACCCGATTAACCCGCTCTACTTCCCGATAAAAACAACGTGCCTGCTGTTGCCCCCTGACAGATGATGATGAACCCACTCCAATCCGTGGCGATTGGACCCACTCCATTGATTACGTTAAGGGATACCGTTCTGGGGATCGGCAACTTAGTGAATTAGTTTTTGCATCTTACTGAATAAAAAGTTTCGGTACAAAAAAAACGAAATACCAAAGAGTTCTTCTCATTTACGATCAATCACCTTTTGGGGTAGGTCCAGGCACTCACTGTGGGATTTGGAGCATCTGGAATGCTGATCACGTAGCACCAACTATATATTTATTATCACAATTCATATGAGTGAATTGTGCAAGTTGGTTGCCCGTGGCTGGCACGTCCATTGGGGAAACCTCTACCTCTGGTCGGTCTAATACCAGAGCCCCGAAATGAGTTATGTTACATCAGCAAGTGGAATCGCTTTTGGCAGTGCTTGGTTGCCACACCGAACCATCAGCATGGCAGCATGGGCCCAAGTGGCCCTTTATAACCCCGGATCCGTGGGCAGCCAGTAGACAGTATCAACAGCGTTGTCAAGTCACCATCAACACCGGAAAAGTCAGGAAAGCAGCAAACCTAGTCATGGCCCTGTTCAAGGTAAGTGTTCCAGGATTACAACTAGCTGGAGGAGCTCCTATAACTTATGGATAATCTCTGCCTAGATCATCCTCGTCTGCTGCGCTTTAGTGGCCGTCATGGAGTGCGCCCTGCTTCCCGCAGCTGTTCCTGTGGGAGTTCCTCTCAACACCGAGGTGGATCCGCATCCGCAATATGCCTTTGCCTACAATGTACAGGATGCCCTCACGGGGGATAGCAAGAGCCAGCAGGAGGTACGGGATGGAGATGTGGTCAAGGGCTCCTATTCCGTGGTGGATGCGGATGGATCCCTGAGAACTGTTTTCTACACCGCCGATCCCATTAACGGATTCAATGCGGTGGTGCAGCGTGGACCTGTGCCTGTGGCTGCAGCAGCTCCCATTCCAGTGGCCCCACGTCCCCTGGTGGCCGCTGCACCTGCTCCTCTTTTTGGATAGAATTGTAATGGATATACACCCCAGATCCTAGCTATTACATAACTTATTGTCTGCTCCTTAGGAGGCTCGTAAAGTCGCGTAAATCAAATTAATAATAAACTCAGTAAGCCAAAGAGAAACCATTAGAATCCGATGATGAATGACTCAATTACTTGTTCCACACACACTTTTAATTGCTCTCTGGTAAAAAACCCAAACTAGTTTACATTTACACCTATTCATATTATTAATTAATTAGTTGATTTGGCAAGCTCAAGGCCCCATAAGTGTGTTTAGTAAGTTCAGTAAGTGATAATGAACTAAATTAAAGCATACGCAAAATATACGAGTAATATAGTTGAAAAACAAGATACTAAGTGCTGATTGATCGAATTTCAAGATCAACAGTTTTTTGCATTAATTATAACACAGGTTTTTTAAAGTAAAAGAGAAGTTATTATTTGAATGTTTCCAAGTGAAAGTATATTCCTCTTAATAACTGAAATAAATAAAACCCACAGAAAGTCTAGCTTGTGCAATATTTTACTTGCATGAGAAACCCTGGAATCTTGCAATCTTTGGTGTTAATCTCCTCAAGCTGTGCTGCTCCACGCCCAAAGAACTCTTCCACGCCGAACACATTCACTCTGCTTGGGCTCGACACGCACTCAAAAAATTATTCAATAGCTTAATTGAAAGTAAAAAATCGGCACGAGATGCAATTTTTGGATTACGCAAAGCCCCCAAACCGACCATGTCCATAGATGTTTGCTGCCGGCAGTAACTGCGCTGCTAACTGCAACAGTAACTTCAGCAGCAACTGCAACAGCAGCAGCAGCAACAGCAACTGCAGCAGCAACATCAGCAGCAACAGCAACTGCAACAGCAACAGCAGCAGCAGCAGCAACTGCAACAGTAACAACAGCAGAAACAGCAACTGCAACAACAACAGCAGCATCAGCAACTGCTGCAGCAGCAGCAGCAAATACAGCAACATCAGCAGCAACTGCAGCAGCAGCAGCAACTGCAACTGCGACTGCAACGCCTAACAAGCGGCAGTACGCGTTGAAAATTAGTGATAATGGGCAAAATTGTCCCAATGGCAACAGAAACAACAGCGAAACAGAACTATAACTATACACTGAGGGAAAATAAGATTATATAACTTATTTGAAAATTATGTAACTTGTTCCTTATAAAACTTATTTTAAGTTGGCATCGCAAGAACGTAAACTTTTTGAGAAGTTGTATTAAGTACAGAAATTAAGTTAATCCTTAATTTTTTATTAGAAATGTATGTTAATTAGGATATTCTTTAATGTGTGAGATATTTGTGGGCATGCTTAGGATTATATATAACCTCTGACTATTGTCAGTATCTGATCTCTAAGTTTAGCCTGTTGATAATTAAAATTATATTTTAAATCTGATAAATCAAAATGTGACTTTATTCTAAGATTTCTAGATGCTAGATTCTAGATTTCTTTAGGAAATATATCTCTACTTGCCCTATAGCTGAAGAGCTTCCTGTGTTCCTTGACTTAGTTTTGATTTAAATGCCGAAAACAAATAGAATCAGCCCTAGTTTCATTGATTTTTCGTATGTTTAATTTACATAGGATGCCTAAAAATTAATACACCTTCTTACAGAATTAATATCTCTTCTAATTCTCTTCCCAAGAACATACGTTTTTTCGCTCAGTGCATTGACAATGTCTGGCGTTGATTTTTGGGTGGGCGCAGCGCTAGCATCGCTGCCAGCCAGTTTCGAAGGCTGTGCCCCAAACACACCTTTCAACAATCGACGACTGCTGCTGCTGGGTGCGTGAGCAGCGTTGCCCCAATCTGGTGGCCATAAACCGAGACACGGACACGGGACATGGTTGCATGGGTGCTTGGGTGCATGGGTACATGGTTACATGGGCACATGGGGCATGGGGACATGAGACCTGGGAGGCTCACACACACACACCTGATCCCATGGTGGTCTATGTCTATGCTTTCGAATTGAACTTTTTTGTCACGACGATGGCGACCAGTTTACTCTGTCCAGTGGTTCTGTGGTCCACACACAGTGCTCCTCCCATACCGCCCAGACATGCGTGAACTGGGTGCACCTCCTCCATCACCTCCTGCACCGACTCCTCCACCATTGCCTCTGATTGCCATGGGCAGCGGCGAAAAATGAATTATTTTATATTTGTCGCGATCGATGGCAATATTTTTTATATTTTTTGTATGCTTTTCGCATACACACGCATGCGCAGGCGCACTTTTTAGTTGTTTTCGGCTTTTTGGTTTTCTTATTTATTTTTTTATTTTTGCATAAATATCTGTAGCAGGCGGCTGCTGCGGATTGCGGATTGGATCGGAGTTTTTGGGCTCGGGCTTTTGGAACGGCCTATAAAAAGCAATTGTCGAGCGGCCACAGAACCACAGAGCGCGATCATTTGTCAGCCGAGTAGCAGCATCAGCATCAGCAGCAGGCGCAGTTCACCAAGTTCTCCAAATCCAAATCCAAATCCAGAATGGCCCAGAAGTTAATCCTCGTATTGAGCGCCCTGGTGGCAGTCTCCTCCGCCGTGGTGGTACCCGGTCCCGGCCTGGCTTTGCCCGCTTACCCATCGTATCCGGCACTGGCCAAGGTAGCAGCTCCATTGGCCGTGGCCAAGGTGGCCGCCCCGGAGCCTTACGACCCAAATCCCCAATATAGCTACAGCTATGATGTTCATGTGAGTACAAGGATAATAAAGAGTAAAAAGTAAAGTAGGGGTAGTCCTTGAGAGATCAAGAAACGAAGCAAAATAGCCTTTAATTTGTTTTCCTTTAGAAGTTAGAAGCTTCCATTTCAATGGTATAATAAAGAAAGTTGAATATTCAAAGATTAATTCAGATATATATCCTATAAGCCCGCTTTCAAATAAGACCTCAAGTCTTAAATAGAACATTACTCTTGTTAAAACTATATCTAGTAGAGATAAAATACTTCCCAGCCTCAGAAGGTTCCTTTACCAATATATAATATTTTTGAATTACTATATATTTTGGAGTATGCAAACCTTCGAAAGTGTTTGCCTTGAGCGTACAATTCCCAAAGTTCACAATCATGTTCTGTATTCATAGTTCATTCCATTCCACTGACACCTCATAAAAAAAAATAATAAAAACAGTTGCCAGAAAAATTAAATTTACATACAGACCACCTACCTACCAGGCCAGGTTTTATAAATATTTAGTATTTTGGAGAGGTGACTACTGCACTCAGAACTATTAAATCACAACAAGGTGAATAACTCAATATTTACATAACCAAAGTCAGCAGAAATAGTGCAAATATTTCAAGAAATATGTATAAATACATATATCAGAAGAATTACAAGAGAGTTAAAATCAAATTCAAAATTGTTTAAATCAATTTCAGATTTCTATATAAAGTAGTAAGGATTATGATAGATCTTATTTCTCAGTTTCTTATAAGAATAATTTCATACAAATTTATATTTCTTCTTGGAATATTTTATAAAATTTGGTTAATAAATCCTTTATAATAACCCTCTTAAATCCCTTTACAGGATGGCTCCACTGGCGATGTGAAGAGCCAGCAGGAGAGCCGCAGCGGTGATGTGGTCCAGGGTTCCTATTCCCTGATCGAGGCCGATGGCACCCGTAGGATTGTGGAGTACACCGCCGATCCTGTGCACGGATTCAACGCTGTGGTCCATCGCGAAGGTGCCGTGGTGAAGGCAGTGGCTCCGGTGGCCAAGGTTCTGGCCCCGGCACCGCTCCTGCACTCCGCTCCGCTGGTGGCCAAGGTCCCAGCTCTGGCACCCGCCTATCCGGCTCTGGCTCCTGCCTATCCCGCTCTGGGTCATGGCTATGGACCTGCCTTGGGCCATGCCTATGGGCCGGCTTTGGCTCCTGCCTATGGACCCAAACTGGCACTGCCCGCCCTGTCGCCGCTGGGCTACCACTAAGTCAATGGATATGAATCATGAGACCGACCTCTTGCCGCAAACCGAACCATGGACACATCGCGACCAACTTCTCCTGCCACGTGGCCTCCAGATCGAAGAAGGATGGTTGGGCCACGGGCCGATCGTAGTCGATAGTAGTTGTTAGTATTAGTTGAAATGAAAGCGATTTATCGAAATATGTACATACGAATCCAAGGACATTTGGTGTCCGAAGCCATGTCCCCTCATCTACACTCACACACATTCTCGAGGCGCCTTTCATTTTTGTTTCTTGTCTTTTTAGTCTTAAGGCTGTTTGACCGCGATAAAAACTCTATAATCCCCCAAAACATACAATCCCAACTCTTATTCTTATTTAATCCGAGCCTGTGCACACCGAGTAGAACTCGCAGAATGAGAACCGAGATTGCAAATAAACGAACCGAAAGCTATGCAAATGGAACAACTTTAAGGAGTTTTGTATTGGAAAGGAAGGAAATCTTTTCAGATTATTGGGGAAATATAAAGCTTGGAACTTGAAGAACTCTTAAATAAGTCAAAAATGCACTAATTAAATTAAAAATAAAAAAATATAATCAATTTTGATTGCAAAATCGAATGAAGATTGTTATTAATCATACGACACGTTGTACTGATAAAGACAACATGGCGAATGAGGAATAACTAGTACAGAATTTGTAAAAAGAAGACCTGAAATGTTTTAACACAAAAATGTATCAATAATTTTTTTCGGACAAATTAAAATCTAAAATTGCCATAACTTTCCTGTGCTTAGGTTAACCGATCTGCATACTCAATTGAAATTTTTTTCCAATTTTTAAAAAATAAAACGATGGGGAAAATTTTCAAAAATTGATTTTTTCCCCAAACATGGCTAGATTGATTTGGCTGTAAATTCTGATCAAGAATCTATATGTTATATAGGTTCGGAAATGTTTCCTTTCAAAGATACAAGCTTTTAACTGAAAATTGAATACCCTGCATAAAAAATAGAAGGGAAAGTTTGAATATATAAGATTTTCTTGAATTATAAGCATAAGCTCAACTTTCTTGTAGAAATATTTTATAAATAATATTCTAAACACCATTTACTTCCAATTCCAATACCAATTATTGCCTTCCGGATGTTGCCAATTAATATACTAATTCAACTTTTATAGAATTTTATAAATATAATTGACAAATTCAGCAATTAAATATGAGTGCACGTACTTCAAATTATTGCATTTTAATGGCTGCTATTTAGAGCAGCCTTTGGCCATAAAGCCCAAGTAGATTTCTATCGTGAAGTAGAGCAATTTAGGCTTAGAATTTCAGATTGAGAGCGTGGTGGTAATGGTGACCTTCCTTCGCCTCGAACAGGTCACCTGGCTACTGCAGTGGCTGCAGTTCTGACCAAGTCAATTGAGCGTAAACTAATCGCTCAAGGCCCAAACTCCACGCACCGCTAAACAAAAAAAAATAAATATATAAGACTGCGTAATTCGTAATTCGAGAGACACGGCGATGCAAAGTGGTCAGAAAAATAAAATTTATGGGCTCAGCCGTTGGAGAACTTTGCTGGTCAATTGGCAATCGATCCGATTGGATAATTGGCATCGGGCCACAATGCCTAGAAACTGGATACCGGCTCGTCATCCGCCGCGCCTCGATTAGCTCTCGATCCGGCTGCCAGACTGACCTCTATCCGCCGGAGAGAGAAGTGTGGTGTGGCGGTTGGGTGTGGAAGCCACCACCACCACCTTGTCTGCACATCTGAGCGGGCATTATATGTGCATATTTGTTTATGTAAAATTTATGGCTCGCATAATGAGTTTTCGTTACATTTGCAATTGCATAATGCGACGACGCGACGACGGGGGCCTTTTGTTGCATTCGACATTAAACGCTCTCTTGATGATTTAATAAAATTAAATTGAAATGTTAATCGCAACACGGGGGCATGGGCGGGAAAGTGGAAAGAGACACATGTGGGGCGAAAGCGTAAAACAATGGATGAGGTGCAGCCATAACAATGGGCACAAAACAAGAGGAAAAGTCAAATAAAATATGGGGAAAATATATTAAAAACAGTATGAAAGAGTGCAAAGAAAGATTGTTTTTAGAGGTTTTTTAAAAACTTCCTGCCTATTACTACTAGAACATAAAAGGAAATAACTTTAAAAGGAATCATTTCCGATCCTATTAATCATATATATTCTTGATTAGAATGAAGAGCTGAATTGATCTAGCCATGTTCGGGCAAAAAATAAATTTTGAAAATTGGTCTCAAAATTTGAAAAAACGATAAGGGGTTATATCATTAAAATTGTCAAAATTCGGCAAAAAATTGAATTTTATGAAATTTTAAATACGGTACGCAGATTTGTTAACCTATTAAAAACTAGCAAAGAACAGCTTTCCGAATCGAATTTAAAGCATTTTTAGCTAAGTTATGCGATTTTTAAATTTTGTATGTTCGAAAAAATCGAAAAGTATCTCAAGCTTAGGGTTCAATGTTATATAAACCTCGGCTTCTTGAATTTAATTTCCCTTCTTGTTTCATTATGTATTCATATTATAATCCCCCAAAAAGCCGCTCTACACTTTACTAATCTGCGGCATTCGATTAAAATTTAAATGCGAATCGCAGTTAAATTTTCGTTTATAACTAACGGACGCATATTAACGCCATCATTTTGTGGCATTGTTTTGACGGATTTCACCCATTGTGGCAGTTGGCCACCACCAGCCGAGAGTGTTGATGATCATGATCATTATGATCATGCCGAGCCGGGTCTGGCATACCTGGCGTTTGCTGCAGACTTAATGATTGAGAGGGATTTGTTTGCATTTTGAAATGAAATTAACACAGACCACAACGACGGCGGCTTCTGGCAGCGTTTTGTTATGTTTTTGGGCTTAGGTTTTGGATTTGGGTGTTCGAGTGGAGAGCTTGGGGTAGCCCCATCCACTCCAGGTGATTAAGTGATCACGCACATATGTAATAACATGCCATCAAGCACACGCTCCATTACAATTGTCGCCTCCGAAGAGCATGCGAGGCGGGACAATTAAAATGCTTGCATTTTGCGTCATTTCATAATGGATTCGACAAGTGTGGGCTTTAATATACATGGGGAAAAATTCCCCAAAATTCATTCATGTTGTATTAATAGATAAATAAGCTGAAAAAACTTCATTTTCAAGCGAAAATTGAAGACAAAAATTAAGGGTTTCCAAGCACAAGAGCGTACAATAATATATTAATCTAAATATTCACCAGAAACTTCTTAAATTGTTAGCCAAAAGTGTGATTAAGAGGTTCTTTATAATTTGTATAACCAAAATAAAGCAATAAGCTTTTAAGAGAGACTAAAAACCAATACTCATTCACGTGTTAACTTAAATTTAACAAGGAAATATATATTTCCACCTATCTGATCCCTTCTAATTAGCTCTTATTAGTTAATTATATTTTTCCCAGTGCAATTACTACGAATAAGAGCTTGAAAACACTCACCCCGTATACCAGGGACCTCGGGGCCCGTACAAGAAACGCTTGGCGGTCTTCCACCGCTTCCGTGTGTGACTATCGACGGTCTTGTGATGCACTGCCGCCGCCTGGAGGCGCTGCATCTCCTCCACCTGCCGCACCTTCCATGGCATGTAGATCTTTTGCTGGAATAGGCGCCGGTTCTCTGCCTGATGCGTTGCTCGCTGCTTGGAGGCGGCCTTACATGCCTCATAGCATTCCGCCCAGAATCGATTGATGGGCTCCCACAGATGCAGCTCAATGTCGCGCTGATAGTGATCATACAGGGGCTTTACCTGTTAGAGAGACATGCCAAAGAAATTGTTCATTACATACAGAGAAAAAATATATGGGAAATTATAAGTTATAACAAATAGATTTATGGAGTTTATTACTCAAAAAAGAAGTTTATAGGAAAAATGTCCTAAAATATTTTAGCTAGGAACATGTTCAGCAACATCCATTGGTACAGGGAAATCATTGCAAGGATATATGGATAGAAACATGTCTAGCAACATGTATGGATTCTAGGAAAATGTTACTAAGCCAATGTTTCCAGAAACATGTCTAGCTTTGATAATAGGTAAGTGCTGCTAGGTAAGTGTTGATAGGAGCATGTCTAGCCACATTTACGCAGCAACATTATGATACAATTATTGCTGGGCAAATGTGTATGTTCAGCAACATCTATTGATGCTAGGTAAATGTTGCCAAGATCATGTTGGCAAATGTTTTTAGAAGCATGTCTAGCAACATCTATTGTTGATATGAAAATGTAACTAGCAAATGTGTCTAGAAACATATCTAGCAACATCAACGTAAGAATGTTGCACAGCTTCAACAGGTAGAACTTAGTACCGGGTATTATACGGATAAATATTAATTAAATCACTATATTCCATTTTTATAATGCTTAATCTCAGCTTTAAATATAAACTCCAGTTTAAATACAAACAAATTTTCTCACAGTCCGCGAATGTCCGTGCAACATGAAGAGCGAAACTGACATTTATGGCAGCTTGAATTTGTTTTCGCTTTCATTCGATTCAGGGGCACCACTCCTCGTGCGTGTTCGAGTTCCATGGAGATCTGGAGATCTGTTCGAGATCAGCTGCCAGCCAGCTTCAATCCCAGTTCCAATCCCCGTCACGTCCGGCCAGGTTCAAGTTCAATGTGCACAGGAAGCACTCGATTGGATTGGAGTTGAGGGGGGAAAAGGGGAAACCAGTTGGACGTGCTCGGCTCCTCAATGGAGCTGTGTATATTTCGGTGTTTACTTAATACCCATCTCTGGCTGATCCCTGGGCATCCGCATTGCGCGACGGTAGGAGGTTCTTTTGCATAATCACCTCCCTGAGCGATCGTTCCAAGGCGCTGGGCACCAATTAAAAGTGAATAGATAACAGCAAAGGCAAAAGAGCGAAGCTAAATAACATATATTTCTGGTAAAATCTTCGCTAGTCCCCAGCTACCAGGTGGGTGCATCGACGGCGACGCCGCTTTGTCATTCGACGACTGACTGGTTCCAAGCTTTTGCGCCTCTTCGAGCCACAAAACCAGACCACTTTCTTGGCGCTCAGCTCAGTTGCCGAAAGAAAGTCCAACCGATCGTGAGCCGCCGCGAGGAAAAACACTTTTTGAATTAAAAAAGAAAAAAAAACAAACTCCAACTTGGAATCGCTCTGGGATTCGGACGCGGGAGCCACCAATGAAAGTTTCGATTTCGGGAATTTGTTTACTTGACTCCAACGCCGTGTTAAGTTTAGTTCGCGTTTAACGGCTCAGAAATGTGCAATTTGTTTTGGCTTTCGGCCTGTTTTGTAAGCGATTAAATAATATGGAATATAATTAATTATGCTGAAATCTTATCTGTGTGTGTTGTGTGGAAAATAAATCTGGCAGGTCTCGTTTTGTGACCAGAATGGTATTAGCCAGGATTGTTTGGCTTTGAACCTTTTGTTTTGTGATTATCTTTCATCGATTTAAAAACAAATAGTACATTTTGGCATGGATTCTAGAAGTAACCATTTTAGTCTGCTTTTCAGTATGTTTTAATGGAGTTTTGGTTAATTTTTTGTTGAATACCAACATTTCCCAAGCAATAAAAGCATTTAGAGAACTTAAATATTTAATAGTTAATGAATATAGTTTTCTTTTCAGTTATAAAACTGCAACTAAAATTCCAAAAAGATCTAGTTTAGTAAATCTAGTCTTCAATACAAATATACATACAAAACAATGATGCTCAAGTATAATTAAACTTTTAGAACTTCTTGATAAATATTCTCCGATTCCTATGTAGACCTAAGGGAGGTGTTCTTTATGCAGATCCTCAAAACAAATCTCCAGTTCTGATCACATTTTGCATACCCCATGTATCCCCAACCAATTATTTTTCTTAATATCCCCCCAAATCACTATCCAATTATATTCCTTAAAAGCTGCTCCTAAGCCCGGCTTACAAGTAATTGCTAACAATTGTCAAACCCCAAAAACAAGTCATGTTCAGAGACTGGCTTTCTTGGCAAGCCGAGGAGCAGCAGCTGCAAATGGAATCGCGATTTTACACATTGAACCTGGCGACGATCAGGTTCAATGCTTGGCTCCTTTGGCTACCCAGTGCCTCGGCTAGCTCCTCCCCTGCGAAGTCACCTCGCCTGGATTGGCGGATTGCGTGAGAGCAGCCAGCCGGCAAGGCAACTCCAAATCCAACTCCAGCCGCGTTACGAGGAGCCTGGCGAGCATAACTCGTGACTGGAGGTGATGGCAACTGTGTTACGTCGCTGGGGGAGCCAGGGAGTTGCTGGCGGTGGGGCACTGAGGCGGAAGCCACTAGAGAGTCTCCGGGTGGAAAGTCAAAGGTTGGTCGCGTAAGACAAAAGCACACACACACACACACAGAGCGCAGAGATGACAGCATTTAAGTTTTTAGTTTTGGGAAGGAGAAAGTTTGTTTGTCTGATGACATTTTCGCGGAAGATTAACCCACTCACCCTTTGCCTTCTCCCATTTTTCCCTTCCTCAGTTGGCTGTCTGTCTGCCCTTCGCCCTCGGAGATGCCTCTGTTAATGCCACCAATATAAGCCAGACAGATTCCAAGGCGGAGCTAGTGCCCGCGGCAGAGAAACTGATCCGATATCGTCGCCAGCCGCCCTACGCTGTAGGCAAGCGGTCCAAGCTGCGCCGCCGGACCAAGGGTCCGCCCAAGATCAAGTACGGACCACCGCCTCCGTCTCAGCATTTTCGGTATGCAAAGCCCTCGTTTCCGGCACACTTGGAGGAGCCCAGCTTCTCCCTCGATGACTTCCAGCACTTGAAGTTCGATGGGGCGGACTTTAAGATTCCAACTTCGAGCTACGAGGCCCAGTCCATGGATTTGGACTTTTATAACCATGACACAGAGTCGGATTTATATGGAGCTCACAAGTTTCCCAGCCTGGACTTTGGCCTGGTGACCACACACAATGATCACGTGCCGCACCAGAAGTATGGACTACCGCCGATTCATCAGAGCTTCCAGCCGGATCACTCGTTCGCCTCGCACTACGAGCCACCACCGCCACCAGCTCCGGCTCCGGCTCATCCGCCAGCCACGCGTTATGGAGTGCCCACGGCTCCGGTACCGGTGCCCAGCTTTAAGCACCAGGATCTGCCGCCACCCGATTCCTATTCCATTTACGAGCAGAAAATACCGAATGTAAAATATCATCAGAACTTTGCAGAGCCACCGAAGCATGGCTCCAAGCATAATCCCAACTTTGAGATTGCCTACTCTCCGCCTGCATTTGAGATAAGTACATCCTATCAGTCGAATCACCAGCAGAGCTATGCGCCACCACATCCAGGCGAAGATGTACACAAGGGCAGCTTCGCTGAGCCACCGTCCACGAACTATGTGAAGCCCCCTTCCCAGCATCCTCCAGCTAACAATTATGCGCCACCTCAGCATCCTCCAGATAACAATTATGCGCCACCTCAGCATCCTCCTTCTGGTGGTTACGATCAGCACCCTCAGCACCCTTCTCCCAGCTATGATCAACCTCCACAGCATCCACCATCCAATAGCTATGATCCTCCACCCAATAACTATGCACCTCCCCAGCATCCTCCATCCTCAAGCTATGATCAACCACCCCAGCATCCTCCTTCGTCAAGCTACGATCTATCTCCTCAGCATCCTCCTTCTCCCAGTTACGATCTATCTCCTCAGCATCCACCTGCCACCTATGATGGATCACCACACATTCCACCTTCATCCAGCTATGATTCATCACCGCATCATCCTCCCTCGAATTATGCTCCTCCTGAATCCCAGCCCTATCCTATCGAAACTTATCCCCAGGATGATTATGCACCGCCCTCGCAGGAGCTGCCTCTGAATCCGCACCACAAGTTCCCCAGCTTTGATTTTCCCAAATCCAGTTACGAAGTGCCCATTTACGATCCCATTCCGTTTGAGGCATCCAACAGGGACGAACAGGAATCGTATCCACCCATCCTGACCTTGTCATCCGATCATAATAACGAGATAACTTCGGATGCCCATGCCGCGGGCAGTTCCAAGAGGAGGAAGAGAAAGCGTAAGCCCAGTGCCGGAAGAGGAGGAGCAATTGTGCCAGGGAAGCATACGCTGGATGTGCCGGAGCTCCAGCATGCCTACGATGCGGACACTCATGTGGGAGACTCCAATGAACAAGTAAATGCGGATGCAGATGCCCACGGCTCACATTATGTGGAGAGGAAACAGACATTCATCAACTTTGTGACGCCCACCACATCCTCAACGACAACGACGCCGGCGCCCTGGAGTCCCATGAGGGGCAGGAGTAGTACCATCAGCACAGGATTTATCCCCACAATTGTGACGAGCACTCAAGCTCCACGCACCACTGTCCGAAGTCGAGGTGGCTCACGCTATCGCAGCACTCAACCTGTGAGTCCCAGCCCCTGGATCCCATCTCCAGCAGCGTCAAGATCGAGCAGTCACAATCGCAGAGCTACTACGACGGCACCATTGCTCCGCCCACCAGGCAGCAGCAGCAGTTTTCTCGCGGCACGAGACCCACGCGGCCCAGCTACGTGAGGAACCAAAGCCAGAGCCAGAGTCAGGTGTCACCGTTGGCCCTGCAGCCGGCGGAGCACGGTAGAGGCGCACCCACATCCAAGCGGACCACCAAGGGTGTCTTTGACACAACGCTGTTCAAGAGTCCGCTCACCGATCGTGAGATGGAGCGAAAGTTCCAAGGGATGCGCCAAAACTTGCCAAAAAACCACAAACTATACTGAGTTCTCAAACGAGGGAAATAAAGAACGAACGAACAGGAGGCATAGCTTAAAGACTTGTTTGACTAGTGTGTAAGCCATAGGAATAAGTTGAATTGCAAACTAGGCTAAGGAATTTAAATAAATTAATAAAAACCTACACAAAAAATTTCCCAAATCAATTAAAATATTTAACGTTCAACTCACCATGCGCTCAATAAAGTTTCTCCACTTTTTACTGGTGCTGTACATTTGGAAATCGTTAAAGAACACAGGGCCCGACGAGGTGGAAGGCAGATCCGGAAGCGTGGAATCCAAATTAAAAGCAACGCGGCATTTCTCCAGCAATGCCTTCATTACAGGCATCAAGAAAGAGTACTCCTCTGGGTTGCCAACTAGAAAAACGTAAGATAAGTAAATAAAAACAAGAAGATATAATATTCTATAAGAACCCACCTTCAATGGCATTATCCAGGGCCCTATTGAAGCTATACAGCAGATAAGATAGCTCCGAGGGATCCTCCGTGGACCGACTCTGGAGTATGGCATGCAGCTTGGCTGTGGCCATGGCCACAATGCCAGGATTCGGATGATGCGAGCACTTGAGCAACAGGCCCAAGCACAATCGGATCATATCAGACCAATCGTCTGAGGAACCCTGTTGGAAGATCATCAAAGCATCAAGCAGAGCCAAGACTCCGTCCAGCAGCTTGGTGGAACACTTTTTCGATTCGTCCTCGTTGGAGCCGAGCACAACCAGTTCGTAAACCATGCGCAGAATATGCGAGGCGTTCTCCTGGTTCACCAACGTCTGGCTGCCATGCTCCGAAAGGTCGAACAGCGAGGCCTGTACGGCCATCTCCAAGATGCGCAGGCGCAGCGAGAGATGCGAGGTAATCAGCTCGTTATTCAAAGCCAGTAGATTGATGCAGCCCAAGACCTGTCCACGCTCCTGCCAGCAGTGCGGATGATCGTTGGGTATGCCTCGCCAAAAGATATTGAAGAGCGTATTTGAGACTAGATACACCAACTGCTCCTCAGTGTCCACATCGCCATCGGGCACAAAATCAAAGGCGGAGGTGCTCTGAAAGGAAATACTTTGTTATTTTTTCCTCTTTATATTTATTGAAGAGTTATTACCTCCAGGGAATCACTTTTCTTTGGTGGATCATGCGGCGACTGTGTGGAACTATCCGAGCTCAAAGATTCCTCTCGCTGAATGGAAGGTGTCTGAGAGCCATCGGCAGTATCTGTAGAGCTGCCTAACGTGAGGGACTCAAAGGTATCCTGGATGTCGTGAGTGGTCTGTCGGATGACAGAGAACAAGCTGCTGGCATTCTCAACGACAGCTCCGGATACGGATTCAGCCAGTTCTTAAATGAAATTTATTAACATAAATAACGAATGTGAATAAATCCTCTGACTATACCTTTAATTTCACTTTCGATAACGGTGGCCGCCTCTGAAACACTCGCCTGGATCTCATTCAGAATCAGACCGCTGTCGCTGAGCTCCTCTTGCTGCTGTTGCTGCAACTGAGCCAAACCGATCTCCTGCTCCGAGAATGTTATGAGATCCGCTTGGGCCAGGAAGCTTGAGTTGTCCTCCAGCAGCACCATGTCCATGTTGATACCGAAACTGCGCCGCTTCTCCTCGTCGGGCGGTGAATTAGTGATAGGTTTGCGGATGAGCAGGCGAGCAATGGACTCCTGCCAGCCCGTTTGCTTGGCCATCGCCACCGTTGAGTGCTGCTTGACAAAGGTGGTTTGCAGGAGCCGCTTGGCTATCTCCAGCTTAACCGGGAGATCACAGGTGCTCACATGATAAACCAGGAAGATTAGGCCCGCATAGTCTGGCTGCAGACCAAGCATTTCGTCTACCAGGTGAAATAGAATCGTGGAGCTTAGGGACAGCGGCGTGATAAAGGAGAAGAAGCCGGGGAACATGCTGTGCTCACTTCCCTGGTCATACAATCGGAGCACTTGCTTATACTTCTGATGAACTCGCGAGGTGGCCAGCAATCCACTGATGAACTGAAAGGGAATACAATTAATGCCATAACTGATTGGATGAGAGTGATCTTGCTTACCCTTATTGCAGCCTCTTGGATCTCGTTGGTGTAGCTCTTATCCACGAAGAAGTTGTAGATGAGATTGGCAGACTGTGGTTCATGCAGGAGGAGAACCATCTGATCCTTGCAGTTCTTGCCGCGTATATAAAAGGTCATCATCTCCAGGAACTCTACCAGCACTACATCCTGCCGCACGGAGGCGAGGAAGGCTACCATGGCATTTACTTCCTTGATGTTCACCTCCTTTTGCAAGTAGAACCGAATTATGCCAAAGAGAGTGGCCCTGATGGTTTTGGCATCGTCGTCGCTAATGCTGTCCGGCGTGGAGTAGTATTGTCGCACCACGTCCAGCACAAACTGGACGCCATACTTCTTGCGGAAGAACTTGCGATCGTTCTTAATCATGGCGCTTAGGTACTGAGCGTGACCCAGTGTGATTTGGAACTGCAGCCGCGACCAGATGGCAAAGTCGAAGACTATGTGAGCGTACAGTGCATCCAAGAGCTGCTGACCGCCCGCCGCCGCCTCCGACTTGTGACCCTGCAACGACTCCATAAGCAAATGGGTTGCCATCAAGGCATTCACATCAAACAGTGCGGGTGGACAGCGCTGGAGCATCGTTCCCACAATGGCCAAGCACTCGCTGCCAAGCAGCTGCTCCTGGTTCGTCTCGTGCTCGTGGGTGAGGTAACGCAACAGGCAAAGAAAGCTGGCCAGCGGCTGGTGCAGCATCTTCCATTCGGTGTACGAGTTCGAGGAGAGCATCTCCCAGTCGGTGAACTCCTCGGCCGAGGGCGTCGGAGCACAAGAAGCCGACTCCTCGCTTACGCTTCCAATCGAGATGTCCGCCGGCTGGTCTTCCGAGCTCACCAATCGATGGAGGATGGGCAGTATGGCACTCACGCCACCAATGCTGTTGATCGTCTCCTGGATCTTGACAATCTTGCAGTGCTGGGCAGTTATCCTTCCCGGAAACTTGCCACCGGGTATCAGATCCTGGCAGGTGCCATGCCAGACTGCTCCTGGGGCGTAGCAGAAAACGAAACGGGAGTTTAGCTCCAGGATATCATTGTCCTGCGAGAATATGGAAGTAAAGTTGGCGCCAGCATCGAAGATAGTTTTCAAACTGGTCGTGGGGTCAGCCAACAGCACTCCACCCACGTGACCATGCAAGCAGGTCTGCTCCCCGAATACCGTGTCCTGCATGCCAATAGGAAAGTTCTTGACATTCGGATCGAAAGCGGTCTGAGTTCTCATTGGCAAAGTGAAGTAGTTGGACACCTGAGGAATAAGATAACGAAAGTTAGATGCAGTAAATGCGAAAACATCATCAAACTTACATTAGCTGAGAGAGTTCGCTCCAACAGGCTTGGCAACATGCCCTTGTATCCACTAGAGCCACTCTCCTGAGACGAAGACCTTGGCATGATTCCTGCCTTTGCCACTTCACCTGCTTGAGGTGGCGCCACCACAGCGCCAATGGAGCACACCGTGAAGGGTTCGTTCACAGCCTGCACTTTGAGGGTGGCGCTTAGTTTCTGCACGAAGTCCACAAATATGTTGATTTGACTGTAGGAGAAGGGTCGCTTAGGCGGCGTTATGGCCACCGTTAGGTAGTGCCACTGGCCATCCATTAGCGTCTTTGTAGCTGTCGACGATGTGAGGTACTCCCGACGAGTTAGAGCCGCTACGACAACATTACCATTGGGCTGCACGAACACTTCAAAGCCACTATTGCCACTGACTGTCTGCAGGTTTAGAAGCATGCGGCGGCGAGTGTTGCTGGTCGGATCCTTCAGCTGGTTGAAGCGCACTAGAATGTGAAAGATGAAGCCATACGAGCCGGAGATGGTCCAATTCCGTATGTCTGGCACAACAATTCCATCCGTTTCCTGCTCAATGGAAAAGTACTGAGCGCAGGAGTTGCTTCCCCGTAAACTTTGCAATGCAATCACCACCAGAGTCTGGACAGGAATGGAAATGGTATATATGTAAGAGTGGAGGCTAGTTTAAAAGTATTATTATTTACCTGCTGAAGTTGCTTGTTTTGGGGAAACTTTGTTCCCTGTCGTAGCAATGCAAAGATGGCCTTCAGCTCCGCGGGCACAATGCTGACTTTGCTCAGTTCCTCAATGAGCTTGATTAGGTTCTGAACGCAGTTCTCGGCGAGGGATTCTGCTTTCAAGAGGCAGCCGCACACAGCCTTGATAATGTGACTGCCACATGCCACAGATTTTCTAAAAGATAGATAAGTCGGATAAAGAATATATATGATTTATAGGGTCGGAAATTACCCTATAGAAAGTTACAAGCTTTTGACTAAAAATCGAATACTCTGCAATATTATAATAATAGAAGAATAAGCAATATAGACTCACGTTCCATAGTTGTCAGTGCAGCCCTTGAGCACTAGATTGGTTACATGCAGCTGTTCCCGCTCCTGCAGCGTGGGAACCCAATTGAGCAACTGCAGCATCACCTCGGGCAGCAGCAAGAGGTGTTTCTTGTCATCGTATCCCAGCGAGAAGCTGGCATCCAGTAAGGTCACCGATGGACAACCAAACTCCTGCAAACTGCCAAAGAGCCTTTCGATACGTTCACCCTGACGCAGCTGGGCAGCGGATTGCGAGGAATAACTGGTCAATGTACCCAGTGCCTCCATGGTGCTGCACAGCGAAGTCGAGTGGGAGATGTGCCAAGGTTTTATGACCTTCGGCAGCCCAATGAGCAGCTCCATTAGATTGGATTCACAGATGGCCTCACTACTAACATCAGCATCGCCGGTTAGAAACAGTTTCACAGCTGCCACGGTGCACGAGAGAGCTGCCATATCAATGACCACATCCTGGTCAGCGTCGCTAGCTATGTCAAAGTTTGCATCGCCGCTTTCAAAGTGCTTGGTGGCCAGCAGCTCTTGGAGAGCATCACAATAGAGTTGAACTAACGTAACTAGGTCTATTTGGCGCTGTTTAAAAAAAGTATTTGTGGCATTAAAACAGAAAATATACATTATTCCAAGATTTACTCACTTCTTCCGGACTAGATTTCTGCAGGACAATAACCATCAAAGCGTAGCAGTTAAGGGCTACACGACGCAGGCTATTGGCGCTCTCCCACTGCCGCAGGATGCTCATCGTGATGGACACTGTGGCGGGGCAAATGGCCTTCATGCCATTACGCTGCCGGATCATAAGTCACGGATTAAACGAATGCATATGACGAAATTCGGATTACGGGACAGAGACAAGCAATGGCATGCAGGATCAACGGTTAGGGGGCACAACAATGATCGGTTCCACCACTCACCAAGTTATCACAGTCTAGAAGCAGCCCATCACCCATCACCGAGCAGGGGGCAAGTGAAGAAGTGGTTAGAGCGTTAGTATTAGTCGAGTTTAGGGACTTTTGCACTTTCATTTGCAGCTGGAGATAGAGAGGATCCAGCGTCCGTAGTATTAACCAAACACGAAATGAAACGATAGCGGAGGACATGGAAACAAAATGACAGAACGCTTAGAACTCTAATGGACATTAATAGCGAAAGCAGTGAGCAGAAGGGAAAGCTAGCTGTGGAATAGTGAGGTTAATCATCGATTAAGATAGATCTGAGGACTAAACAGGAAGAGGGAAGGTGAACTGGAGACGCTTTCAATGGCTACCTGTGAGCCGCAAATCACAGAGCCCAGGATGTTGAGCAGGCTTTCTCCTATTTCGGCATATCGGATCAGCTTCTCCTCCTGGAAGCAATCTGGAAGGTTAAATGAAACCCATATGAAATCTAATATCTTAAAATAACTGCGACAAACTCACCATAAATAAAGGGCACGATTTCCACATGAACCGAGTGTGGCTTGTACGAGAGGCGGCTATAATCCGCCGCCTGGCCGCGCACAAAACTCCGCCACGTCAAATACGGATCGTACATGACCTCGAGGAAGGCCGAGAAACTCTCAAACAGATGACTAATTGCTGGCACGGCTTGAGGTAGCTCCATTTGCTGAAACAAAAACAAACCGTAGCTGGGTTATCAGGGAACAAAAGGTAAGGCAGCGATGTCGACTCACTTACCTGCTTAAAAACCCTGGAAAGTATTGCTATCAGATTCGGCTTGTATTCATACTTGATGACAGCCAGAATATTGTCAAAGTGCCGGCATACAATCACCAGGCAGTCTATCAGCACCGCTACACGTTCGATTGCCTCCTCCTCCAGCTGGCCGGCCGTATCGCAGGCATCTCTTGCCACAATAATAAACTTGCCAATGGCGGGCAGCAGTTCGTCCGGCAGACGTCCCAGGTGGGGACCACTGTCCGGGAGGACTTCATGCCACATGGGGCAGGTGTCGGCACGGAAATCCAGCTGCAGCTGTCCCCGCCAAATGTCCACAAAGCGGGCCACGAACTCCCGGAAGTAGGTCTCATCGTTCTGCAAAGGGGAGAGAGTGAGACAGAGACTTAGCTTGAGCCTGTCTGGGATTATATAATCGCTGGCTATGCTGCTGCACTGTTTACGCAGGCCTTTTAAGCAACAAACTGATAAAGAACGCCTTCTATTTGGCGGTGACTAATGCGTTGGGCATGTTGTGGCCGCCCCCGCTCCACCTCCTCCTCTTTTTCAATTACAGCTTATCTTCCGGCGGAGTGTTTTCCACTTCCGTGGCACCGCCCCTTACCTTTGTCGTGTACTGCACCCACAGGTTGTATATGTCCTTCTTCTTATTGTCCATTGTTGGGCCGGAATTCAGGTGCGTGAGTTGTGCGGAAGCATTTGTTAATTACTCGCAGTGTATTTGTTTACAAAAAAAAAGGGGCGCCGACAGTGTCCGCTTCTCCCGCCGTTGGTGAGATTTGGCGCCGGGCGCACTGCTTTCGCACCGGATTTGGATAGCAATATCGGTTGCAATATAGCGCGATTAATTTTCGCCTGCCGAGCCTATGTTTTAAACAGTTTTTTGGCAAATTTTTTCACATTGCTAAGCACAGGTGAAAACGAGAACAGCTGATTGTAAATCGTTGTATGGCCAGATGGCGGGCTGAGTTGTACATCTGGTCACACTGTTGTAAAAGCAGTGTTGTAAATTGCGCACGGAATTTAAAAAGTTGTTGCCGTTAAATTGACTTATATTTTTAAATGAAAATACCTAAAAGTGTCAAGATTTCTTGACCTAAAAATGGCACTTACTCTTACTTACTGTATATATCATGGTTTTATTCAATATTTATGTTTGTAAACACATTCTTCGATAAAGAAAAATTGCCAGTTTGTTGTAGGCTGCTAAATGCGTATTTATTTCGAGATTTTTCATGTATTTTTGGTTTCAATTCTAGTAGCATTTTATTTGTTGTTTGTTTTGTCTGTTTTACATGATATTAGCTAATAGTTGCGCATGTTATCTGCCATCGCCTGACTCTCCGTTAACTCCGTCGTTAAAAACAAACGATTTTGACTTCGATTTCGATTTTCAGTGCAGTTCTTTGCCGCTTATCATTGATAAATACATTATTATGCGCAAAAGTGCAGTTATTGATGCGGATGCTGATGCGGATGCGAATCTATATGCCTAGGCAACGAATTTTGAGATATTCGCCTTTGATTTTAGAAATGTCTTTGTTTTTGTGTTTTTGTTTTTTCTTTTGTAATATAAAAAGGAAACGTTATTTTGTTATATTTAATTTCAGACCTAAATTATTAAGATTTAATGTAATATTTTATTTGTAAGTTTTGTTTTAATTGAATAGCTTGAACCATTTGTAGGACCTATAAATATTCATTATCTGTTAATAATCTTAATAAAATAAATATATGTAGAAGAAAAATCTTATGCCTCCGTTTCAGTTAGTTAAAGCTGTGAGTTTTTATCCGCATTAATTTGAAGGATAACAATTGTTAGTTAATTTACGTTAATTTATATTTAATTTACTTCAAATATAATAGGCATTCGACTTGCTTTCGTTTATCATTACGTTTAAATTAAATACACGATGCGCTCGTTTAAATTTAATTTCCGTTTTTGTGTGTGTTTTGTTATTAAGTGTTTCTCGTGTGTATGTTTTACGGTGTTTTTGCAGCACTTGGAATATGGGCAATTACAATATTTAAAAAACGTCAGCGCCAAGATTTATCGATTTGTAAATAAGTTGCGCGCTTTGCTCAGATCTATTCTTGATTTGCTTTATTTTGGTTTTGGGCTTGGGTTCGGGATGGGTGTTGTGGGGTCTTTTCCTCTCGAAACGGGACGAGACGACGACGATTGTTGCGAATAGAAAAATAATTCAAGTAAATATTTGTATATGCAGTGTATAAGTATTATAGTTTCCTCTAGGTATATGTATAGCACTCCAGGCTTATTGTATTTGTACCAATCGCCCAAGATGTGGCACCCATTTATCCCTCTATCCATTTGTCTATCCTTCAGATATATCAGTTACTGTGCAGATTCTAATGCCCGTGTTGCAATTTTGAGTGAATGGCGGCTGTGGGTGGTTGACGACGTGAGGGGATCGGGATCCCTAGCGAGTAGTATATGTGTGTGTGTATGTGAGTAGTGTGGCTAGTTCATAAGGTAAATATATATAATCTATCATAGTTCTTTTAGGTGCCTCTAACAGCTCTGAAGGTATTCAGGTTCGGTCGCATTCACTGCGTTGTTGTCGATTGTTTCGGGGTAGAAATACTTGGGGTGTTCGCTTTTTTTCTAGCTTGGTGTCTCCGCTCCTGTCTCCGATCTCCGCCCGCTACGGGGTTTTGTTGTCCGCTCGGCGGTCTACGTATCCTCCAGCAGCGGCTCATTTTCCGAATCGGAATCTAACATTTTCCAGACCATGCGCCTGACGTTTCAGACTGCCGCCGTCGGCCCAGGAGGAGTTGAGATACTCGTCGTCATCGTCTTGCTCAAGTTTCTGGAAGTGGAATGTTGAAGAACACATTATTAATGACTCAGTTTCATTTGAAATTTGTCAATTAATTAAGAATAATAAGTTGTTTAAGGGAAGGCAGCCTTTTTGAACTTTTTCAATTGTTTGCCCATAAAAGTATGCTATAAAAAGGAATGAGTGGGAAAGTTAGCTCGTTTGGTGTCCTTATTTTAGATATTTTAAAGACCCCCACTAAACCGTAATAGGATCTACATAAAATTAAAAATTCTTGAACAGACTATTATCTCTAGTACTCCAGTCTTACCCTTGCACTGAGTTGGACGTGGAGATAACTCCATTTTCCAGCGAGTCCCTGGACAGCTCGTCGGCCATCTGGACCTTCAGTTGATGGCCGAACGAGTTCATTTCAGAGTTGGGCGTCATCTGCGAGCCCGCCGGACTCTGCGCGATGTATGGGCCCGGTGTGGTGACAGAGCCACCCTGCGATATGGAAGCGGTCATGCCGGGACCGCCGTTGGGAAGGACACCCTCCAGACAACTGTCGTTGGTGGTGGAGTCCATGTTGATTATCTGGCTGCCGGCTACGTTGTCCGCCAGCACGGCACCGTCGCTGTCGTCCACGGCATCGATGTCATCGATGTCCATGTCCTCGGCATTCTTGTCCAGCGGCGCCGTCTCCTCGTCCTCGTTGTAGATCTTGAAGTACGCGTACGTCAGATAAATCACCGAGATGATGAACGAGGGAATGGGAATGGCCATCGAGTACACCAAGTTCAGTGTGTTCTGCCAGTAATCCAGGTCGCTGATGACCAGGCTGGGATCCACCTTGGAGTAGTAGCACGGAAACTTGATCCCGATCTTTGTGTACCGCTTCAGCCAGATGGTGCAGTTAAGCATGGGTGGGTAGCCACAGCCCTTCACATTGGGAAAGAGCCGGGCGCCCACGTAGTAGTACATGGAGCGATTGCCCATCAGGCCTTCGTTCAGCTCGGAGATCTCGTCGAAGGGGCGCCGCTCGTCCGGTATGAGAGTGCCCGAGGCACTCAGCCCGTGCGTATCCTCCGAGTCCTCGATGAGGTACCCATTGGAACCATCGGCATCGCCAAAATTGAGTTGCTCCAACCGTCCGCCTCCGAGGTCGATGTCCAGGCCGGCACCACCCACGCCGCCGCCCAGGTTATCGTACTCGTAGTCGCTACGCAGAGCTCGCTCGTACCGATCCGTACGCTTTACAGGCGGCAGGATGCGCTCCGCCTCCTTCAGATTGATGTGGTACTCCGTAAAATTGAACTCATCCGTGTAGTTGTACAGGTTGAGGCGATAGTTCACCCGGATCTGGGTGCACGTATAGATGTCCTTGGTGCAGCCCTCGCGGCACGACGACCACGAGCAGTTCTTGGCCCCGTAGTAGATCTCCGTGTCGTAGGTCTCGCACAGCGCCGGAACCTCCTCGAACTGCATGAAGATCGTGGTGAAGGCCGGCTCGATCACGAACGGCACCAGGAAGAGGAAGGCGAACAGGCTGAAAGTGCCCAGCAGGATGAAGAAGGCGGTCGTATAGAACAGCAGCTTCTCCTTTCCCGTCCGTTTATCGGCCTCGTCTCCCATTGTTATCGATTCTGTTGGTCGGGGCTTAGTTGGCTATATATACTATATATAATTCTATTATATCTCTGGGTTGGCGCAGGTCTGGCGACGGCGACGGCGACAGCGGCGGCGTTGGCGGAGCAGAGCGGCAGCGAATGGTGTTCCAAAGGCGGAGGGCGGTGTATGGGTATTATTTGCTTTCTTTTAGAGCAGTGCTGTACTTAGCTTAGAATTGCTGCGATTATTAATCGGTAACGATAACTACGAGCTAGATTACGATTACGGTGCAAGTTATATCACAGGGAGAGTTCGATTTCGATTTCTCGTTCCTTTTGCTTTTGCTGTTACTTTTGCTTCTTCTGTGTCCGTTTCTGTTTCGGTTCCAGCTTCTACTTCTGCTTCTCCTTCTTCCTCGGTCTCTGTCTCTGTGGTGTCCTGACTGTCCGGTGTCCCGTTATCTCGCACATTGCTGGCATCTGCAGCGCGGCAGGCCGAGGACCATGGCGTACGTGGGTGGGACTCCGAGGGGGTCCTGCATTTTTGTGCTCGGCATCACTCGATTAGGCTAAATACTCCACGGAGCCAATGGGAATCCCACGCATCCTGCAGCCTTTCCAGCCTTTAGCCCCACTCTGGCAGTGCGTGCGTGTGTGTGTGAGCCGGGGTTTCAACCTTTGCTAATTGCTTTATGCGTCCCAGCGGAGATGTTTCGTCAACATCAGCACGTTGCAGTGACGCTGCTCCTGCCTCCTGCTCCTATCCTTCGGATCCTTCCTCTTGCTCCGCCTGATTTAGCTTCTTCTTGATTATTTTATGACTGCGGCAAAGCCTGATTTGTATGCGAGTGTGTGTGCTTTGTGTTATGTATGTGTGTAAGTGTGTGAGTGTGTGTGTATTGTGTCCTTGTATGTGTGTTCGGCCTGCCAATGGCCAGTTTTGAGGTCTCACTCTCGTCTGTGCTTATGCTTCTCCTTCTCTGCAGCTATTCCTCCGTTGTTTAGCGCACTTTACATTCTTCAAATGTGTGTAAAAAAGAATGCTGGACGGACAGTTTTATTTGTTGTTTGTTTTTCTTGTTCACTTTGCTTTGCTTTGCTATTCGTCCACTCTCTTTCTCGCTCGCTCTCTCCCAATCTAGCCGTGCCACGTGCAATTCAGCGCTGTGTGCGGGGGAGAAAGTGAGATGGAAAGAAAGCAGTGTAGTGGTTTTAAAATACCGTCAGGCCGCGTTTTGCGTTAATGCGTGTATTTTTAAGCCCAGCGGCCGCAATTAAGCCAGCGAAAGGTGACGACGGCCGCCTCGCTCGCGTTTATTTTTATGTAACCTCGAGTGGGGAAAGGGGGGCGTGGTGGCGGCGGAGTATTACGAAACGGAAACGAAACACGCGGCACCAATGAGCTCAGCTCAGCTCACTTTGGCTCGGCGTGTTTAAATAATAAAACTCCTTCGATGCACTCAAGGGGGCATAGGGGAGGGGTGGAGACAGAGCGGAGCCACATGTAATTTTCAATTCATTTGGCACGCTTTCACACACACACAAACACACGAGCCCATTACACTAGCCAGAAAAAGGCCGTGCACATGCAAGCTCCAACACAAGCCCTCAACTCTCACGTACACAAAGGCAGAGCGAGAGCGAAAGAGAGCGCGAGGGGAGCCAGCTCCAATCGAAATTATGCGGCATAGGCGGCCACCATAGCCCTATCCCTCTTGCGCTGCCTCCAAGGAGTGAGGAGACGGAGTAAGCTGGTGTGAGTGCCTTGGCAACTTCTTGTGCTTTGCACGAAACGATTTTTCAGCTGGCCCAAAGATTTGTTAGGCTCCCCCAGCCCCAGGATTTTGGAGATCAATTAAATGTAGTCCAACTACGTTTTTCATGTATTTTTGTTTGGGCCACCAGGCCACCCTTTTGCTCCCCTCTCTCACTCTGCTCCTTCGAGCTCTTGTGACGTAGAGTTGCGTGCTCCCGTTAGTGTGTCGCGCTAGTGTGCGTGTGTGAGTGTGCGACTTGCGCCTGTGTGTGTTTACTCAAGGTTCAGGTTACGCGGTGAACGGTGACAACGGAACGAGGATTACGCATTTTCAATCACATATCCCGAATCCGAATCCCGCACAGTTCCCGTTTTCGGTTACACTGTTTACCATGGAAGGACAATGGTGACCTGATTGCGCACGGGGTCAAAAGTTGCAAACGCTGAAAGAACAAAAACGCCACATTCACGCTCCACATTTCTTTCGTGGCATTTTGTCTTTTTGCCTCTTGCGTTCCTTGGTGGCAACAATGGAGCAGCGACAACGACAGCGACAACGACAACGGCAGCTACGAGGCGACGACAACCAAAGGAGCAGAGCGACAACACGACGGCTGAACTCTTCAGCGAAAGGACTGCCTTCCACTGGCAACGCTGCAGCGGAATTAAGGGTCCAAGTCTGGTGGAGCTTTGGAGCGGAGCTTTTGCCTGCACCTCCGCCAAGCTTAAGTCCAGGGTTTGCTTTTCAGCCATTAAGTAGCTATTTGTAGTTACTTCTTGTAAAGGTCCTTTGAGCTACCTCAATCCCTATTGGGGTGCCATGATGACAACACTAAAAGAGGCTTATAATTTGTAACCAGATTTTTCATTACTTAAAATTACTACTCATAGAGGATATATATTTTCCCAAATGACCCTTGCTTGAACCCAAATCTTAGTTTATATTTTAATTGGATTTCCAAACCATACCGATTTCTGTGCAATCCTTGATTTACCACTCCCTAAAACCGATTTGTTAAAGAAGATATTCGAATTTAAGCCATAATTTCAACAAAATTAGACTTTTCAGACAATCGACTCCTGAGCAGCACTGTCCAAAGCTCATGCTCCCACTCTCCCAGTGGGAGCAACAGCGGGCCAGCGATGACGTAAAGCCAACCGACGCAGGCGCCTTCTGCTCCGCGTGCCACCGAGAGAGCTCCGCTGGTTGAAAGCTGAGAAGTGTCAGAAGTGGCGTAAACAGCAGGGAAACGTAACGAACGAGTGAGTTCGCCTGTTAGGAATTTTCTCGGCTCGCCCAGCCACGGGGAAATGGTGGAAAAGTGCAGAATCGCAGCATTCTTGGCACTTGGTTAGCTAAGGATCCAAGAAGAATCTGAATAAAGTGTGGAAACCCATCCGGGAGTGAGCCATGTGCGGATTATGAAACGATTTTAATGGCACACTGTGGAACTGTGACTGTGACTGCGACTGCTGCAAGTGTATTGGTGTGGTGTCTTCAGCAATCCCCCCCGCAACTACTGCCAGCGCCCCCGCCCCGCGAGTGCGTGTCCCAGTGGCAGGAACGTAAATAAACCTCGACACTTGAAGCTGAAACATTCGTAATTTACATGTGAGTACCGCTGCTGCCTGCCTGTCCAGGTAGCCACATCCTAAACCATATCCGGTATCGAAAGGGAAACGGAAATCGAATAAGGAATTTCTCGATGACCCTCAAAAATCGTTGCCTACTTATGAGCGCATTTCCATTGATTGCCGTGCAACTAGAAATTCGTTCTGTGGCCATTGATTATTCCATTTGGGGCTGTGATAAAAACAAAAGTGGAGCGTGTCCAAGTGGTAGTGTCATCAAGACTACATAGTAGTCTAAACTTGAAAATACCCTGTGGTATCTGCTAATGGGTTCTCATCTCAGTTTCAAAAGATATAAAGAGAAGGTGGCGTGGTTCTCGGGCCATTAAGTTTCCTAAGACAATACTTTGTATATTAAGAAGGTAATATCCATCTGTGCAGTATCTTTTCGTTACTATGAAAACGTGATTTTGATTTAGAGTTTTCAACCATAGTTAATCTATTATTAAAATCTAAGTAATTGGAAAGTTTAATTTCAATTAGATTTTGTAAATACCTATTGATACGAATTATAAATTAGCTAAATGCTTATTAATTAATCATTTTAAACATTTAAACATTTTCTAGACTAGGAAAAAAGTTCTTCAATTTAAATAATATAATCATACTTAGTTGCCTTTAAAAATTGTCTTTGCATAGTATATTTTTCAGTTAAATAATATTTCATTTGTATTTAAATGTGTTAATTAAGTCCGGACGCCTATTAAAAATCTGAATAAATTTATATTCTATTTTTAAAGAAGGAAAATTAATCTTATGTAGGGCGCCAAACCATCTGTTTGAGCAGTGTTGCAGGTTATTAACAGTGTGTGCTAGTGTTGGTCACCGCACAAGCGTGGGGATTTTAGCGAAACGCGTTAGCACATTATTTCATCTGCCAGATGATTAACAAAAACAAAAGTCCGAATTTAATTTGACGCAAAAGAAAAGTTAAGCCACAAAAAAAGAAAAAAAGCAGCCATAATGGAAGTCATCCTTATGATTATATTCGTCACCGCCTTCTGGGCAGGAGTGGCCAAGTTCGGACCCATCCTATTCTCAAAGGCGCCGCAGCAAGATCTTGTGCGATGTGTCTGCCTGCTGACCGCCGCTTGCTGCTGGCTCTTCTGGCTGTGCTGCTATTTGGCGCAACTGAATCCTCTGCTGGGACCCAAACTCAACCAGAACACCATTAAGATCATCGCCAAATCGTGGGACAATCCCATATCCGAGGGATAGCAGGGGCGAGGACCGCGGGCAGCAGCGAGGAGTAGTTAACCTTATTCTCCGCAGCCACATCACACATTTTTGTACTTTAACAAAATTAACAATAGTATGTATTGTAACCCCCAATTTCCCATGCTATGTAGATTCTAAATTATTGATCAGAATCGAGCTCTACACATCCACGTTTTGTATTATTTTTGTAAGCGAATTTGTGGTAATTGTCGGCCACGTTCGCAAATATGTTTTTGAGGAACACTGTGAGTTGAGAATGTGGATTTATGAACACATACTTTATATTTATCTGCATTTGCACTATAATTTACTGGACGTCGTAAGCTTTACAGCTTTACTGCACCGAAGAGATTATCAACCAATTGTTTACCCTTTGTAGATAAATTTACTAATGATTTAATGTACAAGTGATTAATTTATTGGAAAATATATAGACAAATGTTTTGCCTTTAATCATTAATTATCTCTTTTTAGCACAAGCTTTAATGACTCATTTTTGTTTGGGTTTTCTCGAATTTTAGCTTTATATTGTTTTATTTTTATGAGTAAGTCCAGCTTATCAGCAAAATGTTCATGCCTTTGAACCCCGAAATATGTACTTATAGTATTCAAACAAATCACGACACAAGTTCAACTTGGTGTACTAGAAAAAGGAGTAATATATAGTTTTAAACTTGCATGTATTTAACATGAGTCACTTTTTCAAAAGTTTGTTCGATAAATATCAAATACGGTTCCAGTTTTCTAAAATCAAATAGAAGACTCAACATGTTCGTGTTGAAATCGCAAGGATTGTTCGAAAAAGGACTTGCGTATAAACGCAGTAATAAGGAGACGGGAAGGAGGACGAGGAGGAGCAGTTCGGTGCACTTGCACTGCTCTTGGCCATGTGGAGGACGACTTAATCAATGGAAGTCGGAATGGAGCCAGCTTGGCGGGCGTGGGCGGGGCTGAAGGGGATTCCCCAATGCCCGTCCGATGCCCGGAGAGAATGCGGAACTATTGATTTTGCAATAAAAGTGCGCGCGCAGAACAGAGATTTGTGCTAAAAAAGCGAGAGCAGAAATCCACACACGATGTGTGACATGTTGTCGACGGTCAGTGAGGACAACCGGAGAACGGAGAGCTGAGCACTGAGAGCCAGAGTGCCAAGCCGAAGCCGAATGCAGTCGTCGCTAATCCAGAGCAGAAGCCTTGGGCCCCAGTCACGAGCCAGCTGCCAGTTACTCGAAAAGGGAAAAACTAATTGCCACGAAAAATACTAGTACTTCTTAAAAATTGTAACAAAAATAATTCAGCAGAAAATAACTAAACGAAAAAGTAGCCACGAATTGCTCGATTCGAGTTCGGAGTCGTGGCCACAGGAGAAAGATTCTAAAGAAGGGATTCCGCCCAGCAGAAGCAGCAGCAGAACCAGCAGAGCACGTGATGCAACGTCGGAGTGCCGTATGGGCCAGTTGTGATTAAAGTGAATTTGTGTTGGGGTCATCCAGCTAGTAGCTAGCCCAAAAATCGATAGGGTCGCCTCCAGAAAACGTGTCGTCCTCCAGCAGCAGCTGGGAAACGTGCGCACAGCCAGCGAAGAAAGTCAGTCCAGCGAAAGTCGGAGGAAAATCTCAACCTACGCAGGGTTATATAACACACAGCGCGAACCGCCCACGCAATTTTCTGTATTTTTTTTTTTGTTGTTCTACCACTTATTCCTGCAACTAAATCGATAGACCAAAACAGTACCGACATGATGATGATGACGATGACGAGCTCCTAATTGGATTGCACGCGAGGGATTAACCACTGGGCTTGGGCTTAAGCGAAGGAGAAGAGTGAGAGAACCGAAGGAGCAGCAGCACTTGGGAGCGTAGTAGCGTAAATCCCCACAAGACCTTGGGCCATGGGCAAGAAGAAGGTGCCCAGCGAGGAGCTGATTGTCCCACCGCAGGACACACGCATCTGTGGCACCATCTGCATCTGTCAGATGACCCTGGTGCTCAGCTCGGTGGCGCTCGTCTACCTCACCGTTGCCATCTATATGCCGTCCACGCGGGCATTCAAGAGCGGCATCGATCCCACGCCGGTCATGTGCACCACGACGCGAGCGGTAAACAAGGATAACTGCGAGTGGGGCAGCTGTGGAGAGTGGTGTCTGAGCAAGACCTCCGGTGCCTGCATCCAGATCTATGTGAATCTCCGCAGCAATGGCAGCAATCTCATCTTCCAGAACTGCACCAATTCGGCGAACAAGACGTGCTACGGCATCGACCAGGATCGGGCGGATAAGGCCCGTTGCATCAACGATGAGTGCAAGAATCTCACCGGCACCTTTAACTGCACCGCCGGTCAGTGCCTCAATATCACCGATGCCTTCGAATGCGTCTTCCACAACAGCGATGCGCCGGTGAAGTGTAGCGGTCGACGGGGAAAGATCAACTGCATGGACATCAGTGGGTTATTCTCGTGTAGTCGTGGCACTTGCCGGAAGATCCGGACACCATACAACTGCGACCGGCGGTGCGTGGATATTCCGACTAGGAACAAGAACGTGGTGGTGCTCAGCGGGGACAAGGTCTATTTGTCGCAATGCCAAAATGCCATCAATGCCGAAACTCTCGAGGAGGTGTGGAACGAATCCAATGACAACGTGGCCATGACCTCTTGCTACTTCATTAAGAACACCTCAGATCGGGTGGATGCAGTGGACTGCATCAATGGCTCCACGCTGGAGCACAACATGCTCAGTGATCTGACCAACTTCACATATCTGAGCCACTTGCATGTGTCAGTGGCTACGCCAGTGCCGGAGATTGCTCCGCCAGACGTCGATCTGACCATTTCCAATGAGTCCAAGTTGATGATAAATCTGGAGGGATGTGTAAACACTCTGATGGATGAGTGCAAGGAGTTCCTGAAGGACTTTGGACGCGATGGCAGCGATCACAATGCCAGGGCTCGCTTCCCTTGCTTCTACTCGCCGGGCAAGAAGGACGTTGTGGTGGCCCGCTTCGATCTGGAGGTCACCTATCGCCAGTTTGTCTTCGCCTCGGTGGTGCCGTCCGTCTTATTTGTAGTCTCCTGCTCCGTGCTGCTTCTCTGTCAGCGCACAGTCTATGTGGGCGACGATGCCAAGATGCGTTTCAAAGGATGTGTGGACACAGAGACCATTCTTAACAAGAACAATGTGGGCGCACCCACCAATGGCGACATGGGCGGGGGCGGCGGCGACGAGGTTATGGCCCTATGAGATCCGTCACGTAAGCTTCAGATTTAATTCCCCCCATGGATTGGGTCTATAATCGATTTTCTACTGACTTTGTGTTACAGTCCTTGCCATAGCCCACATGTGAGAGGTGTCCACCAAGTGTCTCTAGGTCTCTGGAGTCTAAAATCTAGAATCAATAAACTCAAAATCGATGGCAAAAGATTATATAGAAATGGGTCTCTGGAGCTCTATATATTATCTATTTATCTAGAGCAGTTCCCACAGAATTAAAATTTATAGTTTAGATCAAAAAATACTTAAGACAACTCAATAAATCTCCTTTTTTAGCTAGCTTAGGACCATATAGGCCCCCTTAGATAAGGATAATAAGTAGTCCTCCTGTTATATATTAAAACTCCTTAGTTTTTATCTATTCTTAACATATACCTTTGCAGGGTATAATATTATTATCAGAAGCTTGTAACTTTTAAAGGATCAGAATTAACAGCCAAATCTACCTAGCCATGTTTGGGCAAAAAATAAATTTTTAAAATTGGTCTCAAAATTTGAAAAAACGATAAGGGGTTACATCATTAAAATTGCCAAAATTCGGCAAAAAATCGAATTTTTTATATTTAAAAACGAAGTATGCAGATTTGTTAGCGCTCTAAAAATGAGCACAGAACAGCTTTCCGAATTGAAATTAAGGCATTTTTGGCTTAATTATGATGTTTGAAAACACTGATTAACTAAAAAAAATTGCCTGTTTTTATACCACTTTTCAGGAAATTTTAATTTTAGTCAGATGCTTTAACAGCATCAACAAACGCAGTATGCAGATTTGTTAGCGCTTTAAAAGTAAGCACAGAACAGCTTTCCGAATTGAAATTTATAAATTTTTGGCTTAATTATGATGTTCGGAAAACACTGTTTAACTGAAAAAATTGCCTGTTTTTATTCCATTTTGCAGGGTATTGGTATAAATCAGAAGCTTATAACTCAATGAAGGAATCATTTCCGACCCTATTAATCATATATATTCTTGATCAGAATGAAGAGCTGAATCGATCTAGCCATGTTCGGGCAAAAAATAAATTTTTAAAATTGGTCTCAAAATTTGAAAAAACTATAAGGGGTTACATCATTAAAATTGTCAAAATTCGGCAAAATATCGATTTTTATTTTTTAAATTTTAAAATGCAGTATGCAGTTTTGTTGGCCTAATAAAAACTAGCATGGGAAAGCTTTCCGAATTAAAATTGCTGCATTTTTGGCTTAGTTATAAGTATTTGAAACTTCGAGTTTTTGAAAAACTTGTCATAAAAATATGTAATTAAATAATGCGAATATTTCAAGCTTAGTTATGTTCGATTTCCGATTCTATTTTAAAATTCAATACCAAACTGCAAAGATATGTAAACCTCGGCTTCCCGAAGTTAGTTTCCTTTCTTGTTTTAAATATAAAATATTTCATAGGCTCCCAAATAGCTATGGATTAAAAATCTAGTACAATCCCTATACTTTTTTACTTATTTTCCCCAGAATAAATCCTCATGATATACCCAAAACTAATATATAATTCAAAATATTATTTCAGGCATTCCTCTGCTCCAAGAAGACAGTCCGACACACCAGGCGGGAGTCTTCGCTTTGCAATAATTGGAGTTTGGGCACAAGCTGAAGTCAGAAACACAATCTTGAAATTCTTTGTAATCCTTCCATCGAACTTGTAACACATACACAGACACACAGAGACACGGAGACACGGACCACACCTCAGAGGCTTTGCAAGGACACTCCTGAGCTAACCAATATAACTGAAACTGAAACCGAAACCGAAACCCGTACACATGCGAGGCGCTTGAAATTCTCAAGATACGACGATCGAGAGATCTGAAGACAATATTAGTATAATTTTCGACCTTATTTTGTGGAAAAGAACTGTAGGCTAGCTAGAGGAGACGGGGTGAGATTTTCAGGGGCGTCGGGAATGTTTATATATATTTAAAAAACAAAAAGAATTGTTGCTATTATGGAACTTAGTTTTATCTAGGGAATAAACGCACAACAAACCCACACCCACATGCACGGCACATGACACTCACACACACTGAGATACAGCCACATACACATACGACACCACAGAAGCTGAAAAGGATATATAGAAGAAGGATATATCTATATATAGTCAAGGGAGCGAGGGCAGAGAAATTCAAAAATGGCTTAGAGAGGGATGCGTGATCAAAAAAACCTACAAGAAAGCAGAAGTACTACTTGAAGAAGTCAAAAGAAGCAAAAAGTTAACCTTCGAACAAAAGGAATAAGCATTAATTTAGATAACTCTAATCAATATACAAGAGACCCGCAGCGGGTTTGAAAACATAAACTATTAAAAAAAAGAAACCACAAATAGTTTAAAAAGAAACAAATAAGAAAACGTAAGAATAAACATTTTCCATTTTCGGCTCTACAAATAAGGCAAAACTGGACAGAAGAAGCTACAAGTTAGAAGTGTAAGTTTAGGTAATCCCCAGAAGAAGGCAAGAGACCGGAAGTGACAGAGAGGACAGAGGAAGTGGAAGAAGGCAGCGAGTGTTAGCGGTGTTCATTTTAAAAGGCTTTTACCGATCCAACTACAATCTAAGCACCACCACACACAAAACACAAAACACACAAGAACAAAACTGAAAAAAACTTCGCCATGAAGAAGAGCTCCACGCTAACCACAACCACGTCGGTGCCGGCGAGTCCAACGCTCTCGGCTCAGACGCTCTCCGCTAGCAAGATCAGTCTGAATAGCAGCCGCTGTGGCTCGGCGACGGGCTCGCAATGCGGTGGCTCCGCCTCCGGTGGATCGATGCGATCCGCCTGCCAGTCGCCGGTGCGGCCAGGAAGCGGTTGCGTGGACGCCATCAAGGCCAAGCGCGAGGAGATCGAGATGGAAACGCTGCTCGAGAAGGCAAAGTTCTATACCTCCGTGTGCCTTGGTAGGTCTTACTATTACCATTTTTATATACATAATCCCTGATCTAATTGGGTGTTGCATTCCAGGTACGACTGCCATTTTGTCGGTGTTCACATTCCTCTTCCTGATACCCTTCGTCGTGGATCCCGCCATCTCAACGATCATTGCCGATTATGATCCAGTGCCGGTGACCTGCATCGTCATTGATCACATCTATGCGGAGGGGATCAAGAACTGCAGCTGGAGCTCCTGCCGCGAGGGCTGCACCTCATCACTCACCAAGTAAAGTCGATTTTTGTTTGAATTTAAAGTATATATTGAATATATATTCTTGTACGACAGGTGCCATCAGTTGTTTGTCAACTACACGCGCATCCCGTTCAGCGATTGGGAGCGTAATCCTCGGGACCTGGACACGGTCAACTGGGATGTGAGCTACACCAAGTTTCTGATCAATTCGGAAGGCTGTGGCTATCCCCCAACGACCAACTGCAGTGTCTTTGCCAGGCAATATGGGTGAGTAGATGCTAGCCCCAAGGATAATCAAGTATAACCTCTAACGAATTGATTATCCATATAGATTCTCTCACATCGGAGAACCATTCCCGTGCTACTACAGCAGGGCGTATCCAGAGGTGGTCATTGGAAGGTATTCGTGGGAGAACAACCTATACCATTTGATCCTCTCGCTGATCATACCGAACGTGCTCTTCGCCATCTCGATCGGGGTGCTAAGCTATTGGTACTGTCCCTGCTGCGAGAAGGCATGCAACAAATCCTCGCGGGTCTATGCCGAGAAGTTCCCGACCAAGGAAGAGTGAGTGCCACCATTCTCAGCATCTCTGTCCAGCATCTTGTTCTCATCATCTCTCGTTTTTTGGCAAATTAATAACTCCCCCGTATTCCCCGTAACCGTATCTTGTATATTGTAGTAGACACTCATCCCCTCTCAGAATCATTGTGCCTTGTATATGAAGAAATTGTTGAAAAACTCGAAATCAGAATACCAAAAATTGATTGTCTTGTCATGCTGTTATCTCCTTTGAACGTAACTAATCCTTATTTGTTATCCCTTAGGATATACATACATATATTGGCCTGATCCATAAGTTGAATGTAAACCTTTATTTTGTTTCCACATCAAGCCCAAGCCTTTATCTCATCCGGCTCCTTATGTTCATTTCTCTCTTTACTACCTCTATATATTACTTTCAGGATCGTTAACTGCATGAAATGTAACACGGAAAAGTCGTTGTCCTTGAATGTATTTTGAAAAATGATCTAATCAGTGAGAGAACTAAAAACCAAACAGAAAACTATGTATTGTGATAGGTTAAGTGCGGTCTATTTCTTTTTGTAATTACTCCCTTGATCTGTTTCGATCTGGAAAACTTTGCACCAGCACTTGCATCTCGATAAAAGCTAAATCAAGTTACTCTGAAGTGTCCTTAGCAATACCTGCCTTTCTTAATATGTACTCTCAAATCGTAATCGTAGAGATAAATCCGCACCTCCCCCAGGATGTACTCTAACGCACAAGAATTTCGTATTCAATATACAACACACCTTCACTTGAAAATACCAAAATTTAAAAAAGAAAAACAATCAAAATCACCCAAGAATATAATTAAAATATTTTAGAACTTAATTCCAAGTCTAGAGATTAGATTATCTGAGGTTTCTTTCCCAGTTTACATTGATTAGCTGATAGCATTTTCCCATTTTCGCTGAATATAAAAACTATAATTAATCAAAACCATATCGAATATTTAAATATTTCTCCATTTAAACCGACTTATCTTTAGAAATTGCTTTAGAAAATGTTCTTTGCATGCTTATTAGTTTATGTTCTAGAATGGCATGATGTCTTTTTTTTAACTCCCAATCTAAATGGCTTTTATATAGCAAACATATAGTATATATCGCTTACAAATAGAATTGATTAAGAACTATGTTCCAATCGAATTCCAATTCTAGCAAACTTCTGTGTCACAGTGACGAAGATGATGAAATGGAATACTAGCAAAAAATTAATATTAGTTAAAACCCCAAAAACAAATAGCAAATTCAACTTTGTAGTCTGTACCAAACACACACAAAAACACAACATAGCTTATCTAGATATATATACGATATATATAATATAGAAATTCCATTCGCCATTTGCCATCTCACATCGATATCGGACGATAGGATTAATTCCAAGCGGAGCATCGTCGAAGGATAACACTAAACTTTTTCTCTCAGCCAGATTTATTCGAAATTTTGCGCTCAATGAACAACAACCAAATTTGTGAACATATATAAAGAAAAACTTTGCCATCATATATTGTTAGAAACTTTGGTTTGGAATACTATACACAAACTTTGGCTTGACCCTTTTGGCTTTTGAAGGCGCGGCAAAAACGATGCTCCGCTACATCTCGACTTTCCACAAAGAAAAATACCAAATACCAATTAAAAGAATCGCTTGTTTTCAACAAATTGTGATAGTAGTCATAAAAATATTAATTAAATTCGTAAAACAAAAAACTAACTAAAAGACAAACGGAAAGCGATTACCAAAACAAAAGAATAAAAATTAAAGACAAACCAATCAAACAATTGTATAGAACCGAATTCTCATACGAATACCTAGTCCTGGAATATTCATAGAAGCTGGGCGGGATTATGGATATGGAATACAAAAAAAGAAAGATAGATTTACCATAAATACTCAAAACAGAAATCCATAATGGGTATAAGCAGCGGAACCAAAAAATAAATCACACTCAACTCAAACTCCACACACATACTCACTGTCGACATTTTTGAAATAGTTTTAAAACAAAATCTTATATGTAAAAAAAAGAAAACCAAAACCAAATCAACAAACATCTAACGGATTATAACAATATATAATATAGATATAAAAACATATACATATAGCTTAGCAGAACCGATATAACGCACGTTGCTTATGAGAATTTTTAAATCATACAAACCAAACCGAAGATGAACAAAACAAAAAAACAAACAAACAATTTGAATGCAAAACGATTAAAATTTTTACTTAACGTGTCTTTATCAATAAACAAATTAAACCAGCTAACGGCCTATTTAATAAACAAAAGAAAAAAAAAGAAATGAAACCAAAACAAATGTGGAGAAATGCTAAACCAAAGAGATGTTTTCTTTTTTCGAAATTTATATGGGCAGAAGAGAGAGGAACGAGAAATTGGGTTAGAGTTCCTCTCCAGGCGCAGGCGTGCTGACATAGGATCTGGAACCATTTGTTGAGCTAGCTCCACACCATCCACATTCACATCCATCCCTGTCCCAGTCCCCATTCCAGTAGTCAAGGGTTTGTTTTGGCTTGGGCTTGGGAAACAACTTTCACTTTCTCAGCAGGCAGCAAAATATAAAAAAAAGTAAGAGTGCGCAGAGTGTCCTTTGGCAGCCCTGGCAACCCGGGACTCAGTCAGGACCCAGTTGCTGTCGGGAGCGGACGTGGTTGGCCTCCTTTTTTCCAGCACGAAAAGCAGGAAAGGAAAAGCAGTATAAAAACGCCAAGACGACGTCCCAGTTCCTTATCCTACTCCATTCCCAATCCTTCTCGCTGCTCCATTTTCAGCAATTAAAAAGTTAAAATATATATAGAGAAGGCTAACTAATATAGAGCAACACCCACCTCAAACAAACAAACAAACCGTGAAGCAAACAAACAACCACCTATATTCCACCACCCAATCGAAGCCACCACCCACCCATACTGTCCAGGACAGAAATCACCTTGAAAACGGCATAGACAATCGGTGGAGAGGAGCCCGTGCTTACACCAAATCAACAAGTCGTAAATTAGCTGTGAATTAGACCCAACCCTCAAGGAATCACTACCAGGATACGAGAATGGCGCGGCGCAAGGACAAGCCCCGTTTGATACCCGAACAGGACAAGCGCATCTGTCGCGCCATCTGCCTCTGCCAGCTTACCATGGTGCTGTCCTGCGTGTCCATCGTTTACCTGAGCGTGGCCATCTACTCGCCCTCCCTCAAGTGGGTATATACCTGCCTGGCTTCCCTGGCTATTTTAATAATAAATTTATATATAGAAACCATAAATAATAATCCCTTTTTTCTAGGGCCTTCAAATCGGGCTTCGAGCACGACCCGGTCATGTGCCAGACGGTGGATCGCCAGATGCCCAACAACTGTCCGTGGGCCTCCTGCGGTGAGTGGTGTTTGACCAGGACCAGTGGCTTCTGCCCCCAGATGCACTCGGTGGTGCGAAGGAATGGCACGGATATTCAGCTGAACAACTGTACAAGGGTCACCAATACATCCTGTGCTCAGGTGAGCTTCTAACATTGTCCTGGTGGGGTATTTAAAGAAACTAAGGTGGGGTTACCAAAGTTTAAGTTAAGCCTTAGGCAAAGAAGGTTTTCAATCAAAGGTATTTCCTGAGTAAACTTAACTTCCGGTTTATAGTTTCCTTCTCAAAGCCAAAACTCTTTTAAAATCTTTTACATGGTCACTGTAGTAGTCATCGTTTTATTTTTGTCAAGTCCTTAAAAGACCACCTTAGCCCACACAACACCAAACCGTAGTAAGCACCCACAATTGAAGACGTCATCGTCTTGGGCATCTCCCATGCCACCTCTTACATGACATGACTCATCCCGAAAACCCACTTGTGGCCACTAATGGCTGGGCGAATGAGGCACGTCAAGGAGAGCTCTTTATGGAGAGTTGGCGCCATGCGGCTTTAACGATCAATCGAATAACCATTATCCTTTGTTCCCTCGCCCTTTGTGCAGATTGACATGAGTCGCCTGAACAAGTTTAACTGCAACAATGGCACCGCCTGCAATAACATTCGCGGGGTCTTCAATTGCTCCAATGGTAAGACGGTACTCCTTACTCTCTTGGACTTCAATTAAAATTTATTTACGTATTTTTCAGGTCATTGCAAGAATATGTCCGAGTTCTTTTTGTGCCACCACAAGGCCGATGGGCACACGATCAATTCGCAGAAGGACAATACCAAGCTGAATGGGTTCTTTGAGTGCCACGGTGTGCTTTGCACCAAAATCAAAAAGCCCTTCAATTGCGATCGTTATTGCTCCAAGATAACCACTGCGAATGTTAACACCTTGATCATGCATGTAAGTTATCAGTCCGGTTTTAGAAGAATCATATATCTGACTCTGAATCCCTTTCAGGAGGACAACGTCATTGCTGCCGATTGTGAGAATGCAGTGGCCTTCAACCAGGCCCGCGGATCCGAGCATGGTGTGCGCATCGAACCCACCGAGTTCTGGAAGGAGGACGACGGCAACCTGTTGACCAACTGTGCCACCGTCACCCGCGAGTCGGACAACCGCATCACGTGAGTGGACTCCTCTTAATCAAGATTGCTAATTAATTTGGTTCCCCGTAACAGTGCCACGGATTGCCTGAACGGAACCCTGCTGGAGCACGACACCCTGCCCGCTCCCTTTATGAACTTCACCCAGTTCTGGGCAATCTATGAGAACAGCACACGGTCGGTGGACCCCGAGCAGAGATATTTGCCCAACCAGGCCAACCTTACCATTTATCCCTGGAAGAAATTGTTCATCAACCTGGAGGGCTGTGTAAATACGCTTCGCGGCGAGTGCAAGGACTTTGTGGCTCGCTATGGCAACGATGGCGACAACAATACGGCCCAGTCACGCTATCAGTGCTACTACAACAAGGTATCCCATTAATATTCCAGTTCCTGGGGCATAGGTATCAGTTTACTTGAGCTATATCCATTTCCTTGTACAGGATCCGAATGTGGAGTTTGTGGTGGCACGCTACGACCTGGATAAGGTTTACAGGGAGCTCCTGGTATCGCTAATAGTGCCCATTGTTCTGTTTGTGGTCTCCTCCATTTCACTGTGCATCATAACCAAGTCCGTCAAGGTGAGTGTTACTATTCCTTGCCTTAACACTTTCGATTTTAATGAATTTTATACAAATTCCAGGTGGGTGACGATGCCAAGATGCGTTGCGTGTGTGCCGGCGATGACTCGGACAACGATGAGGTTTTCGGACACGGATTGGCCAGCAACAAGCCACAAGACCAAATGTACGACACGGACGACGATGTTGTGTGTGACCTAGAGCACCAGGCTGTTGGCGGTCAAGAGCTCTCGGACCACGCACAGCCGCTGGATAGCCACGATATGATTGGTAGCACCAAATCGCTTATACCGCTCAGTCCAGCCGGAGATTCCGGTACCACTGAGCAGAACTTTGACCAGGATCAGGACCAGGAGAAGGCAACCACCTGCGATGTGCCCGAGAAGCCGCTGGTCATACTTTAAGCGAACAGCGAGGATGGATTCCACTGAGGACCAGCATCAAACTTTATGGACCTGCGACCATTGTACAAGGGGAACTGAATTTAAATTCTACTCAGCGCATTTATACAACGTTTACACATCAGAGATATGGGACGGATCTTAACTTTTCTTGCTTAAATAGGGATAATTACACATATCCCCCCGGCGGACAACGAGACAACTCCCAAGAGCTTTATATAGAAGAAGAACCAAAGACGAGAATCCCCCATCTACAACAGTTCCAGCAGATGCGCCTTAGACGATTTGCATTTATATAGCGTATATATACCAACTGACATCTGCGGAACCAGAAACCAAATACCCAAAGGAAACGATACCAGGACAGACCAAGGAAGCTAATGTTCTCTAGAAATAGGATTCACAGGCATCCGCGACTCGCCTTAACTCTTGACTTTGTAGCTATGCAATATTCAACATTTTCTTAACTACTCTAACCGAAAAAGGTGGATGAGCAGTACCTATCTGATATATACTTATATATTATCGTATTATAGCAAATAATAAAACACCATTAAAAACTCTCTATACTTACCTTGAGCTCCTCTTGGCGGCGAAAGGCCTCGGCCATCATCTGGCGTCGTATTGGTTCTGAAATCGGAGCCTCGCGTGCTGGTGGTCCTTCTCCCAATTGATTAAGCTTCACCAACACCTGGATAAAGATTTAGTTAAAACAGGACTCATCTGAGGTAGTTATTAACTCACCTTGGTCTTGTCGTTGTTTCCCAAATAGTCCTTCAGGAGTTTCCCTGTCAAAATCTGCCGTCCAGCAAACCAGAGCTGTGCCTTTGAGGGCTCAATTACCTCCTTGGAGGCTTGGGTGCCTGATAGATCCTCGGTGTTGGTGAACTCCATGCGAATGGTATCGTGTGGTGGCAACTGCATAGGATAAACAATGGTTACGGCTCCACGTAATAGATTTATGGCCTCCTCTATCATTTTGAGGGTCAAATATTTCGAGGATTTGGCCAGTTTCTAAAGGGAAATAAAGTTTATTAAATGTACCAAGGTAAATCCCCTCAATTAGTATATAACCCTATGGCTTACCCGATCTATCATAGCCTTGGCATCGGTAATGGCACCTGCTAGAACCTTTTGCATAGCCTCCGACGGCTGCTGGCCGTTGCGACGTAACAATGGATCCTTGTTGAAGGTGAACCCGCCAGATGGTATGCACTTATCGGCCCAAACATCCTTAAGCTTCAGCTCCTCGATCTGGTCCTCGTTCAGGCCAATCATTTCGCTTGGCAGCATGGTGCCGTGCTCGGCCAGCTCCTCAATTTCCATGCAGATGCGTTGAATCTTCTGCTGACCGTTGTGGATGGCCACCAAATCGCGGATTACCGTATCCGTCTGCTCATTGATGCTCGTCTCGAACAGGAAGAGGGTCTCGTCGCCACGTTTCACTTGGAGGAGCACCATTTCGATAGATATATATTGTGGAATAGTAAACTCTAGACTGGAGATCAAGTGGGATGACAATTTGTAATTGTCAGAAAAAGCCGACAAACAAACAACTTGGTTGCTTGGCTACCAAGTTGCCAGGCATCGGTTGGAGGCGGGAGACTGGGGTATGTTTTTTTATGAAACATCTAACTGCACGTTTATTTTTTCTATAATTTGTGTCGTGAGGTCGAGTTATTGCACAATGCGTTCACTTTTTTTATCAAAGTCTGCTCTTACAAAGCTCCTCCAGCTACAATAAATACTATCCTAACTTACAATAAACACCTGCATCCTTCCTGGGTTATCATACTTTCTTCCTGCTTTTGGTTTTGGTTGGTGGTTCGGTGTGCTAAAGTACAAGTAGCCTAGGGGTAATAGTTTGCACGTATGTACAGGGAAGCTATCGCGGGGTTGCTAGCCTCTGGCCGGTCAAGTCTGTTGCGATCAATTGAGGAGGGAGGGACAACCGCCATCAGGAAGATGCACCATTCGTTTGCAGCCCCCAGCGATGTGCGTTTGAATTAACTAGTAGGTTGAGCCGCGTCACTAACCTGCTTCTGTGAAGCTTCCAGACTGGTGGGGTTACCTCAGCACGCGCCGGAAGTTCTCCATCTCGTATATACTGTTGGATAATCTGCAAACAAAAAAAGAGGGGTTAATTCCAATATTCAATCTCATCATAGAACGTGGAAAGCCTTACCTTCCGAAGGCATTAAAGAGCGCTACAATTTCCGTACGCGACAGTCTGAAAATGGGATCCGCCTCAATGTGCGGCCTATCCCACAGGCCGCTCTCTGTGGCCAGGTTGAGCTTCTCTGAGTACAAGATCTTTAGAGCAGTACCCAGACCCTGGGTTTGCAGCTTCCCCCACAACTTGCACTTGTCGCAGCCCACGCAACTCATGATTCGCGATATATTCCGGAACTTTTCCTTGTAGTCGTGCTTGAACTTAATGGAGGCTATGCCGCTGCTAAAGAGAGCATTCTCATCGAAGTGGGATTGGAAGTTTCTACGAAAGAGATATCCACGTTAAAGTGTTTCTACAAAGACCGATAAACTTATACTCACTCGACAACAGCCAGCAGATCGTTAATGGCCATCTTCACTTCGTCATCCTCCTCGGCTATTCCCGTGTAGTAATCTTCGCGTCGCAGATAGGGTGCAGCCTTGGCCAAGGCGCGTAGCTCCACCAGGTAAATGAAGTAGAGATTGCGCAGCCAGTGCGGACCCTCGCCTCCCGTTGTCTCAGGACTGAATCGCCGCTTAAACTCCTTGGCATTGGGGCCCCAGATGCCCTGTGGATCAAGAAAGTCCTTCGTCTCGGACAGCAGATACTTGGAGCACAGATGAATGTTGATGCTGGAGTGAAGCCCAGAGATGATGCGGTAGAAGGCTCGCTGCTCCAAGCACACGTCCCGCAGGTCCAAGTGGGGTACGTAGCTAGAGAACTTGTTTGCGGTCTCGTTGTTGCCACCGAAGCAGTTCTCCAGATAGATGCTCTTCCAGATGCGGTGCGCCGACTCTCCCCTATAGCCGGTATACCTTTCTGGATTTAGAAGCAGATCCACATACTGGCTGCCCTCTTCATGATCGTCCACAATGCAAAAGTCCTCCTCCGCCTCGTCGTGCTTTGCCCATAGCTCGAACTCTCGGTGAGCCTGGTCACTGATGCTCGTGTCCAGGAAGCCCAAGGCACTGTCAAAGTCTTCCACCTCCGAACAGGCTCCGCCCTCCCGCTGCGCCTCTCGGGTGTACTGTAACAATAAAAACGATGAGGAAGTCAGTAAGTTAAGTAAGTAAACCAAGCAGCTGTGCAAATACAGGCGAGTGGCAATTGTAAGTCAGTCATTCATTTCATTCAGGGAACTTGTATAAATAATAATTTATATAACATGTTGGTGAGCAAATAGGGTGTTAAGAAAGGCTACGTTTTCTTTTTTAAATGTTGTTTCGCTTAGGGAACAAATAATTATGATAAAAATAATTGGAATAAGCCTTGACTGCAAACCCCAACATATTTTTTTGTTGGTATGCTCGTTAAATTAAAAGATAATTCTCTTAATTACCAACAATCAGGCCAAATGGGGGCGTCAATACCCATTATTGGAAGATAATAAAACCACGTCAGCAGTGCAAAACTTCCAAATCAAAGGCCACGTTCGTAAGCTCGCTACCTGCCTGCACACGCTCAATGAGAGATTACAGATGTGCTTCAATATTATTAAGGGAGCCAGCCAAAAAAATCATCGATGGCGATGCGAATATAAAAATAAATCAGTCGGAAACCCATTGAGCGTTCAGGTAGATAGTGGGAGTATCTCTGATAAGCGACGGAGTGTTGTGACACCACTCTGGTTGGGAGTTCTTACCTTAAAAGCAGCGGACTTTTCCTTTTGCTCGCCTTTTTCCTTAATGCCCTGCGGTATGGCCTGCTCCTCACAGTTCTCCACCTGACAGAAACGGATTGCACATCGACTGTCGTCCGGCCAGAAGGGGCAGTCCTGCTTCAGGTTCACCTTGTAGAAGCGAAAGAAGTTCTTTACGAGCAGACTCTGTAGCCGGGGATAAATCTTCATGTTGTTAAAGTGATCTACAGTGTCCACATCGCAGCTGCAGTCGTTTATAGATCCCTCCAACTGCAGGGAAAATATATAAATAAATATAATACAGTGATGGTTGGGGAAATATGTAAATAATACCATTATGGGAAGTACATTATTTTATATATATATTTTCCAACTTGAAATTCTATATAACTTAAAACAGTTCCCAGAACACATTAACTCTAGTTCAGAGGATGGTGATCTGATGACTCATAATTCCCAATAATGGTGTAATTAAACCTTAGATTTATTAAATCTTACCTCACAGAAGCAATTCTTGCTGGTCTCCGCCTCGTCGAGGGCCGCAAAGTAACCGCCCGTGGAGTCCGTCCTGTAGAGCAGCAAGATGATAGCCACCAGGCCGAAGGCCCACAGATTCCTCTGCACTGAGCTTCCTGTCATTTTGTTGCCTTTCTTCGAATGTGATGCTATTCAGTTGCCTGAGGCTGTTGTCGGCCCTCTCCGATGTGGATGTTATTGTTGTTTTGCTGGTGCTTGATGTTTTGATGTTGCGAGCGGTGCTCGATTCACTTGCTTCGCCGTTCGCCGACGCAGTGCATCTGAACTGGCGAATGTTGTGGACTTGTACCTGTGATTCGCACTTGCCGATTTCACGAGTTTAGCGAGTATTTGCGTTCTGAAGCAGCAGCATTGTATTGTTTTACTTTCGATTCATGATTTTGGACACGTACCTTGGCATTGGTGTGACCGCACACGAGGGATTGCTAAACGCACTAAAAAATACCACTGGCCGCGTTCAACAGCACAGTCCGGCCATGATTCGCTGTCACTGTTTACAGTACGGTAAAATCTTAATTACTAATCTATCATATGCATAAAATAAATATAAAACTGTTTGAATTATTATTTAAAATACCACGCAATTTATGTACAATCATTTCACCAGTTTTTAAAGAGACGCACGAGGTTTTTTTTATGCAGTAGCAATCTCCTTCGCAGTCACTGGATATCGTTGAGTTATCGTAAGTGCTGCCAGATCAACAGAAATTTCTTGAAAAGTGGCCGTTACTTTTTCGTTTCCGAATTTTGGTTTCATACATTTTTTATTTCTTTTAAGCTGTTTAAATTCATTAAAATTTTAATTTGTTTACAATCTGCACGAATTTGGAAAATGTGTACTGTGCTTTATTTCTGTTTAAGGTCTGTATCATTGTAGTATTATCAATCATTGTCAAAACTTGCACTAAATAACAATTCATAAACTCGCCCAGTTAAATAACATAATATTATAAAACATGCAGAGCTCAAATATTTCTTCCGAGAACTCCAATAATAATCAAAACTTAGAAATACCAACACCCACGACCAGTTCAATAAATTTGAATATACCGCCATTCGTGGCGCCCCGCTTGGATGATGTTCCTATATTCGGTGGAGGAGTATCTACATCTTCAGGACCTCGATCTTTTCCCTTCCAGCTGAGATCCAGCAGGACATTCGCCACAGGCCGAGTTAATCGACGGAGAAAGTATAAAGTAAAACTAAACTTGAGTAGGCGAATCCTGGTTCTCAGCAACGAAGCGCGAAGAAATTTGCTGACGGCCATAGCAGATGTGTTGCAGATCGAAAATTCGCAATCGGAGACTTCAAATGGGATCCAAGCCGATCGAATGTCATACAACATTGAACTTAGTATGCCCAACAACGATGATTCAAGTCAATATGCGCGAGAGGAATTTTATACCAATTATCCAGGTAATAATTAAAATTTTAATCGTTCGTTAAATAATAATTAAAAATATAATAATTAATAACTTTGCAGATTTAAATAATACGTTGGATGGCAACAGAGAAAATAATATACCTGGGAGCCTGTCGTCTTTATTTAATGTTTTTCATAACCTTTTCCGTCGCAATTCCTCAACAGAAAATCAACGATAATATTTAAAAGAAGTTATATTAATGAATGATAAAACCGAACTGGGATAATAGATATGAAGAATTACATTATTTATATAATTAAAAAAAAAAAATTATTATGTTAAAAGCAAGATACAAAATACAATGACACATAAGGAAGATGGAACGACGAGAGAAAAAAAGGTATGTCTATCAAGTTCTTATATACATATCTTTACTAATTATACCTATAGATATATAAAAAATGAAGAATATGATAAGAACCATACATATATGAAGATGGTATTAAAATAAATATTAACAAAATTAAAGTTTATTCCCCATTTTTCAAGATTTTTTAAAATTTGCATTCATGTTAACATCTAAAAGGAAATATTTCTCCGAATATAATCTTTAAATTGTATTATTAATGAAATCCAAATAAAAATGTTCATTATCCGAAGAATATCTTCTTAATAATCTAGTTTTATTGGTTTGTAAGTTTAACTTTTAAAAAACATGCTACCCATATTTCCCAGGAAATACGAGAATGCCAATATGAGTATGACTTCTGTTGATAATATTTAAGATAACATTGAATCGTCAATCAATTGACTGATAAATGTGAATATGGTTATTGGTTTCTCTTCAGCAATATTGATGCTGTTAATTAATTACCTCAAATATTGATTTCGTCTATTCTTTGGCGCTGAATGCATCTTTTGTTCCCATGACAAACCCCTTTGCTTCGAAAGAGTGCACCCCTCGGTATGCAAATTGAGAAAACTCGGTCAGATCTCGGGATTGAATCCTTTCCAGCAACCCAGAATCGTCATCTTACATCACCCTGGGGGGTGAATTGTTCAGGATGCAGGGCACGGCGATGCTGGCAGCTCGATTATTTGGGCATAAATTGTCTAGGGTCTTGACAAAAATAGACTTAAATGGTAGAAATAAATTTTACCGCAAGAACATTTAAGTTCTATGAATTAAATTATAGATTAAATTATTTAAAATTATATGCAAATCGATTTTATGCTTTAAATCGGTGTTTCTAAATCAAAAATTAATTAATTTCAATTCGGAAAGCTGTTCTCTGCTAGTTTTTGTTAGGTTAATAACAAACTCAATTTTGAATTAAAATTTTTGCCAATTTTTGACAATTTTAACGACAATTTTTTAACCCCTTAACTTTTTTTTTAATTTTGAAAAAAATTAAAAAAAAATACTTTTTCACCGGACATGGCTAGATCAATTCGGATGTTTATGCTGATCAAGAATATATATGATTAATAGGGTCGGAAAAGATTCCTTCATTGAGTTATAAGCTTCTGATTTATACCAATACCCTGCAAAATGGTATAAAAACAGGCAATTTTTTTAGTTATACAGAGTTTTCCGAACATCATAATTAAGCCAAAAATGCATAAATTTCAATTCGGAAAGCTGTTCTGTGCTCACTTTTAGAGCGCTAAAAATCTGCATACTGCGTTTTAAAATTTAAAAAATTCGATTTTTTGCCGAATTTTGGCAGTTTTAATGATGTAACCCCTTATCGTTTTTTCAAATTTAAAAAAAAAAATTAAAAAATTTATTTTTCGACCAGACATAACTGAATTGATTCTGCTATTGACGCTGATCAAGAATATATATGATTTATAGGGTCGGAAATGACTCCTTTTGACAAAAAAATATAATACCCTAAAAGGCTATAAAATCCATTTTTCTCCCCAACAAAAACTCTTTCTGTTCCCCACCTGAGCCATCTATATCTTCCTCATTTATATCCTTTCGCTTCCCAAGATTTCAGCCAAAGTTCTCACGGAAAAGTGAAATTACAACAACGGGATGACTTAAGCAAAAAATACAGGACAAAAAAAGATGAACCTCACACAAGCAGCATCAAAAACGGGGAAAAATCATCGAAAAAAATATGTACCGAACGGAGGGAAAGGGTTTAATCATTATAGTTTTTTTTTTTTTCAAATAGGACGATTAAGGCAAAAAAAAACACAGACTCGAACATGTGTGGCCAAAGGACAGGGCGGCGACCCTCGGCATTGTTCGGATTGAAAGGGAATCATCGCGGACTCGGGCGAGCAATTTGCATACGCAGGACGAAGGACGAAGGACAACAAACCACCACCACCGACTCCTTATCTATTTGCCTTCGGTCCTTTTTTGGGCCCAGGTATAAACCGATCGCTCACACACACACACACGTACGGAATGATAAATAATTTTTTTTCCTCTCAATTTTTTTTCTGAAGTTTTTTCACTTTTTTTTACCACTTTCAATTTTTTTTATGCAGCGTCTTATTCAAATTTCTATTCGAGTTGGCCGTGTGAAGTTTTGCCTTGAGAAGATTTTGCCCCGAAACGAAGGATGCGACGGCTGCGTGTCTCTCGGGGAATCGGTTGATCAAGGAGCCTGGGAACATCCGCGAAGGAGGCAAAAGGATTGTCTCCTCGCAATGTTCATTTGCCTAGACATTTGATTATTTTGTAGGAAAAACTTCACAAACAATTGATAGGAAATGGGTGTTGGATTAATTAGTTGGGAACAAAATTAAGGAGTAAATGTTGTTTATATATATGACAAGAAAGTATACCTGATACCTAATCTTTGAGACTTGTAATATGTCCCCTTAAAAATTATTCTTAAATATTTCCTATCACATATAGTATTATATAATAACCCCTTTCTTCTACTTATGCAAAATTGAAGCACCGCAAATCCTCTACTTAAAGGCTTAGGCAATCCCTTGCAGACCCTATGCAAATGCACTTAGTTGCTCATTAGATTCGCGCACTCGTAATTGCATTTTGCAATGTTTTGGCAACAGGACAACGTCAACAGCTCCTCGGGCAATAGGATATGGAAATCAAGGGTGCAAATTAGCATATGTAACAAGATGATTTCGCAGAAATATATGCAAGGCATGCCACTTGAGATTTGCATAGGTAAGCCGCCCAAAGGGTGCACAATGCAAATGTGCAAAAATTATCGCCAGGGTGTGTTCGAAGGGATCTTTAAAGGTCCTCAAAAGATTGCCCAAAAAGATCGCATAACGCTAATCCGCTAAAGTAGGCACACTCCGGGTGGTAACAGCCAAATAAAAAGGTAGATCCTTTTGCAAAATACTGATGATAATGATGTGTGTGAGTAGACTTGGTTTATGGCCCATTGGGAGATAACAGGTAAACCCGGAAAGCCCAACAGGTGGCTACCTTAAGAGAGAGTTGAATCTCTTTCTATCTCTCTTTGGGACGCCTTGCCTCTTGCACACACTTTCTCCGGAGAAGGCCCGGCCTTGGCGGTTACCAAGAGCCAAGAACCTGGAGCGCTGGTCAGTCGGCTTTTGGCTATCGCAAGGTGCAGTCGCGTCGTCGTGATCTCTTCCAGACATACAGATATATATATATATATATATTACATATATATTTAGAGAAAGACTTGGCCCGAGGATCGTTCTAGTTAATTGAAAAAAAAAAACAATTGTGAGTGTGACACCTTGGTCTTTGTGTGTGAATTTTGGACTTTGCATATGGTTATTTGTGAGTGGATTCCGGAACGGATTCTTTCAGGAGCTGCCAGCTCATACACAGTTATGCCAACACGCTTACCGTTATGAGCTGGAGCCAAGATCCCCCCTCCCGAAGATGCAAAGAAAGCAAGAAGAGAGGCCGCAACGAAGAAGTCACCTAACTTGTTCGTTTTGTCAGCAGAAGAATTCCTCCGCCTCTTTGACGTGGTCTTCTGCGTGTCGTCTTTATGCCTCTTTTTCTCGGCCGGGACTTTTATGGAAGTGCTAAAAACGAAAGAAAACCAAACCAAACCCAATCCAACTAAACAACAACAACAAAATAGAGTTTTGCAAACCCAAATAGTTGACCAAATCAACTACGATAATAGTTACAGTGTGTGTTTTACAGTTAAACCTAACCGTTCTATTTGTTTTGACTTCTCAAAGAAATCTTTTCTTTTGGCTGGCGTGAAATTCAAATTCGTATACTGGAATTTCAAGTGATTCCCAAAGAGAGCCAAGAATCCGAAAGCGAAGAATTGGTGGGGGCAACCCGAAGAATGAAGAATGAAGACTGAAGACTGAAGACTGAAGACTGAAGACCCGAAGAGCGTAGAACGAAGAATGAAGAACGAAAAAGCGGCGCCGATCGCCGTCGCGCCTTATGCATCTGACCTAGTTATCGGTTTTGGTGCCGGACTTGGTATTCATGGTGGCGTAGGCGTGGTAACTGACAGAATGGGGCAAAGAATGTTTATTTTTGTTGTTATTTATTTTTTTTGTTTTTTGGGGAGCAGGAGAAACCACTTGACCCAAAAATATGCGACGTCTTCAAAGGGGAAAGGGAGAGGTTCTAGCCAGAGTCACTTTCTAGCTCTGAGTCTTTGCAAAAAGCAAGAAAATATGATCTTAGGAACCTTTTTTGGATGTTTTAGTTATTATATCCTATAGTAGATTATTTGAAAATGTTACAAATCGCACACGAGATAAAGATTTGATTCAAAAACAGCAACTTAATTTGTTGAAAGAGAAATATATGATTTTTCATATTAATTTAGGAAGTTTACATTGAAAGGTATCAAAAATTATCACAGGAAATTATACTGATAACCTCTGAATTTCTAAATTTTCTAGTTAATTCTCTAAACTTCAAAGATCTATATACATTTTATATTCCTTTCTGAAATCGTGATGAATAAACATAATAATATTTAATTTCGATTGGCAAGAAATTTCCGGTTTGTAGAAAGCTCTGCTAAATCACCGCACGTGATGGGGAAGTCCAATTCCGATTCCGATTCCAAGTCCAAGTCAGTCTGCAGTCAGTTTCAGAAACTTACAGAAACTTAGTGCACTTTCCCTGAAAGAGATCTCTATCGGTGTGGTTTCACATCATTTTCAGTACTAAGTACTTTCTATTTCATTCATTAAACGGTTTCGTTAATTGTGAGCCAAGAATGCCTTGGCTTTTACCCGCCGCTCTTTGACTTCTTTTTCAGCTTGGCCATAATTACGAGTATTATATTTGCATGGTTATATTATATATATATATATTTTTGTTGTAACCAGTTTGGGGACTCCAGTTTCCCATTCCTCGTTCTCGGGGGCAACGCAACCCAGATACATGGATTATGGCCGGAATTGCTATGGGTTTCCCGTTAGGCATACACCACTACGTATACGTAATATCGAAATGGGACACCTGCCACCGCCAGAACCAGCTCCCAAAATGAGCAAAGAAACTGGTTTGGGGGCTTATCACATACAGCCACTGTGGAGTGGAGTGGCAAGATCATGATGATCATCACCATGATCTTGGCGGCGGCAGCGGCATCTCTTTCTAGGCCAATGATCTCTGGGCCTCCACTTCCTCTCCACATCTCTCTCTCTTGGGGCTGAGGCAGAGGCAGATGCCCCAAGCTGCCGGATTACGTCACAGGGGGCTTGGGTTACACTCTGGTCGGACTCCAATGATGATGATTCAGCTTCAACTTTCACTTGACCACCGCTAATTATCTCACCTTTCTCTTGGCGTCCCGCTTCTTGCAGATTCTCACCGATTCTCGGCGAGCAATGAGCACGTGCTGACCATGTTGGTAGATCGAAATAACACAATGATCAGTTGGGCTCTGACCCTGATCTTCAGCGTTCTGCTGGCCAGTGCCCCTGGTTCAGCTAAGGCTCAGGATGAATCCCTAGCTGGGAGTTTTCTATCCGGTAAGAGTTCTTACTACAAAGAAGACTTTTCTTACTCTAATTTATTCGTATATTTTTGATCTCGATCAGGTCTTTTGGATACCATTACCAGCACGGTGGATGCCAAGGATTGCCCCGGCGTCTGTGTCCACACTTTGGCTACTTTGATTTGCTATGAAGTCCTTGACGATGTGCCCTGTCCCTCGCCCACAATGAAGTGCTGCATTGAGAGTGCTCCAGGTAAGCATTTCCCCAGGATTTAATTCCCCAAATCTAACAAATTAAATCCCTATTAGCTGGCAAGAATGTCACAGCGGTAAGGACTACAGCAGCGCCGAAAACCACATCTACAGCCAGCACCACAACGACGCAGAAAACCACAACCACGGCAGCCACCACAAGTACCACAAAAAGGACCACTACAACCAGTACAACAGTGAAACCAAAGCCAAAACCACAGCCCAAGCGTCCAGCCAGTACTACGACCACCAAGGCCACAGTAGCCACCACCAAGAAGCCCAGCACCACCAAAAAGGTGACCACTGCCAAGCCCAGCAAGGACAAGGAAGAGTCCACCAAGGCGGATGATGCCAATAGTAAGTGGAGAAAAATTTCTAGACAAGATTAGGGACTAAAGTATTTCCCTTTTCCAGAGGACTGCACTGGCGTGTGTGTGGCGGATCGGATAGCGGAGTATTGTGAAGCCTATTTGACCAGCGATGGTTTGTGCAAGGAGGGCACCAAGTGCTGTGTCTCCCTGGATGAGTATTCCAATAGCAAGCTGCCCAAGGATATCTACATTCCAGCCAGTAAGAATTTACATAACTTATTATTATATTATTTCCTTAAATAAATGATTTTTCCTTAGAACACATGAGCAACCTGAAGCCCAATCAGACTCTCGCCGAGAAGTCTGCTCCTACTAAGAGTGGATCAAGTACCTCTACAAGTAGCACCACTACTACCACTACCAGTACAACCACCACGCCAGAACCGGCCAGGACGAATAGTGCTCCCAAGCCCACTAAACACAAGAAGCATCCGACGACCACGACCACAGAGGCGGCCGAGGAAGAGGAGGAAGACGAGGCGGAGGACGATGGCGAGGAGGAGGAACCACCACTGAGTAACAAGCTCAAGTCTGGCCAGGGACAGGGTCAAGTGCTAAAGGAATGCGAGGGAGAATGCATGAACGGCATCTTTGCCATCTTCTGTGACGATATCGATTCCGATGCCTTCTGTCCGGGTGAGGGAAGCTGTTGTGTCACCGGAAGTGCCTCCGAGTCACCGGCTCCCTCCAAGCCGGCAACACCCACTAAGCCGGCCATCAAACACGCACCTAAGCCGGCTTCTAAGCCAGCACGTCCTGCCTCTCCGCCGCCGCCACCATCATCATCCACATCAGGAGGAGGAGGAGGAGGAGGAGGCGGTGGTGACTTCCTCTCACAGATCATATCCTTTGCCGAGAGCACACTCAACTCACCGGCTCCACCGCCGCCGCCACCGCAGTCGCCTCCTCAGGTTCCTCGCTGTCCCGGCTTCTGTCTGCTGAATATTATGGCCGCCTTCTGCGAACGTCCCTCGGTGCTGGTCTCCACACCCACCACATGTGCCAAGGGATCCGTGTGCTGCGACAACTCACGATCGGGAGTGGTGAAGCCCAAGTTGCCACCGCCAACACCCTCACCCACAGCTCCGCCCACGGCGCCACCTTATGTCCTGCCCAATACACCAAGTCCGGATCCTAGGGAGGAGTGTCCCGGCTCCTGCATAGTCAGTCTGCTCAGCTTCACCTGCTTCAGTGAGTCTGCTTTACATATTTTTTGTATCTCTTATCCAATATTGATTCCATGATTCCCTTCCAGAAAACGCCGAGATGACGGATCTGTTCCGCTGCAAGCGCTCTGGTCAGATTTGCTGTGCGCCTAAGAGCAAAATCCTGGAGAAACAACAGTTCCAGACTCGCAATGACACCGCCTACTATCCGGCACCACCACCACCGCCCATCGGTCCGCCGCAGGCCTATCCGCCACAGACGCCGCCGTACTCCTACATGAACAATCAGCCGCAGGGACCACCGCCTCCTCCTCCACAGATGACAGTGCATCATCAAAATCCCTATCAGCCTCCACCGCCGGCTCCCAACTATGCGGACTATTATCCAATATCCGGACCAGGTCTTCAGGGTGGACTACCACCACAACCACAACCGCCACCGATGACCACGCCACCACCTACGACAACCACATCGACGACTCCTCGTCCGCATGTCTACTCCAAGTATGTGTGCGGTGTGAAGGGAACCCTAAGGACAGGACGCTCGCCGGCTCTCTCATTGGTTGCCTACGCCCGAGCCAAGTATGGAGTCCAGAGATCCGCGCGGCAGATAACCTCCGCCTCGGGTTACTCCGGAAACTTTAACAAATCCAATGAGCGGCTGGTCCTGGGTTCGGCCATCGTCCCTATCCAGATCCACAACGACAAGCTGGGCGACCTTGTCGAGTCGAGTAGCCTCCAGAGAAACCAACTACGTTCGTACCACAACCATCGGGAGGAGACAGGAGTGGCTGGGGATCAGCCGGAGCTAATCTATCCTAATTACTATCATCAGCAAAAGAGATCCCTGCATGGCCTCCAGTTCCAGTCCAATTCCAGTGGACGACGTAGGGCCCGAGTGGTGGGCGGTGAGGATGGTGAAAATGGAGAGTGGTGCTGGCAGGTGGCTCTGATCAACTCCCTGAACCAGTACCTCTGTGGAGCGGCGCTCATTGGCACCCAGTGGGTACTCACAGCGGCCCATTGTGTCACCAAGTAAGTTGGGATCCTTTTATCATTATCATTTAAACCTTCAATTGCAATCCCTTCCAGCATTGTTCGTTCCGGGGATGCAATCTATGTGCGAGTAGGTGACTACGATCTGACCAGGAAGTACGGTAGTCCTGGAGCTCAGACCCTGCGCGTGGCCACCACCTACATTCACCACAATCACAATAGTCAGACGCTGGACAATGACATTGCCCTCCTGAAGCTCCATGGCCAGGCTGAGCTAAGGGATGGCGTGTGCTTGGTGTGCCTCCCGGCTCGTGGAGTGAGCCATGCGGCGGGCAAGCGATGCACAGTGACGGGTTATGGCTACATGGGTGAAGGTAAGTCCTCAGATTAACCAGAGATTCAACAATCTGCAAACATATCCTTTTCACAGCTGGTCCCATTCCACTGCGAGTGCGTGAGGCCGAGATACCCATTGTGAGTGACACGGAATGCATCCGGAAGGTGAACGCCGTGACGGAGAAGATCTTCATCCTGCCGGCGTCCAGTTTCTGTGCCGGCGGTGAGGAGGGACACGATGCCTGTCAGGGCGATGGCGGTGGTCCGCTGGTGTGTCAAGATGATGGCTTCTATGAGCTGGCCGGTCTCGTATCCTGGGGATTCGGCTGCGGTCGACAGGATGTGCCCGGTGTCTATGTGAAGACGTCCTCGTTCATCGGTTGGATTAATCAAATCATCAGCGTAAACAACTTATAGTGATCCTATATAGGCAGGATCTCTCGCTTTGTGCGGGAGGAACCCCGCTCTCGTGGCTATTTCCACATCCCGGAATACCCTACGATTGCCACGGGGTTCCCGCTCTTCGACTGCTAACGTAAACCCATCCTAGTGTAATCTATTCATACCCAAAACTAATCCTAACTCTAATGGCCCCAAAAGCCCAGAAAGCAACTACATATTAATTATTACGATTATCGGTAGCGTAGACGGCAATCTTCAAAAGTATTCCCCTATTTGATAACGCCCTATTGTAAACTGTTTTTGTATATATACACGAAATAAATACAAAAAATCTTCAGTTATATAAAGTGAGAGATTTTGATTGGGATTATTAGATTTAATGGAGGATGTATAAGGTTTAAGGTAATATAAAGGACTCTGATTGACAATATTAGTTCTTTAACATTTGATTCCTTAGAACTTTATCAGAAGTTTACATATAACAAACCAATTCCAGAAACCATTTTTAAATTAATATATGTAACGGAATTTTACTTAAAATTTAAGAAAAAATATATCCCTTCCTGAATAATAAGGATGTAATTACTCCATAGTAAATGGGTTTTACACAAAAAAAACAGTCTAAGGATACATAGAAATTTATTAGACATGGGAAAAGGGTTTATATACCCTTTTTTTGCTATAAAAATAATGCACATCTTGCATTTGATCAAATTTAAATATTCCCAAGAAATTTAACGGAAATTTAACCCAAAAAAAAGGATCCGTAGAAAGGACTCTCTCTCCTGCATCCGATCAACGAGTGACTTTAAAGAGGCGGAGCAGAAAAACTCACTCAAGGAAAGGCTGCTCTGAGAATTCAGCATTGAGTTCAAGAGACTTTGCTCTAATAAGAGAATCTCAGGCATCTCTGTGGAAAAAACTTACCCTCGCGACTGGAAACCTGAACTCCCTTCCTCCTGATTTGTTTGGTTTCCTTTTTTTGTTGTTGTTTGTGTTAACCCTGCATGGTTTTAACCCTTTCCGCCGTCTGCTGCGTGATTCAATGCGCCGAGTTTTTCTTCCCCGTCGAAAGAAATCGAAAGCAGGAACTTCGGCTGGACTTCGTGTGGCCTTCGGGTGAACTTCGGCAAAAAGCCAAAAGGGTTCTCGAGCAGCTCGTTCTGGGATTCGAAAACAGAAGTTCATCTGGCCTCGAGCTGAGCGGATCGCAGAGATCGTTGAAGACAAGCGCGACCCGTGATCTTCTTACTCTTGAAAACCCATAATATCCTAAAAGTTATAGTGATTAGATATATACATAGATATAGATAGAGAGTAGTACTCACATCCGATCCTAGATCTTTGAGTCCTGAGTCCTAGTTTGCATGCCTTTCGTATTGGTTGTTTGTGTCTGTGCCTGTTTTCTGTTCGCTCTACCAACTCGCGTTAAGTTCAAGGACATCGTCTATCAAGGACTCAGCACAATGGAGGCAAACTCACCCACCACCACAGCCACGGCAACGGTGGCCACCATAACATCCACAGCCTCCACCACAGTGGTCACATCCACGCCATCGCCAGCTGCCAGTACCAGCAGCAAAAGTCACAGCCAACCCGCCTCCAGTTGCTCAGCATCCGCATCCGCCTCCGCCTCCGCTTCTGCTTCTGCTACTGCCTCCGCCGCTGCAACGCCTCCTGGCCAACAGCTATTGGCCAACAGCCTGGAGGTGACGAAGCAGGAGGATCTGTATAATCTTTCCCTGGCCAGCGGTCTGTCTGAGGGCCAGCGATCGCTTTCGGGCGCTCCGTCGGCTTCCTCCAGTCCCATCATGAGTCCGCAGGGCAAGATATTTGGAAGGAATGCGAATGGAACAAGTAAGTTACAATTAATATAATTTAAAATTAAAGGAGATTCACTTAAATATTAAATATAATATCATTTTTCCTGTGATTTGAATGTTAAATAGCCAAAAATCTATATGAAAGTGCTTACAATTGTGGTAGCAAAGTCAGTAGACTGCAAAGTTGTGAAGGAGTCATTTCCGATCCTATAAATTATATATATTCTTGATCAGCATCAACAGCCGAATCAATTTAGCCATTTCCGGGCAAAAAAATAAATTTTCGAAATGTGTTCAAAAATAGATAAGGGGTTACATCGTTAAAATTTTCAAAAATTGACAAAAATTTTAATTTTTAAATTGAGTATGCAGAATTGTTAGCCTTATAAAAACTAGCACAGGACATCTTTCCGTTTCGAAATTTAAGTTCTTTTAGCTTAGTTATGATCGATCGAAGCTGAAGGGATATGCAAAAAAAAACATTAACATCCTTTAAGAATGTATTAACATTTTTTTTTAAGATTTTCTTTAACTTCAAGCTTCTGTAAATTTAACTTAGATCCAATTCCATATGCAGATGTTACCTTTTATAAAAAAAAGTAGGCCTACAAGCTTGCAGATGTCTCTTCTAAATCAACTTCAAATCAACTCTGTTTTTGTTGCCCTTTCCTGACCGCATCGAATCCTTTATTATTGAGCTTCCTCCTGCAGCTATGATGGCAATCTCCTCCAGTGGCAGCCTGCAATTTTCGCGCTCTTTTCGCGAACTTCATTTGACAAGCTTCGCCAGCCATTGTTCCATTAGCATTGTGTATTATTATGTAACGGAAAACGCTTTCCGAGCCCAAGGAACCCAAGTTTAGCCCTAACGGACCTTCTTCTGATAACAAAGAAAAAGTGGCCTTCGATTCCGGTTCCCACTTCCTTGGTGCCAATCTCTCGGGGTGTCTTATTTTGCATATCAGCTCAAGTCTTAAGATTCCTCCAGGTAGCAATGGCAGACAACGTCCAATGGAATCAGTTCCAGGATCCAGGTAGGATCTCTAGCCTAGCCAGCCGTTAGATTCAGCTCATGGTGATAGGCCGTGTCTTAGGGGTGACAAGCAAAAACTATGAAAGGAAACAAGGGGTACAAAAAACTCACCCCGAGCGATGAGGGTAGTAAAATATTTATTTCGTAAAAAATCTCAGTTTAAAAGGACTCAACCAACGAGAAGCGTTCTCGCTGGGAAAAAGGCTCAGACATTCAGAAATAAAATGTCGCCACACGGAAAGAAAATCTGGGGTTTCAATTATAATATTATTAAGATTGTTTTTTAAAAGATCTATAGAATCAAACATTCTCCTGATATATGTAGGAGAGCATCCATTCAGATTGATCTATGATGTTCGATTGAGAACCTATTAATATTAGTAATAGGAACAGAAATAGAAATTTAAAGCCAACCCAATAAGATCAAGATAATTTAAAGAATTTGGAGGTGATCTAGTACTATCGATGGGTATTATCTATTATCTTCGACCCCATTAGAATCCAGACCATATAGATAAAGTCTATGATATTTAAAAAATTCAGTAGAAATTTGTCTTTTTACCGTGCAGATTATGGTTATGGCCCCTGCGTCTGTCCGGGAGCCATTGGCCATTGGCACGTACGGGCCAAGTTATTGCCACCAATGGAATTTTGATCGACAAGAATTTGGTCGTTGAAAAACGTTGGCTTTTAATTTATCGTTGTATATGAGAAATAGTTTCGGTTACTTGCCCATTGCCAATGCCAACTTAGGCAGGGAGAGCCAAGGAGAGGCGGTGGAGGTCTCGGTCCCAGGTCCCAGCTCAGGTCCCAGAGTCCAGGCTTCAGGCTTCGGTCTCCAGGCTGCAGCTTCCTCCAGGTTGCGATTCCAGGCCCAACTCACCAAGTCAAAGTCTGCAAAGTCCGGCGTCTACTTTTTGCCCATAATCGAAGCGATCGCACGATTGACTGCTCCGCACACGCACACATTGTCACTTTTACGCATACAGTGCACTGCGAGAAATAATTTATACTTACTTAAATCATTAACAGAAAATTAAGTTTGTCTACTCTTGCAGTTTGCCACCAAAAAGTCCTGCAATATAGGGATTTTCTGTCTTGATCAGAAGCTTGTAACTTTTACAGGAATCATTTCCGACTCTATAAATCATATATATTCTTGATCAGAATTAACAGCCAAATCGATCTAGCCATGTTTGGGCAAAAAATAAATTTTGAACATTTTTCTCAAAATTCGAAAAAACGATAAGGGGTTACATCATTAAAATTGCGAAAATTCGGCAAAAAATCCAATTTTTTAAATTGCAAAACGCAGTATGCAGATTTGTTAGCGCGTTAAAAACTAACACAGAACAGCTTTCCGAATTGAAATTTATGCATTTTTGGCTTAATTATGATGTTTGAAAAGCACTGATTAACTAAATAAAATTGCCTGTTCTTATACCATTTTGCAGGGTATTGGTATAAATCAGAAGCTTATAACTCAATGAAGGAATCATTTCCGACCCTATTAATCATATATATTCTTGATCAGAATGAAAAACTGAATCGATCTAGCCATGTTCGGGCAAAAAATTAATTTTGAAAATTGGTCTCAAAATTTGAAAAAACGATAAGGGGTTACATCGTTATTTTTTTCAAAAATTGGAAAAAAATTCAATTTTTTTTAATTTTAAATTGAGTATGCAGATTTGTTAACCTAACAAAAACAGGGAGAACGTTTGAAATTAATTCATTCATTTAATTTGACTTAGTTATGAGATTTTTAAACTTTAATTTGTCGAAAAAATTGTCATAAAATATCTCGTAAATCTTTATTCAGGAAATGCAACAATTTTAAGCTTAGCTATGATAAATTTTCGATTCGATCAGATAATTCATTTGCAAACTGCAAGGGTATAGCAACTTGGGCTTCTAGAAGTTATATATTTTCTTAAAACATTTCATTAGATTGAAATCTCATAATATAGCTCTTAAATTAATAGATTGATTTATTTCTGACAGTGTGAGGGTTTTGTGGTCCTGGCTGCTTGGGCAGCTGCTTGGTATGTGGCGTCGAATGTCATTATTGCTGCCAAGTGCCAACTAAAAAGTTACTGCAGTTAATTTTTTGTCCATCTTTACCATTTGCCGTTCGCATAAAAACAGCATATTTAGCAAATGACAACAACAATAAGAACACCAGCAAAAGCAGCAGCAGAAAAAGAAGAAGCCGAGGCAGTGGGGGGAAAAAAAACGAACCCGCAAATTAAATAAATAAAAAATCAGCAACAATCCGCAGCAGCAGAGAAAGAACAGCAAGAGAAACTTGGAGGATGGAGAAACGGCCAAGTGTCCCCAACTATACCTCTCCCACTCTGGCGCTCTCGCCTCGCTGCTCCACTGCCTCTCGCTTCCACCTCCTGGCTGCACCCTGCTCCTGGCACCATTATTTGTGTATTGAAATCACGTCTCATTTATTTATTGCTACGAAGGTATGCCCCTCTCGCTCGCTCGCCCCCAGACTCCCGGACTTACGCAAGTCTGCGTTAAATACCCCCAAGTGGAGCAGAGGGAGACAGAGACAGCGAGAGAGTGGGGAGATGCCATGAAGTCGCATAGAGCAGAAGTGTGGCCAGGAGCTTAACCCTTGAGTGGTCAACTTGAGTTAGCAGGAGAAGCTTTGATTTTTCTAGTTTTATTAGGGACAAATTAAATGTAAATAATTTATATTCCTTCGATGCATTTTTAATAACATATTTAAGCGGAAAATTTATAAAGATTTGTTTTTTACACCTCATTTTCTAAACTATATTCAAGCTTATTTAATGTCAACCTTCTCGCCCAATTATCAGTTTTAACAAACATTTATAAGCCATTTCAAGTCTCTATTAACGCTCACTTCAAGTTAACTCGTGGCTAACTATCACAACTTTCAAGTTCAGCCTGTTTGATATTTGAGTTCTCGAAAACTATTTATGATATACCCAATTAAGCGGATAGGAATGCGAATTATTCTTTGCCGCCAGCCATAAATTGTAATAACCAACAACCAACCCTCTGGTGGGGAGCGTGGGTTAATGACGCGACAAGTGAGAAGAGCGGATCCCCATCCTCTCAATCCTTGGTGTTTGTCGTTGGTGGATGCGCTTCTGGTTAGGAGAAAAAAAAAACAACAACGAATGGAATCGGAGGATGGCAATCGATGTACGCGGCTTTTTCTGTTGCTGGCCCTCAGTTTGTTATAATTTAACTTGGCCAGCAGCTCGTTTTTCTATTAATTAAAGCTGGCTGGATGGCTGGCGGAGACGTTGTCGCCGCCTGAAATATTCTCACATAATTATTTACGATTTGACATAATCATCATCCTCGTCATCGTCATCGTCGTCGTCCATTTAGAGCGCTGGAAAGCTGCCTCCCATAACAGTAACTGCCTCTGCGGCGCGGGATTCATTAGTATGAGCAATAAATCGCTGCCTAGAGTCAGGACAGGCTGGTTTCCAGGTTTCCTATGAAATTCCCTGTGTATGTCTTTCACACACGACAATCCTTCCACCATTTTATATTTCTCTTTCTTCTTATTATTACTTCTTTTTTTTTGCCAAAAATCGAAAGTGATAAAACCAAAGGAAAAAAAATTCAAATAAATGAGGCAAGATTAAAATGATCCTGGCAATCCTTGACAGCGTCTTGCAGCATGCGTGACGCATTTCTAACGAGTTTTGATCGCATCGCGGATCCTTGGTCCTCCGAGAAAGGGGTTGATCCCGTCGCTATCGCTATGACCTATGCTTATGCAGATGAGCCGAGTTCCCAGCTCGGAGCTCTCGCTTCATCCTTTTTGTGTGCTTTTCGAGTTTTTTTTTTTTTTTTGCTCGCCCGAAAAAGGGTTTAGGGTCCAGACGACGTCCGTCGAGTTTTTTCCTCCTTTTTTTTTGGTTAAAAAAGCGAATTTAATTAAAATTTTTTTCTTATGGTCTCAGAACATTGTGAGAACGTCTGAGGGCAGAACTCCATAAATATCTTTTTTTTTTCTTGCTAAAATCCTGTTTGGTTTTTTTTGTTGTGTCTTCCAGTGATCACCACATCGCGACCGGGCAACGAGGCGGAGGTGCAGCTGTACCGGGTGCTCCAGCGAGCCAGCCTGCTGGCCTACTATGACACACTCCTGGAGATGGGTGGCGATGATGTGCAGCAGCTGTATGATGCCGGTGAGGAGGAGTTCCTGGAGATCATGGCCCTGGTGGGCATGGCCTCCAAGCCCCTCCATGTCCGACGTCTGCAGAAGGCACTGCACGAGTGGGCCAATAATCCGGGCCTCTTCCAGGGTCACCTGCTGCCCCACTTAGGTAAGGATAAGGGCCTGTTTCCCCTTCATTTAGTTGGGAAATTAAGTAAAAGTAAAATATTAATCATATCTTAATTTTTAGGTCTTTGTGAGACGCCACCCAAGCCAGCTTTGATCTTTAATCCAGACACCACGCCCGCCTTGCCCCGTAGCCAGAAGTTTCCCTCCTTTAATCCCACTGGCACCTCCTTCCAGCCCTCGCCAGTTCCGCCCGCAGCGGCGTCTACTGTTCCCACCTCCGCTTCGGTCCCCACTCCTGGACCCCTGATCACCCAGATCAGTTGTCCGGGTGCTGGCCCATTGCCCATGCCCCTGGTCCTGCCCTCCACCCCGCTAACAAGCAGCAGCAGTAGTCCCCATCCGGCGGCCAATAGCAGCAGCCTGCCACCCGTGAGTACTGCCCACCAGGTGTCCTCCAGTTCGCCCCAGCTCACGCCCGTGCTGACCGAGATGCAGATCCAAAGGATCACAATGTGTGCGGAGAAGATTGGCCGGCAGCTGCCGCAGCGAGAGCCACGGGCGCAGACCACCAGGAAGCGCACCACACGGGAACTGGAGCAGGTGATCGCCATGGGTGAGCATGATCCGCGGCGCATGGACGAGATCCGTAAGTACTCGGCCATCTATGGCCGCTTCGATTGCAAACGGCGGCCGGAGAAGCCGCTGACCCTGCACGAGGTGTGTGTCAACGAGGCGGCCGCCCAGCTCTGTCGGAATCCCCAGACCATCTGGCTGCTCACCCGGCGCGATGAGCTCTTTCCGCTGGCCCGCCAGATTGTCAAGGATGCTGGTTTTGGTCACTCGGCTAGCATTGCCCGTTATGGTGGCCTGCTTACCCAGCTTCCATCTCAGGGAGCCGGTGTTGGCGGTGGTGGGCGAGGTGGTGGACCAGGGGGTATCCCGGCCAGCGATATGGACTGTGAGTCCAGTGACGCCGGCATGCCGACCAAGCGGCAGCGACTCTCCTCCACAGAGGCCACCGGCCAGCTGCCGCTCGACTTGAACAGGGTAAGGAAGTTAGAAAATGTAGAGCCGTAGGTTCGTCGCCCGGTGCAGTGCTTCAGCTATGCTACAGCTTCGCTTCAGAGTCCTTCCAGGGGCTCAGAGGACTCCCTGATAACCCAAAATTTGCCTTGCAGCTTTCGCGATCGTTAAACAAAAAACACTACTAACCCTGGTCGAGAGGTTCTTTTCAGAATATCTCGGGTTGTGGAAGGTTCAAGTCACTCTTTAGTAGACTAGACTTAAATATACATAGTGTGAATTATTTTCTATATACTATTACAATTCCTCTTTATACTTTCTATTGTAGTTTTTTGACTTGTTTTAAAAGAAAAGTAGATATCAAATCTCTAAAAAGTTGCTTTTAAGTATGCATTGAGTGTACTTCAAGGCACTGTTTTAGGTGATTTGAAACTTAAACTGATTTTATTACCACACCTGATTCTTTATTGACTTAGTATTATTAACAATTAATTAGTATTTTCATAGATTTGCGTTATGTTTGAATTTTACTGTTGATATTTATTATGCTATTTATTTGCTTGACACTAATCCTTAAATTAAACTGCTTTTTAACCTTAGTCTTAGTTATAATCATTTGCTTGTTGGTTGAAAATGGAATGCCAAAGTTATTTAGTGGGTAGTCATTTTGCAATATATATATTCGTGTACCTTTCCTATTACTGTTGAGTTAATAAATAAATATCCTACGGAATTACCAACCAACGATCCACGTGTCTTCTTCCTTGATCCCAAAAAATCTATCTGCAACTTTGCCTCCTTGCAACGCTTAGCTTCACTTTGGCTTATTTGCAAATAATACAGAGAGAGAAAAATTTGTATTCCTGATCTTGTTGATAAATCAATCCCTACAATCCCTACAAAAAAATAAAGGAAGCTGTCGAGGATTCGCGCTACAATCTGTTTGCCATGTACCAAAAGTTTGCCAAGCCGCCATTTGATCTGACGGAAATTGCCAAGTTCTCGTGAGTATGATCTCTTACAAAATATTTCAAATTTAAATCTGTATATATTTATATTCCATAAATCCCTCTCCCTTAGACTTGGTAAGGCGGCAGACTACGAGGACAACGACTCGCGCTTCTCCTTCAGCAACTCCAGTTCCCCGACCATGCCAGTGAGTATGTGTTGGAGCTCTACCGGGGCTGTTTCCTCCCATGAGTAATCCTTAAATAAACGAGGCTTCTGTTTCCTACTCCTCCACAGACGCCCTGCAATGGACTGGAAGGTGAAAGGTCACCGGTGGCCCGCCAATTGGACACCTCCTCACCGCCCAGCGAGTCCGTGGATTTGAGTGGTTCCGGCGCTGCCATCAGTGGTGTCCAGGTCATCTCCGCCGCGGGGGATAACATCATAGCTGTGGCAAATCCGGCTCTGGCCTTGAGTCCAACATTAAACGAGGTCCTGTCGCTGAAGCGAAGTGCAGCCTCGCCTGAGGCCTAGCTGGAGGAGATCTGTTCCCGGAAGGATGTTAATCCCAGTGCCAGATTTGAACACACACAAATCGTTACAATTTCAGTGCAATTCATTTAGTTTTAAGCAAAATAAAAGTTTTAAGTGTTTAAGGATTATAAAGTCCATAATTAGTTTATAGTCTCTGTGATCTATACTAAAAATCTGTAATAAAATCATTATTTATCGTACAATAAAGCGATTTGGTAAAGTTAAAGATAGTCAAAAAAGAAATTTACTTTTACTGGGAAATAGAAATAATATTAAGATGTATTAAAAATCAAAGCAAACTTTTACTTTGATTTTTATATTAAAAAAAAATCTTATTAGTTACTTTCAAGATCAATTTTAAGTCTCAAAGTTATCATTTATACAACCTGTAATTTAAACAATTTAATATTCAATAACATTTAATTCACATCACCCCATAAATAGAGCAGTCAAACCCCTGAAAGGTGATAACATTTCCAATATAATATAAAGGCCAGACAATTGCCCTTATTGATAATTTAGCAAATTGAAAGATCGTCGAGATCATAGATCACAATTGCACCCATATTGATATTGATGGATCGTGTTTACATATGCGATTGTGGGCAATTCCTTTGTTCGCCTCTTGACGCCGCCAAAAGGCAGATATCCTTTTTGCGAACCCTTCTCTAATCCCTGCGAACCCTTGCCAACCTCAAAAGAACCCTGCGAATTTCGATAAAGATATCTGATCTTGGGAATCTGGTAATTAACACCCTTGTGCGGCATCGGTTTAGGTATGCAAATTTTCTGCAAAAAAATCATAGACACGCAAATTCTCGTTGGCATTATTGATGATTGTGATGAACGCATATTGGTATCCCTCCATTTGTTATGATTTTCATTTTAATTGTAATCAGAACAACGATAAAAAGCAAGTTTAATGAACTCTATGTTTAGGCTCTAAATCATCTGCCAGATGCGATTTGAATCTGAGTTCCCCCCACAAAACTAAGCCAGACCATGTGGCCACAAATGCGCGGGAGGCGTTGTTTTGACTTCAAAAAGGATTCGTTCTGCATTGTATTTTATTTTCTGGGCATTTGATTTGAGTTCATCTGCTGTTGGAGAAAGGGAAAGGACTTGCAAGGGGAGCCTAAAACTCTTTGTTTTCTTGCAAGAGATAGCGTCTAGGAGATGCATCTTCAAGGCATCTTGAAGGCTGTCGGAGGGATGCTGCTGAGTTATGCAAATCCGCTTGTGGCTGCCGGAGCAATTACAATGCAGTTCATGTCCAGCAACGACGGCTGCCTTCTTATCCCGCATTTACATATATAGAGTAAAACCCCTTTTTCTCGATCATTACCAGCATGATTGATGAGCGTCTTGCGCTTGATTTGCATAAGGATAAGCAGGAACCCGAAAAAAGGGAATCCTGCCGCTTCCAGGCATTTGACCCAGAGATTAGACATCCTGAGAATAAAGCCAGGAGTGTCAATATTTGCACTCAAAGAATGGAAAGATCTCAGTCTTAAGCTCAGCACTCAGATTAGGTACATTTTTAAAGACATTTGAAATAAATATATTTCATTTATATATAGCTATTACATTTATATATGGATTCAAATTAAAAATCAAAAAAGTACACCTCCACAAAACAAAAGTATCTTCTGGTTAAATCAAGGTTTCTCATAAGTAAATATCTTACAATAAATACTGATTTTGTTTCTCATATACTTTTTAGATTTTTAGATATTAAGTAGATAAACTTTCAACTGCTTAAATATTTATTTCCTCTTTTCAATAAATAATCATGCGGCAAGACTTTGAGCTAATGCCAGTGCTGAGCTTAATCTACATTTAGTGATTCACATAATGGATTTATTTTGTTACTTATTATGACTTAGTGCAACAGTGTTATGGCATGGCAACGATTGACCCTTTAGGTGGTTTCCTGGACTCGTTGTGTGATCCAGTCCATAAAGTACTGTGTGCTGGTGTAAACACCAGGCACGTCTGGCCGAGCACAGCCAATGCCGTAGGACACCACTCCAATCAGATAGTACCTCATGTCCTGGGCATTGGTTTCTGGAATCATCAGAGGACCACCGGAATCGCCTTGACAGGTATCATGACCGCCGGACAGGACTCCGGCGCAAATCACAGCGGCATCAAACTGATCGGCACTGAAAAAGCGCTTCTGGGCCGCATAGCTTCGGATGCACACATCGTTCGGGTAGATGGGAATCTGGAGCTCGTTGAGCACCGTGGCGGACTCACCGCCCTCCTGAGTCTTGCCCCAACCGGCAACGAAGGGCGTTTGGCCGACATAGCTCTTGGAGAGCAAAGGCTGCGACTTGGGCAGGCAAATGGGAGTGATCTTGGCTGAGAAGGGTACGTTACGCTCCAAGTACAGAATGGCAATATCGCTGCGTCCATTTTTGCGATTATATTCCGGATGAGCCACGTACTGAAAGGTATAATAGGATACTTTATTCTCAGGATAAACTTTCTCCAGAAGCTTTCACGTACCTTGGCCACATTGATATCTATGTGGGGGGTCTCCGTATCCGTGCTCAAATCATGTTCTCCCAAGCGCACGAATTGTCTAAAATAAAATGGAGAGATCAACTTAGAACCCAGAATCTTCAAAAAGAGACTTTCTTCCTAGTGGACTCACAGATCATTCCGGATGCAGTGGGCTGCGGTTAGCACATGTCTGGCTGTGATCAGGGTTCCTCCGCACTTAAAAGGCGACGAGGAGGCATCATCGTAGCCCAAAAGTGCAATCCAGGGCCAAGCTCCCTTGTGGGTCACTTCGCCGCCAACGATCTTCTTGAAGTACCTCACAGTGGAGCCGCAGCCCTCTTCCACGTTGAGCAGACGTCGCGGCACTTCGTCCGTGTTCCTTGGAAAGATGGGTGCCTTGGTGGTGGCCACTGTCATTCCATTGGGGCAGCATACCTGGGTGCCCTTGTTGCCACAAATCGTCCTAGAGGCTCGAAGGAAATTTGCAAAGGATTCGTCACGCTGCTTCACCCGCAGCTCATTTAGCAACGAAGCACACAAGTTGAGTTCTGGAGGATTGGGATAAGGATAAACCATTATAAAGGATACTTTAGTTTCAGTTGATTTCTAGGAACTCACCCACACAGTTTCCGGGCTTGATGTCTGGTCCACGGCAAGCATCTCCTCGTAATTCAATGACAGGTGCCGCCGAGGTAACCGGAAGGGGAGCCGGCGTGGTCGTCGTTGTTGTCGTCGTCGTCGTTGTGGTTGTGGTTGCTCTGGGACGCGTAAAGAATGGATTCTCGGATACTTCCGGTGGAGGCCGCGGTACAACGAAGGAGGAGTCTGTGGGAAGGAATGGGTTCACGGGTCGCTCTGTGACCGGGTTAATTCTGGGCTCAGTGCAGCAGACCTAAATCGAAGTAAGAAATAAGCAGGACAAAGCTCAGGGGGGATGATAGACAGGAGGAGATAGATAGATCCCTACCACCGGATCCCCATTAATGTTCCGGGTGCCACAGCTTCGCTGCAGGGCGATCACATAGCGTTGAGCCCGGTCAATGTTATTGGTCCTAAAGATGTTCGCCACCTGGGGACAGTAGCTCAAGGTCACACAACTGCCATAGTAATTCTCCGGAGTGATGCAGTTCTGACGAACTGGACCGAGAAAAGAGCAGTACCAGAATTTCAACGTGAGTTTGAAACATATTCTTATTAAAAAAGAGCTTCGAGTTGTGTGGATATTCAAAAGCAAGCATGATTTCTGACAAGAATGATTTGTTTAATAAATTATGAGATTTATTTTGATATAAAATTAAGTGAATGTGATTAAATAATAAATAGATTGCACATTAGGCTGTGGTATTCCCTCCACCTTCAGATGAGTCAGTAAAACAACAAAGATAGGGGATTTAGCTATGTTTTTTTCACACCTTTAACCATGTCAACTTGTATCATTAACAAGAACACAAAACAGTCAACACAAATCCGCTTTAAAATACTTTTAAGAACACACTACAATGGGATAAGATATATTACATTTCAACACCTACAAATCTTCTGTTCAAAAGTAACCTAAGCCAAACAATAGATTTTTAGAAAAGCAAACCAAACAAATATAAATACAAATTGTGAGCAGCTTACACATCAAGTTTATACTTAAAAAATAAAAATAAATACTTGAATACTCTTTAAGACCATATTAAATGTATTTTTCATTTAACTAAAAACCTGTTATAATTAATATCTTTCAGCGTAGCTAGTACTTTTAGTTTTAGTATCATTGTATAACTAGCTTGATCCAGCATCCACTATTACGTATTAATAGACGTCTTCATATATATATATATATCCTATCTTTACGGTTCTCCCCCATCTGGTAATAATAATAACAGGTGCTTCGCTTGCCCGTATTCGAGTCGCTGTCCGAGTAAAAATCTGACCTTGGTGACTGGTTTTGTGAATTGGATTTGAACTCGAACTCAAACACACAACTGGCCGAAATATGTGTTGTTTTTTTTGTTAACAAACTTTGGGGCTTTTTTAATTATCATTATTTTGCAGTTCATACAAATAGCCACATTAGCAGGCCAAATCGAAAGACTTAAGCAGCGAACTTGCCATTGAACTTGAAGATGTCGCATGTGTGAGCACAAGCGTGAACCAGTTGAAATGGCAAAAAGAAAATAAATAAAATAATTCACACGATGATCAAATAAATAGATTTAAAGTCTAGAAGGGTATATATACACCGGCTAATAGAAATAGAAAAATACGCACTTAGAAAGACCTTTAAGCTAAGCTTTCATTTTTTTATTTGCCAGCAGCTAACTAAATCTTTTATATTAATTTAGTAACTATTATTTCACTCTGGTTCTGTTAAAAATACTTTTGCATTTACAATTTTATTCTCCTTCTATTTAAAGTATTTTTATGCATTGAGAAAGCAATATTAATATTCTAGAACTTTTCGGGTAGTTTTCCGTCACATTTCTGATATTTTTTGTAAAGTTTCTCTTGGGAATATCCACTTCAGATTGTTATTATGTTGATCGCCTAAACTCATCCGAATTTAATTTTTTATTTTTTGTATTGTTTTCTCATTTGAAATGCAAAGTCCCAGTGTTAATGTGTTTTATAATATTTAATTTGTATTTTGTTATTCCGTGATGCGTTGTTACTGGGAACTGGTTTATTGTTAGCTCAAATCGAGTCGAGAATCTCAAGGGGTTCTACACAGATATTAAGTTTTAGACAGATATATGGCGAGGCGGAGTGGGAATTATTTGACAAGCTTTTCTCAATCAATTAATTAACTGAGCGGCGCCTACCTTGCCTCCCCTGATTAAACTGGGCGTCAGTGGGCGGCGGGGCGTGGCCGATCGCGAGGAGGAGTAACGTAATCACAGCACTAACACCGCACTTCATGGCGAGATCGGTTACGATTGATGTTAATATATCCGGAGACTAGACAGCGACTAGCGACGTTCACCGGCCGAGGAGCGTTATCAGACTGAGGAACTGCGACTGGAGGAGAGCTGGTCACCGGATGCCAGCGAGAGCGGCGTCTTGACCAACGAAAGCGTCTTCGGAGATTGGCCAGCGTCGAGCACGAAGCCGAGCTTTATAAGGGGTCATCTCTTCTCATCGAACGTAGTCTCTCTTTCTCTCTCTCTCTCGCCGGCTCGGATTCTCCTGAGTGCAGCCAAGTCTCTCTCCGGAAAAGTGCACTCAGAAAAGAATTCTCTAATTAAAGATATTATATATATATATAACATATCATTTTGATGTTGGGTTTAGTTGATATTATACACCAAAATCACAATTTAATCGTCTAAAATGTTTATTTTTTATATATGTATATTTTGTTTAAACTAAAGAATTTTCATTTCCTATTAGTAAATATTTAATTTGTATTTGTATTTCACTCAATTACAATATGATAATTATATCATAATTGCATGCCCCTCAAAGGAAACTAATTTTAATATAGAAAAATATACACTTTAAACTTTTCTATATATAATATTTAATATTTATCTCATTTGCTTTTTTCTTTAACGAAAATATATAAATATTATTAAGTATTTCAACCCCATATTTAATTTCTGTGTAACTGAAGCTGCGATCATTTTGTCTGGGATTCACATCTCGCCCAGCGATCACGCAATTAGCTTTCTAAGCATATTAATCAAGGCGGAAAAAGCACCAAATTCGCCAGTTCAGATTAGGAAATGATTTTCCCAGCATCCTCACCAAAAATTGCAAGAAATATGTATTGTTTTTTTTTGTTTCCATTCGTAATAATATGGATCACACAGACTTGAAATTATAGAGTACAAAACCTGGCATTATTTAAATTGTAAATTCTTAAATTAAGCCATGAGTCCGCTCTGAGACTTCTCGACCTTGTGCCACTCTGAATTTGTCACCGATCTTCTCCCAGTAATTTGGTGACTCAATTAGAATCGAACGAAAACAAGAATGATAAATGCCATTAATCAAGGCAAATTAAATCGGATCCCGTTGACATGTCAATTACGGATAACTATTGGACTAGCTAAAACATCTAACTAAGCTGACATTCTAAGTGGCTTCGGTTTCTATTTTTGCACCGCAATTAGCATCGGCATGCTCACTTTATAGATCGTTAAAAGCTTTCGAAACGATCACCGATCATACGAATAGAAGTGCAGGGGGAATCGGATAATTTATACCTATTTTAGGTGCTTAATTTAAAACATTATTTAAATGACATATTTGAATTGGTTATTGAAAATATTTTATAACAAAATGAACTGAATTAAGGCATTAAAGAACCACTTGTCATGGAGTCAATATAAGTTTGGGTTTTCAGAACATTATCAACTACATTATCAGAAGAAACATTACATTATCTATATTAACTAATATAACATAACTTCTTTGCAAATAAAATGATCTTTCCCTATTAAATATTATAAGGATGTTCTATAAATTTTCACATATTTAATTAAGACTGTCTAAAGATCTCAATAAAAAGATAGAGCGGCTGGGAGAGTTCAGCTATGACGACATAATCAATGGGTGTGCGATCACAGTTATCACCTGCTCAATAGAAAACCATTTAAATCTCATCTCATTCCATCTGGAAACCCGAGGGGCACTCGACCTGATTAGAATTCCGAGTAGGTGCTGCCGCCGAAAGCCAATTGGCATGCGATCGTTGCAATCCGTTCTAGTATTTTGTGACTAATTCGGATCACTTGGCCATGCAGTTCAGGTATTGGCAACAGGTAACAGGTAACAGCGGGGGGCCGCAGCAGCAAAGTGCGGGAAATACCAATGGCATTCAACCGAAAGAATTGCTCTTTTTGGGTTCCGGCTCGATAAATGAGACAGTCCTTCATTATGTGACATTCAACATGTACACATTAAATCGGATTCTTAAAGTTTATATAAATCTATTTATATTAATTTATTTATATTTATAATAAAATAGATATAGTATTCAAGCAATGTTGAATTAATATAAATTAAGTTCCAATTAACACGATATTCAAATTAATCGTCATAAGATAATATTCTTGAAATGTAATCAAGTGATTTGTTTTCCCCTCGACAGCAGTAAAAATAAATTCAATTTATGCAAATGATGTACAAAAAGAAATGTAAGATAAATTAAGTCTTAAATCAAATGGGAACATAAAAACATGAAATTTATTGCGGAATTTCCGGTGGTTATAAGTGAATTTTGCATTTGGGATTTAACTCCACATGTGTGTTAAGTTAAGTAAATGCCTTCCCTTCGGATGAGACATCACAGTGTGACATTCTAAGCCAATGATAGGTGCTTCTTGATCCACGGAACATAGGAGGCGACTCTCGTATAAACTCCTGGGAAATTGGGACGAGCACACTCATAGCCAAAGGATACCAGGCCCAGCAAGTAGAATCTATAGCCATTGCTTTCCAGCTGAAGGAAATAAGATATAAAAGGTTCAAGTTAGTTTAAAATGAGAAAGTAAATAAGCGATACAAAAATATTTATAAAATACCTAAAATCTTTATAGAGTTAATTGTTTAGTTGAGATAAAAATTGTGTTAAGGAAGGCAGATTTTCGGTGGTAACCAAAATTCTTTTGTCTGCAAGTCATTCAAGATTTTCGTGAATTAACGAAAACATATATCTGCGTCACTGACATGGCCAATTAGCGGGGCGGAACACACCGAACCACCTTGGAGCCCAAGACTTGGCCAAAAAAACTGGTTAAACTCAAGATGACTCACGATAAGAGAGGGGAACACTCGTGTAACTGACCTGCGGCATCATGAGTGGTCCACCGGAATCCCCTTGACAGGCGTCCACGCTGGAGCTGCCCGCGCACATCACCTGCAAAGGATTAACAAAATTGGGTTTTGGGGAATTCCCCTTTGCTCAGGATCAAGTGACTTACCTTGTCACTGAACTGGACGAACTGGAAGACGGACTTGTAGCTCTGCTCGCAGGTGTGACGGGAAACGATCGGCACCTGGGCATCGCGGAGCACCTGTGATGTGGGTCCCTGGTGCTTCACAGCTCCCCAGCCGGCCACAAAGGGATTCATGCCCACAAAGTCCTGCTGCAGGAACTTGGCTGCCTCGGGCAGACAAATAGGGGCAATGTTACCTAGTGGAAAATAAATTAATAATTATAATATTATTTCATTAAATTTATAATCCTTTTACTTGGCACATTTCCATTGAAACCATTTAGCTCAATCAGCGCTATATCATTCGATATGGAGTTAAGGTCAAAGTGCTCGTGAACCACAGTTCTACGGATGCGGAAATCCATTGCTCCGGGCTCCACAGACTTGGATAGATCATGGGCACCCAATCGGACCAGAGTCAACATGGGATTGATGCAGTGCGCCGAAGTTAAAATATAATGCGTGTGAATCAAGCTGCCACCGCAAAGGAACTTTAAAGCATTCCGATTGGCCTCCTCGAAGTAGCCCAAGGCAGCTATCCAGGGATAGGCTCCTAAATAAGAAATATAATAAATAAATTTTATAAAATTTCTTATAAGAAATCACTCACCTTTTCTGGCTTCCAATCCACCCACAACTCGGTTTGAGGTAGTGCCACTTACACCACATGCCCGTGGTGCAATCTGGGCCACTGGAGGAGGAGGAGGAGGAGGCTGCACTGGAGGATTGAAACTTGGACTTATCACCGGTTGTATCTGGCTCAGAGGCGGTGTGGGCTGGAATACCATTGGAGTGGCTGTGGAGCCGCCACTCAGAGGTGAGAAATGGAAGAAACCAAAGGGTGCAGCAGTGGTAGGCAGAAGATCCTTCCTGCTCCTGGCATTGCCACTGCGATCCGAGGCACAACACACCTACACACACAGAAGGAATTTTTAACAAAGTAATCTTAAAAGAAATATATTAATTAAATTTAAAAAACTGCTATTAAATCAAAGCTAATATTTTTTTATTCTTGAAACGATTTTTTGCACTTATCCTGCTCCTGCTCATCCTAGCTTAGCATCAAATATAAAATAAATAATTCAATGCTGACAAATTTTAAGCAATAAATATTAATATTCAAGTTATAACTTAGTTAAGCCTTTTTTAGTGGTAAAACTATTGCATTTGTCTAAAATGAAAAGCTATTTTTAGGGTCTAATCAAAATAAATTGAATCAGTTTTAACTGCATAGTAATTACTTGGGTTGTCAATTGAAATAATCAAATTTAATTTAATTAGATTTAAATCAGAAAAGATTTAATAGCTTTGCCCCATTAAATTCTTTAAATGTAAATAAACAAAAACTAACATACATGATGAGAAAATGTCTATACATTGTGTGCAATAAAAGATAAAAAATGTAATAATATTAATAATAGAAAACTCTTTTTAAAAAAATGTTTAAATCTAAATTTAGCTAACATTTAAAGTTTTCATACGAATTTTAAGTATTCTGATAGCTTTCATTCTTTTGTATTTCTCATTAATATATAAAACTTGAAGCCAAAATATTACCATGAATGTGGAGCCATCGAATCCGCATATGGACTGACCCAGAAAGGTGCTGAAATCGCTGCTCTGTCCCTGATACTCCTCCATGAGCGGGGCGCAGGAGGTCAGGGGCAGGCAGCTTCCTGGCCGGGATCGGCCATCGTAACAGGATTGGGCTGTGGAAACGGGAAAAGCAGAGAGCAGGACGTGGTGACTGGGATAGGGAGTGACAGGAGGAGATTCTCCTATTTTTTACATAAATTTACTTTGCCAATTCGGTTTGCTTTACATCAATTTTGTGATCGTTTTTATTTTGACTAATTTTTTGAATATTAATTTAGAGGAAAAGGTGTGTGAGGTGTGTGTGTGTGTGTATAATGTGTGATTGATATTTTTGGGTGGTGGCTAATTTGTGATCTTAGTAGAATATCCGACGCTTTCGGCGACGACGCCGCCTACGTCCGGCATTCAGCGGCATGAACACCATTATATCCGAACCGATCTGCGGACCTCCTGGTGGTGCGGAGACCAGCGGCGAGTTCTGCTGGCGTGGATCGATGCAGGGACAATTGGGCAAAGGTCGAGTGCCGCCGGGCAGGCAAACCAGAGGCTGAGATGGACACGTGGGCACCGGCACCGGGAGTGTGGTGCCAGCGGTACTGATTGTGGTCAACCCAGTCGTTGTGGTGGTACTGCTACTCGTGGTGATCAATGGCGGCGTCACCGACGGTGTCTGCGGATAGGGCGGCGTTGGCTGGAACGTGGGAATCACTGCAGGTGTGGACGGAATCGGTATTAGTGGACCAGTTGGCTGCGGCGGTTGAGGCGGTGGGAATTGCGGTGGGAACTGCTGTGGTGGAGGCGGAGGAGGAGGCAGTGCGTAGATGGGATAGTAACCTGGCGGATACAGCGGACACCAGCCCTTGATGCTGGCCAAATACGAGAGAAACGGCCAGAAGTACACCTTTACACAGAACTCGTCCAGCAGCACCATGACCACTCCGTATCCGTGCAACCGTATCCAAAATCCGTTTATCCGTGCTCGCTGCTTGGCCACCAGGTGGCAACTGTCTCGCAACTCTCGCTTTTTTTTCGGCCAATTGCAGCCTGGCCAAGTGGAGCATGGCGGCAGATTCGTAATGACTTTAATTCAATTGTATTTTTAGTGGAACATCAATTATCCAAAGAATCGTGTGTGGAAGAGCATAGGTTCAGGGGCGGTTTTGGGAATGTGGAGGTGCCTTTTTTTTTAAATATATCATGCCTCTGATATTTTAAGCAAATAAAACCATTATTATTTAAAATAAGCTTTAAATTAAGCGTAAGCTGGCATAAAATCTTTAAGCCAAAGAAGTTTATATAAATATTATCAAGTCAATGTTGCTAAGCTGTTGGTTGCTAGGAACATGTTGCATATGGAACTGAAATATTATTATTAATTAAACTTCGTTAAACTTATACAAATACTGAATATATCAAACCTCTATGAATATTGACAGCTCTTAACAAAATATTATTTAAATGAGAAAATAAAATACACTCCATACACTCCATAGATTCTCTACTAAAACATATAATTTAATCTATACAGTACCTACTATAACGTGTAAACACACTGGTTTTTTAATAAATCATCCGATATAATGTAGATCTATAAAATGTTATGAACGATTACATCTATCATAGAGACATTACTTACAAATTTTAACCAACAACCTGACGAACACCTGCAAATGCACATTCTATTTAATTGATACACTGCATCATTATTGAAACCCCGCTAATGGCTAAGTCCAGCGACTGATTTACACCGAAATGCATCGTTAATTCTGGGGAAATTAAAATAACTGGGCCAGTGACGCTTGACATCCGATTAAAATCATAATGTCCAAGTCTGTTCAAATCATTTGCTGCTATATTCAGTGCTATTTGATGAACAGATGTTATAGACTGAAAAGCTAAATGCGGGGATTTGTTTATTATACCCTTGCAGGGTATTTTAATTTTAATCACAAGTTTGCAACGCAGTGGAAGAGCCATCTCCGACCATTTCAAGTATATATATGTTCTGGATCAGCATCAACTTTGAACATAAAGTAACTATGATCATTAATTAACTATGAGCCGTAAGTAACTATGATCAGTAAGTAGCTATGATTAGTAAGTATCAATGAACATTAAGTAACTATGATCAGTAAATAAATATGATCAGTAATTAACAATTACCAATGAGTAACTATGATCAGTTACTAACTTTGAACACTAATAAACAATGACTTGCAACTTTTGTAACACAACATATTTCTTAGACGTGGCTGGCAGCAGTCACTTCGTTCCGGGGATGTTAGAACCAGTTGGGAATCATATGCACAGATGTGCGAGAATTGTTTTAGAACAAATTTAAGCTATTTGAATGAAACTATGGACATCTTTTTCTATATAACTTTACTAGTATATAAAACGAAGCATGGCGAATCGATGGACTATATCTATACATATATGTATATATAGTTGCCATAGGAAAGATCAGTAAATAACTATGATCAATAATTAACTATGAGCAGTAAGTAACTCTGAACCGTAAGTATCTATGACCACTAAGTATATAAAGGGGACCATGGCAATAAGCAAATTAATTAATTAAAATACAAGTCATGGCTAAGAATTACCGCAGTAGAGGACACGTGACTCTTTCGTCATTGCCTACTTCCTTCAGTGTAGTGACCAAGATTGGGTGACTTCATCCTGGTCATCCAGATACATTGCATTGGCCACGTCATATTTCTGGTCTCGAAGGCTGATCACTTGCACTATCACTATCGATGTTAACACTAGGTACCCCTAGGACAGACTGAGGCGCGCGCGACCTCAGCGCCTCTATTTATAGTTCCCGAGGAGAGAGTGGAGCAGAGAAAGTGAGTGTGAGTGGGCGGGAGAGTAGGAGTTGCCTCTAGAGACTTACATAGATCGATAGGCATAGAGAGAGAGAGAGTGGGGGAGAGTCAGAGAGAAACAGCGAGCTATTTAATTAAGTAACTATGAGCAGTAAGTAACTCTGACGAGTAAGTATCTATGAGCAGTAAGTATCTATGGCCATTAAGTAACTATGAGCAGTAAGAATGTATGACCAGTAAGTACGTATGATCAGGTACTAACTTTGAACACTAATAAACAATGACTTGCAACTTTTGTAACACAACACATATCTGAGACCTGCCTGGCAGCAGTCACTTCGTTCAGGGGATGTTAGAACAAGTTGAGAATCATATGCACAGATATGCGAGATTTGTTTTGGAACAAATTTAAACTATTTGAATGAAACTATGGAGTTATTCTTCTATATAATTTTACTCATATATAAGTCAGGGCATGGCGGATCGGTGGACTATATATATACATATATATATAGCTGCCATTTGAACGATCGAAAAATTTTAAGAACAAATATGATAACTTTTCAACAGATTTTAATCAAATTTAAAATATAGCTTTTATATGTAAATATAGAATTTTGTGTAAAATTTTATGAAGATGAATTTCAATTTGCAAGGGTATACAAACTTCGGCGTGCCTTTCGTTCTTGTTTATGTTGACACATTAAATGGAATGACACTGACACGATCACATTACTCAAACAGATCTATTGGCACAATCTGTGGTGATATTTTTAAAGCAGTGACGAGGGGAGATTAAACAATAACTTACACTTGACGGGCGAGAAAATGAAGAGTGCCCAAAGAATTGTTATTGGAGTTTTAAGAACTTTAAAATTAGAGACATATATCTCACACATTCTGGATCCTCTGAACTTCACCGACGAACTGAACCCATGGGCCACTGAACCACCAGAACTTAAGCGCTGGGGGAGTCCATTAGTGGGTGTCATACATCATGAGTCAAATTATTTAATTGTGGCAATTTTCGAAATGGAATTAAATTTAATTTGCGGCCAATAGCTGACTGCTTTTTTTCGGGGGATGAACTTGAAAAGTTGAAGGATGGGAAAGCTAGAAATCCCCTCTCTAAATAGGGTTAATGCTATTTTTGAATTACATTTTCAGATGCGCTTATTTATTGTTGTTCTTGTTGTTGTTGGGAAAACGAAAATTCAATTAAATCTAAATGCCGACTACGACTACCTTGATAACGTGCTGTATAGATATTAATATATATAGTTTAGAATATATGGGTATTGTGTATGTGTGTGCGTGTGTGTGGTGTGCTAGTTGGAAGGACCTCGTCCTTCTCTACTCTCGGTGCTTGCAGTCAAGGAAGAGCTGAGCCTGCGATTGCACAAAGTGAAAGATCTCGAGGAGCATCTCATTGGAGGTGCGGCAGTTGCCATGAACAGGCTCGAAGAAGGATGCTGTTGAGCCACCATTAGCTCCACCCACCGATCGCTTGCCCCAGTCCGGCGAGAAGGTCAACTAGGAATGGGAAGACATTAATTGAAAGATCTTAGTTTAATGTTAAAAGTACTCACCTGACACTCCACGCAAGCCAGCAGCATCAGGACAAGCACGGCTGCAACCAGGACTTGGCTCTTGGGATTCATTCTGTGTACTACTGCTGCTCAATCTCTGGAAAGGATGCTTTTATACTCCATCAGTCAGCTCCCAGCTCCATCTGTCAGTTAATTAGTCAGGCACTTGTCAGGATTCCCCAATTAATTACTCCTGCCTCAATGGCAAGTACAATTCCACTCCAACAAAGCCGTCATAGACAATGAAACAGGCGGCGTCTATGTGGAAGCATTTGTGATTCTCCGTGTGTGTGTTTTTATTAGAATTGCGCATATGTTTTATACTTTAAATATAATTATATATTTATTTAGATACAATTAAATAAGTTCGTTAAATTAAGCAGTGTGTATAAGGGAGTTAAACGAGATTGCGGCTCAAGCAACAACACAGTTTGCAAATACATTGTGGCAAAACATAGAATCAAAAGATGTTATCCTTAAGGAGCTGAGCTGAGCTTGGGTTTTGTGCGCCTTGCAGCTTACAAAATGGGTGAGTAGGACACGGAACTGGTTTAGCTTTCTACGCGCGCGAGAACGAGGCACTCAATGTTTTTTGTTTTGTTTTTGTTACAACAAAATCGGATTGTAAGCAGTTTTTAGTTTATAATATGTATATACGTGTATATATTAGTAGTAAATAACAATACAAATTACAATAACACATTATTACGTTTTGGCTTAATCGAAACAAACGCTCTGGGGGTCAGTTATTGCCAGTTATCATATATAAAAACAAATGGCCAGCAGCGGTGCCGGCCACGCACAATTGGTAATATAGTAATCATAGAAAACATTCGTCCTTAAATAATATTACAAAAATATATGTAGAAATATATATATATATATATATATATATAAATATATATATCATATATTATGTGTGTGTACAATGTTATCCGTGTATGCGTGTGAATCTGTTGTATATATCTAACTATATATGCGTGTTTTCATTTACTTTCCTTCTTAGTGTTTGAGTTTTTAGTTATTGGGCTTTTGAGTTTCTTCGTTAGCTATTTGAAAGTGGCGAAGCTTATTCGATTCTTTCGTTGCACCTGGCTCCTGGCTCCAGGTAGAAATGCAATTCGTTTGGGCTCGTTTTCTGTCGCACGGTTACTGGTTTCATTTACTGGTTACTTGGTTTGTGGTTTATCGTCTTCTCAACGGAATTCAAAGCTCAGTCGACGCGTGTTTCGAAAATTTGGTGTTATACTCGATAAATGGTTTTGGAGATTCTTACATCAGGCAGCACTTCCTCTTGCCCTTCTTCTTGTAGTCCTGCTCGATGAACGGACGCTCGGCGATCTGGAATTTGCGCACGATCCGCACCAGCTCGTGGAAGGCCTGATCGACATTCACTCGCAGCTTGGCACTGCACTCGATGTAGGGCATGATGAGGCTGCGACTGGTGTTTTGCGCCTCCTCCAGCGACACCTGCCGCTGGTGCTCCAGGTCACACTTGTTGCCCACCATCAGCATGGGGAACTCGTCGCGGTCCTTCACACGCAATATCTGGCGCTGGAACTTGTGGATCTCATCGAAGCTGGAATGATCGTTGAGCGAGAAGACGAGCAGAAATCCCTCGCCGGAGCGCATATACTGCTCTCGCATGGCACTGAACTCCTCTTGCCCGGCCGTATCCAGAACTGAGTAAGTAAGTAAGAGATATAAATTAGAGAATTTCAGGCTGAGATCACTTGATATACTTACTGTCCAACTTGGCTGGCACATCGTCGATAACGCACTGCTTCGTGTAGGAGTCCTCGATGGTGGGATCGTAGTCTGTGACGAAGTAGCTCTGCAAGATTTAGATCAAGAATATTTATCACTGCGCGCTCTTCACGTTTGTTTACACACGTCCAAGACGACGCCACTTTATCATCAGCCGCCGCTGCCCCGCCGTGCTTTATATCTTTTTGGGGAAAATCTACGGCGTATCTATGTGTGTGTGTGTGTGTGCGCGCCTGGGATGGATACAAAAGCAAAAGAAAGATGTGGGGGTGACGCAAATGCCTAAAAATAAATGGAATGAATGGTCGTGACCATGGCACAACACACACCGCACTCCGCACACCACACACCAAATCGATCGGATCAGGCCAGACCAGACAGGGGCACACCCAAAAGCCACAACTCCGCGACGCTTGACCGTACGTAGCATCCATCCAGTGCCCAAATGGGGATACATACGGGGGCGTGGCCGCGATGATCTCCGCTCGAAACTATGCAGCACACACAGCACACGCATGTCCAAACACACAGACGCACCTCGCTTGTTGCTTTGCTTTGCTTGTTTGTTGCTTTTGCCAAAACAAGGGCCCACCTCACCGTCCCGCTCTACTCCTTCCCCAGTTCTGCTGGTTCCCTATGCGTGGCACCGCCGGACTGCAACGAGGGCTCACCTGGATGAACTGTATCGTTATGGCCGATTTGCCTACACCGCCGCCGCCGACGACCACCAATTTGTACGTTTGCATCTGCATTTCCGCGTTAATTTCGACCAGTTGGCCAGCTAACTTCTTTTATTTTCCTCGACTGCCAGTGTGACCGCGCTTGTAACTATTAAACACCTAAAAATACCTCCGAAACGCTTGTAAACTGTCATAAGAAAAGGTGGTGGAATTGGAGAAAGTAACAATGCCATTGTCATAAAAGAAGGAAAGATAATTGGTTTAAGGCTTTCATAAGAAATGGTGGTGTAATTGGATACAGCCTCTTTCATAAAAGGAGGATTGATATTAGAAATGGTTATATTAAAAGGTGCTGAAACTGGATAAAGTAGCAAAGCCATTTTCATAAAAGGAGGCCACAAAATACCAAATTATAATACCGAAAGTCATCTTTTCTTGGCGCGCAATCTATGGTCATACTGCTCCCACGCTTGTTTATCGCCGCATAAAAAGTTTGTTTGGTTTGGAAATTCGCAAATTACTCGAAAAATGCCGGAAGATATGGAAGTCCAAGTGGACGACAAGCGGAACAACTTGCCATGGATCGAGAAGTACCGCCCGGTGAAGTTTAAGGAGATTGTAGGCAACGAAGACACCGTGGCGCGCCTCTCCGTGTTTGCCACTCAGGGAAATGCACCCAACATAATCATTGCAGTGAGTATAGGAAAGAAAGTATCTTAAGTGGTCACTATTTGATGTTCCTTCGCCCCAAAAAGGGTCCCCCTGGCGTGGGCAAGACCACCACCATCCAGTGCCTGGCGCGAATTTTGCTGGGAGACAGCTACAAGGAGGCGGTGCTCGAGCTGAATGCCTCAAATGAGCGCGGCATCGATGTGGTGCGCAACAAGATCAAGATGTTCGCCCAGCAGAAGGTAACATTGCCTCGCGGCCGCCACAAGATTGTGATTCTGGACGAGGCCGACAGCATGACGGAAGGTGCCCAGCAGGCCCTGCGTCGCACCATGGAAATCTACAGCAGCACCACTCGTTTCGCCCTCGCCTGCAACACCAGCGAGAAGATCATCGAGCCCATACAGTCCCGCTGTGCCATGCTGCGCTTCACCAAGCTCTCCGACGCCCAGGTTCTAGCCAAGCTCATTGAGGTGTCCAAGTGGGAGAAGCTCAACTACACAGAGGACGGTCTGGAGGCCATTGTCTTCACCGCCCAGGGCGACATGCGTCAGGGGCTGAACAACTTGCAGTCAACTGCCCAGGGCTTTGGTGACATCACCATGGACAATGTGTTTAAGGTCTGTGATGAGCCGCACCCCAAACTCCTGGAGGATATGATCCAACACTGCGCTGCCAACGACATTCACAAGGCGTACAAGATCCTGGCCAAGCTCTGGAAGCTGGGCTACTCGCCTGAGGACATCATCGGCAACATCTTCCGCGTCTGCAAGCGCATCAACATCGACGAGCACCTGAAGCTGGAATTTATCCGTGAGATCGGCATCACCCACATGAAGATTGTCGATGGCATTAACTCCCTGCTCCAGCTGACCGCACTGCTGGCTAAGCTATGCAATGCCGCCGAGAAGCACTGATTTGTTGATTAAAAATTATATTTAAGAGAAAAGACATTTATAGAATTTTGTTTATGTTTGGTGGGGAAAAATGAGGGCACTCTGAGGAATAGTTTTAAATATTTGGAATTCTTAAATTAAATTCGCTGCGATATTTATCGATTACAGTCCAATCAGAATTTGTATTTTTTATATTCTACATATTTTTTTAACATGCAGTGGCCCATGTGACGTTATTTTTGTTATTGATTTAACAAAATTTTATTTTAAAGATGAAATGAAGCTAATTTCGTAGTCCTGCAGTTGATCATTAATAATTAATACAATATAAATTATATATGTATATATTATATTATATTATATATGTATATTTGTGTTAAAAACTAGGAAGTAATACTTTTCATTACATTTACCTTTACGTATTATTTGTACAATTTTGCATTTAACTATCGTTTCTATGTGATCTATATAATATAGTAGTGCGATTTTCATAAAATTAAAACCGAAATTCTGAAAAAATGCAAAATGGGTACATATTAAATTAGATAAAAATATGTTGAAAACTGGAATAGGTTGAATTTGTTCTGTTGGATGTAATTTTTTAAAGATAACAAAAGTAATAATACCAATAAAATTAAAAAGAAATGAAATAGCTAAATTTTACAACACATTAAGACATCGATAACCACCCAAAAACCAAACACTATTTCAATCGATATTCATTCCTCAGGTCGGGAAGTCTGGTCACACAGAGTTTAAAAAGAGGTGTTAAAAGAAAATTGCGGGTTAATTTTACAGATTGAGAGCACTACCAGGGCTTACGTTTAGTTTTGATCCGATAGATACTTTTGTATCTTTTGGGATTTTTGTAAAACTAAATTGATTGAGCTCGCGTTCTCAAATTTTTCCCGTTTTCCCAACTGGCTATAGCTAGTTGCAAATTCCAAAAGCTTTTCCATACGATTTTCTAGCTAAATTGCCTTTCGACGCGAGAAATACTCATGTTTTGCAACACTAATTTCTGAACGTTTCGGTTGTGGTTCCAGAAAGAATATGGCGAGTCTTGGGGGCCAACACGAAAATATTTCGAATAATCCAGAAGGTACGCATTGAAAACAGGCCCGCTGAGTGCGAAATTGAGGGATAAGGCCCGGGGCAGGTGCGGCGCGTCGAAAACGGCCAGGAAATCCGCGTTTTCGGGACATTGGCAAGGCCAAAAAGTGCTGGTCGAGTGCGCAGCAAACGGCAGCACTCACACCACGGCCAAAGCAAACGGAGTGAAAAAAGAGGAAAAGCAAGAGGAGAGGAAGCCAGGAGAAGTGTCTGCCCGTGTTTTGGGCTCCCCCAATCCGTCGTCCGGAGTTTTTGAGTTTATAAATAAGTTTAGTGTCTCCAGTTCGCAGCAGCAACAGCAGAGCGAGAGGGCAAACACACATTTTCCCAACATCTCTCGCTTCGTCATCGCAGCTGCTGTTTGTTTGTGTGTGCGTGCGTGAGTGTGTGTTTGCGTGCGTGCGTGTGTGTTTGTGTTTGTCCGTCTGTCCTTTTCGTTCGTCCATCCGTGTTTTTGGTGTTCTCCTTTAACCGCTGCTTCTTCTGGCTGAACGAACGGCAATTGATTTTCCCCCAAGTTCCTGCGTGAAAACTCCGGAAAAATCACACTACTCACCTGCCGCCTCCCTCTTCGTTTACTTTCAGTGGAAAACACATCCAAGCGACCAGAGAGCCGCGAGGGCAGCGTCGAGCGAAAAGGTAAGTCTGCCTGAAGGCCTCTTCCACTGGGATTATCGCGATTTGCGAGTTATATAAACAGTAAAATCAGCACATTCGCACACTCATTCACCTTGCTAATACATGCAAATGTTGTGTATACGTATACACCGCTCCAATCAACTCCAGCCCACGCATTCGCACCTGCCAAGTCGGCGGTAAAGAGCACGACGACAACGGGCTGCGGCGCCGGCGCAACCTTGCATTGGTTTGCCCAGGTGGGCGGCGGCGGCGGCACCTCATCCGAAGAAGACTCTCAAGGTAGTTGACATTCCCGAGCCACGCCCCGTCCCCCTCCTGCTCTGCATACCTGCCGCATGATCTCACCAAACAAAAGAGCGAACTTAAGGCCTGTTTAGTGGGCCTCCTTATCGCTGGCTTAACCCTCCAAAGACCCCTGTGACAGGTCTGGGACAAGCCGGGATATGTAAAAAGAATCTTTGATAGTTGACGTTTCAGGGATAGCATTTTTGAACTATTTTTACTTGCTTTGAGATACTTTTCTCTGCGAAAAGAACAAGTACTTTACTTCATAAAAGCCACAAGGGAATAGTTAATACAAAACTTCTTAGATCTGTTTTAAACCATGTTCTTTGTGTGCTTAGGTTTTAAAAAATAGATGTAAAAAGAAAACTACATTGCTTTTGCAGTGTGATAATCATTCTTCTTACTTTATTGGATGTCCCAAAAACTCTAAAATTGCATAGACTTTATTACTTATCAGTTTATTTTACTTATCAACTAAAAAAAAGCAAATAATCACGCTTACTAACAGAAGAACTTTATGAATTGATGCGCCATAGTTTCCTTAATGACCAACACGAAAGCCTACTCCTATACAAGATTTGTATCGAACTTTTGGAAATTAAAAAAGAAACACTATTTTGAATAAGTAGCCACACCTTATTTAAACAAAAAACAAGTAATAAAACGAACTACGGAGATCCGAAATTCATACACCCTTTGAGTTTGAAAATGGATCATAACCCAGCTTAAAATATTCGGATTTCAATCGATGTTTATTAATATTTTTATATGACAATTTTATCGAAAAATCCAATTTTAAAAAGTTCATAACTTGGCCAAAAATGCATTAATTTCAAGTCGGAAAGCTTTTCTATGTTAGTTTTTACTAGGTTAATAAATATACATACTCTATTTAAAATTTAGAATAATTAAATTTTTGATCAATTTTTGAGAATTTTAATGATGTAACCCCTTTTAAAATTTTTAAATTTTCGAAAAAATTTAAAAATTTTATTTTTTGACCGGACATGGCTAGATCGATTTGGCTCTTAATTCTGATCAAGAATATATATGATTTATAGAGTCGGAAATGACTCCTTCATATAGTTAATATTTTCTGACTAAAATAATAATACCCTTCAAGGGTATACAAGTTTTAAAGAATTAACTCGGTGTATCTTGTTTTACCAAAGAGAATTAGCATTTACAGCTTCGTTGCAAAAACAACATAGTAATTAGTTCAAGTTCCTACTCTCGAAAGGTGTATTTCTGTAAGATATTCTAAAACCAAAGGCATTCGGAGTGTTAACATTCTTTAAAATTTTACTGCGACCTTGGCCGCTGATAATTTTCCATTTGTGTGAATATTTTCACACATGGAGCAAAGAAATGTGAAATGACAAGATTGACTTGCAGCAGTTGTTCCTTTGTCGTCTCCCACTTACGTCATGGAATTCCAAAAATATCTTGGCCGATAACGCCGATAAGGCCCAGTTCGATTATGCAGACATTTTCCGGTAACCAGCCGTATGTTTCTTAATACAAATATTATTGTTATTATTTATTATTCTTTTCTTTTCGCACCGCTCTCGCATATTTCTCTGCTCGCGCCTCAATGTCATTTCAATAGAACGAGAAAATAAAAGAGGAAAAATGTGCGCTTGCATTTGCTTTCTATTTTTTCGCCTTATTTTGCGAAATGAGAGGGCGTTTAGTGTCCGTGTATTTGTGCCATTTGTTATTGTTGCTCATACTCATGCCACACACTCGACGTAGTTTTGTCAATTGACCCACAAAATGTGAGCGTACATCGTCGGTGACGTCAGCAGTGCGAGCTCTCTTGGTAAATAACTAGCCGGCAAAAGGCCAAAAAAAAGGTGGCTAATAAAGCGAATTTTATATTGATTTTTTTGTTTTTGGGCCACAGGTAGAGCTTTCCAGACGGAATAATTCCCACTGTTATTTGCCTGCGAACGTAACATTGTTTATCATCGAGTTAACCCCTTTACATCCAATAATATCTTGCTAACTGCGTGTTCCTTTTTTTGTAGCGTCCAAAGACCGCGAGGAGAAGCTGAAATATGCACGCGACCGACAGAATGAGGAGCGGCAGCGCAAGATCGAGGAGCTGCGTGCCCAGGCGGAGGCCGCCCAGCGGTACCGCGAACAAAAGGAGGAGGAGCGACGACGACGCATCGAGGAGATACGAGTGCGCGACACAGAGAAGCGGCACCAGGTGGAGGAGCGCAAGAAGGCCATCTTTGAGGCCGAGAAGGAGCGTCGCGAGTATATTCTCAAAAAGAATCAGGTAAGGGACCTTGAAATACCATCTATCTGAAGCTATTTTTAATGGAAAATCTTCTTGCAGGAACGCGATTCCCGAATAGAAGTTAAGAAACGAGACAGGAACTCTATTGGTTTTGCCTTTGGCTCCTCAACTCCTCGTCTGCTGGATGTGCCCGCGGATTATGGCCTGGTATCGCCCAGTGCCTTTTGGGGTCAGCGGAGGTGAGGCCGCAATATAAATATGATACGATTGTGAGCTTAAATCTCTCATGGAGCCATTCATGACTACCTAGGCTATACTTTTTAACAGAATTCATCTGTGCTGTGACTAATTATTAGCTTTATTTCGAGTGACATGCTAGAAATGGGGGCTTAATTGTTATGAACAGTATTTAGATCAAGAGAATAGTCAAAATCAATGTTTTACAAGAGTAAAATAAAAGCACTTGTAGGAGGCTTTTAATATTTCAAATATATCAGGCATTAATTGTTAATAATTATCTATTTATTATATCAATTATAAGTATTAATTATGAATTACTCCCTCCACAGATCGACATCTATATCGAACGTAGCGGGCGCCTCGCTCTCACGTCGAAGTTCAGAGCGTGAACTTGCCGACAGTGGTGCTAAGAAGCGTGCCTCATCCTCCACGGACAGACACGACGGTGAGTACCCAATGCCCCATGGCGTCACTTAGATTACCCCCGAAACACACAAAAACACACAATACAATATACAACATTCGCAGAGACACTAAACACTGACACACACACACAACACACACCATAATGAGATTAAATTTTACTTTGCAGTTATCGTTATCGTTACCTTAGACACTCGTAATTGACCAGTTATTGTTTACATGTGTCCCATAGAGATTTCTATAACCTTACTCTCTACTATGTTATCTCCCCTTGCGGGCGCTGACCGTGTACATGTGAATTTCTATAATTATATAGATATAACCCTATATACCGAACACCTTCTCACACGGCACACGATCACCTTTTATTATCTCTCTTTATTTCCTTAACGATTTTTGTTCCGATTTCGAATAAATATATGTATTTGATTTGCACTCAAAAGCTACACACCTCTGTAACAAAGTTCACTTCTCTCTACTCTCCTCTCTCTGAAACGAATCGAACCACAAAATACCGTGCATTCTCACACAGATCACCGACGAAAATCCTCGTCCATGTATGAGGTATTCAATTGGGGCTACTCCAATGATGAGCCGCCCAAGCGCTTCTCGCTCTCGATCGCCGGCAGCGAGATAAATATCGATGGGCCGGCTAATCCGCCCAGTTCCTCCTCCAACAAAGCAGCAATAGCGCACAGACCCAATCCGACAGCAACAGCTACAAATATTACACCAATAGCCACAAGCACCACAGGCGCAGGCCACATCAACTACAACAACAACTATAACCATAACTCGTATCGTAAGGGTGAGGGTTCTTCCAACTTCTACTCCTGTTCTCAGCTCGTTCCTGTTCTTAACTCAACTCGTTCTGACCCCGTTTTTATTGTTTTTCTTTTTGCCGTAACCCCGTAACCCCGTAATCTTAACCCACGCCCGCCGTAAGCTCTTAACTCGTTGTCTCTACCCCTACCTAACACCCAACCACTCAAAAGGCATGTCTTTCGCCCCCAGTTTTTGCATGATCTCTTATCCCTCCGTCCCACAGTTTGTACAGATTGCTTTAAAAGCTAATCCTTGAAAAGCAGCATCGGTCGTCTGTATATGATTCCAATGTAGATTTCGACAAAAAAAAAGCATGGTTGTTTTGTATTGAAAGTGTTTACACTGGTTTTAAGATGATTGTAATTACGAAAAAGATGGAACTCTTAGGATTAGCTTTGATATATAAACATTATATCACGTGAGGATATATTTCCAATTCATTAACATCCAAGATTTGATTTAGGAACTCTAAGAACCATATAGTCTCTCGACTCTTTGTAGTGAACACTCTTTTTAGATCAAAATAAACTAATAAATATACTTAAACAATAAATTGTTTAAATTTTCTAGTAACAATAAGGTATCAATGAAAATCATCTAAGAAATTCAAGTGTAAGCACTTTCATTCAGTTTTTTTGAGCTATTTTCGCTTTTGGTTTATCTTGTTCCTAGTCTCGTAAGTCCAGTATCATTTTTTAGGCCGAAAGAAAATTCTTTCGGTACTGTATCTTAAAATTCCAAATTATCAAAATAAAAAAATAAAACTTTAAAATTCAAAAAAAGAAAACCAAACAACCCAAAAAACCGAATATTGCAGAAGATAGCGTTGACACATCACCCATGGTGTTCCGAAGCGTTTACCGCAGGAAAACGGACCTCATGCCGACAATACCCAGCCCCCGAGACGGGCATTACTACGGGTCGCGCAGCTCCCTGAGCACCACGCCGGCCAGAACCCCAGGTAAGACCCACCCAGTCGATCCGCCATCCCATCTACCAAACAAACATACACACACCGCTCTCCGAATGGCAATCAGAATCAGCTTCCATCGTCCAGCTACTATGCATCATCATTATCATCATCATCAATCAGCTCCATCTTCATGCGATTTCCATCTGCGATTTCCATCCAATTAGTAGAGTTTTCTTTTGGTTTAGCCCATTCCGGACCAAGAGTTGCCCCTCCAAGCCAAGTCCCCCTGAATTTGCATCCGTCGGTTTGCTGCTTTTTGGGCAGAGAGAAAGTGAGAAAAAGAAGGAGCACACTCTTCTCTCGAAGCACCTCAACACACAAAACTTTGTTCTTCGCACAACAAACCCACACACACACACTGTACAAAGAACACACACACACACTTCACTTGTAAACACCATTCTGTAGCCCAGTTGTCCACATCTATTTGTGCCGTCTCCTATGTTGTAAACTTCAGTTGCGATCCAAATGGAGGGTAAAGTCTTGCTTAAATATATATTCCAAAAACACATGCACCTTTATTTTGAGAGCAACTGCAAGTAGATAAGCTACGTAGCTTTGTAAGGATCGCTCCGCAGCCAGTAAATGCCGGGCTCGCAACGATTCACGCCAAAAACAAATACTCAACCAACTTTCAACTGAACCGCAGGACGGGCCTACTCGATGAACCGCTTGGACCAGCTGGCGCAGCCGATACGCCGCAACGGGGAGCATGTGCGGGCCATTCTGGAGCGGGAACGACGCGAACGGGAACTGGAGATGCTGCACGAGACCTCCTCGCTGGGAGGCGGCGGCGGGCGGAGAGGCCCGGCCGGCAGTGCACGATCCCGGCGAGCTGGAAGCGCCGGTAGCGGTAGCTCTAGTGCCGCCGGCATCATGTCACGCAGCATGACCCACCTGGCCGGAGGCGGCGGTGGCCAGCAGCGGGAGCGCGGAAAGTACTCGCTGGGCGGCGGTATATCGACCAGCTTCCGGCCGCTGGCTAGCGGTGCCGGCGGGCAGCGGGACACCACCAGTAAGAGCATGACACAGATTAGCAGTTGGTCGGTTTATGGCAGCACAGCACCACAACAACCCAATTACCACCACAACCTGCACCAACGCCAGTCCACACTCGGCCTGCAAACTGCAGCGACTAAGAAATACCTCCAGTCATCATTTGCCTCAACCTCATCCTTCAACGCATCCTTCCGTGGGAACGCGAACGCGATTGGGCGTGGGCGTGGCCAGCAGCAGCAATATGCGAACTCTACTAACCCCCACCGTTTTTTCGATTTCGATCCCAACTCATTGTTGCTCATGAACTCTGCTAGTTTGTTAGTGAATGCAGGTGTGTGCGATTAATCAAAACCCCAAAAACAATCAACCATTTCGAACTACCAACAATAATCACTCCAAAAACACCAACACACACTAGCACCTGAACACCACACCGCACTAAATACTTAGCAGATTTTGAATAGCGTAACCATTTACTCAAGTAGCTAGCAATAGCACACAATTGGCTAACTTGAACTATCACAACAAATACTCCACAACACTCCAATGACCACAGAACAACAACACTACATAACACACCAACATAGGCTTTGGTTCCCCACATAAATCGATTGATCGATCGATCCATAAAAAGACATACGAAGAACGACCGATCGGTAGTGTCCAAGTTCATTTGAGCAGCAATTATTGATTCAACTCCCATTTCATAAGCAACTATACATAGAAATCTTGGTTATGCTTAGTTTGAGAAATCATTAATGCCATTAATCTATGTTTTATTTTGCCCATAAGTATTCAAGATACTCGAAATCTTTAAATGACCATGTTCAAGACTTAAATATTTATTGGAAGAAGAAAATAGTGATAAACAATTTAAAATTCAGAAAGAATCGAGAGCCAGACTCATAGCCTTGTCTATTACCACGAAAATTCCATAAATTAAGTCTCAAACGCACTGCAGTTGTCCAATCTTACATCTCGTTCGGATATTCATCCTGCATACATAATAGGGATGCCTGAAAATATCTATAAATCGATACTCTCATTGTGCATCCTTTATTCATACACATTCCGATAGTAGGATCCTTTTGTTTGGGGTCTCCTTTGGTCCATATTGTTTGCTGCTTGTTGTCGCCCATCTGTCGGTCGTTTCGTTCGTATGTATCCACTTAGTTACACATTATTTTTTATCTTTTTATACAATTATTATGGTGAATTGGAAAATTCATTTAGCTTTTAATTTTTAATATTATTATTATGATTTTCATTTATATTTATATATTTTAGACATCATATAACATATATTTACATACAAACATATGTACTGGGTATTGTCTGAAACTCTGGTATTGGGTATATGTTATTATTGGTCCTTGGTTTTACTTTGTGTCTCCTCCTCCTACAGCTCCTCATTATGTTTGCTCGCTATGTGTAAGGATTGGGAATCCATTTAGTCTGTTGGTACTTTCTTGGTTAACTTGTGTCTACATTTGGCTTTGCGTTTTCCTTCTTCCCTGTGTAACCCCTTCAATAATGGTACACTCACTCTGGTGACGGTCACAACAGAACTCACGTACGCTTGATTTGGTGCTCCACATTTAGCTCATCCATAATATATTGACTCTCCCAACCCCCTGAGTGCGCAACCGCCTTTTGTGATGACCCTTCTAATCCAAAATTTGATTCCCTAGGCTCGCGATCGGGAAATGCCACGCCCGGCGGACACTACAACAGCAGCTCAAGGCCCGGCAGCGCCATGTCCACATCGACAAATGTGTCCACATCCGGTCTGGTGCCTAGACGACCGGCAACTGCGCCCCGAAAACCGCGACCCGCCAGCATTGCCGGCACTGGCATGTCTCTGGATGGTAAGTCCTAAAAAAAAACCCCTCTTTAATACGAAAGTGTAACCATGTGTAGCTCTTGCAGAGATTAACAAGCTGAAGAAGGATCACCAGAAGCCGCCCGTAAAGACGACAGCCGCCTCGCCATCCGCACAAACGACCCCAAAACGAACTGCGAACCTTATGTCCACCTCTATGATCGTGACCTCCAGCTCGACGCGACTGAGCAGTGCTGAAAAGAAGACAACACCGAAAAGGGTAAGGTCTTAGTTCTATTGATTGATTACATTTAATTTATTCTTTATAATAATAAAATGTATCTCACCAGGAACCCTTGGTACCCAAAGCGGCATCCGCTTCCAAGGCTCTGTCCAGTCGCACGGCCAGCTCGGAGCGTATTAGCCGGCTCAGCAAGGAGCCGAAAACCAAGGATACCTCTGCGATGACCCGGTCCATGATCGTCACAAGCAGCAGCAGCTCTACTATGACGACCACCACAAAAGCAGCGCAGGCAGCACCGGCAGCTGCATCCGCTCCTGCTCCTGCTCCTGCTCCAGCTCCATCTGCTGTTCCAGCTGCCGAGCAGAATGGCACAACCAAGGAAGCTGAGAAGACGCCAGCAGAGGTTCCAGTTCCGGCTTCTGCCGAAGCCCCCCTTGCTGTGGCTCCCTCTGTAAGCAAGGCTGAAAAGGAGGCCCTGAATTCCTCGGAGAAGACGGAGGAAGTGGCGCGTCAGGAGGAGCAGGTGGCCACTCAGGCTATGGAATCCGTGCCCGAGGCTTTGGTTACCTCAGTTAATGTAGAAGAAAAGGCCGATGAGGGCACTGAGAAGGAGACTCCCAAGCCGCCGCAGGAGCAGGCTGCGCCCAAAAAGCCGCGCAGCAAGGAGAACTCCGAGGTGCGAGAACTGACGCCACCGGAGGGCGGAGACCTGATGACGGCTTCAATGATGGCCAAGAAGATCACGACCGAAGAGGAGGCAAAGGCCGCTTTGGCTGAAAGACGACGCCTGGCCCGCGAGGAGGCCGAACGACAGGCGGAATTGGAGCGCCAACGACTGGAGGCAGAGCGCCTGGCCGAGCTGAAGGCTCAAGAGGAGGAGGCTGAGCGCCAGCGTCTGTTCGAGGAGGAGTCCACCCGCCTGGCTGAAGAGCAGCGCCGCGCTGAGGAAGAGCGCCTGCGCAAGGCCATTGAGGTAAGGAACACAAAGAAAATAACAATTTGGAGTTACTTATATCCTTTTTCGCTTTGCAGGAAGCCCAGCAGCGCGAGAAGGAGGAACAACGCAAGCTCGAGGAGGAGGAGAAGCAGCGCATTGAGCGCGAGGAGGCCGAGAAGAAGGCCAAGGAGGAGGCAGAGAAGCAGCGTGTTGAGGTGGCCGAGCGGCTCAAACGCGAGGAGAAGGAGCGCGAGGAGCGTCGCAAGCGAGTGGAGGCGATTATGTCGCGTACCCGCAAGGCAGGTGGGGCTGCCAGCACGCCCGCTAAGGTAAAAGGATACGATTTTCCAAATAACTACGAATTCTAAAGCTGAATTTTTCACAGGACGCCAACGACAAAGCCACTACCGCTACGGCAGCAGCTCCTGCCGATAGCAGCAGCAGCAACAGCGACAGTGGCAGCAGCAACAATTCGGCTGGAGGCTCGCCCAGCAGCACTACAGATGCCAAGCCAGCGCCCGCAGCAGCACAGGATGCGGTCACGGAGCCACCGAATAGCCAGGCAATGTATGAGCAATCGGTGCTAGACAAGGAGAACTCGCTCATCAACAGCTTCTCCACAATGATCATCGACGAGAACGCCAAGAACCTGCAGCAGGTGAGCAACGGCAAGTTGCTGGTGGACTTTGAGGGCAGCAATGCTACCCCGGCGGTGGCCAATGGCAATGGCCACATCGAGAGTGTCAACAACAAGAAGTGAGCACAGAATTATTTTAATTAATTTCATTTTACTAACGAATTTTGTAATCCTTAGCGACATCAATCTGCTGCAGGATGTTGTTGCTCCAGTTGCCAGCCAACTGATCGATCTGAGCATCGAGTCACAACAAGATCTGCACCTGAACAACAACAACAGCTTGCTGACGAGCACAGCGGCAACCACCACGCTAGTCACTGCTGATAGTCACGAGAATAAGGGTACTATAAAGATACATCTGCGCAAGTATTCCCACTAAGTGTCCTTTTAATCCCACAGATATATCGTTGCTGTGAATTGGATGAGAGGAAACCAAAACCTGATTGTGTTTTCGAGAACCCAAATCTGGATATAGCTAAATGTGTGTGGAGAGTTGGAGTATTTATTTATAGGATGAGAGATCTATAAGGGAAAGCGAATGCTAGTGTGGAGAGCGTGCGACAAATTATGGTTACTAAAGAACACAGGAAAACAAACGTAAAAAGCTTATAAAAACCTATATATAACGTACACACTATATATATATATATATATAGATAGAGCTGAGATCAGAATCAGAATGGGATATGGAAGGAAGAGCCTGATATCGAGGAGCGAAACAAAAAGTGAGAGAGCAGCTGCAAAATTATAATTAGTTAAGAACTAAGACAAACCCTTAAAGAGAAGGCTTGGGATAGAATGGAGGAAAAATTGGGATCCTCCTCCCCAGAGTTCGGGGATCGTTTGCGAAGCAATTCAATATCAAAGAAAATGAAACATTTGATGCAATTTTTCGATTCGATTCGATGCGTTTCGTTTCGAATCTAATTTAATTACGAACTCGCTTCAAAAGTTGAAAGTGCATGCTTACATTTGAGTATAACTTGAGCTAGACGCGAACGCGGCGTATATAATTGAAAATTATATAAAGATTAGTAGACAAGCCCCTCTAGTTTAAAACAACGCGAGATTCAACGCCGCAAGTGAGCAATAAACGGAAACGAAGACGCGGTATCGACATACCATTAAAACCCATCCACATCCACAGCGCCTCACTGCTTTATTTTTGCCCAACTTTGCACAGTGTGTTGTTCTGTAAGTTAAGTTTACTACATACTACGTTGAGCCAACGAATCGTGCGGTATTATTTATTAAAAAACAAAAAACAAAACAAACTAAACAAAAAAAAATAGGAAAACTAAAATTCAATTGAAATTATTTGCTGATACTGATCGAAATCGAGAGCAAATATAGCTAGCTTCGGATTATATATATATTCAACCATTGCAATGCTGTAATCACAGATCACAGAGTCAGTGTGCTTGATACTAGGAGATCCCTAGTGGAAATATTATGATGATGTAATTGTACTATTTGTAGTAGGAGTCCAAAATCTGATTATGCTTATGTGTCGCCCCCTTTTTGTAATTATATAGCAAAGTTCTCTGTACATTATTGTCTATTTTGCGTCTACGTATATATTTTTTGGTATCACTTTTTTATACACTTATACACACACATTTATATTTGTAATTTGTATTTATCCATGTGCAAAAGAAAAAAACAAAAATAAATTATGATGATTATTTTTAAAGAGTCGTCCCCCAGATAACAGATTGTAAAAATGAAATCGATTTAAATATAGTAAGAGAAAAGCATCCCATATCCCATATAAAGACTACACCCACTTGTATCTGAGCGAAAGGGCCTTAAAGCAACAGTTAGAACGATGCATGAGAGAGATCGATTGGCAGGCAGGATTATATTATTATATGGAACGTTTCGCATGCTGAAACCGTTGATAGATTAATATATATTATGTAATGGCAATATGTGTATGAAACTAATAAGCCCTAACTTCTAGTTAATTACTGCTTTCCTATGTTATAAACCTAATGGCGATATAATCAAAACAAAAGACAAACCCCACATAATAAATCAAATGATTGATGCTGCATTCGAAACCCAAACCGAAATCTTTAAAGATCAAGCTGAATTATGTATTTTAATATTATATATATCACACACACAGAACACAAAACACAAACAACTAAGAACACGATAAACAGAACAACAAATAAATTATACAAGCAATTCCTCTATTTATTTTAGAACAAAAAACACACACTAAAAACACAAAAGAATTTTGCTTCTTATCGTAAATCCACAAAAAAAAAACAATTGCATAATTTATACGATTACCTAAACAAAATATATATATATATTTATGTGAATAAACTGTAACTAATTCTCAAGGCAAAACCCACTAACTTGTTGGTTGTCATGAAAAAAATAATACTGATGATGGTCATCCCATTGGAATGCTTCCATTGGCCACTCGATAAGATGGGAAATATAGGAAGTTGGAAACATGGAGCTCCATGTTCCTATGGAATTTTACACTGTCTAAGATTCTATCTTATCTTTATCAGTAAACGGGAAAGTTTTAGGGTTTGTTTAGAGTTTCGTTTTAAAAGTATTTGATTTTATTACTTATTATTGAAATGTGTTTTAAATTCCCTAAGAATTGTTTTAATTTTTTTGGTAACACACAATTAAAAAACAAAAAAAACCTGAATAAGAGATTTAAAAATTATGAATTGCTTGTTCTGTTACTCCGACCATTTGGATTTAACTAAATATAACTATCTAGAGAAACAATAGCAATAGTATTTATTAGTATTAGTATTTAAAGCTTAAGAAATGTAAAATTTAATGGATTTTGATTCCAAAATGGACCTGAAATCACTTTAATAGGTGTCTTAAAAGTAGAGAGGACGGCCCAAAGTACAGCCTATATTTGGACCCTTCCCAGATCTAACCCAACCTTGCCTAATCTCTCAAATAATTCCTCTGGCTCACTCACATCATACAGATAACAAAATCTATTTTTTTCGAGTTAAGTTTAATTTTAAAAACAACTGCCGTTAAAAAATGCCTATGACATCACCAGTTTCATCGTGGAAAAAACAGCTGACTGATAAGACAGCTGGAGAAAGAGAGACCAGAGAGAGAGAAGAGAGCGTGAGCTTGGAGCTTTTCGCTCACAGCTCTTTGGTGTGGGTTTGTGGGGAGGTTTCTTTGGCTTCTCCGCTTTGGCCAGCCATTCACATCGCAGTTAGCTTTCGCCTCGAACGGACGTGCTTCTTAAAACCTTAAACAAAACTAAACTTGGCTTTAACCCTAGCGCTCCCTACGTTCCATAACGCGGCATTCCAGTGCATCGACGAGCCAAAGAGCCAACCTACATTTTGTTAACTCCCTGCAAGCCAAACCCGTTTCTCCAGCACCAAAAAAACCATGGCATCCAACCGAGCAGCCAAGTCTGGTTTCGCCGCCGAGGCCCAGCGCAAAGTAAGTACACAAACAATTCGGTAAACAAATTGCCAAAAAAAATGAGTATGAGTGTGTGTGTGTGTGTTTGTGGAGCTGCATTGACTTTATTTGGGGCTTTTTGACGCCAACTTTTTTATCTTCGCAGCTCGTTCGGCTCGCGCCAAATGCCAAAAAATTAGCTAAAAATGGTCTTGAAATTGCGAGCGTCTAACGAGGAATGACCTCATTTCGTTGATAAGTTTTGCTATATTCACACACACTTATGCTTAGGTACATCTACTAGTGTGTGTTGTATGTATGTACATATGATGCATGCGTAATTTGTGAGCTTGAAGATGACTTAAGGTGATTTTATGCCATTGCTTAGAAGAGGGTCGAAAATAAGCGGTGATTCACTTTGGAAACTATGGAAAGATATGAATAGGAAACGTTATAATACGTTCTAAACCACACCATAATAATTGAAATATTTTAAGGTACAAATAATAATATCTATACATTTCTAGAACTCCCCTTTATAGTTAAAAGAACTGTATCTGCCTTCAGATAATCCCATTCTCTGCAATTAGGTAGCCCATGTAAATAGCTCCCCATTCTTCTCCCTTAAATTGACAACATTAATTCCGTCCATTAGAAGCACTTTGCATTAAATGCACTCATACAAATGCATTGCTTTTTTTTCGTTTTTTTGTTATTCTTTTTTTTAATGTGGGGAAACTTGTAGGTCTCGTACCCTTCGACAGTTTAGCCCTCGCCAAGTCAAGTCCGGGTTACGCAATGCAGTCCGCCCCTGGGCCAAAACATAGTGAAATTGTATATGTCGCCCGGCAAAGGGGATTAAGTGCAGTCCAACGAAATCAACAGCAGCGGGGCGACTATACAGCTACAGTTACAGATACAGTTACAACATTTGCCCAAACAAATAACAAGAAACAAAAAAAAAGAAGGGTAGCCATGAGCATAGCCGAAGTTGTACATACCCTTGGTGGGTTTAATTATTTGTATTTCATTCTTATGTTCTTTGTTATCTTGAATACTTTTCCACAAGTCAGCAATTCGGTGAGAGAGGCCTTGTTTATCGGCATTATCTACACATTCGCACATTTTTTTAAGCACGTTCGCGGTCAAAATAATAGCATCCGGTTCAAGTCTCTTATCAGAGAATCCAAGTTTGACTTGGATTTATTTCCGTCATTTTATATGACAAATCAAAGTTTAAAAAACTCATAACTTGGCCAAAAATTCATTAATTTAAATTCGGAAAGCTTTCCTATGTTAATTTTAGTTAGGTTAATAAATCTGCATACTCAATTTAACATTTAAAATTAATCCAATTTTTCGAAATTTTAACGATGTAACCCCTTTTAAAATTTTGCAAAAAAAATTTTGAAATTTATTTTTTGTCCGGATATGGCTAGAAAGATTCGGCTGTTGATTCTGATCAAGAATATATATTATTTATAGGGTCGGAAATGACTCCTTCACTGCCTTAAAAGCTTCGGACGAAATGTTTGATACCCTAAAAAGGGTATAAAAATACCTAGGCTGCCGAAAAAGCCTGAAAGCGCAGCTGTTAGCTGACTTCAAACCGCGATCAAATGGCTCCCAAGGAGCTGGAGGCGATGATGTCACCTCTCCAGCTGCTCCTCTCCTGCCTCCTCTCCACTCTAGTCCACATCATTCCTTTCCTTTTCATTCCTCTCCTCGCGATCGTTAGCTTTGAGCACTTTTTGATGGCGTTGCCTCTCTCTCTCTCTCTATTTCTCTCGGGGAATGGCTCATATCTGCCGGAGCAGTAGGAGGAGGAGGAGCAGGCCTGGTGCTGGGTGCCGGGGGTTAGAATAGCAGCGATAGCAGCACCTTTTTCCAACACACACACAGGCACTTAAACTTAAGAGCGAGTATATGGCGTAAGCAAACAACAAAATACAAAACAACAAGAGTGAGGTAAAAATGTAGGAAAACAAAAATTTGAGCTTTGTCTTTGCCTTGAGTGTAGTGTGTGTGTGTTGTCGGCTATATACAACCGACTTTATGGCAGTCAGTCATTCACAGATCTCAAATTTCGGCCAAGGGATCTGAGTTTTGCAACCCTTCTACTGAATCCACGTTAATTACAGCCCAACAGCTGTCACTGGAGGTTCTAGCTTCTGAAGTTACACCAACCATAGAAGACTCTCCAGGCATTTGATCGGTTACATTTGCTTTAGCTTTTTTGTATTTTTGTAAAAAATTCCAAAGAGCAGACTTGCTTATACAGCTGCTTCAAGGAAAAGCCCCTTTACTTAGTATGATTAACTGCAAGGAATTTAAGCCTTTTGACGATCAGAAGAAAATAAATAAAATAATAAATAATAAATAAAAATAAATAAAGAAAATAAATACATTGTTTACTTTTTAAAATAAAAATAATTAAGTATGTACAGAGGTATTTGTAAATAAAATGATTCTATATTGTTTCAGGAAGTAACCAATCCTCATAAGTAGAACTACAAAAGCCAAGGTTCTAGAAAATCGTTTAATTATGAAATTTAATACTGCAAAATACTTAAATCCAGACTTAGAATACTTCAAATATGTATTTATTTTATAAATGTAATAATTTAAACAAAACTTATCATAACATAGTCATTAGTTAGTTAAACTTCAAGTTAAACCAACCTTAACCAAACTTTAATTTACTAGATTATTAAAATTTCCCATATTTTAACTTGGAAGCTCTCAAGAACCTTCCTCAAAACTTCCTTTAGTTAATGGCTTAAATAACTAAAAATATTACTTTTAGGGAAGTTAACTTAAATTGTTTTCTTGTCCCATTTCATTTGAACTCACCTGTGTATATCTCATCCAATGCTTCCATGGGCCACGTACTAATCACCTGGCCGCTTTTGGAGCTAAGAATCCAAACTCAATTAGCGTCGAATATATATATGTACATAGTGTGACGGTTGTACATTTGTACATCCGCTGCACGCAATATACCCTTTCTCCTACCTCTCGTAACTATCAGTGCGGGCGGCACCTAAATGGAACACTTGGCCCACATGAACTCCAAGCTGCGTGCTCCGTGCTCCATGTTCCATGTTCCCTGCTCCCTGGAAGCCATCGAAACACTTGTTGTTGGCCCGTAAGTCGCCGTCATTTTTAGATAAGCCATAAACAGTTGCGGGAGGTATTTTATCATAAATCAAATGTTGTTTTGGATTTCCGGTGAAACTACAAACAGTACGAGTAGCAAGTATCAAATAAACGTTGTTCAAAAATTGGGTTCTGTTTATGGAATCTACCCCCTTAGGCCCAAATCACAAAAGGCTTACAGCGAATGAATTCAACTTTTGGCCAGGCCAGTAAAGCCAGTCTCCAAAAATCATATAATTGACCTCGTTACATTTTTTGCGGATTTTGTTTATGTCGTTTTTTATATCCATACATATGTATATAGTATTTATCCAGCTGAAAAATATCGGTCAGCAATTGTCATGGATCATGACACATCGCAAAAGAAAGCGAAATCGGCAGATCTTCGAATTGATTTTACGAAAACCCTCTTTGGCTTACGTAATTGAGTGTGTGTGTGTGTAGTGGAGTGAAGTGATGCGTCAACAGTCGTCAATAATTCCCTTTTGGACAGACAGACACATATTTAACTAATCATCACCATCTAAGCTAAAGTATTGCCAAAGTTCAGTCTCCAGATTCAAGCCATGAACAGCAGATGACATCATCTGGCGATCGTTGGGACGGCTTCAAAAAGCCATCAAGCCAAGCAAAACGTGGTCCCTTGTCTCTGGGTTTATGGCATCTGTATCCTCACTATGGTTTATTATGCAATGATCATCAGTCTGGGGTCTTCCCTTGACTCCTCATCCCGCTGAGGAGAGAGAGACATATTCATTGGATGGGCGGAAACTTCCGTCAAATTTTCTGCCTGCGATTATTTCGTCAAATACCGAAAAAACGTTAATGGAATTTTAGTACTTCACGGGAAAAAATATTTTGAGAGTCAATATTTATTATAGATACAATATATATCTTTATATATATGTATGCTATATGGTATTCTGTGAAACAATGTGACAACTAAAACCTTCAGATCAATTTTGATTTACCTATAAGTACTTGTTTAATGAACTTTTAAACTTTGTTAAATCTTTAACTTCTAGAATAAATCCTATTAGTTTTTCTCTGTATTAGTTTTATTTAACCTTTGCTAATCTGAAGTTTGGTGACATTTTTAGGTTTCACTATTCAGATACCGAAACGTTCCTCAATCATTATTATATTTTTTGGTGAAGTAAGAACCATTAATAGAATTCCCAGAATATGGCTGCTCACTCAATTGTATGAGGTCTGAATCATAATAAATAAATATAAGCTTATGTTGTACCCCAAGATATTTTCACTTTTTCAAGTGGCTGCCTTCGTAGGTGTGAATTAAATGGAGTTTTGGCGTGGGCAGAGAGCCCTCTCTCTCTGGAGTTTCTGTGCTGACCCACAGTTTCTTTCATTTTTGTTTATTTTTTTTTGAAAGCGTCGAGGAATATGCGGGAAACAAGCCCAGCCAGTTTTTGAAGTCATTTTAATTTTAATTTAGGTAAAAGCCAACGCCAGGCTTGGCTTAGCATGTCTCGGGGCGTATTGCGTGCCGTTCCCATCCACCCAGAACGTACTCATCATCAGAACCCAACCCTATATACAACATGAGCTTGGGAAATTAATTAGGTTCTTGAGGTTCCAAGGCCGAGGCCTGTGTGAGAATTTCATTGTCACGCCGTTTTGTAATTGTGCGTAATCGTGCTTAATTCATCAACTGACCCATAGACCTAAAAAATAAAGTCCTCAAAAATAAATGATTAGGAGAACCGTTGCACAAATGACGACATTTTCTAACGGCCAACCGATGACCAATTCTACAAGTTCCGCTTTTAATTATTAATTGTTTTCTACAACTTTCGAAATTCCTCACTCTCTCTCTGTATAAGGGAGCACGTTCTAAGCAGCTGAACATGTGTTTACAAATCATGATTTATATATAAATATATATATATGATATTATATTATATACTCTACTCGATTACTTTCCGTATGATTACCAATCGTTGCTGAATTTCTGAAATACAAACTGGAAATTAACTTAAGGAAGCTGAAGTTTATATACCCTTGAAAATTGAAATTAAACTATAGGATCGAATCAGAAGTCCATCATAACTTAAATACCCGCATTCTTTAAATCAATATTTTTTTATGACATTTTTAATCGACAAATCAAAGTTTTGATATCTCATAACTAAGCCAAAAATCAATTAATTTCGATTCGGAAAGCATTTCTGTGCTAGTTCTTAGTTAATAAATCAGCATACTCCATTTATCATTTTAGAGAAAACTTTTTTTTTTTAATTTTTAAAATTTTTAAAGATGTAACCCCATCTTTTTTTGAAATTTTGAAAAATTTTTCAAAAATTTATTTTTCGAGCGGACATGGCTAGATCAATTTGGCTGTTAATTCTGATCAAGAATATATATGATTTATGGAAACGACTCCTTCACATATTTACAAGCTTCGGTCTAAAATTAAAATACTCTGAAAGGGTATAAAAATTACCGATAAATATATACATACAAGCCATGAAATGCCAACTTGAAGCTTTTTGCCAGCTTGCTGCTGACTCATTAAAATAGCGCTGAAAATATTTGTATAAAAATAAAAGCAACCAAAGAAATAGCAATAATTTTGCCATTCTCCAACCATTTTTCATTTAGTTTTCGAACATTGTTTGAGGGGAGAGAAGACCACCGACTGTCAAATTTGTTTGGGGTTTCGTGCTGATCGGCCAAAGAAGAAAAAAAAACGTGTAAGAAACGGTCGGAATTCATTAGTCTCTTAACGGCTTTTTTGTTTACGATTATGTATGGTTTTGTGGTATATTATGCATAAACTGGCCACAGAATCCCATAAACATAATTTTTTTATTTTCGATTCCTAATCAAAATTTATTCATCTGCCCCGAGGGTGTCAATTTATCTGCCATCATGGTGATCACGATAGCAGACTCTCTAAGTTATGATCATCTTGGGGTCTTTGGGGGCTTTGGCCAGATTCTTTTCCTCAAACAGAAGAAGAATGTCAATCAAAATTGCTTTTATTAATTGTCTCACGCTTTTGTGAGAGCTGAGGCGTTTCTATGGATTCCCCAAATGATGGATGATGCTGTTACTTGGTTCCGTTCTTTTGTGGGATAAGTGCTGGCTTTAATGAACTGACCTCCACTGTTAATCGTTTGACCGTTATTCTGGGACAAAGCCATTTGCCAAAAAAAAGTGGCAATGATTTCAATTATCGATAATAATCGCCAGTAGTTTCTATTTTTGTGGAAGCCAGCACCAATCTTCTGGGATAAAGTCATCATTTCCGAAACCATTAACATATTCCGCGGCTCTCGTATATCTCAACTTCAGATCAGTGGGTTTTATTGGGCTCAAACAACGAAGAAAGTCGTTAATTTTTATGTTCGATATATAATTCTCGACTCTCGACTACCGTTGTGGGACAAACAGAAACTATTGTGGAAGGAGAGTTGGGTTTAATATGGCAAAGTGCATTCACCTCAATTACACACAAAGTCAGCGAAAGCTTCATTGCTTTATTTCACTTTTTTTTATTATTTACTGCATTACGGAACTCCCCTTGAATTTACGAGTTTACTTGCATTTTTCCCCTCCCCAGACAGGCGATAAGGAGTGGGGCATGAAATACAACTCAATTGGCGACAATCGTTCCATTTGTTTTCTGAGATCATTCATTTTAATAGACCTTGTCCGTCAGAACCAAATCGCACATATATACCAATATAAATACAAACAATTGTGGCTAAAATAATAGGATTTTTTAGGGAGGGTTTTGTGAGGAAAAAACAAATAAAATACAACATCAAAGTAATTTTCATATTTGTTCAAGGCTTAGTCTTGTCTGACAATAAAAGGTTTTAGTAATTCAAATTTATAAATAGAATAAAGCCATTTATTTTATTTCATATATTTGTTATGCAATTTTTTTAAACAAACATTTTAAACCCACTTTTTACGTATTTATGGTAAAAATAAAAAGAATTTGAGAGGGGTAATCATATAAAATATGACACAAACAATAAAACTGTTTGTAATAAAAATATATAGTTAAAAAGGCATAAAGATATGAGTAATATAAAGGTTTGACAGAGATTTTATAGTTTTAAACAAAATAGGTTTACTTAAACCCTTTTAAAAAGGATGTATGTATACCTTAGACTAAAATATTAAAGATTTTAGAAGAATTTTCTGATAAACCAATGCCAAAGTTAGATTTATATCCAATAAATAAAAATAAGTAAATAAAACTTTGACAGATTTGGTATTTAAAAGGCTAGCCATGTATTTAAAATATAAAATAAATAAATCTTAAAATATAGGAGCCTATATTTTTGTTAGAACCCTAACCGCCACTGTTTTTTTTTACGACCAACTACTTTGGCGATAAAATGGCAGCTAATCTAAAATCAGTTAGCGACAGCCATTCAATTCAATCAAAATGAAACAAATTAAATACGTGTTAAGTGAACCGCCCTGATATGACCCAAAGTTTGTTAAACATTTTGATTTTGATTTTTATTGGCAAACCAACCAAATGGAAATGCGACACGCAACGATTTTGTGGTTTTGCGGTTGGCATTCTGCGAGTGGAAATGGAAGTGGATAAAGATATTGAAATAGAAATAGAAATAGGAGTAAATCCGATTGGGGGCCAACAACAACAGCTGTTTGGCTGCTGCTCAACAAGTGGCTTTGGGTATGGCCAAAATCGGTGCGAAGGACGCCCAAGCGGCCGGCAAAACTTAAGTCCAAATATGGTCAAGACGACGCTCAGATATACATATGTACGTAGAGAGTTAAAGCTATCGGCATTGGCAAATATGGATACTTAGTTATTCTACATGAGAACGACATGGGACTTGAACGTGACTGACTTGAGCAAGTTCAACAGATCGAATAAATGGGGAGTGGCGGCGACGCGATGAGTTATCGCCCGAGGGAGAAAATAAATGGGAGAAATGCAATCTTATCCTTATCACAACTTGAAATATAACTGCCGAATTGTCACGAGAAGAGCGAGGTGTATGGTGTATGCATGTGTGTGTGTGTTTATAACCAATTAGTGATAAGTCTGCTATCAGCGATATTTCATGAGATAACCAAGGGGAAATGGCCCACAAATAGAATAATGGTCTGCACTTGATTTAACCCCCGATTGGGTGCTCAGTCCAAAAACAGATGTAGAGGGATTAAAACGAGATGTACCAGTCAAAGGTGGATGCATTAAAGTCCTTAAATTACACCTATATTCATTTTAACTTGTTCCTACTTACCAGATCAACTCAAAGTACAGCGAGGAGCTGGCCCAGGAGTCCCTGGAGTGGATTAAGGCGGTTACTGCTGAGCCCATCAACACCTCCGGCGACACCGATAACTTCTTCGAGGTGCTCAAGGATGGCGTGATCCTGTGCAAGCTGGCCAATGCCCTCCAGCCCGGCTCCATCAAGAAGATCAACGAGAGCAAGATGGCCTTCAAGTGCATGGAGAATATCAGTGCCTTCCTTGAGTGTGCCAAGAACTTTGGTGTCCCCACCCAGGAGACATTCCAGAGCGTTGACCTGTGGGAGCGTCAGAACCTTAACTCTGTCGTTATCTGCCTGCAGTCGCTGGGTCGCAAGGTGAGATGGTTGATAATCAGGCGCACTGACAAATAAGATCAAAGATCGGTTTAATGCCTTCAAAGTTGATTGATTACATTTATTTATACTTAAAAGTTAATTTTTTTTATATTTTACCTTTCACAGGCCTCCAACTTCAACAAGCCATCGATTGGACCCAAGGAGGCGGACAAGAACGTTCGCAACTTCAGCGATGAGCAGCTCCGCGCTGGCGCCAATGTCATCTCTCTGCAGTATGGATCCAACAAGGGTGCCACCCAGTCGGGCATCAACTTTGGCAACACCCGGCACATGTAGATGAAGGACCTCCTCCTAGTCCTTGTATGCCTCCTCTTCCATACCATCTCCGCTCTCAGACATTCCGCAATAAAAGCCAAAACCAAAACGCTTTGCTTTTGGGTTCAACACACACACACACCATACACACACACTTCATGGGTAGAGCCCCAAAAATGATTTATGATATATGATACGGATATATATTTATGATACCAATTTGTATTTGTATTCCAATTGACGACACCTGACGCGTATGCTGTTATGTAACATAACATAAACTACTTTAATTTAATATTATTAAGTAATCGTACATACGGATCTTAGGATGATTTATTCAATTTTTCAACATTTGCATTTGCGACACACATGTTTTGAAGCCGAAAACCGCACTCCGATTTCGTGCCATCGATAAAGAAGTACCACATTTGCAAAAAAAAATGAGATAATAAGGATCAGAGGATCAAAAACAAATCGAGAATTGTTTTTTAATGAACGAAAGTGTCTTCAATCTCGTAGAGTAAACTTGTTACCAATCGTTGTTTCAAACTAACCACCTGAATATATAAATCAAAAAGCAGAGCATTTAAAAAGATGTATTTACAAACCAATTAAATATATATTACACACTTTTGAATGATCTATTTTAAATACTATCCCCCTGTTGAAAATAAATAATTATTCTTTTAACATAAGATGGGTGGTTTTACTCGTTTTGCAAAGGGTTCATGGTGGAAAATTAAATAAAACCTTCATTAAACTCCTTTAAATATAAATAAGAAAAAAGTCATACTTTTAAAGGTCAACTTTGCCCTTTAAAACATTTTTCCTATATTTTATTTGCCTTTTTCCTATAAATTCAGCCTAAAAGGTGCACCATTATACGGCTAACAGCTTTTGCATTTTTTATTGCATACTTCCAGGGTCTACTTGATATTTGAAGTGACGTCATTGCACCAAATTGAATCCTCCATCTGCTGCCTTCTGTTCACCTGGTGCTTAAAAGTCAGAAGTTAATGAATTTGTACTGAAACTATAAATTTTCGGGTCTTGGCTTTGCCTGCAACAACAACAACAATTGAACAACAACATTTCGACAACAACTTTTGTACAACAACATCAATTTCCCAAAAATCGGCCAAGTAATTGTCAGTTTCTCCATTTCGTGTAAATGACGAAACAGAGTTGTTGTTGTTGTACAAATTTTGTTGTAGTTGTTGTACAACAATTATTTTGTTGTTGTAGGCCATCAAAAAGTTTCAATTTAGACATTTTCAGTACAAATTTAGCATTTGCTCGATTTCAAGTACCAGGCGAACAGAAGGCAGCAGATGGATGATTAATTTTGGTGCACTGTTTAGTTCTGCAGCTTGAAAGTATGCTAATATTTTAAATAGTTTCTATATTATGGGCAGCTTGAAAGTATGCAACTGTGATAATGTGCAAACGGCCAAAAACGTGTATGCTTGACTATTTTATAAACGTTCGTAATTTATAAGTTAGTTTATAGTCCCCTTGATTGGACGCAAAATTCAAAAGGGCAACTATCATTTTGTAACAATCAGATATTATTTATTTGATTTGAAAACAAATACTTGTTGCATGCATTGACATCAACTTTTGCGGAGCCTTTTTTCGCCTGACTCGCTTTCGATTTCTCGTTTGTAAATAATTTTCGAGGCCTTGGATAATAATGAATATATAGTACAGTCATCGAATAACAATTATAAAATAATTTTATACCGATCGCTTATATAAAATAGAACATATGTTGTACAGTCGGTTGACAATGTGTGTATGTGTGTTTCCATTCGAGTGTGTTTCACTTAAGAGTATTTTGAAAAGATTCGAGACATCGTTTAGCTTAAGCTGCATTCCATTGAGTAGATAAAACTATATTATATTCGATCCGTTAATACGTGATGTTTGGATGTTGAGAAGTAGCCTTTTCAAGACTGCAGCAGCAGCTCGGCAGCCACCTCGAGGCTCCAGTTGGTCTGCTGCAGCGCCTGCTCGCACTGCGGCCGCCCAGCCACGCCCAACCGTGCCAGCTGGTCGATCTTGTAGTGCTTTGTGGCCAACGACACATCCCCGCTAGCCGCTCTCAAGGCATTCCGAACGTCCTGCTCCACGGCCGAGCTGCCCAGCTCCTGCATCAACTGTTGCAGCTTCTCCTGTTCGCGTCCATAATCCGAGGGCACGGGCGCATATAGCTGATGGGCTCCCTCTAGCTGCTGTTGCTGCTGCAGGCGCATCTTCTCCATCCGCCGCTGAATCTGCTGGGCGGAGAGGGGCGGCGGTGCTAGCGGAGCAGGTCGATGTGGTCGCAGGTAGTCGTCCACTGTGACCTCATCGTAGAGGGCAGCTCCACTGCCATTCGGCACTTGGCCGTAATACGTCGATCCTGCCGTGCTGGCTGCCACTGCATCGTATAGCGCGGAGGATGAGGCATACACACTGCTCTTGGGAGCCACCACGCGATTCGAAATGGCTACAAATGAATGGTTGGCCTCCGGCTGCATCGGTTGCTGCTGCTGGTGATTCTGGTAAATCTGCTCCTGCTCCGGTCGCTCTGGAGGTGGCTGGGCATAGTATTCTGAGGGCGTGGAGGCCACCTGTTCATACCAAATGCGATTCACCACGCTCTGGGTTGTGGCAGCCACGGCTGCCGCCTCCACATTGTTCTGCTTGGGCGAGGCGGTCGACGAGGGGCTGGTGGAATGATTCGAGGCTGCTCCGTTTTTGAGAGGTGTGAGATTCTGCTTGTACACCATTTCCTTGCTGGCATGCATCTGATTGGAGTTGCGCTGATACTCCTCCTGCGCCCGGTTCTGTCCATTGCTGTACATGTCCTTCTCCAGCTCGGCGATAAAGGATTTGTCCAGTAGAACGCTGTTTTCGGCAGAGGCAGGCACGGAAACAGGCTCCACTGGCTGCAGGGTGCTGGTGTCACGCCGTTCCATCGAGAGATTACTAAGATTAAGCTGCATGGCCGCCGATTCCAGGGCGGGAATATTCTCCTTGTTCGAGTTGGGAGCACCGAAGAGGCTCTTCCGCACCGAGGGACTGCTGTAGGCGGGACCTGAAGTTGGGGCCGGCTCCTGGGATTGGCTGAAGTTCGAGTATAGAGCTACCGCTGTCTCCAAACTGCTAGTATCAAAAGGATCTCGCGTTGCTAGCTGCTGCTGCTGTTGCTGCTTCTGGACAAATTCCATGGTGTTAGAGTAAGTGGGAGGCATCTGATACGGCGGCGGCTGCAGGCGCCCCGGCGAAGCTGTTACATTGGCCGGATCGTAGTCGAAGTGAGGCTGTTCGTTGTAGTATGTGGGTGAAACATTCAAATCCGTTGGTCCACTATCCTCCACATACGTCTCCACTTCTATCGGGGCGTCCAGTATGCAAAAGGAGCTGTCCACCTGCAGGGATGAACTATCGCCTGCTCCGTTTACAGCCACCGCTCCTCCTGCCATATCAGGCGAAATGTCAATGAGTAAGCCCTCCTGCTGAAACTGTGGCGGCGGTGGACGTTGCGGCCCCACAAGAGCGCCTTTGTGCTTGACAGCGTTGCGCCGACGCAGACCCACTGCCGTATCGTTGACCAGCTTGTTGTAGGCAAACTGCTTGTTGGACGTCGACTTGCGCTCCTTAGCGTGGCCCTGGTTCATCGATGCGCACTTCCGCTGCCGATCCTCCGATCCATTGGCCATGGCCGCTGCCCCTCCCCAACAAAAGCCGAAGGGCGACGATGACGACGAGCCATTGGCACCCAAGCTGCTGCGCATAGCCACATCTCCGGCGGCGCCTGGCACCTTTCGCTGCTCCAGCAGACTCTTGGGAAAGATGCCGATGTCAAAAGTGCGCTGGTTCTGGCCCTTGATAAGCTTTAGTTCGTGGCGGCCATCGATGATAGCGATTGTGTCGCCAGGCTCAATCTGGAGACACTTGGACTCGTGGTAGCTACGGCAGGCACGCATCACAGGCGGTGACATGCTGGCCAGGTATTCCCTGAAAAAGAAACCAAGGATTAGAAGGATTTAGCGCAAAATCAATCCAGTATAAACTTACTTGAGGGCAGCAAACGTGGGCCGCTCGGCAGGCGTCTTATCCCAGCACTGCAACATCATGGCATAGACGTCCGGCGGACAGGCATCCGGCTGATGCAGTCGCTCACCTTCGCGATCGATCTTGCGCAGGATCTGCGAGCCGTTCAGCCCCACCCAGGGATCTTCGCCGAAGCTGAGCATTTCCCACAGCGTCACGCCAAACATCCAGGTGTCCGAGGCGTGTGAGAACTGCCTAAAGCGCAGGGATTCTGGGGCGCACCAAGGGAACGGCACCTTCTTGTGCTCGGACATCACATAGCAGTCATCCTCCTGCGGCAAGGCACGCATCAAACCAAAGTCTCCGATCTTGATCTTGTTGCCGGCGGCAAGAAGGACATTCCGGCAGGCCAGGTCTCGATGTAGGAAGCGCTTCTGCTCTAGATAGGCCATACCCGTTACAATCTGCACCGACCAGTTCCAGATGATCGTGAGTGAGGTGTGGCGGCACTGCTTACGTAGCGTATCCAGCAGCGATCCCCTCTCCGCCAGCTCTGTGATCATCATCATGGGCTGCGACAGCACCACGCCGTACAGCCGCACCAGATTCGAGTGGTCCAGCGCGTGCATGGCCTGCACTTCGCGAAAGAAGTCATCGATGATTCCCGGCTGGGTGAGGTTGTCCGATTTTAGCACCTTGACGGCCACCGGAATGACCTTGCCCGCGGGTGAGGCACTCCATTCACCGCGTCGCACCACGCCAAAGGATCCATCGCCCAGCTTCAGGCCCATTGTGATGTCCTTTTCGTGTATGAGGCAGGTTAGCTGCGTGCCGTTACCACCTTGATTGGCATCACGGCCATTGGATGGCTGCTTCTTGGACGAAGGCTGCTTGCCGCCGCCGATCAACTTCGACAGGATGTTCTTGCGCCATTGATGGGCCTTCTTTTTCCGCACCGCCTCCATCAGCCGTCGAATGGCGGGCTTGCCCAGGCCACATCTCTCCAGGTCGTCGGGCAGCACATAGTCGAAGTGGGCAAGCCGGGTCACCTGCAGGTCGTCGCGTATCCTGTCTAGGAACTGTTCCAGCTGCACCTCCCGCAGCAGATCCTCCAGCCAGGCAGTCTCGCTGCTACTGTGGCCGCCGCCATCTGTCGCAGATGTGGATGTCATATTCTGAAAATAAAGCAACAGGAGAACTGAATGAGATAAGGAAAACCCAACGATCGATGTCACTGAACTGAGCTGGTCATGAGAACTCGGTCAATTGTACAATCGCGTAATCCCCGCCAGAGTGACGACGGCGAAGGCAGGGAGTAGCGAAAGTACTCAACATTTATGGGCAGCATACGCAATGGCATATCAATGGAACATGTTGCCATCGACAGAAGGTGGCGTACTATATAAAATGTTTAAACGTTTTGAGTGTTTGATTTTTCAGGGTTTCATTTAAATTGTGAAAAAAGTATATAAGTATGTGGGAATTTATGTTTGTGTATATCTTTGACAACTTATTTTATTCAAGCTAACTAATGGTAGCTTTGATCATTCAAATTTATTTTTAATGCTTATCATTTTTGGATAAACAAAAGTTTTTAAAATATCATAACTAAGCCAAAAAAGCATTAATTTTAAATCGGAAATCTTTGCAATGTAAGTTTTTATAGTGCTAACAAATCTGCATACTAAGTTTTTTAATTTTAAAAATTCCATTGAAAAAAATTTTAAAAATGTACTTTTTGACCCGATCGATTCGTCTGTTAATGCTGATCAATAATATATATAATTTATAGGGTCGGAAATGGCTCCTTCACAGCGTTTCAAGCTTCTGACTATAATTATAATACCCTAAAAGGGTATAAAAAAGTTAATTATGTTAATTACTTTAAGATATGAGCATCACTAAACGCGTGGTAGTTTTGTTTACAAATATTCCAGCAACTGCTAGTGTGCTAAAATGTTAATATAAACTGTTGAATAAAGCAATTATAGATTAGTTCAACTGCGATAATTGAGCTGCTAATGAATGAATATTAGCACATGCATGAGTTTTTTAAACGCAACATGAATCAGTACTTTTTATCTGCACTACATGGGTTGCAGTTTTTCAATGTGAAATGTAAGTTCGAACAAAGCCCGTACTTATTTAAGCGATTATTTCGAATAACTGCTTACATCGCTTGCTATTTCCTATTCCTATGAATTTTAGATAAAACAAACAAGTAGCTATTTTGAGCGATACTTGTTGAACTTATTGCCTATTTGCACAAGCGTGTTGATTTGTGTAAATATGTCCCACCAATGTATGACGTCAGGTTTGCTTTTGGGGAAAGTACGCAAACGCGTTGCGTCACCTTGCGAATTGAAACCCTGAGTCGACTTCGCCTCCACTGAATGAGGTGATAAGAACAGTCCTTCTGAAGACGAAGAGGAGATTCCCGACCAGCATCGACCTCAGTGACGCGTGCCCAAGTGGTGATAAGAGGTGAGCTTCAGATGGAGTCACGAAACGGAACTGATATGCACGACCCGCCTCCGTGAGGAGTACATCATACCTTTCTTTCGGGGCACAGCCCCTGTAAATAATACGTATTTTTAACAAGCGTATAATAGAAATTACGCTCAGTGGCCGCGACAGTTTGAGTAATTATTTGGGCGGAAACTGGAATTTAGCGGATGCGAGAGAGACGGCACAACACGCCCAGTTGAGAGCAGGTTATCACCATCAGCTGTGTAGCTTGTGGTACAGTCAAACCACTTTACAAATGACTACCTGTCATTCTGGAAATATTTGAGATATGGTAACATTAACAAGCTAAGAAGAAGATACAATACTTTCCCACTGCTATCGTCAAAAGCTAATTGTAAACCAAGGGTTCATCTTTATCATTAAAACATTTATTTTAAAAAATAATTAAGAAAAATTAATAATTGGCAATAATTTTAAATTTGAAAGCAGCTCTATTTTAGAAGAATATTGATTAATTTTACACGTTTTTTTATACCCTTGCCGAGTCAAAGCTAAGTAAGTAACTATGATTAGTAAGTATCTATGAGCAGTAATTAACTCTGAACAGTAAGTATCTATGACCAGTAAGTAACTATGATTAGTAAGTATCTATGATCTATGATATGATTAGTTACTAACTTTGAACACTAATAAACAATGACTTGCAACTTTTGTAACACAACACATATCTGAGACCTGCCTGGCAGCAGTCACTTCGTTCCGGGGATGTTAGAACCAGTTGAGAATCATATGCACAGATGTGCGAGATTTGTTTTAGAACAAATTTAAGCTATTTGAATGAAACTATGGACATATTTTCTATATAACTTTACTAGTATATAAAACGAAGCATGGCGAATCGATGGACTATATCTATACATATATGTATATATAGTTGCCATAGGAAAGATCAGTAAATAACTATGATCAATAATTAACTATGAGCAGTAAGTAACTCCGAACAGTGAGTATCTATGAGCAGTAAGTAACTCTGAACAGTAAGTATCTATGACCACTAAGTATGTAAAGGGGACCATGGCAATAAGCAAATTAATTAATTAAAATACAAGTCATGGCTAAGAATTACCGCAGTAGAGGACACGTGGCTCTTTCGTCATTGCCTACTTCCTTCAGTGTAGTGACCAAGATTGGGTGACTCCATCCTGGTCATCCAGATCCATTGCATTGGCCACGTCATATTTCTGGTCTCGAAGGCTGATCACTTGCACTATCACTATCGATGTTAACACTAGGTACCCCTAGGACAGACTGAGGCGCGCGCGACCTCAGCGCCTCTATTTATAGTTGCCGAGGAGAGAGTGGAGCAGAGAAAGTGAGTGTGAGTGGGCGGGAGAGTAGGAGTTGCTCTAGAGATTAACATAGATCGATAGGCATAGAGAGAGTGGGGGAGAGTCAGAGAGAAACAGCGAGCTATTTAATTAAGTAACTATGAGCAGTAAGTAACTCTGAAGAGTAAGTATCTATGAGCAGTAAGTATCTATGGCCATTAAGTAACTATGAGCAGTAAGAATGTATGACCAGTAAGTATGTATGATCAGTTATTAACTTTGAACACTAATAAACAATGACTTGCAACTTTTGTAACACAACACATATCTGAGACCTGCCTGGCAGCAGTCACTTCGTTCAGGGGATGTTAGAACAAGTTGCGAATCATATGCACAGATATGCGAGAGTTGATTTGGAACAAATTTAAGGTATTTGAATGAAACTATAGAGTTATTCTTCTATATAATTTTATTAGTATATAAGTCCAAGCATGGCGAATCGATATATAATATATATACATATACATATATAGCTGCCATAGGAACGATCGGAAAATTTAAAGAAAAATAATAACTTTTCTAGTTTTTCAAAGATTTTCATCAAATTTGATATATAGCTATTATATATAAATCTAGAACTTTGTAAAAAAAAATTAATAAAAATCGGACTACTATATCATATAGCTGCCATACAAACGATCGTTAAAAATAGAGGAAAATGAAAACTGTGAATGTAAAACAGGCAGGCCTTACTTCATTGTTGTTTAACATAAATATAAATAATTTATATTGTATTAATTTAGTGATCGAATTTCAATCTGCAAAGGTAGCTTCCTTTCTAGTTTCGCTTTTAAATCGTTATAAGCTATGGAGGTTCTACTGTTTAACGATCACACCCTGATTCAAGCCTGAGCTGGGCTATACATAAACTTTTTCGGAACATTTGTTTTATTTCCCTTGGGTATTTCATTAAGGGGATTTCTTTTAAACCGTGAATAATCATTCTTTAAACTGTCTGATTACTAGGGGAAAAGATCAATTCCTAAAATTGCTTTCTGTTTAATCTGCCTTTTGAGATAATAACTACACAAAATAATTTCAAGAACTTAGTTTCTAGTGACTAGACTAATTCATTTTCAATGACTACAATGACTTCAATGATTACATTATCTGTAAGCATTATATAAAACGCAAAACACATCTATTATAAAGAGTACATAAACTTAATCCTTATGCAAAGTGTGTGCTACCTTGAAAAATATTAGTAGTTTTCGAGGAAATCTAGATTTTTATACTTTATCTGAACAAATAAAAGGGAACACACACAATTTGTTATGCTTTGTTTCAAACTCACCGAAAATTTTCAATCTGCGAATTTTGTTGACAGATGCAGCTGCTGCGACGCCGCTGTTGGCGCTGGCAGCGAAGCGGAGCGCTGCTTCTTCCGTCGACGGCGCTGCAGTTGGTTAAACTTCCTGTCTGGACAGCGAACAGGTTGCCAAGACAAAAGAAAGACGATGATGAAGACCGCTGGTCGACTCGATGCTTGGAGATGGCCGGAATGGAGATGTGAAATTCAATATGCGCGTCGCACAAGGTGAAGGACGTCGGCGTCACAGCTGCGTCGCTGTCGCAAAGGCTTACTGGTGTGCGTTAGCTGCTTTGTTTACACTCGCCAAATGAGCAGCTGGCTGCTGCTGCTGCCAGGGTGCTGAATTCGTTGTCGAGAGGTAAGCGGTCGCATCATGGGCCCACCACGGCTGCCATCGCAGAAACACTTTAATATATTAATTTAGTGCGCTGCGCTGCGCCACACACAACAACAACACCACACAAAAACAATGAATTCGCTTTCAACACACACCTCCGCCCCTCTCCGCCCCCTCAGCTGTCGTCACAGTTTTTTGCACAATTTCCCACACACACGCATCTGCTGCTGCACGACTGTGTGTGTTTGGTGTTAACGAACTAAAAACTCACGAAAAGGCAACGGCGGCAATTCCAGGTGCAACAATAAAGCCGAACGAAACGTATTCGCGATCCTACAGATTGCCGTTTTTGCGTTAAATCAATTAAATGTTTTAATTTTTTCCGCGGCGGCGTCGACGATGTGTTGTTGATGCAGTTTTTTTCTTTTGCCAAAAAATGATAAATTTCTTAATAACTTTGTTTGGTCACTCTGAATTCAGAAGCTGTTACTTAACATTTACATCTTAAAGGTCTAGAAATCCATTCTACACGTTTACAGATACATGGGGTTGAATTCTCATTTCTGGGGTCGAATTCTCACGTAGAATGTAAAATGCATTAACAGTCTCTCGTAGGCTGTCGGGTGCCTGTAATCAACAGGATTCACTCTCGATGGCTGTCTGGTGTTGGGTCGTTGTTGGTGGTTCAAAATATATATAAAATACCAATATATCATTAATTTTTTTTTTATATTTTGTTTCACTGGTCTCTTTGAATTCCAAAGCTGTTATTAACATTTAACGTTTTACACGTCTAAAAAACCCTTTTACACGTTTACAGATACATGTAGAAACTAAAATTCATTAACAGAACGATAAATAATAGCGTTGTTAGACCGATTAGGTAAGGTGAGAAACTTTGCGAGCAGCAAAAAAATCGTTATCGATTCAACCATATGTTGTCGCCGTTTCGCGGCGACTGCCATTTTTGAATACACGTGCGACTTGTTAACCAGTTTACTTTTATTTAATGCTTTTTAATTGGTAAAATACTGAATAATAACATGCCGGCAGCAGTGTCCAAAGGCGTGCAATTTAGCGGCCCGTCGCAGAACAAGAAAATCGTATTCGACGATTCCGGCGAGGCAGTAACGAAACCAAACAAAAGTGGGCAACCGCACAAACCGAGGAATCACCAGTCCCAATCCAAGGAACAGGTGAAGCGGCCCCAGAAAATCAAGTTTGGCGAGGATGGAGAAGCTGTGAGCCAGAAATCCTTCAACAAAAATCACCAAAAGGCCGATAACCATAAAAAACCCCAAAGGGTCAAGTTTGGCGAGAATGGAGAGGCTGTATCCCACAAATCCTTCAACAAAAATCAACAGAATGGCCAAAAACCGCAGAAGATAAAGTTTGGTGACGATGGCAAGGCTGTAGCTCAAAAGTCCTTTAATAAAAATCACCAAAAGCCACAAAAAACAAATTTTGGCGAAAATGGAGAAGATGCATCTCAGAAGAACTTCAGCAAAGGCCACAAAAAGCCTGACCAGGTCAAGAAGTCACAGAAAATTAAATTTGGTGATGATGGCGAAACCACAGAAAGTGCCAAGAAGCCACAACGCATCAAGTTCGATGAGGACGGTGATGGGAAAAACGTCTCCGACAGCGACGACAGTGACGAGGATGTGGGACAATCCTTTGCCAAAAAGCACAGCAAATACCAGTCCAAAGTGGATGAGGAAGAGGAGGCTCAAAAGAAGTGGTACCATGTGGTACGTATTATAAAAATTAAGTAAAATAGCTGAATAATAATTAATATCTTCTATCCCAGCATCCGGATTATCCCTCAACGGATGAGGTCCTGGACATGAAGGAGAATGAGCAGCTGGAGCTGTATAATCTCTGCAAGAATTCCTTTGATGCCGAAAAGAATACTTTCAATAAGCGTAAGTGTTGCCTTTAAAGGTTTTATAAATATTTAAATAAAATTTTCACTTGCACTTTAGGTAATCCCACCGATGCCCGTTGGTTGCAGACCGCTCTGCACAAGGGTACGGCCAAGGATCGGGCTAATGCCGGCGCCTTGCTGGTCACGAGCAATCCTCTGGGCAACCTGGAAGCGCTAACCACTCTCATCGGCTTCTGCAAGCTATCCAACAAGGCCAGCAACGATGTGATCGCTGTGCTCACGGATTTGTGGCAGGAAGTGCTGCTGCCGCCGAATAGGAAGCTCCTGGCCGTGCATACCCGTGGCGCCGACTGGAAAAAACTGAAAAAGGACGACAAGCTGCGGAATGAGCAAAAGCGAAGGGTCTACGCCTATTGGTACTTCGAGGGAGAGCTAAAGGATCAATACCATGAGTTCTTGAAGAATGTTATGCAGGGCCTGCAGACGGGCCAAGAGCACAACAAGAACTCGTCCATTGTGGCTGCATCAAAGCTGCTGGCCTACGCGCCGGAGAAGGAGCAGCTGCTGCTGACCATGTTGGTGAACAAGCTGGGTGATCCTATCGCCAAGGTGGCCTCCAAGGCCCTGCATCACCTCAGCGAGGTGGCTCAGCGGCATCCCAATATGTGCGGCGTTATAGTTGCGGAGGCGGAGAAGCTGCTCTTCCGAAACAACATATCTGAGAAGGCGCAGCACTTTGCCCTGTGCTTCCTCTCCAGCATCGCACCCTCGGGCCGGCCCGAGGTCTGTACCAAGCTGGTCAACATCTGCTTTGCCCTGTTCAAGGTGCTGGTCCAGAAGGGTGCCGTTAACAATCGCACCATGCAAGCCATTCTGCGGTGCCTGCAAAAGGCCATTGTGGAGGCTCAGCCGGCAAAGGACAGCAACGGTGAGCTGCTCAACAAGGAGATGCAGGACACTATCTACCGACTGGTCCACTTGGCCGACATCCGAGTGAGTGTTCAAACGCTGGGCCTATTGCTGCAACTGGTGACGGTCAAGACTGAGAAATCGGATCGGTTTTACAATGCACTGTATGTGAAGCTGCACGACCTAAACCTCATAAATGTGGGCAGCAAAACGGCGGCCCACTTGCTCCACATCGTCCACCGTGCCATCCATATCGACAACCTCGTGGCGCGAGCTCAGGCCTTTGTGAAGCGCCTGCTTCAGTTGACACTCTACGCTCCGCCTCACATAGCCGCCGGCTGTCTGATTGTTATTCACAAGCTGCTGCGCATGCGCAAAGAGCTGGTCGGCGGCAGTGGAGCATCCGATGAGGTGGCTGCTAGTTCAAAATCCATCTTGCCTGAGGATATGGATCTGGATAAGTTTAGCAGTGATGAGGAGGAGTTTTATATAGATGTCAAAGAAAAAGCAGTAGATGAAGAAGCTCCTGAGTCGAAGGAAGAGATAAAAACAGAGAAAGCGGAAGATAATAAGTCCTCGTGGCACCATGCCAATCTGGCTACTGACAACTTACCGGAGACCAAGGTGCGGGAGATCGATTCCTGCAAGTACGATCCGTACCATCGTGTGCCTGCCTTTGCCGGAGCTGGTTATGCTCTGCGCCACGAGCTTTTGCTGCTGAGACAGCATTATCATCCCACCGTGCAGGTCTTTGCCGATCAGATCCTAAACCGTAAGTTTACACACGAAATTCTTTAACCTAAATCTTAATATATCCCTTTCCTGCAGAGTCCCGCATTGATTATTATGGAGACCCGCTAAGGGACTTTGGTTTACCGCACTTCCTCGAGCGCTTCGCCTTTAAGAATCCAAAGAAACTGGACGCCAGCCAACAGACTGCGGAAAGTACCACTGTGGCCCACAAGCGCTACATGGCACATGGGGCACGGGGTAAGTCTGTGCGATCGCTGACCAAAGCCAATTGCACTGAGGACGAGATGTTCATCTTCAACTTCCTGGAGCACAAGCGTCGACAGGCTGAGATTGTGGCGCAAAACAAGAAGCAACTGGGCGTGAAGAAGGAGGAGCCAGCGGAAGGAGATCAGGAGGATGGCGAGGCTGGTGAGGAATACCTGAAGGAGGGCGAGGTGGACGACGACGAATTCGAGGCCTATTTGGATGGTTACTTCGGCAAGAAGTTCAAGGAGGGCGCCGATGCGGATGAGCAGGAGGACGAGGAGCTCAACTTCCTCGAAGAGCTGGGTGGAGAGATTCAAGCAGATAAGTCTAAGAAGGACAAGAAAAAGAAGAAACAGATGGCGGACAAGGATGAGGATGATATGGAGGACATAGACGAGGACTGGGGAGATGATGATTTAGGGGAGGAGGACGATGAAGACGTCGACGATGGCGAAGATCAGTCTGATGATGAAACGGGCTCCATAGATCTAGAGCCACTGGATGACGATGATGATCCTGATGACACTGGTTCCATTTCCGATGGCGACTCTAGTGAAGCACCCGAAAGTCCTGACGATGACGATGACGACGACGACGATGATGATGCGCCACCCAGGTCAAAGAAATCCCGCAAGGACTCGACCGGCATGTTCAATGGCCGCAGCTTTGCCAAGACACTGAAACAGAGTCACGGTAGGATTAGCTTTCTTTTCCGAGAAACTTCCTTTTAATGTAATAATTCTCTTGAATTTTCTTTAGACATGTCCTCGCTGTTTGCCGCCGCCGATGACTTCTCCTCCATGCTGGAGGAAACTTCCAAGGAGAAGGGCCAAGGCACCAGCAATGCCGTCTTCAACAGGGACAAATCCTCCGCCAAGCAATTGAAGTGGGAGGAGAACCGACGATCGAATGCGAAAACCTACAAGGGCAAGAAGCCCTCAAGCAAAGGCAGCAAGAAGCCACTACAGAAGGCGGGCAAGCGAAAACACTAGACCAGGATTAGATTTGATTGTACAGGAGAGTATAATAAATATATATATAACAAAATCAAGACTAAAGTGTTCAGTTTTAATTAATTTTAAGCACCGATCGTCGTTTGTTTATCATTTGAAATGCTTTATTTTGTAACTGCATTTTGATATAGGGTTTTCGTGTTATGTACAAACTTTGGTGACTTACATCGCTAGCAACTTGTTTCATATTCATTATCTCTGTTCAATTCTGTGCTTCCCATCGATTATTTGGGGGCTAACATAACTCTCTGTCCGCATAACGCTTTGGCCGAACTATAAATTTGATTGCTTCATCTTCTTACATTTAACTAGTGGTCGTCGCTTCGTCTGCCTCCTTGCCTGTGCAGGTAGATTAGGTAGAGTCTATGGTCTATATAGTTTTTGTGGTGTTGTTAATCTTACAGCTACGACAAATTGCTTTGCTGGTTTGGTGTTCCACTATTATTTTAATCATTATTATTATTTTTTATTATATAAAAACTCATGCCCAAAACAGATTCTCCTTGAATCTGGCTTATAAAATGTAGGATTATGTTTAACTTTCTGCTGGATCTTCTGGGGATTATACATTGTGTGTTTGTGTGTGTGTGTGTGTGGTGTGTGTTCGTTCTAAGGCAACTTGTTAAAAGGCAACTTTAATATAAACATTATTTGTTTTTATACTAAAATTTACACCATGAGAGTTTTTCATCCTTTAACGTCCTTAATTCAACCGCATCCTACGACAAATTTTTACACAGTTCGATATGTGGAGTTTGGGGAACAAAAAACAGACTAAAACAAGAAGAAGCGCCTGAGTTTAACATATTGTGTGTTTTGAGTTTATTTAAATTTCATCGGGTTTCCATTCCTTGCTCTAACCAAGTAAATACACATTTTAGCGGAAAACTAACTATAAAAAATTAAACAAACAAAAGAACTTGACAACAAAACAATGAAAATATTTGCAATTAACAATAGGTACGACTCTTCAGGCCGTAGCTTGCTGTTCGCATGTTTTTCATGTGGAAGCGCTTCTGCGGCGTTCGCTTCCATTTTCCTGCCACTGAAAATCATGTGTAGCATATTTAGGATACTTCGGAATTGAAAACAACATTGCCAAAAGCAGACAAGGTCGATCACTCGATCCTGAAGGCATTTGGCAATGAGCTGGTTAATAATAAAAAATATATATATATGTAAGATATATATGTAACTTAAGTTAGGACACAACTTAAAGCAAATTTGTATATATGTGTGTTTATAGAGGGTATTATATAGTCGTTCTCACTGCTCTCCTTCTCGCTTAAACATACAACTTTGCACTTAACTAATTGCAGCTCTCTCTCTTATTAATGATATTAGTGATTGTGTGTGGTCTCGGGTCTTTCCTTATTGTTCTGGCCCCTCCTTCCGCTTCTTGGAAAAGAGTTGCTGGTTTGTGTTTGACTTTAAAATTATGGTTTATGCAAAATTAACTAATTGCCTAGCACAACGAAGCACTAGGGCTAGGGTTTAAGATTCCCCTTCAAGTTAAAGGTCGAAAAGTTACTATCCAAAGCAAAGGATGAGCTCTTCTCTTACCTTACATCTCGAATGGTTGTAACAAAAAATGTTGAATAATTATTGACAGGATCTTTGGTGCGGCTGGTTAGAGCCGGGTTCTGCTCGTTGGTGTCCTGGTCCTGGTTTGTGTCATTGTCTGCCGTCAGCTCCTAAGCTTTCGAGCCGCCGCCGCCGTCTCCCACTGCAGCACCGCCTGCAGTTGCTTCTCCTCCTCGTCTAGCTGCTCCTCCTTCACTTCCACAAGCATCACCTCGTCGTCGTTATCCTCCGGCGCCGGCTGCTGCCGTTGAGGATGTCATTCAAACACATAAAGCTGGCGCAGCGCCCGCGCTCTCTCCGGCTGCACTCGCGTCGGTGGGCGGTACACTTTGGGTGCCCTGGGCTGCCTCGGCTTGGGTGGCTTCGGTCTGGGGTAGATCTGCAGTTTTTCGTACGCTTCGTCGATTTTTTCAATTTTCACCGACGGCAAGCTGTAGACCCGACGTTCCTTTTTGAATTTATGCTTGAGCACCTGCTGGACACCGTTTATCAGGAGACAGAAGTGACGATAGCTGGCCCGCGATTTACGCCACGTATTCCGTGTCTTGTTGAAGCCCAAGTGATCCTCCTCATCCAGTTTCTTCCGACCCACAGTAGAGGGGATTGCGCGCACGGCGCGTTGCACTCTTGGTATCCGGGCTACCACAGTCTCTGTGGGTGGCGGCAATTGCTGCATCAGGAGGTACAAGCTTTCCTTGCTATCCACCTCTGGCGCATCTGCAACCGGATTTTGCAGTAGCTGGCTCTCGGTACGACGCTGCTGACGGGTTCTGGGTCGTCGACTGGTTGTTGCTTCGGTCGTATTGGTCGCAGCAACTGGAGCCGCTGGCGCAGGTGGCGGAGGCATCTCCAAGCGCTCCTCCTGAGGCGGCGGCTGCGGTAGCGGAAGTTCGGTATAGTATTCCTCGGGCAAACGAAGGGGCGGCGCGTTCTCGTCAAAGCCGTAAAAGACCGGCAGGCAATCAAAGTCTGGATCAAAACGTTCGTGCAGAACCAGATCCTCATCGTCTGATATCGGAGCAGGAATTGCCGCCGCAGTTGCGCCGTTGGGAAGAGCCTCCTCCACCTGTTCGTTGACCAGAGTGATGCCCTCATCCTCCGTCGACTTATCGAGCGTGGAGCTAGATTTGGGTTGGCTCTGCACACCTGAAGTAGGCTGCTCCATGGTGTCCTCGCTGAGATCGACCACCTCCTGCTGCTCCGCTGGTACAATAATATCCACATCGGGATCATTGGTGCCATACTGCAGCCACTCACTGTCAAGGATATCGTCTAGTTTGGGCCGGTCGGCGGGGTTCCGTTGCAGACACCAGCCCACCAAGTGCCGGAACGCAGGACTGGCGTTTAGCCAGCCCCTTGAACGCTGATTGAACGGCTCTCGTTGCATGCGCCTCCGGAGCCTGTGATGAGCATTGGCGGTGTGTTCCACGTCTCTGGAACTCTGTCTGTATGGCGGATGACCCACCAGCATTGCATAGAGTGTGGCGCCCAATCCGTAGATATCCACAGCCGGCGAGTATGTCACTATATTGGGATCTGCCAGGAGTTCCGGCGGTGCGTAGTCCAAAGTATAGCGCGGCTTGTCCTTCCAACTCAGGAACTTCCCATTATAGCTGCGGGAGAACATAGATTAGTCAGGAAATTCACGCAGGATGTATTTACACATCCTTACCAGGCATTGCCGAAGTCCACAAGTTTCACAGTCTGATCGTCGCGACTCTCAAACATCACGTTCTCTGGCTTCAGGTCACCATGTATAAAGTGCTTGGCGTGGACGTGCCGTACGGCCATTACGAGCTGCTGGAAGATCTCCCGGCAGGCCTGTTCGTCCAGAAAGTTTCGCTGGATTAGCGCCGACAACTCCTCACCACACAGATACTCCATTATAATCCATGCCTCACACTTGTCCCGGAAAGTACCATGATAACTAACAATATTCCTGTGACCTTGTCTGTCCAAGGCGCACGAGATCAGTGCGTCCACTTCGGAGGCCCGATACTTGGACAAGTGTATGACCTTGGCCATAAACACCATCTCGGTGGAGATGTCAGAGACAAAATGACAGGTGCCATAAGCACCGCTTGCCGTCTTGCTGCCCAACTCTAGGTCATCCGGCCGCGAAGGTACGTTCTGTAAGAGATTGAGTTAGGTCTTAGCCGCAATTAGTCTGTGATAAACTCACCTGCAGTCCAGGGTTGCAGTACTCAATATTACAGTTGTTGTCCCGACGCATCTGCTCCAAGTGCTCTGGCGCGACGTAGGTATAGCCACGGAACAGCCGAATCCGACTAGGCGGAGCATCACACTCGGGATCCTCGGGCAGCTGGTCGGTGAACTCGGTGCTAAAGTTCTGTACATCGTCCTCGGAGTTGATAACGGGCTTGTAAGGCGCCTTTCGTCGCTTGACGCGCAGTTCCTGCCAGTTAATGCCTTTGAAGAAGGGATGCTCCTTGATCTCGGTTGCGTCGCGATGATTGCCCCCAGCCGCTTTCTCGGGCTCTTCTGCAGCATCTTCTCCACAAAGTCCTTGGCATCGGGGCTAAACGAGCTGGGGATCGACGGCGGCTCATTCAAGATGCGACGCGAGATCTCTGACTGCTGGCTCTGCACATCCGATGACGCAAATGGCGATGCACCGGTTAAAAGCTCAAAGGTGAGCACACCCACCGACCACCAATCCACAGCACTGTTGTGGCCAGGTGGCGACGACTTGATAATTTCCGGTGCCATGTATTCTAGTGTGCCGCAGAAGCTGGTCGCCCGGTACTCGTTCTCAGCGGTCAGGATCTTTGAAAGACCAAAATCGGAGATTACAATGTGTCCGTCGCCATCGAGTAGAATATTCTCCAGCTTGATATCACGATAGATAATGCCCAGCTGATGCAGCTGCTCCAAGGCCAGCACTACCTCGGCTATGTACACACGCACTCGTTGCTCCTCAAAGTGCTCGGCATGGTAGATGTGCGTGAATAACTCGCCGCCCTTGGCAAAGTCTAAAATTAAGTAAATATTTTAAGATGAATTATTTTTTCGATTTTGTATTAGCTTCAATGCCACATACCTAGCACCAAATACAGCTTCGTCGATGACTGGAAGGCGTAATGAAGACTTACAAGAAAAGGGCTTCGCTGGACAGCTTCCAGGACCTACAAATATACAGGTAATGGTTTTTAAAAATCATAAATATTGATATTTATTCTAAAGTCTAAATAATAAAGTCTAAAAAACCCTGTAGATCATGTTTCTTGATGTTATATGCTTATCGTCTTATCAAAATGTAATTAACTTGGCTTGTTTACATCCCAAGAGAGCATCTATTGTTCGTCGTATTATCTACTTTATAATCACAGCTTATCGGTATTTGCAGCCTCTCTTTTGGGCATTTCTTTCGCTAATTTTTCCTTATCACAAAGCTTCGTGTTTGTTTCTTTTTTTCGGTTTGTGTTTTGTGCTCCTGTACGGTGGAAACGTTTGTGTTTATTTGTAAATTAGTTGTTGTTACTTGGCTGCCTTTTAATATTAATATTTAATGGAATGAAAGAATGGCTGCGGAAGCTAATAAATATTCAAGTGGGAAAGTAAAATGTACACTTGGAAAGTGAATTAATAATTCAATTAATTCGTCTTTGCTATTTTCGGTTGGAGATGCAAACTTTCACATTACTTCTTGCTTTACCAACAGTTATGTTTGTTTTATTTATAGTTTAAAATGTAAAAGATTGTTGTTTTCAAAAACAAAAACGTTGCAATATATTCTTTATGCCGGATGGAAAATTTAATTAAATATTAACAAAGTTGGGAATTAAGCCCAATAAATTATTACTTTTCTAAGCAATGTGTCTATTTGGGTGACCCCGACAGTTTCTTCCTTTCTATTTTGGAAGCCAAATTATAGACTTGTCATATCGAATCGAATTGAATCACACTATGTTTAATAAAAACTGGGTTACTGGCACACTTATTGTACCTTGAAAAAGCCAAGTGCGTGCGTGTGCGTGGAAGCGAGAGCAGGAAGAGAGTGTAATAAAGACACACGAAAATAGCGCAGAAAGCAGAAACAACAACAAAAAAGCAGGCTGCCGGTCCAATTGTAAAATTTGTTCAATTTATCTGCGGCGCGGGGCTTATCTGCTAGCCAACGTGCTGCAGCTATCCCGCTCTGGCGCCTACACCTGTTTGCAGTTATTTAACGCATTTTGTTGTTTCTCCCATTTTTCGTTTCGTTTTCTATTTTCATTGATTTACTAGTGACTCTCTCAATGCCGCAACAAAAACCGGTTGCACTAGGCAGCAGCAGCAACAACAACTTCCACTATCGATCCCGCTCTCACTGTGTGTATCCTACTACTCTCTTTGGGCTGGCTTTCAACAGTTGCTCTCCGTTAGCTTTTTTTTGCCGGTGCAACAAGAACAAGTCGCTATGTGGGTCACAAGAACATTTCTCCCCCCGTCCGCCACCTCCTTTTCCCATGCTGTCCCGTTTACTGGTTTCTTCTTCGGCCGTCGTCTTCTTGGATTCGCTACTGGAAACTGTACGTGCGACTGTGAAGGTTGTCAAATCGTTCCACGTCGAGTTTAATTTCAATAAGCTGCACTTTATTGTCGTCATAAAGTGGAGAGGGATCCAAAAAGTAAAAGAAGTCTTGTGCGGTGATTGCAAAAACAGCACGCTGCGAGGGCGGCTGCGGGGACAGGTGGTAGCGGTAAAAGGTAACGGCAAACCAACAGCAAGAAAGCTACCAAAAAAAAGTTGATTAAACACGTTTGCTCCACCGTCGTTAAGGTTTTTCGAAAATGATTAAAAGGGCTAACACACACTTCTACGGTGGCTGTTAAAATTAGGTATTATACATTTATTCAAAAGCTTGCAATACTGTGAAGAAGTCATTTCCGACCCTATAAATCATATATATTCTTGATCAGAATTAACAACCAAATCGATCTAGATATGGTCGAGCAAAAAATCAAATTTGAAAATTTTTTGTCAAATTTTGAAAAAACGATAAGGGGTTACATCGTTAAAATTGCTAAAATTCGGCAAAAAATTTAATTTTGTAAATTTTAAATCGAAGTATGCAGATTTGTTAGCGCTCTAAAAATGAGCACAAAACAGCTTTCCGAATTAAAATTAACGCATTTTTGGCTTAATTATGATGTTAGAAAAACACTGATTTACTCAAAAAAATTGCCTGTTTTTATACCATTTAGAAGGAAATTTTACTTCTAGTCAGATGCTTTAACAGCATCAACAAACGCAGTATGCAGATGTCTTAGCGCTCTAAAAGTGAACACAGAACAGCTTTCCGAATTGAAATGTATGCATTTTTGGCTTAATTATGATGTTAGAAAAACACTGTTTAACTAAAAAAATTGCCTGTTTTTATACCACTTTGCAGGGTATTGGTATAAATCAGAAGCTTATAACTCAATGAAGGAATCATTTCCGACCCTATTAATCATATATATTCTTGATCAGAATGAAGAGCTGAATCGATCCAGCCATGTTCGGGCAAAAAATAAATTTTGAAAATTGGCCTCAAAATTTGAAAAAACGATAAGGGGTTACATCATTAAAATTGCCAAAATTCGGCAAAAAATCGAATTTTTTAAATTTAAAAACGAAGAATGCAGATTTGTTAGCGCTCTAAAAATGAGCACAGAACAGCTTTCCGAATTGAAATGAGTGCATTTTTGACTAAGTTATGATATTTTTAAACTTTGATTTTCTTAAAGAAACAACAAATATAGAAACTTCGTTTTCGCGAGTTCGTTTCTTTTTTTGTTAACACATTTTTTACCCTTATATAGGGATTAACTTACCACACGCTCTGTTTTAGTGTGCTCTGCGGTTTTGCGCTTCTGGACAACCGTTATCTTGTTTAGAACTTTCATCGCATAGAGTTTTCCAGCGTCGTGACGCGTCAGCTTACGAACAAGATACACCCTTCCGTATGCTACGGAAATGATTGGAAAAACAACACAAAAGTCAATATTAATGAATAAAGTGATAAAACAGAATAAAAACAAACTTACCTCCAGTGCCCAGAACACGTATAATTTTAAAGTCTTTCAGACTGACGGCCTCATCGCTGTACAATTTAACTGAGGAAAGAGAAAAAATATAAATATTAGCATTATCTAGTGTTTAATTAGTTAATAACTTTTACTTGCAGTTAAATTATAATAGTATACACTTGGATAAGGTTGAATCATATCGATACCAAACCGTTATTACAAAATTGCACCTATAACTAATCAGTTTGCACTGCCATTAAAGATATTTTCCTCGCCTTCTCCTCTCTACCAATGCGAAAGATAATGAAAGAAAATACCAAAATAAATACACACATATGAACATGCATAGGTATGTATACCTGATTGAATGATAAAAATAGTTGTTTGCATTGTTTTACTTTGACACATGTGATTCGAATTATCGCCTTTTTTATTTTTATCGCTAGCGCAGCACGTGCCAGACACTTGATTCCGCTTTTAGAGGCTAGTACGCATAACGGTAACCATGCGAAACAACACGAAAGCAAAGGGGAAAAAGCAGACAGCCAAATGGAAAATGCACTTTAAAATAATTAACAAAAAAAAAAAGTGGGCGCAGCAGGTGGGCGGCGAATACAGTTGCCGACAAAATCGTAGGACTAATAATACATTTAGACAAAAAAAATGTATTTTTAATTACTAACCCAATGGAATAAATTTGTTATTAAATTTATTTTCTACTAACTCAACCCAAAAGAAGAATAATTCCAGAAAGGTTATCAAGTTCACATTTTCCTCATCTTTGTGTATACATTTAAAAGTGTTAACTACAATTCCTATTGACCACAGTTTACACAGTCATCATCCCTAAACCAAGGACCCATTGTCCCCTCTAGAGGGTGTGAGCTTCTCCTGGCTTTCTCCCAACTTTCGACATAGGCTGTAACAGTTCATTGGCCCAAACGTCTCGCCACGAACTTCGAGTTTATGGTTATTACAAGGCCCAGACAACCTTTTTGTGGGATTACGAAGTTACAGTGAAACTTTGCTAATTGCGAAGACCAAGAACTTAAGGCGAAAACAGTGTTTAAATAAGCTTTAATTTGCTACAAAAATAAAGATAATATACATATTTCATGGGCCAATAATTTCTAAATGCTATATTTAGAAAGACTAATAAAAGGTTGAATGGCTATTTAACTTTGTGCTATTTTAAGGTATTTTGATTATGAATAATATATTGAATATTTAATGAAGTAATAAAATGTATTACTTAGATATATTCCACTATAAGGTAATACAAATAATTTCTACAATTTCCAATCGAAACCGAAGGCTTATAAAACGCGTGTAATTCAATTTGAGTTGTCATTAAGTAGAACGTTCCCAAGTGACTAATTTGTATATATGGTCATCCTCAATCTGTTAGTCAGTCAGACCCATTTTTGGCCACCCTTCTCCCGCCCCAAAAGACTGAGCGTGTGACGCAAATAAATGCGATATTTGGCGCCTGCTTTGACAAATGAACGCTAGCCACAGCAGCAGCAGCTGGTGAAGTTGTCCTTGAACCCCGAAGGACATTCGCAGCAGTTCAGTGCACACCAATGAACCAGAGTGTAAATGTTACATTCGAGACTCTAACATAAGTTTGCCATTACATTCTATATCTGCCTACTGCTGCGTGCATTCAACCCTCGTGCAATTGAACCATCAAAATTTCGAGTTGTTGTGAAATCGAGGAACATTTAAGAGGGGTTAATGAAATCCAGTTGCTGGGCGAACCTGTTGGGTTGTTTGAAAATACAACTTACTAAGTAAGTGTAATTTACGCGAAACACAAGCACAACGCACGGGATGACTCGTGCCGAATTCCTCAGGGGGGTCCAATGAACCGAGTACCCTCTCCGTGGGTGGCGACCTATGGAAAACAACTTTTTCACCGAAATATTATCGATTCAACAAGAAAACTTTACAAGACGGTGTGAAAACTGAACTACCTACATGTCAAGAGGGGGACTTTTGCAAGACAGAGTAAAAAATCTATTCAAGACGAACAGAAGTCTAAATATCCAATTAAAAATTAAATATCAACTCAAGAATCATTTTTTATGGTATCTTACTTGGAGAAAATTGGCCTTGACAGGTTCTTAAACCGAAAACCGCACAAAAAATGTGTATTTTCTCTCTCCTCTGACTAGGCAAAGTTTAATGAACGCCGCCAACCTACAGTACATATAAAAATAATAATAATAACCGCAACAAGTGTGGAATTTTCTGATAACAATATATTTTTTCTTGCTATTTGGAGACATATCTACCGACTCCCAATGTAATTCTGTAAACAATAATTGTTTCATGAGAACTGTACAAAAGGAGCATGTCATAGATCATTGAACACTAATAGAAAAGGGGTTGAAAAGTATGTACTATATATATAGTTATTCCAGCTAAAGGATAGAACTGTCATTTCCTGAATGCCTTTAAAGTGCATTTTTCAATTTCAAATTAGCTATTTTATTTAATACGACCTTTGAAGCAACGTTCTGTGCCAAAATACTAGGAAAATCATTAAAAGTATAAATTACCTGAACAGTTTAAAGATCAATTACTTTTTCCCGGTATATTTGTTTTGTGAGAAGAGAGCTAGAGCAGAGATAACACCTATGCCGTGACAGCGTTCTTGTGATAATTAAACACGCATACACACCACACACAGCTCACCCATCAATTTGCAGGTAATTATCCCAAAAGGCTAACTCGTTCCTCCATCTTATGCTCCGTGTGTTTGGCGAGTTGCATTGTCAAGTTCAAGTAAATAAATTGCCTACAAAAAACAACAACTCAATGCTGCCACTGCGCGGACCGTTTATGCAAACAAGCATGTTTGTGAATACAGCAAACACTCATGCAATGTACTATATATGTATATATACGCCGATGTACAAGCGGACATGGTCACGACTATGAAAAGTACAGCACAGTGGTGTGGTATATTATTATAAATATTATTATTATTATAAATACAAAATATTATACTTCTAATATAAGTATTTTTTAAAGCCTACAAGTTAACAATTGAATTTTGAAAGAAAACAACTCTAAAGCATATTTAAATCATCAAGAAACTTTAAATACTTAAAAAATACATGACAAATCAAGGTTTTCATACCACTGTACTCTTCACTTCACTTGACAAATATTAATTATCGAAGATATTTGTAAATGTCATAAAAGAGGTGCTGAATTCAACACTGAAACCGTTACGAATAGTTTAGATTACATCCCACTGTGCACAAACAAGCCTTTTGGGTGGTGTGTATTGTGTCTGCTAGATGTATTTATACACACACAAATATATTTTCGAATATAGTGTGGTGAGAGGTGAGTACTGGGATGAGGAGAAGGAAGAGCTGGAGGTCGGACGGGCGCAATGAGGGGGACAGAAGTTTTGAAACTGACGACTCAAAGACCGTGGAAAGCCGGGCAGTGTTTTCTGTGTAATCGTGTCAAGGTTAAAAGCATGTGCTCCACTTTCCAAAGGACACCGGAGACGGCGCTCTAACTGGCATTGACCAACTGCCAGTCCAGACACTCCTTCTCAAACATTAACAACTTTGAAGGCATCTTTCTTTGTAGCTTTACAATTATTCAACCCCCATTTTATATGGGGTTTTTAATGGATAATTTATAATCAAATTTTAACTCTGACTTAAGCGAGATTCTAGTCAAATAATGGTTTCAAAAAGGATTGATTTTTAAACAGTTTTCTAAAGTCTCTATTTACAACGAGCTATCAAGGTTAAAGCATCTTTAGTTGCCGGTTTCTATCTGACTCTGTTATCTAACTTGTGTTTACTAATAGTTGTATAACTTCCCCTCCTCGATAAAAATGGGATTCCCTGTGGATTGTATGACTCACCATAGGATCGCAAATCGGTGAGCTGCTCCAATTCCTCCTGGTGCGCCACGTTATCCAGATCGATGGGCGATGTGGAATTGGTGGTATTGTTGTTTGCCGGCATTGAGGCTTCCGACGATGTGGCTGCCGCTGCCGCAGCTGCTGCAGCCGCGTTCGCATTGTTGCATCCGGCCCTCGGGGTAACCTCGTCGATCTCCAGCTCGCTGTCCACGGCCTGCTCCTCTTCCTCAGTATCCTGATCATAGTAGTCGCGCTCTTCCTCGTTTTCGGTCTCCGCATCCGAAATGCACACGATCTCGTCGACATGGTTATCTGGAGGTGGCGGCGGCGGAGGTGATTCAGATGATGCAGAGGATGGAGGCGATGGTGGAGATGGAGGAGTTGCCGGCGAGTGTGTGTCCCGGTAATTGTAATCCCTCTCCGACATTGTGGGTTCCTTGCTGTTCTTGTTGTTGGTTCTGTTGTATTGGCCATTTGTGGCAGTGATGCTGTTGTTGTTGTTATTATTGTTGTTGTTATAGACCAGAGATTTGACCGAAGTGTTTCCAGAACGGGAACTGGAACTCTCCTCCAATGTATGCTCCAGTCTGGCCTTCTTGCTGACTCCATTGGTCAGTGATGGCATCGTCATTGTAGCCGCCGTTGCCATAGTTTTGCTGGCCCTGCGACGTTTGGCACCACCACTCCCGTTGGCCATACCATTCAGGTGATTGAGGGCCATCGGGTCCTCATCATGGACAGGTGGCTCGGGATTTTGCTTCCGACGGGCCTTGTTGTTGCCACTGGTGCTGCTGCTCATTTTCTAGCTGTGCTGCTGTACGGTTTTATTTCTGCTCTTCGATCCGACCTTTTAAGGGTAAGGATGCAGCTTTTTATACGCTACGTACTTGCCTACGTAGTAAAAGAATGGTCAAAAAATGCATAAATCTAATAACAAAAACAATTTATTGGGTTCCGTGACTGATTATCGTGTCGCATTTTTAAGCTGTAATGGATAAGAAGATATGGTTTTTATTAGCATAGTAATTTAACACATATAAAAACGTATTGACCACGTATGTAAAGGTAGGATCAAGGAGGATGTTCGTCTAAAACCTATTGCACTACTACAAAAATCTCAAGTGCTGCATATACGATATATATACATACATACAAACAAATTATTGTTTTAATAGGTATTTCAACAACACATTTGTTTCCCTTCAACACATTCTATTTACTTTTTCTAAAAGTAACTCCTGGTAGACAGTCCACACCGTACCGCCCCGCGTTCCGCTCTCCGCAATATGGTACAGTTTCAGCGCATTTGCAATGCGATGTGACTGCTAAACACTGGCTATCGGAATGGCAATTGGGCCAGGAAGGCAATCGTAAACAAGCCATAAACGGCACTCACCTCGCAAACGGAAAGAAGCCCAGAAGAAGAAATATATTTTGACACTGTCAATTTCACGGGGAGGTAATGGACAGAGGGGCGGCAGGAGGGTGTGTTGAATTATGCGTTGGGCGGCCGCGATGTGCAACACTGCACACACTTCACGATAATACAGACCGATTTTTGCAGCACTGGCGGTGTTGGATTTAATATTATTCAACCATTTGCAGCAATCTATTTGCCTTTTTGTGATTATCACTGTTTTCTCTTTGCCGTTCTCACTGCCCACACCACTACACACACACGACGCGCTGGCACGCACTCACACGCTGGCACTTTCAGTATCGGCGGTTGCCTGCAAAGCGTTTTTGTTTTCGTCCGCAGATTCTGCTCCTCGGCGAGACTGTTGCTCCGCCTGCTCTTTTGATATCCGCAGATCTTCTCCCCTTTTCGGGAATTATATATTTCCGAATAAAAATAATATGGTTTTTTTCCCTTACACGCGAAGGTTTTTACCGCCGCTTTCTACTTCTCATTCACGCACACACACACTGACGCGCGGGACGCTCTCCGCCATCTGCTTTGCGCTCTCATTCGCTTACACTTACTTATTAGCAACGGCCACCTTAAGAATGCAGTTGCCACGGGATTCCACTCGCTCACTGCGGCTATTAGTTGGTTATATTGTTTTTTGCCCGCGTTTTAGATTATTTTCGGCCACACGGGGCCAGCCACAATTACACCGATTAGTTTTTTCGTGAATGTTTATTTGACCAGTGTTACCAGACGCAAACTTGGCCTTTCACTCTAAAAAATCCCAAACGGTTCGAATATCACCCTAAAATTATTATATTGAGCAATTTGACAGACGCACTATTGCTATCGATAGCACTATCGATGGATGTAAGACTATCGCAACATCGCCACCAATATACTAAATACACGTATTTTACTGTTGAATTATTATTTGTCGAGACATATTTCTTTTTAAAAATCTGGGGCGATCATTAGTAATAACTTATCGTTGAAATTATTTAATTTGACAAATACCACTACCGCGATATTACCAATAGTTTGTAAAAGTATCGATGGTGAGCAATGTTTATAGCTGGACGGACCAACTAAAAAAACCAAAAATAACTGAAAAATTTAAAAAATATCATAATAAATAGACATTAACATACCAAAAATTATATATTAGTAATAGCTTTTCGTTAAATGATTTTTTTTTTTGTCAATTACAATGTTAAAATGTTCTCTACAGCCACTTCCTCGGTAATTGGTATATTTCCATAATACCAATTTGTCGAAACCATTTAGAATATTTGAGCTTGTTTTAGTTATTATATATGGACATCGACCACATTTAATTGAAAAATTTTAAGTATGAATATATAATGTCCAAATAATATCTTAATATATTCAATTTCATTCTATTTTGAAGTTTCGTTTAGAATTTTTCAGCTTGTTGAAATTATTATATATAACATCGACCACATTTCATTGAAGAATATAAAGTATGAATACTTAATGTCCAAATAAGATATAATTATTAATATTAAATGTATTCAGTTGCATTCTATTTGGATATTTCGATTAGCATTTTTCAGCCTGCTAACATTATTATATATGAACATCGACCAAATTTAATTGAAAAATAGAAAGTATGAATACATAATGTCCAAATAAGATCTTAATGTGTTCATTTGCATTCTAATTTGAAGTTTCGATTTGACCAGGTTAAGCTGGCTTAAAACCCATTTTACCATGGCATTAGACCACAGTAAACTGAGCAGCGTGACAGAAAACGTGGCCAACTCATTAAATGGATTGTTCCCTCCATAGTTATATATTTTCTTTATCAGTTAAAATATGAAATGATTAATTTTCTAATTTAAAACAGTTAAAAGATATTATTTTATTTTATTATATTATTTTATAAAATAGCCAAATAGCCGAGTCGCAGCACTGAATAATACTGAAATACGCCAGCACTAGACCGGATTTTTCTTTTCCAATGTATGTGGTATCTTGAGCGGCCGGCGAATGGATTTTTACCCGGCGCTGCCAAGCTGCCAGAAAAGGTGCAAAACTTTGCTAAAAACGTTAACATATTGGTATCGGCTATCGATAACTAATGCTAATGGTTCTTGAAACGTCGCTGCCAGACTGCCAAGAAATGTGCAAAACCTTGCTAAGAACGTTAACGTATGGTATCGGCTATCGATAGTGATGGTTTTAGGTATCGGCGTACAAAATTTATATTTGAACGTTACAAAGTCTATTGGAATACTGAAAATAATTGTATTTTTCAATAAATAAGATTGAAGAAAAGGGGGGTTTAACAATTGTGTGAAGTTTATATCATTTTTTTTAAGTTACAGTCACATTAAATCTCACTTTTTTCTTTGGTAATCATAATTACAGAAATGCAGCAATAATTTACCAAACTGGCATGATGTTTGCATTCAGTTTAGGCATTATCACTTAGTTTCTTTTAATATTTATTATTTATTTCCTTTTGGAAATGTTAGGCCTTTCGCAAATAAGAAAGCTTAACCCACATAATTTTCCAATACCGACATGCCAACTCGCACTGACCATTTCCAAATGGAAATCTAATTGGTACATTTAATCATTACGCAATAAAGGCCTTAAATTTGTTGACGATTTATTTAAATGAGTCGCAAATGGAAAGCCCTCGTCGTGCGTGCAAATCCATGTGAATCGCTTTGTGTACTTAGCCCGATTAAAGCGACAACCACGTAGCACAGAGGCCCTCTGATAACGCCTGGGACTCCAATAAATTTTCACCACGTACCTTGATGATGGCGCCATTTGACGCTAAAGACTTGACTTAACGGGCTAGTAGATATTTTTATGAGGCAGAATTCCCCAAAGATTTCCCCCAATAAATTTCCGATGAGAAAAACGCTCTCCCCTGTGACCAGAGACCTTGACACACAATTTTTAAATTTCCAGTTCTAGGTGGCGAAACGAGACTCACTTTCAAACCGCAGCGGAAGCGAGCCGTCCGAGCAAAGATGTTCTATCTCCTCGTTGTATGCAAATAAGTTGACCAGCAACTGCTTCGATTGCCAAGCGAATTGGAAACCGCATGCCAGATGCGCACACACGCACTGCCATCGAGTCGCATCCAGTTCGCATGGAAAGTTTAATTGCGGCAGACTTAGAGCAAAGTCTGCCAGAGAACTTGTCCCACGATTAGGCATGATGGTGATGGACATTGTCCATGCACAGGAAAAAAACATGAAGCCTTTGATTGGGAAGAATACAGCAAAAATAAGACATAAACATTGTGAAGAAAATATCTCTGTCTTAACTAATCAGACATACTCTTAGACCTGATTAAATAATAATTTATTCCACACAGATAAGTAGCACATCTTCTTTTATTATACTTAATAAAAAAAATTATCTTATCTAACATAGAACACTATTTTTCTATGTGCATTCGTGGGGAGAAATTAATTGGCAAGCCTTAGAAACTGAAATCTCCCTGCGACCTAATTCCGTGGCCAGGAAAACCCTCCCGAGTGAGTCACTGGTATGCGCTAGGCTAAGAACTGCTCCCAGCTCTCAGCATTCAGCTCCCAGCTAGACCTGATCGCCGCCTCCTTGCCAGAGCCTGCTCCGGGTTAAGAGGAAATCAAACACCAAATTGGCAACTTCACACACAGAGAGCCAAAGCGACCACGAATATCAAACGAATACATTTGCCAGGCTAAATCGCATACTGGTTTGTCGTTTTGGCTGCGAGTGGCTTCTGCCTGCCTCGACTTGGCCCGATCCGATCCCCGCCTGGATTCTTGGCTCTTCGCTGCTTATGCATTGTAGTTTGGCCCGTTCGCCGTTGCTTTTTATCGCTCGCCACGGCCGCTGGCCGCTTTAGTTGAATTTCAAACGCTAGCGCGCGCGGTTGTCGGAACGTGTCCCGAAAAAAAATATACAAAACATAAAAGCCAAGTCGAGAAACCATAGAGGCTTTGACAGGATCGACGTTGGCCAAGTGAAAATCGTGTTGTCTGGCAAAAAAAGAAACCTACGCGTGATCTTCGCATAACTCACTGAACTCTGAACGCGAGTAGAAGGAGCCAGTGGAAACTAGGACAAGTTCACCAAGTCAGATCTTTCCCAGCCGATTGTGTGGATTGAGATTATGTAAGCTTCCAGCTCCGTAGATCCCGTCAGACGCAGAATTCGCCGAAAAAAATAAAACCCAAATTACCAATTACCTAATTGTCATGCATTCGGCGTTATCGCCTGTCAACTTTCTACCCCCGCTCTTTTTGATTGATTTCTTCGCTTATTCGAGGCACGCACATCAAATCCGCCGGACGCTTGGACACCACTTGCACTTTCCTCCCTCAACAATTGCCTTTCGCAAACATTGCCTTTTGTTTTTATTGTTTTTGTTTATTTTTAATTAATTATTCAGCACCATTGCTGCTGCGAGTGCGGGTGCAACGTGCCCGTTAAAACGAAAGACTTAAGCAACGAACTGGAACCGCATTGAACCGAACCTTTCGGCGTGTGTCAATTTCGATGGCGATCGGGAATGAAATAATCAAAATTACGAGTATTACTTTTATTTGCCAGCGTTCACCTGCTGACCCAGTTATTCGGTTTCAGTTTCAATGCAAACATTTAAGTAAATTTCTTTATTGTAAAAGCAAAAACAGTCTCCGGATTCTGACAGACGGACATGGACATATTTAGCAGGCACCAATTAAAGCTCAGCTGCACTAATTCGCCATAAGTTGCAAAGGCTTTCCACTGTCTCTCGAACACTGTCTCTTTCGCCTTCTCGATGGAGAGATGGAGAATCTCCGCCTCAGTCTCAGTCTCAGTCTCAGTCTCTGTCTCAGCTCACTCACTTCCCTCATGGAAGTGGCATTCCGACCTGACATTTGTTGCGTGTTTGTTGTTTGTTTCTGTCTGAGATGGCATTGCACCACCGTAGGGTAAATCCCCTGGCACATGGATCTGGCCACCAACAGGTGGCTATCTAAAGCTTAGTTGTGGCTGACATATCTGTAACAAATTCCCAAAAATTTTATCTTTGCTTAGAAAGTGACAGGACATAGAGAAAACATACTTGGATTTTAAACTATAGCGTTATTTAATTTTATTTCATATTTTATCTTTTAGAGTAATATAATGTTATTTAGAAGCTTGTAACTCTTAAAGGAATCATTTCTGACCCTATAAATCGTATATATTCTTGATCAGAATTAACAGCCAAATCGATCAAGCCATGTTCCGGCAAAAAACAAATTTTGAAAATTTTTCTCAAAATTTGAAAAAACGATAAGGGGTTACATCGTTAAAATTGTTAAAAATTTAATTTTTTTTACATTTTAAATTGAGTATGCAGATTTGTTAACCTAATAAAAACTAGTAAAGAAATCCTTTCCGAATTAAATTTAATGCATTTTTAGCTAAGTTATGCGATTTTTAAAAATTTTTATTCGTCGTAAAAAAACTGTCGTATAAAAATTACTATAATTATCCTCTCTTTAATATTCGCACTGTAAATTCTTAAACTAGTTTAATATATAGATTTCGTCTTATTATATGTGAAATCTCGTTTGTCACCTTTGGGGAAACTCTTTGAACAGTATAATTTATAGTATTTCATTTAAAATTTAGAACACTATTTGCCTGAAAGGCATTTGGGTTTCGACTTGATTTTCCCCTCTGCTGATTCCGCATAGAAATCAAAATGATCCTTGGCCAACATGTGTAAGATGCCGCCACCAGTCATGGCCATAAGCGAGAGTCTGCCGCCGAGGCGTCGCTGTCAACTGTTGTGGATTGGCCAGAGTGGCACTAACCCGGCTGGGATGGACTGGCCGGGCCAGTTGTGGCGCTTCCTCAACGCACTTGGCTCCTGTTTCAGCCTAGTTAGTGGCCCCGTTTCACCTTCAAGTCTGCAATTAATCTGATGTACATTTCGTTGGTAACGCCCAACGTAATGGCCAGACATCGTGTTGGTTTTTCTTTGGTCCTAATTTCAAAGTATCAGTGTCAAAATGTGGAGAAACTCTGTCAGACCTTTGGCTAATTGGATTGAGATGGATGAAGCAAATACCAGTTTGGCAAGGCCGTTGCTTGGGGGGTATTTACCTTAGTAGATGGAACGATATTGGTTAGAAATTAATTTGTTTTCCGTCACGTTTAAGTAACAATTAACCTTAGGTGGGTGTAATCACTTGTGTAATTATTTTCATAAGAAAAGCTCTGTTAAGTTTGATGTACATACGATCCTAAGGCCTTAACCCACATCGTATATGATGTCTTGTTCAGTATTTTGATGTCAGTGTCAAATTGGGAGAAACTCTGGCCAAACCTTTTGAGTTGGCGGCTGCGTTGTGTGTGGAGCAGCTGGCTGGAATGCCTCCTTGGTCTAGATTCTAGATATATGTAGCTGTGGGGGAACCTGTACCTCCCAGTTGGCCATCAAATTGCAGCCTTTGGGAAAGTGCTGGAGCTGCTGCTGCAGCCTCTAATGATCACCTCGGATCGCTAACGGATCGCCAACTGCAAACACTCCATAGCCATCGATGGTCGAACCGGCTGGAGGAGAACTTGCTCCTCCGCCTAGTTGCATCATTGTCGATGATGGTGCGGTAAAAGTGCGTTTTGAAAGAGAGAGAGCAAGTGCTATTGCTCCATTTCGATTCTATACGGAGTGAAATCTCCGACTGCCTCAACGAGTTTCGATTAGAATTATCAATCAATTTGTTAACATGCTTTCACTGAATAGAAACACACATAGCTCACGCACCTTGCCAATGCAAGGATGCCTTAGCATATGGCCTGGCCTAACGGTTCCAACAAGTGCACCTGGAACAATGTCCAGAGAGAGAAGCTTTCCCAAAAAAACACAAACCTCGTTCGACAGGCAGACGAAAAACAAAGCGCTCGGAGCTGGGAAACCAGTTGAAAACATAGAAAAAATCAGGAGAACAGGAGTATGTTTTGATGGGGGTAACGGGGAAGATGGATGGAGATGTAGAATGGGTTGTTTGTGGAGTCCAAATGTTGGCCACAATTGGTGTTATACAACTGTTGTATAATGATGGCCATTAGACCAGTCTTTTATCATATCAAGTCAGAAATTGTAAATGGAATTGGAATTGCAATGGAAGTCTTAGGCTAATCGAGTTTGCGGCCTAAGTCTTTTGTTTTGACTGAGATATGAAGGGGTACGAAAAAGTAATCAAATTGGTCTTTTAAATCGTTGAAAAACTGGATAGATTACTTAAATAAATACACGAAATTGAGGTAGTATTCACTTTTCGTTCAAATACAGTCATTAGACTACTAATACGAACCCAATAGCTTCACTTTTCATCGAATAATCGATCCATTACCTGTTGCTCTATCAACTTTAATCATTATTATTAAAATCTACAACCTCTATTATGATAGCATACATTTTCCCACTTAAGCAAACCGCCTTATTACCTTACAAATAGCTTTATAATCCATGTATTAACCAGAAAGTGAAGTCTTGTTTTGAGTGAGACTTGAACTCATCTTCTAAAGCACCTTAGTGATGCATTAAGTGGCCAAGATCTTACTCTCTCTCTCTCAACTTAATCAACTTAATCACAATTATCACCATCTTAGCATCAACCCATGATGGAATTGGACAACGTGTTAAGGCGTCAACACCTTCTTCTCCTGCTGCTGCTACTGCCACTTGTCTGCTTGTGTCCAATCACATGTGCGCTTAATCGACAGCCGGATGCTGGCCAGGATTTCGATTTGGCAGCACAGCTGGCGGATGCGGAGGCCCTGGCCAAGCCGGACTATGAATCCGATTCCCCCGATACACCGCACATACGGAAGAAGCGTCTTATCTGGATCACTGATGATGGGAGATTAGCCCTGCCGCCAGGCACATCGCTGACATTTACGCCAACGATTGCCATGCCCCTGGTGCGGCATCCGCCCGAGGGTTTCTTCTCCAACCTGACCATCAGTTTCCCAGTCACCAGTAAGTGCTCCGGACTTTTCAATTAACTCTGAACTGATCTCTTGATCTCTCTCTCTCTTCATCGATTGACAGTTGACTTTGACAAGCTGGGACTGACGGACAACCAGAATCCTTTGGGGGATCTGCCGCCGCTCTTCGCCCGCTCCTTTGGCCATGAGGCCGGACACATGGTGGGCGAGTATGTGGCCAGGTATTTGCATGTGCAGCGCAGGAAGCGAGATCTCAGCGAGCAGCAGAGCAGAAGCAATGAGGATCATCCCTTCAAGGTGCATGAGGAGGGACCCAAGTTCCCGGAACTGCCGGCAGGACTGCAGCACATATTCCACGGCGGAGAACGTGTGCTGTTGTACGGTGTAGTGGAGGACTTTCTGTCCACCTTTGGGATGGATGGCAAGGCCTGCCTGCTGAGGACTATCTGTGAGATGCACTCCCGAAGCCTGGAGAAGTTCGGGGTCTTTGGCGAGATGACCAAGTTGTTTTTAACGTAAGTTGGAACCCTTTACAAGTTCGTACTTAATTTAAAAGATAAATCTCATCTTTTTAGGGTCACCAAATCACCCTTCTCGGAGCTGGTGCCTGACTATGTCCAGGCTCAGGAGGTGGGCGAAGGTAAGCAGGCTCCCGGCGAGTGCTTTCCCTACTTCAAGGCCTGTCCCAAGAGCATCTTCAAGGCTCTGGCCAGCAAGTACAGTAAGCCAGCGCCAGCGGGAAAGACGAAAAGGACAACTACAACCACGAATAGACCCAAGGGAGAGTATCACGAGGAGCAGGTGATCCAACTGCCAGTGACTCGGGATCGGGATAACGATGTGTTCATGTAAAGGAACTCCTTATCCTGCTACTGCTCCTGCTCTGCTGCAACTTCCATTGTTGACCTCGTCTAGATTTTAGGTTTAGGAATGCTCAAAGTCACTTGTTTGTAGTTAACGTTTACTAATTAATTTATTATTATTTATTTTATTTACGCATTGTATTTATTGTTAGTTTCGTAGGCGTTGTTGTTAACTACTGAGACTCGAGTCTCTGTTTGTATTTGTGGTCTGTAAATAATTGCAATTGTGGCATATTCCCCCTCGAGACACCTCGAATAAATAGACAAATTAATTCCCATTAACAACTGTGTTGTGTCCGTTGTGTCAACTGCTTTTTCCACATAAACAACGCTGCGTATACGTAATGTGAGATGAGATTTTCCCAGATTATGTGTTAATAATGCCAAACAGGTGCTTCAGCTGTTCCACGGGTATGCAGTTCATATAGTAGAACATGGCTACGTTTTTGGTAATGCTGTATAGACGGATAGCATCCCCCATCCAGTGGGTCTGCTGTCCGCCAAAGGTCACGAACTTCTGTAAAGCCTCATTGTAGGTAATATCCCTGTGGATACCTAGAAGCTGTAAAGGACAAAACTCTTCATCAAAAGGAACTATCATCAGTTAAACCCCTCAACTTACCTCTATAAAAAGCGTGGGCAAGGACAAATTGCAATCACAGCTGGCATTATATCTAAGCCTATAAAAATGGAGACCCTTTAGCACGAATATATCCGACATGTCGGGTATATTGTTTCCCGTTCCCATGCGTAGCAGCAGCCGCAGGACATTCCTATACTTGATCATCCGTTCATCCTGGATGCCCTGCATCCTCGGCACATAGGGACAGAAGCTGCGGCGGTCCATGTGCGGATATACCTGGAACAGAGCCAGCCAGTAGAAGGTGCTGTTACAGCAGTGATTCCACGCCGGTCCCGAGGGCACGAAAGTGGGCAGTGGATGCTCCGCGAAGCTAAACTCCATGGCCGGTAGGAAGACGAAGGACACAACACTGGGCATTCCGCCGGAGACGCGTTTCTCGCAAGCCACGATTTCGTGAACGAATCCCTGATCACCGATCTCATGCGTCCGATAGGTGAGCTTGTACTGGAGTCCACTGGGACAACGAATGACATTCAGCCGTCTAATTGCATCTCTTAAGTTTCCTCGCAAAAGGAGCTGAACACTCTCGGGATTCACGTACCCATTGCTCACCATGGGATGCAAGGTGGGAGCTAGCAGATTGATATAACCAGGCTGTGAGGAATTGAACACAGGAGTCACCGGAAAGGGCATACGGAAGCGGAGATATTGCTCAAAATCCAGGGGAAAGTCAATTTTGGACCCTCTGTAAAACGTAGCCGTGGCTAGGAGATGCTTCAGCATGTATTTGTAGACCACATCCTTTCCGGCCATTGCCTCTGTCAGCACCAAACAGATGGCTTCAGCATCCACCAGCCAATCCGCATCATTGTCGTCTATCTCTCCGTAGTCCGAGATGAGCCTGATGCCCTCGTGGAAGTGGAGGTGTCCTTCGGGCAGACAGAGTCCTGCTTCTCCTTTTAGTTTTCCTTGCTCCATTGGGGGACTCTCCTCGGCAACTGTTTGATGGCAACTGCAGCTGCTGAGCAGGCACTCAGTAAGTGATTCTCCAGTTGGTAACTTAATACGTTGTTTATTAATATGGCTTAAGCAAGCGGCTGTACTTGGCAGTGTCAGTGGAGTTTGTACCTTTATTTCCCTATTATTTGCTTAAGTCAATGATTTATTCAAATTTTTGACTAAGTAAATAAATTGATAGGGGAAGTTGATTTTCTACAGTTTAATCTAAGTAAATTCAAATGCCCGCTCAATTCGTTTGAATACGTTATCAACTGGTGTTGTTCAACACTAACCACTTACGTTGGCTGGCAATGGCCTCTCGGCATATATAAAAGCATAAATGTGCTAGGGCCTCTCTATTATTTTATCTTTAAATTAAAAAAAAAAAACTGAAGCCTTTTAATATATTTGTTCTACAAACCCAGCTGAATTTTTCATTTAAATTACAAACATAAAAAATGCAGTATTTTATTTTGCTTTTCGCAATACTGTCTTTTCATACTTTTTGGTATATTTGCACTGCCTCCATCCGGTCACACTCGACAACTTTGTTTTGGTTTTCGCAGGCGAGAGAGTTCTTTTCGTTTATTTTATTTACCATAACTCTGCACAAACAACCAGCGCGCGTTACGTGTTGCACAGATGTTTGCGGAGCGACGGGGCAATCAATAAGCGAACGGTGAGTTGCAAATGGGGATGAGAATGGCAGCACCCTCCGCCACTTCAGGAGCGGCGGCTCCCAAACCGGAGCGGACGGCGATGGCAACAACAACCACAGGGTGCAGCGGTGGCGGAGCGAAGTGAAATGAGTCAGGCGATATAGTGATGATGTGCCGCTTCTGCTTGATTGAATTGGATTATCACGATATGGGCCTTCAGCCTTCAATTGCCTCGCTCGCTCGCTCGATGGTCCGCCGGTCGCCGTTGTAGTTGTTTACATTGCGCGGACGTGGCGCAATATATTTTTAATCTTCTGCGGCGGCAACCTGCTGATTAAGATACAAACACACATCACTCACAGATAACTTGGCACTGAGCACTCCACTGGACATGGACGTGGCGTCTACGAGCAACGCAGGGGAGTCTGCATCGGCATCGGTTTCCATATCGGCATCGCCACCCTCCAGCAATGAGGCAGCAGCGGGCTCGCAGAGCGACGCCTCCGAGGAGGAGGAGTATCTGGACAACAGCATCGAGCTGCGGGGCTACCTGAGCAAGTGGACCAACTATATCTATGGATGGCAGCCGCGTTACATAGTCCTCAAAGACGGCACCCTCTCCTACTACAAATCTGAATCGGAATCGGACTTTGGGTGTCGCGGAGCCATCAGCCTAACCAAGGCCACCATTAAGGTAGGTGCTCCAGCCAGTGCGGGATAGCAATAGCAATAGCAGCAGCTCCTCCCGCCAAGTATTTTCAATTGGACTAATAAAAACGTAATGGGCGTGAGTGTGTGCGCATGTGTTTTTCGGTCAAAGCAACGAAACTCGATGACCCAAGTCGATGCCAAGTCCATTTCCATTCCCATTCCCAGTCCGGGCGCCTCACACCCATTCCCATTCTGAGCGACGCAATCAATGCAGCGCAATCAATTAACGTTGCTGCTGGTGGCGACGAAAATAGACCAAATTGAAGTCATCAATGTAAGTGAGTGGGGTGGCGCCCGCTCTCTCCCTTCTTGTCCTGGCATTAATGCCCTCTAGCTCGGCCTGGCCTGGCTTGCTCGGGTCTAGCTGCTGACAGGAGGGCGTGTTGTGACTGCCCTGGGAAGGAGGGTGTTTCACACAATAAGTGTAGTGTGTACTTATCTATTTATACTGTCGAAACTGCCAAAAACCACATAAAAACCTAAGTGGTGACTCACAAAGCGCTCATTCCTGTAATTTGGGGGGAAATTGAGGACTCTCGTCTTTCAGCTGTTTCTTGTAACATTGACAGTTCTACCCTTGTTTCTTTGCTGATTTCATTTAATGATATAGATATATGACTTATCTTTCGAGAGGAATGAATCACGAATATGAATTCCAAGAACGTGCCCATATTTCGCCTTAATATTTCTATAAATAATTATTAATAATTATAGGTTTGGTTCCCTCATTAGCATTGAATTTTTGCATTTAATGAAGTTTGCCTTAAGTACATTCCCACATTAATTGCTTATAATAACACCTCTTGAACTGTAACTTATTCGAACTATGTATTTCCCTTCCCCAGGCTCACGAATCTGATGAACTGCGTTTCGATGTGGTGGTCAACAACCTTAACAACTGGTGCCTGCGGGCGGAGACCAGCGAGGATCGTATGCACTGGGTTGAGGTGCTGCAGCTGTACAAGGAGGACACCGGCAGCACGGATACCACATCGCTACGACGCCATGGCAGCACCATGAGCCTGCAATCGAACACCATCTCCCTAACCAGTGGCGGAAGCCTTAAAAAGACGCAACGCAATCTGCGGGAAAAGGTAGGCGAACTGGAGACCTTCAAGGACATTCTATTCGGACAGATCGAGACGCTGCAAAGATACTTTGACGCCTGCTCGGAGTTAAACAAGAACAATGCTCAGCCCTTGGATTTGGGTGACGGCCTCAAGTGCATTGATTTCAAGGTGAAGTGAAGCAGAATTATCTGGGGAATCCCTCACAAGATAACGTATTTTTATTTGCAGGGGGAATCTATTACGTTTAGGGCCACAACGTCCGGTGTGCTCACAACATTGCAGCACTGCCTGGAAATCATTGCCGAGAGCGATGATTCATGGAAGCGGAAACTGGAGCGTGAGATTGATAAGCGGCGTCGTTCCGAGGACCAGAGCAAGTAGGTTGAAGTCGGGGAACTACTTCAGGAGACTAATATTTATAGTTTTTAGCAACTTTTTACTTACTACTATTTTACTAAGCCCTGAATTTCCTTTGCTTTTTATTTACTAACAGAAAATTCAAGGAGGAAATCGAGAAAATGAAACGCTTGTCATATCCTGGCCCAGATTTCGAGGTGAGTCCCCAAAATTATAGCCCATAATAGGAGGAACAGATAGCAATTCAAACCGAAATCGCTTTCACGGTCAGTGCTGCGCTCATATCGGGGCCAAACACGTTCCCACCGAAAAAAGCAAAGCAAACAAAACAAGCTAAATCCGTGAAGTGATTTGCGTGTGATTGGTCGGCGTCTTAAAATAAACACTCGCCGGTTCGACGTTGTGTCAGACGAGATTTCATCATATTTACAGAAAGTAGAACACGCTGTACTATTATTTAAGCGATTTCGATTGAATCATGGACCTGACACGGAGTTCCCCATGTTCTGATCTTATCATAGGGCACATGCAATGATCTCTTCTACCATTTCCGCCTTAGTTAAGCCTTTATTGTTTGCCCTTTCAATTACAATTTAATGGCACACGTCCAATAATTGTAGGAAATGTGATGAGGGAGTTGAAGTCAGTACTTGACTCGGTTGGGGCTTCTCGGTTCCATCGAATGGCAACTACTCAAGCGCACAAACTGAGCGTCTAGACGGTTTCTTTTAGTTTGGATTGACAGACAGACAGACTGACGTTGCCGGTGGAAGATTTTATTGCAGACATTGAGGTTAACAAATGACCCAAACAGTTGGTCAGGAAAGAGTATATCTGTTGATAGAAACCTACTAATGCAGAGAAGTTTGCTTTATTAATAAGATATAGTAGTGAATATAGGATAAATGTAATGAAATCTTTGATAAACAATAACAAGTTTCTAATTGTTTTACCTCTTTTTTTTAAATTATTTTATAAGATAGCCTGATATATTGCCTTATATGTTCAAGGAAAGTTTGAATTAAACCAGACTTATATTTTATTATTAAAATAAAAAGATTTATCTTCAGGCTTAAAATGTTTTAGGTATTTAAAAGTAAAATATTATTAAACACAACTCAGTCCTCCTCAAAAAGAGCATTCAAAATCCACCTACTTTCACAGAGCCTCCTCAGTTGTCTGCTTTTTATAGCCTGGCTTAAAGCTGTCGGCTTTACGGCTTATGAGCCAGGTTTGTGGTAGTCAGTCGGTGGTCAGCGATCGAGTAGCCAACACGTACAAATCATAAACAAATTTTTGCCCAGCTGCGAACAATTCAAATCGAAACAGTTTCTTTTTTTTCATATTTGTCGACGTCGTCGTTGTTGTCGCTTTTAATTGAGTGTGCTGTGCAGATTGTGAAATTCCTTTCGGTTGCATTGAAAGAGCTATTAAAAATACTTACTGAGCGACCGGGTCTGGCTAATGTTGCAAATCTGAAATCGCGGCACGCACAAATACATAAATATAAATAATACTCAGTTGTATATATACAAAGTTATAAACAAAACTAAGGCGACATGCCCTCGGCGCGATTTATTTGGCGCTCCGGTTTTCAGAAGGGCAAAGTCAAACAAATTACGGTACACAGGCGGAAAATAATTCAAAATAATATATGTACATTTTAAGGAGTGTTTTAAATAATAACGAAGTGGAATTTTTTAAAAGGTTTACGATGTGTTAGAAATAGTTTTATAAGCTTAATGAGCTAAGGGGATAGGTCTCTAATAGTAAAGATCATCGAGAGTTATATATGTTATATCATTTGTATATATATTTTATATTATGTGTATATTTTGTGTAGTGTAACACATGCAAAAGTTTATAAACAAAACTTGTATCAAATATCAACATTGTATGGTGCTTAGATAGGAATTTTTGTAAAGATTAAATGCTTATCAAGTGGAGTGCCAAATGCTTCAATTTATTAACTACATGTGTGGGGGTTTATCTGAGCTATAGTATACATAAAACCCAACAAGTTGAGATATATATAAAGTTTGAGTTTAGGCTATAAGTAGTACATAAACAGATTTGTTTACGATATTCTATTTTTATTACAAGATGTGTATATTTGTTTAGTTATTATTTACCTGTTTACTTAGTTAATTTATTTATTTATGATATGATGTACTCAGAAGTTTACCTTATTTATTGCTTGCTAAATTAGTTCTTATCTAAATTTCCCTGAAATAATTGCTATACTTTTTCTAAGTGTCTTTAAGTTTCCCCCAAATGAGAGGGATTAAATGTTGGTTGCTGGGTTTTTACAGCTGAAATTGGCCTCATTTGTGGGCTACCTTCCACTACTCCCACTACTCCCGCTCCTGCGCCACTTGACTCCCTCCTGTTAATGCCTGGTAAACCCCACGCATTGATTTATTATTTAAATGCGAGAAATCCTTTTCATTGAAGCTTTTTGCTGTGTGGGGCTTTTCGCTTTTAACACACACTCTCTCCCGAGAGAGGTCTCTCTTCGCACACTCTCTCTCTCTCTCCGTTCGTCCTGGCTGTTAAGGCTCTGGTTGCTAGCAGCCAGCAACAGTTTGTTTTGTGTCCTTGCGCCCAACGGAAGGATTCGCGTGGACACGCTAGTTCGCTGCCCTCTCCGCTTGCTCGTTCGTTTGCTCGCTTGCCTTCCTCGCCCCTTGTTGGTGGCCACGCAATCCTTTCCCTCTCGCTCTCCCGCTTAATTTCCTGCTGTGCAAAAAAGGACACTTTTTTTCGATTAGGATACGTGGTAAATTCGTGGAGGAGCCTGGTAAGCGGAGACAAGGCGACGCCACTGGGTTAGGCCCAGAGTCACAGGCCATGACTTCATCGCTGGCCCACATTCCGCGGCGCCACTTGGCCAGAGATGAAGACGTGGCCAATGACGACGATAAAGATAAAGATGATGATGATGATGCACTCGTAAGGGGGGCGTATTTATTTTCACGCCTTTGGCCGCGCACATGTCTGCATTAATTAATAAATATAAATTCAATTCCGCAAAAATTCCATTCGAGGCATTTACTGGGTGCCTGTTGCCGTTCTGGGGATACACGCGCCACCTCGTAGACGTCAGTGGAGTACAGTAGATGCTAGTTATAGGGGAAAAATAAGCTCATATGCAATATTAATCTTTAGTTTAATATAAAAACATTCTTTGAAAAAACCCTTGTACTTTCTGTTTCTTAAATTTGAAAGTTTAACTGTGCTTCATCCATCCTCTTCCTCTAAAGCCTAGCTCCTTGTTATTTATGGCCTTACCTCTTTCTCTACTCAGGTAATGGAATTCAAAAAGTTCCTTTTAATAGTATTTCCTTGGGGGGTTTCCACTGCTTTAATGGGACTCCAGCCGGCGAGTTAAGCACCAGAGCACCAAGCCCCGTCTGGCATGGTTCTGCTTACGTATTCATGGCACAATGATCCGCCTTTGTGTCCATTATGCTCGCCCAATTACGCATGCCAGCCGGAGAATCTCCGTTCGCAAAAAAACAACAGCATAAATTGGATTTTCTTGGGCCATTTGACTGCACAGACAAGTGTCGTCGATTAATTTATACAAAGCACGTTCCATTTCTTTCCAATTGGATTGAATGCGGTTTCGTCATTAAAATTAATTAGGCCGAACCTTCAAAGATATATATATATATATATGTTAGGCTAAACTTGACTTAGTTTCTTTTCTTTTATTCAAATTTTTCCTTTCACTCTTCGCAGGAGGGTCCACATTCCACATTGCCCGAGGATGAGTTCTTCGATGCGGTCGAAACAGGCCTGGATAAAATCGAGGAGGATATGCAGCTGCGCTTCAAGCTAAGGCTGCAATCCCAGATCTCCCAGACGCTGGTCAATGTGCCCCACGAGGCGGTGGCCGAGGGTGAAGAGGCACGCGAGGAGTTTGGAACGGGTGCCGAGGCCAAAAGCCATGCCCTTTGGCCGGAGGTAAGAACCGGAAATTGTCAATACGTTGGCAGGCGACTAATTGTATTTAATTGGATTAATCTTTCGCATAGATCGATCGCGTGTGTAAGGAGCAGCTGCACTATGCACGCGAGGGCGTTGGCCAGGATGGCAACGGCTGGCAAATCTTTGCCGACGAGGGTGAGATCAAAATGTACAAACGCGAGGAGGAGGTTAATGGGCTGGTGATGGACCCCCTGAAGGCATATCACACGGTCCAGGGTGTGACGGCCCGGGAGATGTGCCATTACTTCTTTATGCCGGAATTCCGCAACGACTGGGAGAGTGAGTACTTGAATTTTTCGCATACCAACAATTTAATTATACTTGAATACTCCACAGCTACCCTGGAGGACTGCACAATTCTGGAGAAAATCTCGGCTGACACCCTGCTCTTTCTGCAAACCCACAAGCGCATCTGGCCAGCTAGCCAGCGGGATGCACAATTCTGGTCGCACATGCGTAAGATCACCGACAACCTGGAGGATGGCGCCCGGGATATGTGGGTGGTGTGCAACAATTCCACGGAGTATGCCAAGCAGGAGTCAAAGAACGGCAAGTGTGTCCGCATCTTCCTCACAGTCATACTAGCCTGCCAGACGCACCTGCCCGAAGGTTATGTTAAGGGTCAGCCCCTGAATCGTGAGGATCTAACCTGCAAAATAACCTACTGCTCTGTGGGTAAGTATCTTTAAACGGAAAACCAAAAGAATTCCCCTGATTAGTGTGTATTGTTCAGTTAATCCCGGAGGCTGGGCGCCGGCTAGCGCCTTAAGGGCCGTTTACAAGCGCGAGTATCCCAAGTTTCTGAAGCGCTTTACCGGCTATGTAATAGATCAGTGCAAGGACAAGCCGATAATGTTCTGATATTTGCCATAGAAGCCACAAAGCTGAATTGGACTTAATCCTTAAGGAGGAGCCAGCGGTAGAGCGCCCGGAAACTCCAGTTTTTTAAACCTTAACCCCGAGCGTGTGTTCTGTAAGCGAAATGTTGGAATTCCCATTTTGTAATCGCCGTAAAAGCAAACTCTAAGATTTAATTGTAACGTGTTTAGGCTTAAGTAATAGGTGTAAGCGAACACACACAATCATTGTATAGCTCTTAGTCCCGAAACAGTCTATATATCTTTTAATCTGTAATGTATATCTATGAAAATGCTTTAAATGCAACAATTGCAACGTGAAGGATGTCTGAGGAAGCTTACCTTTCGGTGTGAATCTATACTATATATCTGAGGCAACTCTCTCTCTTTTACTCAACTCTGTCTAATGTAAATAAAAGCCACTTATTGTTATCTCCCAAAAAAAGTGAAAATAGGATTTGTTTTCATTATCATATGTCATGTCATGTATTTTGCTTTGAAGTTTCTCATTGTTGCCGCGAACTATGTATGCTCAATGTACATAAACTGTGCTGTTTTTAAGAAGAATTTCGTGTGTAATTTTACAACATGTTTATGTAGGTTCTCTTACTTAATAACATTTTTGTTTTTTTCTTGTTTTTGTTTATTCCAAATTGTACAACCAAGTAATGCAGTTGAAGAATTTCAAGTAAATGCCTTTCGCCTTATGCTGTGCAGTCTGAAGAGTTGCTAATTAATTAATTTCAACTTCAACTTTATAAGTTTATCCTCGTTTTCTTTATCGTTAATGCATTTTATATCGCTTGCAATGTACTCGTGTTGTGTTATATTGTCATGTAATTGGTTGCTTGGTTGTTGTTTGTCGTTGTAGCTATTTGGAAAATAGAGTTACATACAATACATACATATATATGTATAATATATGGTACAGGAGAGCGGGGTTTGTGATGCTAGTTTGGCAAATATTTCGGCTATATCTTTGGGGGTCTGTCTCGGGTTCAGTAGTTGAGCCTCTGGAAATGCATGCTGGCTTACGACTTTGGCCTTCGGTAAGATCCTTCCATCTAACATTTAATATGCTTCTTACATATGCTTCCGGTAGAGCTGGGAAAATATCGATTATCAGTGCTTCGATTTTTATATTTTATATTTTTATATATAATCGGTAAAGGAATCATTTCCGACCCTATAAATCATCATCAAAATGTTACAATCCATTTTGATTGAAAAATCGAATAAAGATTGTCATTACTCATACGACACGTTGTACTGATAAAGACAACATGGAGTATGAGTAATAATTAGTAAAAAATTATAGGAAGAAGACCTGAAATGTTCATTTTTTAACACCAAAAATGTATCAATATTTGTTTATATTTTTTCGAACTAATTAAAATCTAAAATTGCCATATCTTAGTCAAAAACTCACTTATTTCAATTCGGAAAGCTTTCCCGTACTAGCGTTATTTAATTTTAATTATGCATAATATCAATAAATTTGATATTTTACTTTTCAGGGTAATACATATAATGTTATTCAGAAGCTTGTAACTTTTAAAAAAATCATATCCGACCCTATAAATAATATATATTCTTGATCAGAATTAACAGCCAAATCGATCTAGCCTGGTTCGGGCAAAAAATAAATTTAGAAAATTTTGCCCAAAATTTGAAAAATCGATAAAATTGCATCATTAAAATTGCAAAAAAATCGAATTTTTTTAAATTTTAAATTGAGTATGCAGATTTATTAACCTATTAAAAACTAGCATAGATCAGCTTTCCAAATTAAAATTAATGCATTTTTGATTTAGTTATGATCGATTTGAAATTTAGCAATGGTACAGAAACGTTGACTAAAATCGATACAAAATTCTTACATCAAAGAGATCAATATTTAGTGTGAAATGGTTTAAATAATAAAAGATTGCTAAAGATTTCAGATATTAAAAAATAAAGGTATGGCGGCTTTTATATTAAAAAATTAACAATGATCTATCGGAATCTTTATTATTCATGCTCAAATCGATTTTTTCCTCGCTCTTAGCTTCCGGTATTGTATATTATTTTCGATTTGTAGAAGTAATTGTATGACGCTTAGCTATGTACAACAGTTTCATAAACTATCTGAATGCATTCTTGTTTTTTATATATTATTGTATTCCCGTGTAAATTAATTTAATTCATTTAAGTAACTAGCTAACAGTTGTCAAGTATTCTTCTTGTCGCAAAACACTTACAAACTGATGCAAAAATGGGTTCAATGGAAACAAACAATGTTTGGTTTAGTTCAACGAAATAATGTTCATAATTCCACTACAAAATGCAAATAATCAGCACGAAGGCCCATTGTTTTGTTTAGTATTGTTATGCGCATATATGTAATATATAGTACTATATAATTTCATCTGTGCCCTGCCTTGAGATTTTCTTAGATTTCCTCGATTTTGGCCGGCAGAGCATCATCATCATCATCATCTGCGGCCTGCCGCAGTTCAGTTTATTATACATTAAATGCTTAATTTAGGATTTATAACATTAATTTATTTATATCCGTCGGTCGACTCGTCTTTATATTCATTACACTTACGCTGCTCTTGAAGTTCAACTAAGCATAATCAGTGTGTAAATAAGTCTTATGGTTTATTTCTCGTGCTGTTTGCCATTCGATTCTTAAGTTGAAAATCAAAATCCATCCCCCAGGAAAATCTGTTCCTACCGATGTTCTTTCTTGAACGCTTTTCTTCCTTTGTAAATAGTTGAGTTATCCTTTCTAGGTATTGTTTTTTTTACGATAAACCAAAGATAACATAAAGAATAAAATGCTAAATGTTTTTGACTTCCGCATCTTATTCTTTATAGGATCTTTGGTTTAGTTTTGGAAGTGAGGCTCCTTCTGTCAAAAGTCTGTCCAAGTCTTGATTCGATTTCCGTATTACTGGGTGGACTTACAACAAATTGTACAGTATCTTTTCGCGCTTATATAGTACATTCAGTTAAGATTAGGCTTTAAAATTAACTCCCCCCTGGGTGCGGATCGGGCTCCGGTCTTAGACATTTATCTGGAAAGCCTCCCGCTGCAGCTTCTGGTTGGCACGCATTCGTGGCGATGTCTGGGTCTTCGTCTTGTCGTTGGCATCCGAAAAACGAGCTGGTGGATTTATGTGGTCCTGATAGTTTGGTGGATAGTTGGATATGCTAAACGTACAGGGTTCTGATTACATAAGTAGCGGCATTCGGTATCGATTCAACACGGCTTACATCTAGATCACCTACCTAAAAGTAGTTTCTTCATTGTGGCTGGAGTAGCCACTGGAACTGCGGACATGTCGCTTGCCGCTCGTTCCGGGCTTACCAGCCTTCCGGGCAGCGAACGGTGGCTTCGATTTCCGGGTCATGCTAGTGGGTGTGGTCTCGGAAGAGGACGAGGTCTCATCTTGGGTATCTAGAAAAAGGGGGGAGTTACCCTTGAGTTATGGCTAGAGTTTCCTCGGGAGGATTTATAAGCGATAGTAATAGGTTTCAAGGAATCTCTTTCTGGGGTTCCTGGAGGACTCACCACGTTGGGCGCGATACTTGGCCGAGTTTAGAGCGCGTGCAGACACATCATTGTCGGACTCGGAGCCGAGTGTGTCATATTCTGTAATTGGGATGTGAAGCGTTAGGATTTTCCTAACTTCGGAATCTGTTGAACCTGGATTGTCCGATTCTAAAAGTTTAGTACGATTCGATGGATACGTTGTTTTTTTTCGTTTGTTTGTTGATTAATACGAGATGAGATGAGAATGGAGAGAAACGTTGAGAGCAATGAGAAACGGGTTAATGGGTTAAAACGAAGGGCACATCTGGATAGTGATAGGGATAGGGATAAGGGATCATCGGGTTGGCGACTGTGACAAACGATGATTCAATTTGGCTTACATCTACCTGGAGTACAGGAGGAACGGGTTTAGATGGACAAGTGGATTAGGGTTCAAGGACAGGTGAAGGAATGAAATGGAGCCTTGACCATAGCTACCTTGGCTCTCCGAGTGTGGATCTCTGAGGCGGCCCACTTTTCGCCGCACCTTGGTGTACTCCGGCTCCTTGGACTGCACATAATGTATTTATTATTATATTGTTATAGATTCTATATCCCTAACGATGAGATTTACTGCACTCACATGATAGCTCTCCGGCTTGACATCGTGGTAGACAAAGGATCCGCGCACCGAATGATAGGGTCCACTGTACACATTGCCACTGTAGGAGCTCTCGCTGTAGGTCTGCTTATTCAGTTGAAAGGTGGCATAGGGACAGATGTCCTCGATGTACTCGTTACCCTCCGCCTTGCCAAAGCTCCCCGAGTCATTGGAGTTGGAGCCCCGCGGAGCAGAGGTTCCAGGATTACAGCGCACGGCCAGATATTGTTGGTCCCTGTTTTGCTTGTTCTGCAGATTGGCCAGCGATGGGGACTCCGACATCGAGGAGCCGGCCAGCCGGGCTTGGTTACTCAGTTCTACTTGAGATTGTAAAAGGAAAAGATGTGCTTTTAGCTTAATGTTTCTTAAGGTTAAATTTCATTAAGAATTAAGGCTTTCCACTCACTTCTTTTGCGTAGAAAAAGAGCGGCTCCTATGAGGGCCAGCAGCATCAGAAGGGAAACGCAGATGGGCAGCAGCAGTTTAAAGTTGGCATAGAAGGGCAGGTCACTCAGGTGGGAGACAGGCGTGGAGTGGTCGTTGTTGTACATAACTAGAGATTATAGAGTTCAATAACTAATTATTTATGCATTTTTAAAGAGATAATAACCCACCTCCTTGAGTAGACAGCGTAGTAAAGTTGTAAATAGCCGTTGTGGAACCCGCATTGTTATGGGCCGTCACCTTGAGTTGGTACTTGGTGCCCGGCGTCAGATCACTGACCGTATAGATCCTCTCCGTGGGTGCTATGTGGTTGGAAACCACTGTCCAGGAGGACCTTGCATACACCCTTGACTCAATCATGAAGTAGAGGATGCCACAGCCGCCATCTCCCCAGGAATCCAACCAGCAGGTGACACTCGTCGAGTTGTTGGTGATCATTTGCGAGTGCTTGGGTTGCACCGGAGGATTACCCTTCGTGTAGGAGTTGACTATATCGCAGGGCAGACCCGTTCCTATCTTATTATAGGCCGTTATATAAAGCTGATAGCGAGTGCCACACCACAGATTGTTCAGCAGGTGCGAGGTGGTCTTGGCATCCACCTGCAACTCCTCCCAGTCACCATTATCCCTCTTGTAGTTTATGACATAACCAAGGATAGGACTACCGCCGTGGCTATTGTCCAGCCACTCCAAAAGCAGGCTATCCGTGTAGGTATTGACCACGGTGAGATTGGGTGCCTCTGGTGGCACCTTCACCACTATATTGTACACGATCTCATCCTTGCCCCAGGTATTCTCCACGCTGCAGGTGTAGTTGCCGGCATCGCTCGCCTGGCACTCCTTCATGTACAATGTTCCATTCTTGGCTATAGTCTTTCGAGCACTCGTCTCCATGTTGTGTCCATCCTGTCGCCAAATTGTCACTGGCGCAGGAGAGCCCACCTTCCGGCAGGGCAGCTCCAAATGCTCCTTCCAGGGGGTAACTATTCGCTGGCTGAAGGATACGATCCTTGCTGGTACCTTGTTATTTGGCGGCACTGTTACCACTGCGGTTTTCTCTCCCTCGCCCATCTTGGTGGAGGCAGTTAGCCAAAACTGATATGTGGCTGATTCCTGAGTACGGACAGTCTCATGCATCTCCACATAGGGTCCAAGCAGGCGCTTGTGAGTGCCCTCCTCGCGTCCACCCTCCAGCATGGACATGTAGAAGGTGTAGCCGGTCTAAGGGGAGTAAAGGAAGAACTTTTAATATCATTTCTCGACAAGGATTAATGAAAAGCTTAAATCATTATAAAAGGATGTATTAAATTTATAATTCTGTTAAGCAATAACTTTCTACATCATTTCATATCTTCGGTCAGTCTTCCATAACTTACTGCTGACCTTGCCTGAACCCATACCCTTTCAGGACTCCCGTGACCAAATTTGCAATATCCTTTTTGCTTCAAACAAATAAATATACTCACAATGTCACCGTTGGGCAGGTCGGGGGGCAGCCAGGATATTATGATTTTTGTGCTTGACGCGGGTATCGCCTTGATGGCCTGCGGAGCGGAGGGCACTGCATTCCGCGAATCCGAATGCGATTGCACAAAAAAAAACAGGAGAGAATAAATATATGTTGTTGTATGTGTTTGGTATATGAATAAATGTATATATCAGGATCTGGGGGATGAGGATGTGGCAGGATTGGAATTGGGTTTGGGTTTGGGTTTTGGTATCGAGAGCGGAGGGCGCACCTCGTTTGCGTTCATTGAACCGAATGCCACTTACCATCCTCGTGGGTGCGGCAATAAAACGGTTTGGTTTTCATGCCATCGCCTACTTTGGTGTAAGCCAAAACCCAGACCGTGTAGTTGGTGTACTTGCGCAGATTCTCGATGGTGACGTATTGATTTGTTGACTTGACAACCTCCGGATCGGTTTCTGTGGAGCAGGAGAAGACCAACAGGAGAAGGTGCCGGCACAGAGAGAATTCGAACAATTAGCGTTGATTGGAAATATGAGGAGCGGACCGTGAAGTGGGCTAATTAATTGGCGAGTGCCATACATTTCTGAAATAAGTTCCTTGTGCTGGGTGTGGGGTTTTATTATATGTTAAGGATTGGTCATTGGTCATTGGGTGAAACAGGCAGATAGACGGACAGACAGACGGCATTCTGGACACATTCCACAGTCTGGTAATTGACCATCGCTTTCCTGCGTTTTGTTGTTGCATAAATGCAGGGAATTCCCTGGGGAAAAGCAGGTAATTGGATGCCACTCATGGATTTCGAATAATGAGTTGATTAATTGGAAGTTATGTCAGTATTTTTTCGAATGTAGGCTAGGTGCCACGTGATCCTTAAGGACATTTAATTAAAGAGAAAACTGAAGGAGTATTTATTTTAAAAAGGTGCCTAAATATATGATGTGACTTATGTATTTGATCCTTATAGAAGTTACTTTTAAGTTTAGATTTTTAGATTACTTTTAGATACTTTTAAAAAGGAATTTACTTCTTTATAATTTCTTTTACCCAATTTAAATATATATTTAAAAAATTTTAAGTCCTTAAAACCTGTTAAATTATTAGGTTTTTAGGGATGTAGGAATAGGAATATTTGTCTAGACAATGATTTTCCACAGCTCTTTTTTTAAATTTATTAAAAACAAGACAGAAAACGATGTATCTTTGCAGCTTGAAATTAAAATTATAGGATTGTATATAAAATGGATCTTGAAAAATACATTTTCTTTGAAATTATATTTATCGATGTTTTTATATGAAAATTTTTTTCTATAAATCAAAGTTTAAAAATCTCATAGCTCAGCCAAAAAAGCATTAATTTTAATTTGGATAGATTTTCTATGTTAGTTTTTGTTAGCCTAATAAATCTGCATACTCAATTTTAACTTTTAAAGAATTCTATTTTTTATATTTTTTGAAAATTTTAATGAAATTTCGAAAAAAATTTTTAATTTTATTTTTCTACCGGCTACCAGCTATATCGATTCTGCTATTGTTTCTGATCAAGAAAATATATGATTTATAGGGTCGGAAATGATTTCTTTAAAAGTTACAAGCTTCAGAAAAAGAACATATTACCCTGAAAGGCAAAATATCAAATAAATTGATATTATGCTTAATTAAAATAAAATAATTCTATAGATTACCATCCATTTTGATTTAAATATTTAATAAAGATTGACATTAATCTTACGACACGTTGTACTTATAAAGACAACATGGCGTATGAGTAATAATTAGTACAGTATTTACAAGTTTTTTCTTTATATTTAAAAAACCTAAATACTGACGCTTATTTAAATTTATTTTTCCTGTGGCAACTGTCCCATGCCACATGTGACTGTATTTTATTAAAAATTGATTAAGATTTTAATTGCAAATCGGAATATATATTCATTCAGTCTTTCGTTAATACATTCCCCGACAAGAAGCCGAGTTAAGACCCTTTAAATGGAACACTTAAAACTTAAATGGAAAACTTTTGGTAGGGAAATATATACAGTATAATGGACTTACCGTAGAGCTCGTCGACCGATATGTAAAACACTTTGTAGCCCTTGATTTTGCCGTTTTGGCCGTCAATGTCCGGCGGCGACCAGGTGATATAAATCGATGTGGAGCCGAGGACATCGCACTGCGGCGACTCTGGTGGTGCGGAGGGAACTGCAGCGTAAAGGAAAAGCCAGATGAGGGAAAAAGTTTATTAAACGTTTTTCTTACACTAAGAAAATTTATATAAAAATTATATTAAAGAAGGAATATTTTATCCATAATTGCAATGATGAAACCCCTAGAGGTCCAACATCTTTTTAACTCTTTAAAACACTTTTGTAATATTTATCTATGAAAAATTAGAGCTTGATTTTGAAAATGTCTATAATTTAGTAGTTAATCTTAATTTTTCTTAGTGCACTTTACCCCAACCCAGACTCAAAGCCAGACTGCAGGGCAGCCAGTGCAGCGTCCGTGGTCCTGGTCAGATTTCGTGCACGGGCAATTAACAAATCCAATCAATGTATGCCAGCTGACTCCTGGAAACAACCATCGCTGCCGCTGCCGCCCCTCCACAGGATACTTCTCACAGGCTCTGCCCACCTGCCCCGCCCACACTCCCTACCCACCTGACCACCTGACCACCTGGACTCCGCCCACTCACCATCCTCCATTGTTTGCACGGCAATCTCCTTGCTGGGCGGTCCACTGCCCTGACTGGTATAGGCCTGGACAATCACATGGTATTGGGTGTACTTGTTGAGGTTGGCCAGCACCGTCTCCCCGCCAAAGTGGGAGCGCACCTCCACAGTCTTAAAGCTGAAACCCTGGGTGGGATTCACCTCCTTGTCCTCGGGCGTGAGTGACATCTGGTAGCCCACATAGTAGCCGAGTAGGATGCCATTCCAGTGATCTCGCTCCGGAGCATCCCAGGTGACAAAGATCTCGGTGGAGCTCTTGGGTTCGGCTCGCACAGCCAATGGAGGACCCGAGGGCACCTCCTCCAGAGTGGTCACCTGGACTACCTCGGAGAATTCGGAGGCTCCCAGCTTATTCTCAGCAGACATGCGAATGTGATAGGCCTTGGCCGGTCGTAACTGCTGAATGTTTACCACGGTCACAGAACCGGCAATGGTCAGGTGCTCAGAGTTTTGCCAAATGTCTGAGGAAGAGAGAAATGATATAGATTTATAGATAGATTTATATAGATAAATAGTTTAATTAAGAGTTATTACCTGATATCTGCTTGTAGTAGATGTGATACTCTTCAATGGGACTGTTACCGGCAAAGGGCTGACTCCAGGTGAGTTGCAAACTGCGCGACTGTTGCGAGTTGATCCTTAGATTCTTTGGCTGCTCCGGGACCTCCTGCACAATGAGCTGGATGGACATCTCGTCCTGTGGACAGACGGGAAAAGGGCATGTGTTAGTTCCGCCTCCCCCCATCTTTATGCTGAACGATGATGATGGGGGTGGAGTTGCCGCATTAAGAGTTCATTTGCGCCCAGTGAAAGTCATGACAGGCAGCCAGTTGCAGCTGTTGCTCGAGTCTCATTCAAATTGCCATAAATTAGGGTTAACAGCAGTTTCGTTGGTGGCAAAGGAAAGCAAAATGGGTGGAAATTTGGGGTATAGAGGAGACTTTTCCAACTCGCCGACAGGCAGGGGGGTTTTTGGGGGGCAAAAGTTTAGCTGGCAAGTTGTGGATATGAGTGTGTGTGTGCTGCAGGTTGTGAGGCAACACAAACACACACATAACTTAAGGATATGCACACAGGAATATTATTTGAAATGTATTCTATGTTAATAAATAAATATAAAGTTGGGGATATTTAAAAGAAATCAATGAAAGCGTGAAAACCCTTAAAAAATTCTAGAAACAGAAATTTGTTGCATACTTCTAGGCAAATGTTAGAAAGGACGTTCAAGACCTAGTTAGTTATTTGCAATTATCTGATTAAACGAAATTCTAAGAAATTCTTTTATATATATAACCTACTTTAAATACTTTTCTTAGTGCAGCCCCTTTTGATTTATTACTTAGATTTTATTACATTTGCAACAACAACTCCCGATCGAAATGGTTTTTGTAGAATCAGCATCGATTCCATTAGTACTGCGACAGTTTGATTTAAGTCAAGCCGATGCATAATAATATCGCTTTCCCAAACGAAAGTGTCACCTGGCTGGCTGCTGGCTGGCAAACCTTACCTGTCCAAATGCGTTGCTCGCCTGACAGATATAAATGCCCGTGTCCTGGCGATATGTGTGCGAGATGCCCAATTCGGAGACCATGCCGTCGTCGAGCACTTGATCTCGGATGGTGTAGCTGTATGCCGTGTGTGTGATTTATATGCAAGTAAATGCATTTAACAGATACAGATACAGATACAGATGCAGACGCAGGTCCAGAGTTGGAGATGCGGATGTGGATGCGAATGCAGATGCAGATACAGATACAGGATGCGAGGATGTGGATACGTGTTTGCGCAACGTGAGCGATGCAATGCAATTTTATAACAATGTTTTCCACGTTGCAGTCGTCGTTGTTGTTATTGTTGTTTGTAGTTTTGTTGACAAAGACGAAGACATACGAGGCCGAAATGCACACACACGGGACACACACACGCGGGACACGTGGCATTCGGGTTCGGTTCAGTTCGGTGTGTGTGTGTGTGTGTGCGTGTGCAAATTGCATAAATAAATAAAACGCATGTGCATATTCAGTTGTTTGCCAAGCCAAAGGCAAAAGGTGGGCGTAGCGGGCGGCGGAAGAAAAGAGAAAGCCGGAAATACATATACATTAAAACACTTACGATACACAAATACACAAGTGTGTGCACAACAACATCAGGGGGGAGAAGGAGGAGCAGGAGAGGGACACAAGTGGGCACTAAAATTGAGAACAGCAACTAAAATGTCCTGGCATTTGCCAAAAAGTTTTCCTTTGCCTTATTGGGAAAGTACTATTCTTGGCCAAAAAGTTCCTTGAAATGAGAGGGGAGCACTTGGAAAATAATCAGGAATCGAAATAGGTATTATGTGAGTGGCCTAGTTTCTTGGCAAAGTGTTTAGGTTTTCCAAGGATTTAGATATTTTAGAAAAAGCATATAACCTTAAGGATTAGAAATCGATTTCAAGAAGAAATATAACGAAATTCCTTATACTTGTGGTACTAAATTAATATTGCTTAAAGTTTCATTTCATTATTTCATTTAAAGTATTTTCGTTGTCATCTAATAACTCCTGCTCTTTCTCATTTATTCTCATTTAATCTAACTTCAAATACTCATAAAACTTCTATCAAAAACCCCATAAAAAATCCCTAGATTGTTTTCGGTGCACAGCAAATACGCAAAGGCAAATGGAGAGCCCTTGATTAGAGTCTGGGAATATGAGAATTCTCATTGCGAAAATATGAGGCCAGACACACAGAGCGAGTGCGAGTTTCCTTTCGAGAAACTGATTGCCTGGTGCAAATTGAGTTAGGCTTTGGCCAAAGTATGGGTATCCATCCATCCATCCATCCTACTCAGCACCCAAGAGCACCAAAGTGCAGAGAAACCGAAATCCTAGACCGGCAGAACGAACTCCTTTAATTAAAAGCAATTTGTTGTTTGCAATCGACTTGGAATTGATTTCGCCAGACGCTCAGACATCGGAGCATGGGGGAACCTCAGTGGAAAAGCCCTAAAAATGTGGATAATGGGAATGGAAATGGGAATCTCTTACCGGGAATCCAGTGACTCGTCAAGATACTGTTGCGTTGCCTGAATTTTCCATTTGAAGTCGATGGGATTGTCGCCCTGCACGTTGCACTGCACATGGACCTGTTTGCCCTTGGCCACCGATATTTGTTTCGTCTTGGTCTGAAAATGGGCGGGCACTGGGAGGAAATTAAAGAAGAAATCATATAAGTATCAGTATTAAAAAAGGTTTCACTATGTAGGCAAAGGGCAGAGAATATTCCAAGTTATGCTTACCATTAACTTTCAGAAAGATAACCTTGCTAACACCAGATCCTATGGTGTTCTTGGCCTCGCACAGGAAGTGACCCTGCGACTCCTTGCTGATTTTCTTAAAGAAAATGGTGCCATTGGGGAAAAGCTGCACTGTGGGCTCATACAGAAAGTCCTTGTACTCTCCAGGCGTAGGTCCAATGGCCTTCTTCCACGTCATCGTGGGCTTGGGATAACCCGATGACTGACAATGCAGCAGGACATCCGATCCTGCCTGGGCACTCGAGTCCTTTGGCTCCAGGACCCATTTCGGCGGCACATTGACGGTTAGCGGTACAGTGAATCTCTCTGTTCCTGCCACATTGCTGGCAATGCAGGTGTAGTTTCCAGAATGATCGGAGGATATGTGTTCGATGACCAAGCTGGCAGAGTACTCATCCAGTCGACGGAAGACCTCATTGCTGTTAAGAAAACCAGGAAATCTCAATTAAACCCACAGGAAAAGGCTACAAAATTCTTAATCAAATTACTTTAAAATCATATTTTAGAGTTTTCCCATTAAATTTGTAAATATAATTAATAATACTCACCCAGTTCCTATCAGCGGCTTTCCGTTACGCTCCCAGCGGAAACTCACGGGCAGGTCACCCTCCAGGATCTGGCAGGATATGGCCGCTCGCATCCCCTCCCGGAGCATGTTCGTCATGGCCTGGATGGGCATGATTTTCGGTGGCACTGCGAAAAACGGAAGCCATAAAGCATCAGACACAAGCCGCAAACAAATCGTCGAGTGTCGCCAAAAAGGGACTGTGACGGCTGTGACTTGGGCACAAAGCCCAAAAGCCCACTCTGACTGAGCTTGGCGGTAATCAAGGATGTGGGTTGGATGGTATCCTAGTGCCTGACTAGTGGTAGTGGCAATTGTGGGCGTGGCATTCGCATCAATGCAGCTGCGGCTTAGCAACAGCTGCCGAGTGAATTATTATAAAGAGTGAGCTGCCTAGAGGAGAAGCATCAAGAGCAGGAGCAGGAGCAGGAGCAGGAGGAGGCGGATGACGAGGCGCAGTTTGCGGCAGACAGAACACAAAAGTCAATGACTTCATTGTGGGTCTACCAGGCACACCACCCATGAGCCAACCCACTAACCAACCACCACCCACCACCCACCGCCCATCGCCCATCGCCTGCATGTGCATTAACTGGGAAAATAGTTGCTGCTGCTGCTGCGGCTGCATAGTTTCACTCGCCACTCTAATTGGAATAGTTTCATTGTAGCTCCAGCTTCAACTTCTAATTTTAAATATTGGGAAAATCATGTGGCACCACATACACACAGAGAAAAGATTACTTTTGTTTCCCTAAATAATATTTTTTAATTAATAACCTTTTTGGGAATTCTAATGTTACTCGGAAACTTGATATGATATAAAGGAAGCATTTCCGACCCTATAAATAAAAAATTTTCTTAATCAGAATCACTGTAGGAATTGATCTAGCTATGTCCAGTGAAAAAATAAATTTTTTAATTTTTTCGAAAATTTGAAAAAAAGATAAGGTGTTACATCATTAAAATTTTCAAAATTTGTCAAAATTTGTCAAAATTTGTACTTTTTTTAAATTTCAAATTGAGTATACAGATTTGTTAACCTAACAAAAACTAGCAAATATATGCTTTCCGAATTAAAATTAATGCCTTTTTGGCTTAGTTATGAGTTTTTTAAAATTTGAATTTTAGAAAAAATTGGTGTATAAAAATATCGACAAATATCGATTCAACGAAAATGAATGTAGTTATGATCGATTTTCGATACGAACTTAGAATTCAATAACGAACTGCAAGGATATATAAACTTCTTGTTTCCAAAGTTAGTTTCTGCTCTATTTTTTTTATTATTAATGTAAAAAAAAATATATATTTCTTTAAGTAAAACTCACCCAGAACTTGTATTTCCACATTCCGTCGCGATGTCTGCTTCTGTTTGTTCTGGGCCATGCACGTGTACGTGCCCGCATCCTCCAGGCGCTGCAATTGCTCGATAATTAAGGTGCCATTGTTGTAGGCACGCTGCCGGCGATTTATGGGTAGCGTTTGGCCATCTTTTTACCCCAGAAAAAGTATATTCAGAATCCAGAATCCAGAAACCGGAGAGAGAAAGGCGAACGGAGCACGGAGAAAGCGGAGAAATTGGTGGGAGAAAGCAATTAATTTGGCTTCTCGCATAAAACAAAGTTATGCGATTTATGACTGGCCATATATAGCATTTGGTGTCTCTGTGTGTGTTTTATTTTCTTTTTATTTTTGTGTTTTTTCCAAGCTAGCTTAATTTATTTGCATACACAAGTGGAGAAAAGAGTGCGAGGAACTTTTAAACAAGCTTCTCAATTAAGAAATAAAGGTTAATTTATGGGATGCATCTAAGCGGGTATTTTTAATAATGAGTGTTATTATTGAACCTTCATACTTTAAATTACTTTAGGTCTTAATTGCATAATTAACTATCTTCTTAACCCAGCTTAAATACTTGAGATTTATAAGAGTAATTATTCCATTAAGACAACTTTTTTAATTTATGTTTATTATACAATATTACTTTTATTTGTTAATATTCACAGGATAAACACGAATGCAAGTTGACATAAAAACTCACTCACCAAACTGGCCAAAGATAATAATTATTAAAAAAGACGAAAAAAATTCATCTGAATTTAAATTTATTTCGCTTGAAACCGGAACGAAAAGAAAACAGTGCCGAAAAAAATTTGGTGTTTTCATTTTGTAGTTTTTAATAATTTTCACTGATATGAGCAATAACAAACATAGCATTTTTAATAACAAACAACATACACACTGGGCAAAAGGCAAATACATATAGCGAAATATTGAAAAAACAAGGGTACCATGAAATATATTTGTTTATATTTATATGTATATATGTGTATATATTTATGCTTACCGCGTTCCCAGTGGATTTTATCGATGGGGTAACCAGCCACGGGACATTTAACAATCAAATCGGAGCCAGAGATCCCGGTTATTTTTGGCATTTCGCGTATGTAAGGCAACCCATAGATGTTCACTTTGGCGCTGTGAGAGACTCTGCAAATAAAACATTTGTCCAGCGTTTAGTTTTTATTAGTTGGTTAGAGATGGTTACGGGTATGTGAATATTATTTACAGAATAAGTTGGGAGAAACAATACAAAAATCTATCTCTATATCTAAATCTTTGTAGGTACAACATGTCGTATGATTAATGACGATGTTTATTCGATTTTTCAATCAAAATGGATTGTAAACTATAGTGATATTTTATTTTAATTATGCATAATATCATTATTTTTGACATTTTACCTTTCAGGGTAATATAATGTTATTCAGAAGCTTGCAACTTTTAAAGGAATCATTTCCGACCCTATAAATCATATATATTCTTGATCAGAATGAACAGCTGAATATATCTAGCCATGTTCGGGCTAAAAATAAATTTTGAAAATTTTTCTCAAAAATTGAAAAATCGATAAGGGGTTACATCGTTAAAATTGGCAAAAATTTGAATTTTATGAAATTTTAAATGGAGTATGCAGATATGTTAACCTAATAAAAACTAGCACAGGAAAGCTTTCCGAATTGAAATTAGTGCATTTTTGACTGAGTTACGGCAATTTTATGTTTTAATTTGTCCGACAAAATCTATAAAATTATTAATACGTTTTTGTGTTAAAAAATTAACATTTCGGGTATCTTCTTCTTATAAATTTTGTGCTAATTATTACTCATACGCCATGTTGTCTTTATCAGTACAACGTGTCGTATGATTAATGACAATCTTTATTAGTAGTTTCAATCAAAATGGATTGTAAACTATAGCGTTATTTAATTTTAATTAAGCATAATATCATTTTATTTGATATTTAACCTTTCAGGGTATTGTAAAGTTATTGAGAAGCTTTTAACTTTAAAAGAAATCATTTCATATAAATAATTTATGTTCTTGATCAGAATTAACAGCCAAATCTTTTAAAATTCTACTAAGATTTATTGTTCTATATTGTCAAATATATATGTACTTTTCATAATTTTCCCTTTATGATTTTCCCAACTATATTTTCTGTACCATCTCTAGATGGCAGTTGCCTTGGCTGCCTCAGCAAATTGTTTGGATTTTATGCCGCTCCTCTGCCTGCAAACAATGCCGGGCCATTGTGTCGGATTTTTATTCTGTTTTTTTCCAAGCCCCCCTTAGGCCTCTTTTTCCATTTTTCTTCTTCTGTATGGTACAACTAAATTTATGATTTAGCATGGAAATGCTTTTTATGCTTCGGCTCTTCAGGCTTGTGCACTGGATATATGGCATATCTAGACTATATCGGCGGGTGTGTTTTATTTATGGAACTGCGGCTACTCACTTGCCAATTGCATTCTGCGCCGTGCAGGTATATTCCCCGCCGTCCTCCTCCTTGACGTTTGATATATTCACGTGGCTGATGACATCGTCGTGGATGGTAACATATTGACCCACTAAAAACCGTGAGCTGTCTGGGATCTGGAAAAAAATTGCGAGGGGTTTCGTCATCATCACAGTGGGCCAATTAGCAAAAGGCACTCTTTTGCAGGATCACACAGGTTAGGGAAAATCACAGAGCCAGGAGTTGAGGTGAAATGAAAAATGCATGTAAATCGAATTGATTGGAATTGCATAAAATTTGCACTGCCCATTGAAAGAGGCTCTCGTCTCTCTCCTCACTCTCTCTCAAGGAAAATGAAAATTTATGCAAATAAACGAAACAAATCCTTGAAAATATATAGCAAGAGGAAAGATGAAAAATGAAGAAAAAGGCAACACAAAATTCTTCAAACGAAAAAATTCGAGTGGAGCAAAAGCAAAAGCTGGGAATCTAAAGTATGCACTAGAGTTGCCTCCTCCTCACAAGGATTGCGGGTTCAGAGATTGGTTTCCTTTTTTGCTTTTTTGAGGATAGCTTTGACTGGGGCAAAAGGGAAAATTCGGCTTGGTAAAATATTTATGCATATTCCCGGGGAAATGGAGATGAATGGAAGCACAGGGACTGTGACAAAATATCTACTCGATGTATGGCTCAGCCTGCGAACTATCAGAAACGGAAATGACGGAAGCGCTGCCCTGCATTTCCGTCTCTCATGCTCAAGTTTGGTGGCTAAACTCACCGGAAATCCGTCCAGAGACCATGTAAATTGAGGCAGTGGATTTCCGGTTGCGACGCACTTCAATGACACCGTCGGTCCCGGCTGCAACGTTTGCTCGGAGAACCAATAAAGCAGTTCCGGCGAGGCATCTGCAATGATCATTAAATGTCGAAGTCAGTTTTGGAAAACTTTTGCCCAAATTAAGACGAGGGGAGAGTGTGGGGGAATGTTTCATTAGTGTCGGATTTGCATATATGTATGTCCTGGATCCATATGTGTGTCTACTCCTTTTCCTGGCTTTTTCTGTGGAGAGAAGATTGCATCGATGACTTGCTTCTTAATTATGCACATGAATGAGTGACTTCGCAGCGGGTGGGAAAATCTATTTGAGATGAGTTTTTCCAGGCTTACACAGTAATATATTTCACTTCGATTGTAATCAAAATTAGTGATTTAAACAAGAATTTATTGCTCTATTGAATCATCATTGCCGTTGACCAGAACCAGATTTCGCACTTTTCTTTGCCAATGCATTTCCTTTGCTTTCATTTATTATTTTCCTTTTGGCGTTGCTTGTGTTTAGACAAGGCAAACGGAAAATGCATTTGACAAGCCAGCCAGAAGCAGCAGCAGCAGCAAATGTTATCCTGCTGATGGAAATTGTATCAATTTCCTTTGGCGCAATGGCAGGATTCGGGATTTTTTAGCTCTGCTTTTTCCCAGTTATAAGCTGCCATATTTATTTGCTCTCGCACTCATGTTACATTTGAACATACAGACACTCAAAAAATTCAAGGAACTACTATTTATAAGACTAATATATTAAAAATTAAGTTCAGTTGTATGTTGGTAAAGATTTAAGGATGAGGAAGTATAGTAGACCTTTAATATATATTTTTACACTTTTACTGATATAAAACTATTAGACATAATTTATTACCCATTTAAACCTTACAATTTTCTCATATTTCTTTTAATACCCCAATTTTTTCTCAGTGCACCTATGCCATAGAAATTCGGTTGCAGCGTTGACACAATTGCTGCCATATCCGGCCGCTTAATGGCGCTTGGCTTGTCCTCGGGGTCTGGTGGTTTCTTTCTTTTTTTTTTGTGAGGGTCGGGTGGGTTGAGCTTTTAACACCAAAAGGGCAAAAAGGATGGTGGTGCTTCCTTTTTCTGATTTCTCCCCCCTTACCACCTCGATTGTGCGAAGCATGCCAATAATATATCGAAATCAATTTCCGTTTGCGCCTAAAAGCAAATCACAAAATGCTGCCAAAGCGACAATGCGCGAATGGCGTCTGGATGCTGTGTTTATGCGGGACAGGATAACGTGATGGCACATCTGTAACCATGTTTTAGGCGACAATAAAATTGAATGGCATATAGAACAGAATATGTTTATTATGCAGGGGTGTGAAAGAAGCTATTGATGAGTTTTTGATGGGTAAAAGATATTATTTTAAAGGGCAGTTCCGGTTGCGATTCTTAGAACATATATATTTTGATTTTGATTGATTTAATTGATTGATTTCTTAAGCACCTCTGTATTATTCCTCACATTTTTTGTTTGTTAAACCGAATAGCGTCATCTTCTCTATGCCAAAGGTATTCATTTTAATATCCTATAAATTTCCTACAAAATCCTTATACATCACCAAGAAATCCCATATTTATTTTATACTTTTTTCTACTTGATATAAAGCTCTTAATCATTCACATATCTGCCGCACACTAAATAGCACTGATCCCCGATTAGAATTAATCGCATTGGGGCCACGTATAAACCCCACCAAAAGCTGGCTCATTCATCGTGTGTGTTTTGCGTGTGTGTTTTGCCCTAAGGCAGCTAAACGATACAATGTGCTATCCATTCTTCCCATTCCTCCCACCAATAACATCCCTTAACATACCAACTCCCCCTCGTTTAGTGTCTGCGGCTAGATTTTTAGTGCTGGTAATAAAATTAAGTCGTCGTCGCTGCGTTTTATGGGTAGCAGCAGGAAAAACATCTCCCCATTATTGTTTGTTGCTCTGATTTGTTGTTGAAAAATGTTAGCAATTTGCTAAATTAGAAAATAATGAAATGCAATTATGACAAACATTTATTTGTGCGGTCTGCGGTCGTCGTCATTCGCTACAGCTTCGAGGAGGAAATTACGCTTTTGATTGAGATGTTGTGCGGGGGTGTGTGTGGTGTGTGGTTGTGTGTGGTGTGGGTGTTGTGTACTCTCATAAGTGGTTATTAATGGCCATAACGATAGATGGCCAATTTATGATTCCCATTGGTCCAACGGGTAGCATTACTTACCGCCCAACTGCAGCTCGGCGGTGGATTCAATCTGTTCCCATTCATTGGAGACGAAGCATTGGTACATGCCAGGATCCTCCTTCTGCACTTTCTTAATGATCAGTCGAGGGGGATCGGTGAGGATCTAATGAGGATTAAAAACATTTTCAGCTTAAATATTTATATTTTAGGGCATACAAAAAACTCCAAATTAGTAGGAAAAAAGGTATTCTTTGCATGAATAATTTATTTACAAAAACCAATTTAATTTTGATTTAAATGTGAACGAAAAGGAAACTAACTTTGGAAAGGTGAAATTAAATTAAATTATACCATGGCAGTTTTTAATTTATTTATAGTATATAAAAGGACATCTACCATAACTAAAATATATTAAAATATGTCACAATATTCGCATTCTTTGAATTAATATTTATCGTTATTTATCAATATCAAATCTTAAGAATTTCATAATAGTTGTACTGATAAAGACAACATGGCGTATGAGTAATAAGTAGTACAAAATTTATGCTGATCAAGAATATATATGATTTATAGGATCGGAAATGACTCCTTAACATAGATACAAGCTTCTGACTGCCAGGGTATACACATAAATCTAAACAAGTTAGTTTTTTAAATGAATTAATTCATTGTACTGTGTAAAATACTTATTTAAAATTTATTTATGCTCTGTTAACCACATTATAGTACATTTCTCTATCATAATCAATTAAATTAAATGATTGACATGGACTTGATGATGTTATCTCACCTCGACACGATTGTCCCGCAGGATGGGCTTGCCATCGTGCAGCCAGTTGACATCGTGGACCGGATGTCCCGAGACAATGCATTGAAATTGCGCATCCTTATCCACATCGACCGTCTGCACCTGTGGCTGCAGGTGTGCCGTCAGAGGAGCTAAGTTTTTTATGGAGGCGATTCAGCGTTTTGAGTATCCTTTATGGGGGATTTTTTCTCCTCGAACACACACACACACAGACACACACACACACACTCACCTGTCACCGTTAGCGACACTTGGATGGTCTCCTCGCCCGCCGTATTGTTCACCCAGCACAAATATTTTCCACTATCCTCGAGACGTGCCTGCAATGGATGAAATCAATTGGCAATCAGCGCGGCTTCCTTTCACTCCTTTCTCCCTGGTTTCACACAGGGGTTTTCCCCCTCTTTTTAACACTTAAAAAAATTGTGTACTCCTGTAAAGTTTGTTTTAATAAAATACGACTTAAAAAAAGGAAATATGTAAAGAACTAATCGTATGTAACTTTTGTTATGATCAGAAATTTTAATACATATTCTTAACCAATCGATTTTAAATTTATAATAATTGGTAGGATTTTAAAATCAATTAAAATTATGAAAATATATGTATATATTTGTAAAACATCCAGAACTCCTTATTTATGCCTGTTCATAATACTTTAAGCTAGCTTTAGGCTCTAAGTCCCCCTAAATATATTGTTATTTTATTAAAGGTGAATGAATTTATTATTTTGTATGTTCAATAAAAATCTTTTTAAACTTCAATTACGATTCTTTTGCTATCCTGGTACGCACCTTGGTGATTTTAAGGAGTCCTGCGGATACGATGGTGATGCGTTCGCTGAGTTGCAATGGCAGCAGCTGTTCGTTCTCCTCCTTGAACCACCTGCAAAAAGGAAAAACAGGATGACAGCGAGATGAAATGCTGGACAAACAAAGGGCCAAGGCAAAGACAAACAGCAAGGGGGCAGGGGGGCAGCGGTGACACAATAGCGGGCGGGCGAAAAAAGGAAAGGGAAATCGCAGATCGGGAAATTCATTTCCGCTTTATTTGCCCAAGATTTTGACAGTTGAATGGAGCAGAGCCCGTACCCTGGCTCGAGCTTTAAACAAATTGAAATGACGATTGAATTATCAATAATTTCGCAGCGCTCGCTTTCCTCTTTCCATCCTTTTGATTGTTGGCTTGTTGTTCAGGTCGGAGTCCACATGCCCGATGAAAATATATATTTCCATAGTTCGGAAAAATGATTGCACTTAAGTGGGCATAACGAGGGAAAGTGGGCGTTGTCCTGCCTCCCTCCCCCCCCCCCCCTGGAGTGGGATTTATTCATACACATATATGTATATATACATATATGCATATGCATTGCCTTATTTAAAGGGTATTTATGCTCTGATTGCAGATCGAGTATATCGATTACTTTATAGATATTGTAGCCAAAGATTATCAAAAGTATATTTAATGAAACTTTCTTGAAAGGGTTAATTACTAAGAACAGCAATTCTTTACTTTGGTAAATTTAAGCCTCTGAAAAGGCTACCTAAAAAATTGCTATGTTATATTATATTTTAAATCACCTATAGCCACATTTCCTTCTTTTTGGAGCAGCTCTAAAGAAATATTCATAAACAGTTGTCTATTTATATTTTCTGTGAAATAAAATCTCATAAAAAAGGAACTATTTTTAAGCCTTTTTGATGAGTTATGAAATCTTGGTTGTTTCATTTTTCTTTTTTTGTTTCCAAGTCCTATATCTTCTTTTTCATATATGTATATTCGTTGTTAAATATATTCTTTTTAATATATATTATTTATAATATACATCCTGTATCATATTTTCAATTACCGCATTTTTTTTTGCTTTTTGAAAGAGATATCAAATCGCGCATTTCGTTTTTCGTTACTTTTGAGATCTTTTGAGAACTTTTTAATTGAATAAAACCTATTTACCTTAATTAAAACCCCTCTTTCAGGTACATTTTTTACCCCACTTCCATACTTTATTTTTTTATAAAGAGTATTCCCCATCCATAGGCTTTAACCCCGTTTTTCCATTTATATTTTGTATGAATTTTTTACCAAAAGAAATCGCATTCAGCTGCGGAGGCTGAAAATATCCCAATTGCGTAAATCAACAGATTTTTTTTCCCCACCATCATTTTTATCTGGTGCGCGTGTCATAATCTGTTTGATGGCTGGCCACGCCCACTTGCAGCCCCCGCCGAAGGCCCCTCAATGCAATTGGATTGCATATTTTTTTTGTTTCTTTGCCATGAAAGTTATTGATTTTAATTTGGCTTTAATTGCACTTGAGTGCTTTTCTTGTGCTTTTCTTATGACGACGATGCTGGCAAAGGCATGCGCCCATTGGCATTTCTTAATTAAAATCACGGAAAATGCTGGGAATGCACATACTCGGAGGAGTTTTCAGGACGCGACTCAGCTATTTGCATATGAAATGCCGTTGAATTGGAAATATGGTCAGTGATTATCAACAAACTGAATCAATATGGCAAGCGAATCGAACACAAGCAGGACGATGACGACGACACAACAAAGGACTTGCCGGCGAAACAAAGGCTTCGTTCGCCCGAAACTATGCAGCTCAAAAAAAAAAGGAAAAGGGATTTCAAATGTGAAAAAATGGGAAAAAAAAGGGGCGAAAAAAATAAGCCCCAGAAAAGCCAGTGAGCAACATGGCCAACTATTTCCACATTTATGAGCCAGGACCTCCAGGTCCTCGGAAAACAATGCAGCAACAGCGGCAAACAAAACTCATCGTCATCGCCTCCCCTGCAATCCTTTAGAGGTTTTTCCTTCTTTTTTTTCTTTCCTTTTTCGGAGGAGGCGGCGGCGTCTCCGTCGTCCTTTTCGGTTTCCTTTTTGCCTTGGCGGCACAGCGGGAGACATCAAATGAAAGGCACTCTCGCGATGTGGCACATCCTGGGCGCATTTTTTATGCATGCAGCAGCAGCAGCAGCGGCTCCAAGGACTCGAGCGTAAACGAAAAGCGGAGGACAGCCATGAACCGTGGAGCACCGTCAGCTACAATGGCATATTACATGGCATCCAGCTCGGACAGGGACATCCTGGGATATCCTTCTCCGCCTCCTCCGGCCTGCTGCTCCATGCATGTTTTAGTACCCGAAAATCGCCATGATGAGCCAAGTGCCAAAGTGGCCAATATACAACAGGGGGCCTTCGCTTTTGTCCTTTGAGTGCTAAAAACTTGAACGGCATTTCAGAAAGCAATTTGCCATTGTCGGCCATAAACGATGCTTTGCTTTTTTGATTGATTTGTGTCTCTGTCTCTCAGAAGAAGAGAAGGGGAATCCCATTCCGTACGAGACAAACGCCTCCGAGAGTGCCCCAATAAACAAGTTTGATGTACGTAGGCGCAGCCTACCACCAATACCAGCCAGCTGTGTTAGCCTTACTCAAAAAGGACCCCAGGCATAAATTTTTGGCCCAAAAAAAGAAATGTCTACCAGCATGCAGAGTATGCGATAAAGTTCCGGCAATCCTTTAAGCTGAAGGTCTTACATGGCTTAGAAGTGGAGGTTTCTTGGCTAAGTATCTGGAAAAAGTTGATATCTTTTACAACTAAACTTGTCGCTGTTTAGTTTTTATGAGAGAGAGCAGGTAACCCTTATCATAAAGGATAACTGGAGAAATCGCAGGAAATAATGTTGAAGATTTAAGCTTCTCCTGGTTTTTAGTTGATAAATAAAATAAAACTAAGACTGACTTGTTATTGCTAGAAAAAAAAGCAATCATTTAAACCTACTGATATTTATTTAAACGTTTATTCTTTAATAATTAACCTAACTTCTTTGAGAATCGCATAGAGCGGCATTCGAACTTATCCCAAAAATTCAAGGATAATGAATTACTTTTTTCTGTTTCAATATTATTTACTTCTAAATATATTTAAGTTTAAGCTTATCCTCCTAAGACTCCTGATTTATTATGTTAAATCCCCTCCCATCCGGCTGATCCTTCCTATTATCCATCACTGACCTCTCTTACTCCCCTGAGAATCGCATAGAGCGGCGCTGATGGGCTCAAGCCTAACCTCGAATTCGACCCACTTCGGGGCATGCCGCAGGGTATTCCCCTGCCGCCATGCGCTCCACATTTTGACAATTTGGCTGACATTTTTATTATGATTTTTCTTTTTTTTTTGTTGCCTGACATCGCGGGCATCACATTTTTTCGCTTTTCGGTTCGTTTCGCTTATTTTGTTTTGGCCATTTTGTTGTTGTTGTTGTTGTATTTGCCAAAAGCGTTAAATATTTCACATTGTCATAAAGTGTGCGCCAACTGCGGCTGCGGGAGGCGGTTTTTGGAAGCCCGCTTGGAGCCGGTTGGGTCCCGAGTCCTGTGAAACGGCCACGTGTTCCAAGAGGTCCTGCACATGGTTTCGCGATGTTTCTCTTGATTTTTTTCGACGGCGTTTTTCGTTTTTATTTTTTGAGAGTGTGTGTGTGTGTGTGTGTGTCGTGCGGTTGTTGTGTTTTACTCACCGATATGTCGGCACCGGATGTCCTTGAGCTATGCACGGCAACGTTGTTTGGCCATTAAGGACAACATGCCGCATCGAATGCTTCTCCACGTTGATGCGCGGCTGTACCATGCCCTTGGGCTCCGTTACAATAATGCGGCCGGGATATGTGGAAATTTGTATTTCACCTGGGAACGGAACGATAAGGTGAGGAAAACTGATGAGACTCGAGCTGGAAAATATGGCAGAAAAATTGCCCAAGTGATGGCAGCTGACAGTGTGTGTGTGCCCCCCTTACCAGTGGCATTTACTTAGATTTAAAGCGTTGGCCTACCCACAAATTTATGGCATGTCCTGCGGATCCTGTATGCCTTCACTTTCGTCCCCTTACATGTATGTATATATTTTAATTAATTGAAAGTAAATGAAAGCAATCAACTTGATTGCCGGGACCACCTGACTGACCTTTCCACTTTTATGGTTCTCTTCGTTTTTGCTCCCCATTTTTTCCTCAACTTTTTTCTCTCTTGTTTTTTTTTGTTAGTTGGTCGAGCTGGCAGAGAAACCTTCATTACAGATGCAGACAGGACACGCACAGCCTCTAAATCAAGGGGAAAACCTCTACTGGGTCAGAAAATCAGGGAAGGGTACACTCAACCAAAAATTAATGGCGTATTGATTGATTTAAGGAAGTTTTGAATGAGGAAAATTAAACGAAAATATAATATAATAAAATATATATTTATAGATATATGTATTTAAGAAAAGCTACAGAAATATTTTTTCCTTATTGCATTTTATTATTTTTACTAGCAAAAAAAAAAAAATAGAAAGACTTTAGTTTACTTTAATTTTATACTCTTGCAGGGTATTCTAATTTCAGTCAGAAGCTTGTAACTTTTAAAGGAATTATTTCCGACCTTATAAATCATATATATTCTTGATCAGAATGAAGAGCCAAATCAATCTAGCAATGTTCGGGCAAAAAATAAATTTAGAAAATTTTGCTCAAAATTTAAAAAAAAACGGTAAACGGTAACGTTAAAATTGTCAAAAATTGGCCAAAATTTTAATTTTGTTAAAATATTAAATTTAGTATGCAGATTTATTAACCTGACAAGAACTAACAAAAGACAGATTTCGGAATTGAAATTAAATAATTTTTGGCTAAGTTATGAATTTTTTAAACATGGATAATCCGAAAAATTGTCATATCAAAATATTGATAATTATCGATTTAAAGAATGCCTATTTATGATCGATTTTCGATTCTCTCCAAGAATTACAAACTAGAAGGATACATAAACTATAAAATCCCCTCAAAAACTATTAGTAGAAGCTAATAAAAAATAATTTAACAAACTTGAAATCTCAATTTTCATTGTGCATCAAAATCTATAACGAACTTTAGAGATATCTGATGGCTGTATGTTGTATTCCGTCTAACTCAATTCTGCATCTTCATTATGTCGGCCATTGTTCAGTTTTGGGGCTCCATTGTTTGGCCACGGCTCATTGTGTGCCGGGCCTGGTCAGCGAGTTATTGTGCTAAATAAATGGATTTTTGGTTTAAATTGTAATTACGTGTGGCGGCAGCCCCGGAGAACCCAAAAAAAAAAAACAAAAATCCAAAATCCGCTGGCCAGGACCAGGTAAGGGAAAGGAAAACCTAATGCAGTATGCAGCCAGGAGATGGGAGCTGGGAGTGTGTGTGTGTGTGTTCTGGGCTTGATAAATGAATTACTCATGACCAGGACTCCATGGCACTCCATAACCCACTCCTGCCGGCTCATGTTACACTTTTAATGAGTGCCACTCGAGCTGGTTTCTGCGGTTGCCATAACGGGGGCCCAGATCACCTAAATTGGCATTGTTTCGGCCGTATCCTACACACACACACACACACACACACCTATATACGGACGCATCCTGGCGGCGCCGCATTTCCAGGACTCCCCAAATTAATATGCAGCTCATAATTTTCGCTTTTGGCCAGAACTCGAGCGCAACTTGCGGTTTTTGCGGCTCGATTCAATTTGATTAATTAAGCAAATAGCTGGCGAGCAGTAAAACCGCAAATGCCTCGAAGGGCAGAAGGCAAACGTAAATGTAAAATGTAGCAGGGAAATTCAAGGCAAAATAATAGCATTAAAAATGAACATTTAAATTATATAGTATTTTTTAATAATTTAATAGGCAGACTATACATAAACTCCTTTTTTTGTAAGGGAATTAGCAAGAATTTCTTATTTAATGACATATAATCTGCATTTAAATATACAAATTTAAGAAAATTCTCTACCATAAATATGATACATTTTATTATTATAATATATATATTATTTCCATTTATAAATTCCATCTCTAAAGATGCAAACATCCAAGTTGAACTGTAAATAAAACCCGACAAACACAACCACTCGCTCTCTCCTTGCATTCACATAAAGAAAAGATTGAAAATGAAAAGAAAAGCGGGTCGAACTGCCATTGGGGGGAAAATAGGGTGCACAAAAAAAAAAAGTATGAAGGGAGTGAAACTTTTATCGTATTGATTGATGATGTGAAATATGCGCACAAAGGCTAATAGAAATTCAGCTTAAGCGCATTTTCACACACAATAAACTTCAAATAAGCCAGAAAACACACACAGCCGGGGAATTTATCTCGAAAAGATCTCACGTATTGGCCTGTCGACACACAACCAGAATCAGATATATATAGTATATGTCTATAAATGAGAGTATATATACATACTCCCATTTTGGAGCGAGACTGCCAAAACTCCCTGGAGCTCAATGCCCTTTGCCCGGCGATTGAATGTCACGCATCATAAATTATGCACAAAAACGACAAATTGACTTTGGCCAGAGAACAAAACTAGTGCTTGTTTGCAAAGGGTTTTTCGGACTTCTCAAGTCAGGCTTAAAAAGGACCAGAAAATGCTGCATTGTTTATTTTGCCAATTACATTTTTTATGGGTAGATTTTGGCTTTAGAAAATGAATAAAGAAAGAAAAGATTGATGTGTATTCAAAGGGAAAATGAAAGCTATTCAAACTAAGAGAAAGAAAGGGAATTAAAGGATAGGTAATGAGAGTTGTAATCTATATTTTAACTACAATTTAGTAATAATTAAAATAAATAAATATAATGCATAATAAATGTAAAAATAACAAGTGATACTCGATGGAGTTTAACAGTGTTCAGCAATTAAATAAAATAAAAGATAATTGTGTTAAATTTTCACTACCCTTTAATGTAACAACCTTAACTCTTCAAATACAGAATCTGTAGAATTTCCCTCAAAGGGATTTCCCTTGGAAAAACACCCCTTTAACTGTCGTGGCATGTTCAACACGCACAGAGGCCCCGCTCTTGGCTTATTTATTCAACTTAATTATAGCTGTCCCGCCCCTGGACCAACAAACCGGACTGATCCGGATGCTGGAGTGGAGTGTCCTGTCCAAAGTGTTCAGAGTGTCCAGAGTCGACCGGAGTATCCTTCGATTCCGGAGCAATTCATGCATCCCTCAACCGGACGATTAAGCTGAAAATGCGATTATCACGTACCTGTCAGTCTATTTACAGTGCGGCATGTGTAGCTTTTGTACGCATCATTGGGCCCCGCATTATTTATGTACAATTCGCCATTCGATAGCACCGTGTACTTGCCACCGATGTCCGTGTTTGGATATAGATGCATACCGGTGTCCTGCACCCAGGCGGTAACCATCACGAATTCCGACATATAGCTGGGCACCTGGCGATAACAAATAGGGATAATATCAAGAATTTATATAGAAAACATAAAGAAAGTCTTTAAAATCGAAGAGGAAAGTATCGTAAGAAAGTCTTGTAGATTGTAATATATCAAAAGAATATAGATAAATTGCTTTTATTAAGACCTTGATTAACTAATCTTGTGAAAGGGATTTAGAAATAAATCTAGAGAGGCTTTTTTCTAATAAGCATCGGTTCATATTTATTTAAAATGAAGTTTATTCCTTATTGAATTTATCAATAATTATACAGTAATTAGAAAGTCTAATAAGAAAGTCTTTAAATAGAAGAGGTATGTATCTTAAAATAGTCTAGTAGGTGGTAATATATCAAAGGAATGCAGAAAAAAGGTTTATATTAACTAATCTTGTGAGAAGGTTTTAGAAATAAATTTAGAGATACTTTTTTTGAATGAATCGGTTCATATTTATTTAAAATGAAGGTTATTCCTTATCAAATTTATTGATATTTTTCAAGCATCTCTAGGACATTAAGGACGAGCATCATCAGTGCAGTGCATTGGTGAGATTAACAAATTTGATAAACATTTTCCAGGGGAGAAATGAAAATGAGATTTGTGCGCGTTAAGTGAATTTTGCGGTCCACCTGTAATTCGCCAGGACTCGCTCTCGCTTCCCCCTCTCCATCCAACTACATACTACTTGCACTAGCCTAACCGCCATGCCAGCAAAGGATGTGAAGGATATGAATGTGGATGCGGATGCGGATGCGGATGTGGCAAAACACGCTTACGTATACGCTTACCTGACACTTCAGCACCGCCGTGTTGCCCGTCATCACGTATTCGTCGTGCACCTGCACCGTGTACTTCTGGTTGACGACTGTAACGAATTAAAAAGCATATATATTTTATGCAAATTGCTTTGGCTTTTTAGGATTACAAATATTGCGCATACGCAGCGTGGCCAGAGGCACATCTGAGAACGAAGCGAAACAATTATGTTTACATCCCGTCGTCCCTCTACCATTTCGTTTTTATTAGCCAGGAGTCCCTTTTTTCGGGACTTTTAATTTTTAATGTGGCGGCAGGACCACATAAAAAAAGGGATCCTGGCAGCGACAGGCGAAATATGTGGCACATTATGTTCCGGCGGGCCCTTTGTAACCCGGAAAAGCCACGTTATCCTAAACATGTCCAACACATTGTGACACTTTACAAAAGTGTGGCCGTTTGTCAGTCAGCCAGTAGGACGAAGGACGAAGGCCGCTCCAGGAAAGGGAACAGAGGCAGGGCAGTTAAAAAATTGGATTTGGCAATTTGAGTTAAAGATTTTTTCGCTGTCCCCATCCAAAGCCCGTCGGAGTGCTCAGCACGAAATTAAGAATGACAAGGATCCTAACCATGACTGAAGTGAGGCAGAGCGGCACAGTGGGGCAAAAGGGAGGAGAAAATGGAATAAATTAAATAAATTGAATATACAAAGATTAAGTAGAAATTGTTTTTAAAGAGAAATATGTCTAATGAATATATAAAACATTATTTGAGAAGTCTTAAAAGAACTTTTAGGCATTCAAATAAGTGTTTCTTTAGCCTGTTTTTGTATGGTACTTTTTTCACTCAATTTAAATTTAATACATTATGTTAAGTGACTCTTTTTGTATGTCTTTCAAACCACTGTGCCTGTGTGAAATGGCTTTGCATCAGTTAAAAGCACAGCTCAGGTCTAGTTGCTGCTGCCAGTGGCAGTTGGCAAATTAATTAAGACGGACAAAGGCAATTTTCAACTGGCGTGCGTAAAGTGCGTTCCATTGTTGGTCCTCATCGGGGTATGTCCCTTCGAGGGCTAATCGTAAATAGATTAGGTTCAAGGCCCCCCAGGAACCCCAAGGATCCCCCTCCCCCTTGAAAACTTATCTCAACTTCCTTTTTTTTTGTTTTGGCGGAATGCTAAATTCAGATCACGCTTGGCTTTTTCTGGTTTCGGCATTTGTTTGCCAAACTTTAATATGCTCAAATTGGATAAAAGTTTAATTTGAAAAGTTGTTGTTATTGTTTGTTTTCTGCTCTATGACTGTACTTGTTGTTGCTGTTGTTGTTGTTGTTGCTGGTGACTGAAAAACTTTGTGACAACATTTTATTATAATTCCTCTGGCCGCCACCGCCGCCGCCGTCGAGCTATGTAGTTTAGCACAATTTTGTTTTTGTATCTTCATTATTTGTATTGCCGGTCTCCCCCGAATTTTTATTCCTCTATTTTTTTGTGTTAATTTTTTTTGTTGTAGTAGTTTTTGGTGCACAGAGACTCTCTCTCTCTCTCTTCTATTTTTGTGAAAAGGGAAAAGTTTTTTTCGCCTTTCATGTTGCATTTTGCATGGAAATTTCCAAACTGAAGGACAGCCTGGGGCCGCGGGGCAGCCAACAATGTTGTGTGCAGGAAAATGGGAGGAAAAATAGAGGGGGATTTTTCAGACAGGACAGGAACAGGACAGCTGGGCAGGAAAGTAAGTATGAAAGCTAAGTTTATAGTCGCCGGCGCACAAAGTAAGTGCAAAAAGCAAAGCGAACGGGAGACATTCGCTGCACTCGGATTTTATGCGGAAATTCATTTCCGTTTTGTTTTGTATGTGGCGAAAGTTTTTCCTGCATTTTCCAAGAGAGTGGAATGGGGGGGGGGGTTGGAATTTATGTTTATGATGTGCGTGCCGGAAAGATGCTTTTGGTATGCCAGTCTTCGCTGATTTGCAGTTATTGTACGGATTTCTCCCCGACGCCGGAATGTTTACTTTTTATTTAGTTTTTTGTGTTTTCAGTTGTCATTGTGTCTATTAAATTATCATTTGCAGTGGTTTTGATTGCAGAAGAGGATTTCAATAGGAATTATATGACTAAGAGGGAAGTGGTTTTCATACTCTATAAAGCTGTTTTAGTGGCATTTGATTGGAGTTAGAAATATGAGTTATATTCTGTATACAAGACTCTTAAATTTGAGTTTATATTAGAGACTATATTAGTTATTTATTTTATGCTTATTAAGCTTGTTTATCAAGGAAACTAATTTAAGAATATATAAAATGTATACAACCTTATCTTCAGCCTCTCTTAAAGCCACAAGTTGATTTTCTTCAACTTAAATCATAAAAAGCTACAATCAACTTGAAAGAAAATTGTATTTCTGTACGGTTGCCATGGCAAATGAGCAGCTTCATATGCAAAACTCTCACAACTAAGTATCCGGTTGCAGGTTTTGCCAGGTTTGCCAGGTATGCCAGGTTGAAAATATAGAAAGGAGCAAGGAGAATATTGAAAGGGGAACAGGAACATAGTTGGAGCATCCTCAACAATGTGCATTCAACTAATTAGAAACAAATTACGCAGGTTTCATACACAAGCAGCCAGCGGCAGACTCGCCAAACTTTTCTAGCTCAATCACAAACTTTGTGCCGGAGTCTTGCAAGGACTTTTCTATACACATGCACAGGATACACCTACCTATCTTTTGCTGGGAGTATAACTATGACTATGACTATGAGTATGAGTGTGTGTGTGTGTGTGTGATGAAATGCAAAAGTGCAGGAAAAGTCAGCGCTGAAAAGTCGTGGCTGCGGCAACTTTGTGGCTCCCAGCATCATTCATCACTGTCAGCAGAAGTTTCGCTCAGCAAAAGGAGCAGCGAATGTCCTGTGGCCTGACAAAACCAAATGCCAGCAATTGCGTTTAAGCTTGACTTGAATATATATGGGGGAGAATTTGTCAAGGGTTTTTTGTGTTCTGTCTTTCTTGTTTGGTTTCTTTTTCTGCTTGCAAAAGTTGCGCTAATTACGCGCACTTAACCAAAGCCCCGAGTCCTGAGTTCTAAGACCCAAAAAGTTCACCAGTTCCAGTTCGCATCAAACTAAGCGCTGCCAATTAAAGGAGACGACTCCCGGGCCAAAAATGCTCACATTAGCAACAGAATTACTGGCCAGCAGAGATCGCTGATTCTCTACCAAGAGAACTTTTGCAAATTAGGCAAAACGTTTTGCGCCAAATCTACGCGCTGTCAAATTGTTCAAGCGGAAAGACCGCCTTCTGCAAATTTTCGGGGGGGAAAAAACAATTTCTGGCTCACATAAAAACGAAGCGGAAAACAAAGAGAATGGTCAGAGAAACAAGACGAAGAGGAGGAGGAGCAGAAGGAGAAGGAGGAGCTGTAGGAGACCACAAATAAAATAAGCCGGCAGACATGGCGTATACGTAACGTTGAGTTAGCTGCTGAAAAATGGCCGCCGGACGTTGGAACTTTGCATGGCCGGCAGCATGGACAAAAAGCTACGCATGGCAAGGCTAGGTACACTCAGAAAAATTTAAGAAAATTACGAAAAATATATGCAAGAATCATAATTATTTAAAACCCTAAATAAATCACTTGTGTAATATCAAAATTACAAAAGAAAACTCTTCTACAAGAAGTACTAACGTTGACATAAGTTTGTTTTATATTACTTATAGTTTCCCTTAACTCAACTTTTTCTCTCAGTGTCCCCAACATGTGTATGCGTGTGTCCGGACTCTATCTAAGATCTTTGCGGTTGCGACTTTGTGCTATTTGTCTTGCTTTGAACTGACTTCTCCGTGGTCTCCCCTTTTTTCCGCTCTGCCTGTTAATTAAACGCAACCCCAAAAACTCAAGTGGACCCTTTGAGGATTAGCCTTTGGTTTGTCTCAGTCAAAAAGGCCAAAACCCATTTATATGGCATATCTTTTATGGCCATTGCTAATTGTTGGTTCTCTCACTCTCTCTCTCTCTCTCGGTCCTTTTGACCAAAGTGGTAGTAGCACTGCCCAATGAGCCGCAAAATCTATGCGACATGTGATGGCAATCAAAATGATTGCCCCGCAGACATCCAATGGCCGAGTTTTAGTTTCAGTTTCAGTTTCTGTTTGAGTTCATTAATGCAGTTTAGTGAAGAATGAGAAAGTTTTATTTTATTCGGTCGTATTAGAGTTGGTTTCGTTGTTTCGGGGAATATATAAAATGAATAGTCAATACTCTGGCAAGAATATTAATATTTATTAAGTGATACTTTCAATACCCTTGCAAGGTAATACATTTTTAGTCAGCAGAATAAAACCTAGTGAAGAGGAGTCCTATCCAATCCTTTAAATCATATATATTCTTGATCAGAATCAAAAGATGAATCGATATTACTCATACGCCATGTTGTCTTTATAGGTACGACGTGTCGAATGATTAATGACAATCTTTATTCGATTTTTCAGTTAAAATAGATTGTAAACTATAGCGTTATTTAATTTTAATTATGTATAATATCATTTTATTTGATATTTCACCTTTTGAGGGTAATATAATGTTATTCAGAAGATTGTAACTTTTAAAGGAATTATTTCTGACCCCATAAAAAAAGATAACTTTATAAATTCCTTTTCTTATAATTTATTGTAATTATAAAAAAAAGGACCCCTTAAGTAGCTGTCCAAACTCCATGTGCCACTGCAAGGACACCATTTATAATGAGGGTATTCCCCTCGCAGTCAATTCTCACACACTGAGGCGCCAAATTAGCGCCGAGCAAACCTATTTTTTTTTTGTTCGCTTGGCTTGCGGGGCATTGAAAGTGGATGGGGGTTGGCCATAAAGAGGATGTGTGTTGGGCGGAACCGGAAGAGAGCGAGGAGTCGCCTGGCCGACAGCATTTGCCGGCAGCAATAGTAATTAAAACTTGCGTTGCCTGCTTTTAGGCTTCAGTTTTTGGGCGGATTGGTAGTGGAGCCGGGATCTGGGATTGGGATTGGGATTGGGGCTAAAATGGGCGGCAAATGGGCGCGAAAAACTTTCCAATTAGGCCAAAGTTTCCCAACAAACCACAACAACAACAACCACTGGCACCGTCGAAAGCCAAACTCACTTCGTCAGCACAAATCAACTTGGTGGCCATAAATTCCCCGAGTTTCATTTCGTTTTGGTTTTTCCTGTGTTCAGCCGCCTCTAGCCGTGTTTTACGTAAATTAATTAAAATTTATTTCAACTTACCGCCGCGCACGTGAACCTCGCGACTGAGCACAGTGCCCACCAAATTGCGAATTTTGCATCTGTTGCGGAATAAAAAGGACAAAGGATTAAATATTAATTTGAACTGAGGTCTGAGCCTGAGGTACTGTCTCACCTGTAGACGGTGGCATGCACCTCGTGGCGGTACTTCTCGGCGGTAAAGGGATAGAACATCATGCTGCCATTGGAGAGCTGGAACACCATGTCCTGCTGCGGCGGTATGGGTGTCCATTCCACCTGGTTGAGTCAAGAGAAAGGATAAATGAGAAGGTGTCAAGGAAAAGGGAGGTTTACAGAATTAAATTTAAATATATTTAAGTAACATGAAAATGAACTACAATTTCTCTAGATTAACTTATAAGTTTATTAAATAAATTTTCAAAAACAAATGTAGTATTTTTGAGTACGAAAATAAATAAATAGAATTTCTTTTCAGTGCAATCGTTTAGCATTTGTTTGTTGGCCAGTCAATTAACTTGGAAATGAGCAGAGGCAAATGCCGCACAGCTCCATGCATAATTAAACAGCAATATTAAATGGCGGTGAAGGAGAGTCAAAAGGACAGGGACAAAGGAGCTAAAAAAGAAGTCCTTCGAAGGAAGTTCTCACCTCCGGCGGCGGACTGCCGGTGCCCGAGCATTCTATAAGTCCACCCGAATTGTTGGAAAACTCGACGCGATGCGGTGGCTCGTGTAGGAATATCGGTCCCTGCAGATCCAGTCCATTCACAATCTGGCTGGTCTCGGCTGCAAAAAGAGAATGAACGGTGAGAAAAGGCAAAGAAAATTCGGTGAAAATTCGTTGGAAATTCGTTGGGAATTCTGGGTGAGGGGGTGAAGGAAATTTAAAATTTTAATTAAATGGAGGCGGAGTGTGCGCTCTGTGTCCTGGTTGGCCAAAGTTAATTTCAATTTTTGTTAGACCGGGAAACTTTTCTCTGTCGAAATTAAGTAGCGGGTCCTGGCCAGCGGCGGCTCCTGGCTCCTGGCTACTCCTCCACCTCCTCCTCCGCCTCCTCCTCCCCAGGGGGGACAGCTTGGCCTAAATTTTAATGAGGCGTCGTGAGTGCCGCTGGCCCGCAACAAAGGCTGCTCCTCTGCGGAGACAATTGCTTTTCACCTGCCACCGGCCATTGGTGTGTGTGTCTGTCTGTGTGTGTGGTTTGCTGGCCACAAAAGCCGCCTCTAATTGCTTCACCAGCCGCTGAGCATTGCATAATTTCGGTGGGAGCCCTACTTAAAAATTGCCTTTGATGCGGCTTTTATGTCATATTTATTATTCATTCGGAGCCAAGGAGGACAGGACACCACTTCGAGACTCGGGAGATGGAGATGGCCCCGGACACGTTAAGGCGTTGTCTCCTGTCCAGAAAATAACTAGAAATTCATGTGCAGCGGGTGAAGCTGACTATGACACATGAATAATTTAGGCAAAAGGATCTTTCTTTTGACTACACTTGAAATTGAGAAAGTTTCTTTGGTCAGAAAAACTGGTGAATTGGATTCTGTTCTTTTTAGACCTTTTTTATTATTATAGATTTGATTTTAAATTGGAAGCAATTTCTTATTAAAATATTATAATATAGTATTATATATTTCAACATTTTTAGATAAATATTTTAATTAAAGATGTACTTCGTAGCAATATCTTTGTTAGAGGAAGTATTAAAGAAAACTAACATTATGTTTTAAAAATATCTTTTATTTTGTGGGAACAACAATAATAAATTTAAATTGTGGATCTAAATTTCTTATAGGAGTTTCTTACATGACTTTTACCTTGGCGATTTCATGCCTCCTTTAATTTAAAATCTCTTGTAAATTTAGATCTCTATTAAAGTATGTAAAATACTCTAAAACAAATGGATTTATATAACTCAAGATTGCCTGTTTGGCAAGGGACAACAAATGATATTTTTTTAAATAATTTTAATAATGAATAGACATTTCATAATATTCACTTTTTCTTTCGCCCGGTGTAAATGTTTTGTGAAAATTGTTAGTTTTCTTGCAGAGAGAGATATTTCTATCACTTGCTGTCGGACGAAAGAATCCCCTTTTTTGGCAGTTGTCCTGGCCACAGGACTTGGACTTGGCAAACGATCCTTCCAGCTCTCTCTCGCTTTTGCTACCGCTCCTTGTGGCACTCTCGACAACAGCAACCGCAAAGTATGCAACACTAAATTTGTAAGCAATTTTCAACCCCAGCAACGCCAACAACAGTCGAGCAATAATATGAAAAATTGTTTTGTCAAAAAGGCATTAGGCGGCAGATAACGACGACTATGCTGCAGCTCCTTCTCCTGCTTGCAACATGGGAGGGCCAGGCCCCAAAGTGTAGCAAACTTTGTGCCACTTTCGTTGCGGTTGCTCATAGCCTCCCCCCTGGTTTTCCCCCTCCTTTTGCTTGCCTGCCTGGCAACACGCTGTCAACTGCAATGCCCAAAGGAAATGCGCCGCAAAAGGACCAAAATGGAAGGAAAAAATATATATATATAAAAGCAAAATGTTTGCGGAAAGTAAAAAGTGTTTGCCGCAAGTTTTCTGTTCTCTGGCTGCCACCACATGACGACGGGGGAGCGCATTAAATTTGCAGTTTTAGTTTTTAAGTCACTTAAGATAAAGTTTCGAGAAGAAGAAAACTTCTCTCACTCTCTCTCTCTCTGTATCCGGCAGACACGGTCTAATGAAAATTTAATTATCCATCCGAAGAAGAGCCTTTTTGGACCCGTCCTTTCAATCCATTCTATCGCCTTAATTGCAATGCGTGTGTGTGTGTGTGTGGGTGAGATTTGCCAGGTAGGATTTCAATTAAAACTTTGTCTTAGGCCCGAGACAAGTTGCAGCTAATTAGAGGAGTTTCCACTAACTCCCACTGATGCTGGCAGAGCCAACTGTCACCGGAGTGTCCCACATTTCATCGGCTGGACAATGGACAAAGGCCATGTCTCTGAGATGGAACACTCTCCATTTGTCCCGGGTCCTGTCAATCCGGTACAAAGAGATATAGATAGAGATAGAGATTCTTCCTGGGCAGCTGCGGCTTATTAATGCAAGTGCCGCGTACAGTGCTGCTTCTCCTTCTGGCTAAAATCAATTAAGCGCCAAGGAATCCTTAAGCTGGCCAGGGGGGCAAAAAAAACTAAATGAAACTAGTGATGCCAGCGGCAGACTGCATCATTATCACGGATCATTAAAAATTGCCGTGGACGAAGAGCTGACGAGCTGAAGAGAACGGAAATGAATGAGTCCGCCGAAGGAGATGATGGCAAATGGCACGGGGGAAAAGCTGCTGAAAAGGAGAAGGAGCAGGAGCAGGATGAGGAGCACCAGGAGCAGGACGAGGAGCAGCAGCAAATGGAGGAGCGTTGACAAGCAGACAAAATGCAAATGAGCAACAGCGGCAAAAGATTCAGCTGCGACTCCTCAAAGCCAAGATACACATGAAGAAACTAGCACAAAAACCTCTCAGAAATTGACAAAAATACATTTTAAAACAAATATTAATGTTCTCATACTGTAAGGGTTAGAAAAAAAGGATTTAGCTCCCTTAAACTCCTTCTTAAATTTAGCGAATCCTTTTCCTAATCTTCCTATATCCTTTCAAGGCTTCTATTTCAATTCCATTTTACAATTTTTCCAAGTACAATCCCTGCTTAATTAAGAAGAAAATCGCTGGGAAACGGAAGACAGAGAAAACTCATCCAATGGAATGGCGACTTCAATCCACATTACGCTTACTTCTTCAGCGACAAAGCGAGCGGAAAAATGTTTTTCGAAAAGTGTCTGCAAATAATAATGAAGTTGCCAGTCGCCAGTTTGCCAGCTTTTCCCCAGTTTTCCAGCTTCAAAGCGCACACTAAATCAGAAAAACTTTTCCTGCACGCCATTTAAATGAAAACGCAATTTCGCGAACGCGAAAAAAGTACAGAAAAAATACAAAATAAAGAAGAAAAGCAGTGAACAAGCAGGAGCAGTAACATTAAAGCTGATTTGCATATGCCGTGAGAGCAGGGGACTTGTCTTGGCTGTCTATATGGCTATATATCTATATCGTGGCTCCTGGCTCCTGTCCTGTTTGCTGCTTGTTGTTCTGTTGTCGCTATGGGAAAATGGCTTGACAAATACAAATGTAGAAGGAGACATACTCCCATTTTCACTTTCGCTCAGGTTTCCTTCTTTTTTTGGAGGTCCTTATAAAATTTTAAGGCATTGCCTGTCGCTTTGGCAAAGATGTCATCCTTGACAGAGTATAAGTAATGGAATTTGGTCTCTCAATTCGTAAAATCTTCTATACACAATGTTCCTTAAATGTCTAATGATTTGAGTGTAAAGATTTTTGAACGTTTTACCAAGAAACATTTATTACAAAGCCCTATTATTAAAAGAAAACGTTTATAAATAAAATTTAATTTTTAGAAAATGTAGAAGCAACAAATTTTAAATTATTAAACCATTTTTTATAAGTTTCAAAATCTCCAAACACACAAAAATAAGTAAAAAATGGAAGCACGTCCAAATTTGATTCCGGCAGCCGAAAAGTAGGCAACGTTTAATATTTAAAGCAGCGGCTGAAGAGGAACGGCAACACGGGGCGGATGAGTGATACCAAGGCAGGAGGCAGGAGCTTCATTTCAGGACACTCTGAAAAGAGGATGGCAGGGATGGGGCGACCCTCAAGTGCACGCATTTTTCTGCTTAAAAGCCCCGACTAATGCGATGTCGAAGCGAAATCTCCATCTGTCTCTCTGTCTGTCTGCGCAACAAAGCGGAATCCTCAGCGGATCCGGATGCGGATGGTGAAGCGACTGTGTGGGGAGAGTGTGTGTGTGTGCGTGAGTGCTAGAGGTCCTGAGTGTAAAGTGTATTTGCTTAGGTCAGAGCACGTACCCTACTTGACTCCACCTGCTAGACTCTACCCCTGGCCCCTGCCTGACTTTGACTAAACAAGCTGAAAACCAGGAAAATTGCTCAAATTGAAAGCTCGAATGTTTCAAGACCCATCAGGCGAGCGAGAGAAAGGCCAAAGAATTGTATCTGGTTGAGGCAATCTCATTATGCCGAGTTCCTCTTTGGCCAGATGCAGTTTTCATGGGGGGAAATAATTAAGCTGCCAGGCAGGCGATGTTTCACTGTTTCGGGGCAATATTTATTCTGTCACTTCCTTCTTCATGGTTACGTCTTTCACTCTTACGCAGAAAAGCCAAAGTTATCAGCAAAAGATCAACGACTAGGACTGGGCGCCAGTGTCAGTGCAATGTCCATATCTACTCGTCATCGTCATCGTCATCGTCCTTTTCCTGGCGCTTTGTACTCCAGCCAGGACTAAGCTGCGGGCTGATGTTGCCGGCTGACTGTGACAGTAAAGGCCTTTCTTTGCTCACTGCTTGTTGCTGCTGCTGCTGTTGCTGATGATGAAGCTGATTATGCTCCGCATGCTTTGGACTTAAGCCCGGGATCCTGCCACTGCTACCAGCTCGAGCCTGCCTCCATGGACAATGTTGCCAGGTTCTCACAAAAGCCATGCTCCTGCCTCCTTCTCCTGCCTGCCTGCCTGCCTGCCTGCCTGCCTGTCTTTGGCTTTGCTTCTTTGGGCTTGTTTTTGTTTCATAAAATAGCAGTCGGCAGTCAGGAGCCAGAAGCTGCATAATCTTGGCCCTCCCGCTGACGAACTGCCGGCAAAGAGCTACCCCGGAATCCCGAAAGCGAGCTCCCCCCACAACCCAACCCACTGGCCACTCCTTTCATGCGCTTAGCAAACGTGACATTCGAGGTCATTCACATTTCGAGGGCGTGTTGTTGAACTTGGTGTGAAGCAAGGGGGCAGGAATGTGGTTGGATGGATGTGTTGCAGCAGGAGCACAAACAGGAGTTGCAAAGCTCACAGGAGCGGACTTTAGCGGAAAGCCAGCAATCGGGGAGAAGGTATCTTGGCTAAATCCAAAGGGGATTCTGGTCCTGGCTTCGCCAAGTGGCGAAGGTTCTTTCCTACTCCACACGCCAAGGATACCCGTCTTTACCTGAGTATTTGTGGTTACAGAGAGAGAAAAGGGGCTCTAGGTTTATTGAATATATTATTTAGAATTAAGAAAGGAAAGGGTTTATTATTAGTTTGTTGAAGCTGTGTTTGAAGTGAAATAAAATCTAGCTATTCAAAGAGGAAATTATTTTCTTAATATATTATTTCAAAGGACCCTTTAATCCTACTCATTTTCTCTTAGTGCATTCCAGCTGAGGGAATTTCTTTCACACGGCTAGTTGTGCATTTGTTAAGCCATGGCTAGTCGCTCCTGTTCTACGCTCCTTTTTAGTCCTGTCGCCTTTCAGCGTCGCTGTGGCTGCAGACGTATTCGGTTGCTAAATGCCATGACACATTAGACAATGAGGATCTCTAATTATGGCTCGAAAACTGCAATTAACATTTGATCCTGCTGCGTGTGAGTGTGTGTGCCACCTTTTGTGTGTGTGCCTTGAAGTGTCGAGCCATGCCAGCGGCAGAAAGTTTTATAAATGCCGCTCCTCCTACTCCTCGTCCTGCTCCTGCGGCTGACGTTCGTCCTTTGCTGTCTGGGCAATGCAAAGTTTTTTGCGCGATGTTGACTCCGTTTCTTTGAACGCCACGCAAAACGCAACGCAACACAAACAGAAAACAAAAACAAAAGTGAAACGTGTGCCTTTCAATAATTCAGTTTTATGGCACAAACTCCGCAGAACTCGGCAACTTCGCCCGCCTTTTGTCTACTCGCAAAAGTTGACTCGGCGGTCGCTCATTAACGGCGATATATGTACACGACTCTATGTGCATGGGGTTGCGTTAATTGAAATGCTTTTCGCTTTTCAATTTCCCCGAGTTTTCTACCTCCTAGAGAGAGAAGACCCGCCCCCTCCTGATTCCTTGTTCCTTGAGCTTATGTTGCAAATTTAATTGCATACTTCCGAGGGCGGTGAGGAGTGAGAGGTCGCTGGTAATGTGGCCTTCCATTAGCAAAGTGCCATTCAATTCGAATTGGATCAATGCTGTCGATTAGGAATTGATGGGAATGTTGCCGTTTATACTTTTTAGGCAATGGAATGGGCTTTCATTTGGTTTAATTTGTGGAAAAATAAACCCACATCTTAAACTTGTGTTGCAAAATATTGATTTCTTCCTACAGAAACGGAATGATCTATTCTGTACTCTCTATCTATACTTAATTATTTTTTATATTATAGAATTTATTTTAAAGCTATATTTTCCCCAGATTCCATTAGTTAACTAGACTCTAAAAAAATACCCAAAATGCATTGAATTTTATCTCACAAATACAGAAAAAGGAACACCACTTTCTAGGCAATACTCACCTCGTATGACATACAGGATCAGGATGGCCTTAAAAAGGCTGTGTAAATCCATTTTTTATGAGCACTAATGCTTTCCATTACATTTTTTATGTCTGGATTTTAAATGCCGAATTTCGCTTGATTTGTTTGTTATTACTGCCGTCGTTTTTCCTCTTTATTTTTTGCTTTTGTTTAGCGTTTTTGTTTGCTTTTTCCTTTGCCTCTGCCCCCGTTATCCTGATGTTCTGCTATCCTGTTTGTTTCAGTTATTTAATTTCTTCCTGGCACACTCACTGCTGCCGTGATTGAAGCTGCAAAATGTTAATGGTTTCGGGCTCAACTTTGTTGTTATTTTGCTTTTTGGTGCTTTTGTTTTTACTCTTGTTCTGTTTGTTTATTTTCCGTATTACGCGCCACGGAAATTAGAATTTCGAATGCGATGCCAGAGATTTATGCGGCCTGGGATTTTAATGCTCCACGTCGTTGCCTTGCCTAAAAAACAAATAAAATATTGCAGATTTTATATATACATTTGATGTAGAGGTATGTTTATTTTTTTGCGAGTTCCCTGAACTTTGGCATGCTTTGTGCGTCAGGGGGGGAGACCTCCTTTCATTTCATGCAAATATATATTTATTTTAAAGCTGCTGTGGTGCTCTGGGTCCCGTCTGCCTTTGCTTTTGATTTCACTTGACGACAGTCAGTCAGTCAACTGCGATCCGCATGTCAGCGAGGATATTAATCATGTCAAGTCAGCGCCACAAAGCGCACACCCATTCAGCAACCCAGCTGAACCACTTGGTTGCCCGGGGAACCCCCAGAATGGAGAAACAACAGAACCAGTGACACTTGGAAAAAAAAGGATTAAAAACAAGAAAGAATAAAGACTATATATAGTACCCTTGCAGTTTAAAAACCTCATAATTAAGCATGAAATAAATTCATTTCAATTCGGAAAGCTTTTCTTTGCTAGATTTTCATAGGTTAATAAATCTGCATACTCTATTTTAATAATAATAATAATTTAATAATAATAATAATTTCCTCAAAGAGTATATAAAAAAGTTAGGTTCAGGAAACTAAAAAGAAAAGCCAAGTTGAAAACAATTTAAAACTTTATAGGAAAGACTTCCTTTTTAAGCTAAGGGTGTACATGAATTTATTAATTATTTTATATAGCGAAGGGTATTTAAATATTATATTTGATATATATTTAATTATCATATCATATCATACTAAGAAATTTTTTGAGTAGCAAAATTTTCTTTTCTTAAAACTTAATTTTAAAGAACACTTTTTACAATTAAAATGAATTTTAATTATTATAAAATGAATTCAAAAACTAAATATTATAATAACAAATTAACAAATAAATTAAAATCTTCATGCCTCACATTTTTTTCCTTGTGCAAAAAAAAAGAAAATCCCCCCTCGAATAGAGCTGCTGCCGGCTGGGGCTCCCCTATAGTTTTTCCCCCGTTTTTCCGGGTTTCGGCTTTTGCGCCCCTTTGAGCGCATTTTTATGCGAGAAGATGAAGGCGAAAAAATTATGCATCAGCGCGAAATTGGAGCGCCATAAGTTGCCACTGAAGTGCTGACATCCTCATCTGAAGTTGAGGCTGCTGTTGCAGCTGAAACTGAAGCCCAGCAGGGCCTGACTACGAGAGTATCTGAGTATCTGAGCGAGTATCTGGGTGCGAGTATCTCGTGGATGCAAAAGATGACAAAAATATGCTAAAACACGCGTGTGAGTGAGTGTATATGGGAGTCCTTCTCTTCCCTGTATGTCCTGCCAACCCACACCGAAAGCCATTGTATTGCCCCGGATGGCATTACATTAACTTTGCCTGTGGCCAGCCATGACAGGGTCTCCCAAAAGCCAGACGACTCCCCAAGGTAAACTTCTGGACATTGTAAAAAAAAATGGGAGCAAGACAAAAAAAATATAAACAACAAGGATAACAGATAACGAGGACTATGAGATATCCTGTATGAGTTCCTTTTGTATGCAGAATTCTGCATACCTAAAGGGGGTTTTTCCTTATCGAATTTAAATATTTTGTATATTTCTATATAATATATATATGTAGTAATTTTTAAAACTTAAAAGAATTGAAAATTATCTACAGAAAAAGGATCTTCATTTTGATAAATATTGATATGTCATTGTATATTTTTATAGTTGAAATTCACATTGTATATCAAAAATAATTTCTTAAATTAAAAAACCTATGCAATAAATTTGTTGCAAAAGCCAAGAATTTCGGTATCTCAGATGAAATTATCCAAATATAAATAATCTTAATTTTCAAAAATATAGAAATATCTTCATTATTAAAAATATCCATATTCATCTTAAACTTCAAACTAATAACTATTTGGCTTGAATACATCTCATACTCTTATCTTTCCTGAAGGTAAAAAAAGTCTAGCAACATACTTTTGGCAATACATTATCGTAAAACCCATATACCCCAGAATTTTACGAGCTGCTGGGTACGAAAAAAAAAGAAAAGCGAGCAAAACTGCGGCACGAACCAAACGATATTTGCCGAAACTTGAAACTATGCAAAAGGGACAGGAACCGGCAACTTGATACGAAGGAGATAAAAAAAAGAGACGTATAAAACTGTCAATAACGATAAAGCAGAGAGCCGGAAAGGGAATGACAGGGGCATGAGTAGTACGACAACGATGACAAAAAAAAGCACAAAAAAAAAACACAAAATAAAAGAAAGTAAAGAGAATAAAGTGCAGAGGAGAATGGAGAATGGGGAGCAACATAGCAGTAACAACAAAATGCCGCTTAAGCAACATGGAAATTATGCCCAGTGCGAATATCATCGGCAAACTGCTGGAACAGACAATGGCAGAGCAGCCGTCGGAGAATGGATGGATGCGGAGTCCAGGAGCCAGGAGCCAGGAACCAGGAGCCAGGACCAGGAGCAGTCAGTCCGGTGGGGGAAATGCTGCTGCTGAAAATGCTTCGTTTATTTCCTTCGTTACTTGTTGTATTTCGTTTGCTTCCCCTTCTCTCACTCTCTCTTCTTGGTGTGTAAAAAATCATGACTTGGCAATTATGCGGCAAATGTGCGCACTGGGCATACCTACACACACACACCCCAAACAAAAGGAGAAAGCCCCACACACACAGAGGGAGATGAGAGCGAGATGGGATGAGGAGTATGAGAGGGACATAAATATTACGCATACGCCGCATTGCACTGCCAACGTTTGCTAAATTGCTGGCAATTAGTTTAAAGTGCGGCAGCAAAAAATCAAAATTGCAAGCCTAAGCAGCTTTGCCAGAGAGCAGCAAAAGGAATTGCAATTGCAAATTACTAAAAATATTAACTGAAAGAATATAAAATACATTATATTTTTATATGACAAATTTGTACACCAATCAAAGAGTTTTAAATACTCATAACTAAGCCAAAAATGCATTAATTTTAAATCGGAAAGATGTTTTAGGCTAGTTTTTGATAGGTTAATAAATCTGTATACTCAATTGAAAATGTAAAAAATTATCACATTTTATTTAAATTTTAACGATGTAACCCCTTATTTCTTTTAAATTTTCGAAAAAAATTTCAAAAAATTTTTTTTGACCGGACATACCTAGAATAATTGAGATTTTGATTCTGAACAAGAATATATATCATTTATGGGGTCGGAAATGACGTCTTTAGTTTGTAAAGAATATAAATGCAATTAAAATCGTATAAAATTCAACTTTACTTATACCAGCACTTATTACTTGAAATTTGTCAGAACTATTCCTAAAAAACTAAAATTAGACTATAAAATTTAATTTTATTAACTTTATTTGAGAGAACTTGTAAATTAAATACATCTAGATTTGGCAAAAAGCTGGTTCAAGCCAAAACTCCTTCGCTTAGTTAATAAAATATCCTTAAAGAATCTCTTTCTATTATACATTTAAATGGAACTCTAATGCCTGAGCAAACTGTGTCTGGGACGCAATCAAAAAAAGGAGACATGATTGCATCAAAGTGGGAATACTGCTAGAAGCCATCCCTGCCTGGCTGCCTTTGTAAGCGGCTTCTCCTCCGATTTCATCGCCTTTCCCTTTGAACTTGCCACCCGGAGTTGCCTCCCTGCTCTGCCTTGCCTTGTGCCAACGGCTTAAACACTTGAAGTCAGCTTCGATTTATTTATATTACACTTTACGTTGTCTGCTCAGGCTTTTGCCACGGCTCTGTCTGTGACAATTTGTGCCAGCGAAATGCATTAGGGGCTAGGTCTTCCTCCTCCTCCTCCATCTAACGAGGAAAGCCTCCATGTGTGCCTAGAGCTAGGGAAGGGGAAAAGAAGAAAAGGCTAAGACAAGTGCAATTTATAGACTTCAACGCTTGGCCAGATACGGGAAAGCGACTCTTTGGGTCCAGTCTGCTAAGTCTGGCCGCCGTATGGCAGCCATCGTCTGCCAAATACGTGATTTATTTTAATAGATAATCATTATGCCATCGATTTCTATCATGTCTGGAAGTCTGTTTCGCTTGTTGCATGCCCCCCCAGCTCAGCGCCCCTGTTCTTGCCCCTTTTAACACCCCCCTTTTGTGGGAAGTACGTGCGTCAATAAATCAAAATCAAATGGCTTTTAGCTTATTGTTTTGCGTGGGTAAATAGAAAACATGTGCGACCTGCTGAAACAGCTTGTGAAAAGTGAGGGATGATCATGAGGGATTCATGTGAGTAACTAGATAAAGGACTAAAGTGGGTTACCTGTTAATATATATATATATTTATTTAAAGAGAGACTTTAAGAACTATTGGTTTACCAAATAAACCGAATATTATTACCTGAAAATTAAGTATAAGCTCTACACTTCTTTAAAAACATCCAAACTATTATTTTAAATTCCCTTAAATATAGAAACCCCAAACCCTTTTAATTAAAAGACCCTTAAAAACTATATCTCTGTATTTTCGCAGTATAAAAATTCATTCCCTGAAATAGGCTTCTAGTGAAATCCCTGCACTCTATATCTGGTTTATAAAAGCCAAGCCAAAGCTGGAGCACTTTAAGCGCTGAGCTGAGGGCAGACCAGAAGCTGCCACAGCCGGTCATAGTTCACGGTTCATTCACATGGCAGATCTCTCTCTGCTCCGCTCCGCAGCCGTATTTAAATTGTGCCATTATGCACTCGACGAGGGTCGCGGGGGGGAAAGCTAGCGAAGCCTGGCATGGGAAAACCCGGCCCGGTTCCCCCTCCCTTTTCGCTAATGACTTTTTACGGCGTCTCTGGCGGCAGGACGAACCAAAAAAAAAAAAAAAAAAAAATCAATAGAATGCACAGGCTGCATGGGAATCTCGGTTGGGAAAACAAAAGGGTCGCCAGAGTAGTCCGAGGGGAAAGCAATGGGGAAAAGCCCAGTGGTCAGGGGACAGAGGACACTCTGCCACTCTGCCTGGAATTGTAATGGCCGGCCGGCCTGTTGTCGTCTGTTGCATTGTAACACTGGCCGACCGGCTGGCCGCAAACAAACACAGGCAAACAAACAAACAAATAGGGAAACAGCACCAGCAAAAAAAAAAAAAAATGGCGGAATGGAAATAGAAGTGAAACCAAAAAAATACAACAACAGCAACAAGAACAGGAACAGAAAAAAAGAGTAGAAAATCAATAAAGCAAAGGCATGAAGCAACAAACAAACAAGATGCGAGAGAAACCCCGGAGAAAGGAGTACGGAAAACACAGAGCCCGACGGAATGCATAACAAACTGTGAAATGAAAAGCCAGGCTACAAAATTGTGCAAGAAATTATATGCATATATACTTCATGACCCGCCCCCCAACTGGCTCTGGCCCTCTTGCACTGAAGTGCACATAAAAATCATTTAAAAACAGCAGCCAAGCAGCCGGAGCAGCAGGAGGAAACTGGTGGGAAAAGCAGGCGCTTTTTCAGCCTCTCCAAGGTAAGTCCATGTTGCTGTGATTCAGTGCAAAAAAAAGAAAATATATATATATATATATATATATATAGAATTGAGTTCAGCGACGGTGAAGCCCAGAGGGGGCTTTGGAGGGGGATGTACACAAAATGGGTCTAAAGTCATAAACTTTTTCCACATAGCAGCTGATGCCAACACGTTTCGGTTGATGCAGAGAGAGGAAAAACTAAAGGAAATTAGAAGCTAGAAAAGTGCAGTCAAGGAGACTTAGGAATTATATATTATATATTAAATATTTATACATTTCTTAAGAGTTTATAATCTTCTTAGATTAAGAAAATCACCAAGAACTAGTTCTAAGACATTCCCTTTTATATGACGAATTTTTAAGTTTAAAATCTGAGATTTAGGTCAAAGCTGGTTTCATGTTCATGCTGTAAAATATATGAGAAATTTTATATTAAACACCTGACTAATATACAAAAATATTTATTAATTATAACTAACAAATATGTCCTGTATCTCATATTTTTCCCGGTGCATCCTGCCTGTTATTGTTGTTGCCATAGTCGTTGGTTGCTCAGTGATTTTTCCTTGCCTGTTACTATGGCAGGCCTTACTGGTCCTTTGTTTCCTCCTGGCTAACGAGCCGAATATTGGGTTAAGTAAAATATGTACCAAATGGAAAAACCAACAAGGAAAAGCCTCTGCAGGAGTAGTTGAAGTTATTTTCGAAAACCAAAATAATGAGCAGGCGACCAAGGAAATGCAAATTGGAAAAGAAAAGATGAAGACTATGCTGATATATATATTTCCATGTACCTATATATTCATGAGTTTCTTATTTTTTAATTCTATTTTTTTTTTATCAAAGTGCTGCCTCTTGCTGGGCTGCCAATCAATTCAACATCGACCTTTTCCAGGGCCCCCTCTCGAGTTCGCGTGTCCCGACGGGGGAAACTTTGGATGAGATTGCGCGCTATTCTTCATTCCGGGAAACGCCAACGTTATACATCAATCATGGATAATAATTTCGAAATGCCAGGGCCGCGCTTAAAATGTCACACGCCAATCAAAGCCATGTTTGCCGGCATAAATAAACATAAAGCGAGTTAGGCAGACGTCACTTCAGCATGAATAAAATATGTAACATATACAAACCAAGCGTACGAAAAGATATAAAAATATAATATCATTTCTCCAAACATTTTTCCCATCTCGGGGAAAGTGATTTCTTAATTTGTTACAAGGGAAAAACTTTAAGCGCCTACAACACACACACACTTACCCCTTTTTTCCTCTCTCTGGGTTAAAGTGGCTAGCAGGAAGGAAAGTTTCCTTCTCGAGGGTTTCCCGTTTGTACGTGACTTTTATGGAAAATGATGGATCAGTTTTCCTGGGTTTGGGGGGGGGGGGGGTTGGAAAAGTGAAACTTGTTTCTGTTCCTGCTTCTACTAATTAATGTCAGCGGCGGCAAACTTCTTTTTTTTTCGCAGCTCAATGCGACACGTTGCGTATGCGCAATATGTCCGTGGCTAGGCAAAAATTGCGTATACGCACTGTGGGCAGCTGTTGCAACTGCCTCGTAGTAACATAACTGACCGAAAAATACATAACAGAGAAAGAGAGAGAGAGAGAGAGAAAGATGAGTAAGGGAGTGAGAGAGAGGGAAGACCGAGAGCGAGCCGAAAATTTAAATAAACCAAAAGTGGATGGATGCCGGCAACGAACTACTATTACTACAACTACTACAACTACTACGATGCACGTGTGCATGTGCGCTGTACATGTGTGTACATGTGTGGTGGTGGTGGTGGTGGTGGTCACTTCCGGTTCTGTGAAACGCATGAAATACGACCGATTTTTACTACACATCAGCAGCAGCAGCAGCAGCAGCAGCAGAAGCTGCAACACATGCGACATGCGATGTGTGTATGCGGCAATCGATAAATTTTGTGTGTGCAGCAGCAGCAGCTACAGGAACAACAACAGTCGCACTATAAGCCCGATATATACCGGAATATATACACATAGCTCATGGAGCGTGAATATCCCGTGTATATATGTATATGGTGCTCCGAGGATGCCGGCATATGCACAGACAGATTTATAGTTTGTCATGGCGCGCCGCGATGTCCAAAATAGTTGCAGCTGCCTCTCCTGCACACTTTGGTTCGTTCATAAAATCAATAGGGCCGCCCACACTCCCCCCTATTTTCTCTCACTGCATTAGCCGGCCGGTATATATACATAGCACATATATATGTACATATATGGAGCGGAGAATGCACGCAGGATGGCTAATTGCTTGCAATGAGAGCACAAGGAGCCACAAGAAGGACTCTGGTATGCGCCCGGCACAAAAGAAATATAAATAAATGCCATTTGCCCTCAACACAATACGGGGGAAAAATGTCAAACAATTAAGCGGCAATTAGCAGAATGCTCGAGAGTGCCGTCAGCAGGAAGTGGAGGTAAAACGGAGGCTGGCTACGTGAAAGCATTGCTAAACGTGTCTTCAGCTTGTCCAAAAAGGGGTTGAAATGGAACTGGAAACGAGTCCAAAGGAAGATGCAGCCCATCGTCGTGGGCACTCAAGTCAGGCCAAAGGTAGTCAGGAAACGGGATTGCATTATGCCTTATTGATGAGGCCAGGTAAGGAGCACACGAAGGATACTCCCGCAAATGCCAGGAAAAAGTCCTGAAGCACGTCATTCGGGAGAATCACAGTGTGCAGATATTTCACTTTCTAGGAATTTCTTATACTTTAAATGTGTACACAAAAACCAGAAATTAAGCTGACCTCTTTAAAAGAATGTAAAGAAATTATTAGGCATATAAATAGGTAACAAAATGCTTAAAGCAGAATAAAAATCATTTAAAAAATATATTTCATGATGGAAAAGGATATTTAAGGTACTAAAACACATTAATAATTTATGTAAAACAAAATTTTTAATTTTTAAAATACATTATGAATATCTGATTTTGATTAATGAGTATTATTATTAAAATTTAAGAAAGGAAGCCATATTTTAGAAGTGCTTTGAAAGAAATTAGAGTCTTTCATTTAACGCACACACAAAGGAATTGTAAGGTTTTCAAACGGCTAACCTCGCCTCTAAAAATGAAATAATTAACAAATTTTATTCTCCAAAAATACAACTAAATTCCACTCATAAACACACAACTTTTAATCACAAACTCCACTCTTTTTCCCCGCCCCCATTCCCGAATTAAACTCTCGTAAAAACATAAATAAACCGAAATAAATCAATTGAATGCTTAATAAAATACACACTTAGCTTCCTGCCTGTCAAGCCATCAGCAGCTAAAACAAATTTGCATGCAATTTTCTCTCACGAGGAAAGGCACTTTTCCACTTTGTACGTGAAAGGAACGTCTCAACCCGAAAAAATATATATCTAACAAGAAAGGAAGCTAACTTCGGCACGCCGAAGTTTATATACCCTTGCAGATAGAACTTCTATGACTTAGAATCCCAACAATATAAATTATATTTATTTGTGTTAAAAAACAATGAAGTAATACCTGCTTTCATTTCATTCACCTTTACATATTATATTTGCAGTTTTACAGTCATAGATGTGCATTTTTCTCCACATCTAACGATCGTTTGTATGGCACCTATATAATATAGTAGTCCGATTTTCATAAAATTTTACACAAAATTTAAGACTGATATAAAATAGTTATACCTCAAATTTGATGAAAATCTGTTGAAAACTGAAAATGTTATAATTTTTAATTGTCTTAATTTCTCGATTGTTCCTATGGGAGCTATATGATATAGTTGTCCGATTTTCATTAAATTTTATTCAAAATTGTAGAGTATAGTAAAATGGATATATCTTAAATTTTATCAAATTCTGTTGAAAACTGAAATTGTTATAATTTTTTTTGTAAAAATTATCCGATCATTCCTATGGCAGCTATATGATATAGTCGTCCGATCCGGCCCGTTTCGACATATATACGAGTGAGAGTATATAGAAGGCTAACTACAAAGTTTCATTTAGATAGCTTCAAAACTGAGAGACTAGTTTGCGTAGAAACGGACAGACGGACAGACGGACAGACGGACAGACGGACAGACGGACAGACGGACATGGCTAGATCGACTCGGCTGTTGATCCTGATCAAGAATATATATACTTTATATGGTCGGAGGTGCCTCCTTCACTGCGTTGCAAACTTCTGACTGAAATTATAATACCCTGCAAGGGTATAAAAATCATGTTGTTGTGTGTTGTTTTTTTCTCTCTGATTTTTAGCACGTTGTTGCAACTTGCAATTCAATTTATTTTCAATTTTCGCGCATGCAATGCGGATAGTTAGGAGGAGTGTAAGGGGTCTAGGATATAGGATTTTCTTGGGAAGAAGATTGAGTACGGAGTTCAGCACCTTTCATTAGACACACAACATTATTATCAGGCGCGACTTTTCCGGCGGTATTTTTTCTTCTTTTTTCCTTTTTCGTCTTGGCGGCCGGCTTGGCTCACGTTGCACTCTCCGACACGCATACACTGATGGCGGGCACTGTATATAATAGGGTTATGTTATATATATTCGTGTTATTTACACGGCACACGCACGTTTGCCGCCTCTCTGATGTTGCTGTTGCAACGATGCGAGTTGCACTTGCGACACTGACAACGACAACGACAACAACTGCGACGGCGCGCTCTCCGAGTTTTTCCCCCGAAGGAAAAGCGCACTGATAACAGGTCTCTCGGTCTCGCTCACTCGCTCCTCTCGGCGTCTCACTTCCACCAACTGTTCTGGCCTGGCCTGGCGCTCACTAACTCGTTTTCCCGTTGGAAAAAGGAGCAGACAACAACCGCACGCGAGCAACGTCGAACAGCAACTGAATCCGGATTGCGCTGGCCCGCAGGATTTTCATGCAGATGCAGGTTGCCATAGTCGCCACATCTCCCTGCCACACCACCTTGCCACCCACCTGGTGGCGGTGGATGCTGTACGCAGTGCGCAGGATCCGCAGCCGAGTGCGAAGCGGAGTCCTCGGAGGCAGCATCAACAGGAGCGTAGTAAAAGTCGTAGTAAATTGGATTCCATTCGAGCTTCATTCACAGAGCGGCACTCTCGCAGCTCTCATAATGATGCGGAAAATTGTTGATCATTCAGATTGAATAATGTTATATGTCAGAAGAATTCTAATTCTAATAAAAATATTGATTTAATTCATTGTTTATATTATTAATTAATTAACTACTTTACTTTATCTTGCTAGTCACAATTAATTTTAGGGAGTTTTTATTTAGGGAGTATTTATTTTTGTTTATTTATTTACATAAAGTTAGTCTTTATTTATATTTATGAAGTGGATTTAAACATAAATTCCGAAATGCAATCCGGAATAACAAGTTGTATTTATATTTAACCTTTTCAAGTGTTAAAAAAAATATGAAATAATATAAACTTGATTTTCAATTACTTTTTCTAATCTTAATGCCTTAAAGAATCGTTAAATATATAATTTTTTTTTAAAATTTGATAAGTAGACTACATAAATTTTATAATCGCAAAAAAATCCACAAAGGTGTTAAAATAAATACATTTTTACTAAAATTATACATGTGTTATAATATTTAGTATTTGATGCAAGTAACTGTTCCCACAAGTAACTGTTCCCAAGACTAGCATTCCCCTACTTAATAATCGCTAGGCAACACTGGTTGTGCAAAGTTACCAACCTTTATTTTTCAGAAACATTTTCAGAGAAAGAAATAATTTTAAGTCATGTGTTTTTAAATTGTACATATATGCTAATTATTAACGTAAGAAAATAATTGTCTCATATTTAATTTTTTAAATTATCGATATTATCTCATTAAAACTATTCGATAAAAATCTTGTTCTTGAAAGTGTTAAGTGTTCACGTGACCCATCAACATTCACCAACACTTTTATTAGAAAGCTTTACTTGTCAATGACATTTTTTTTAGCAAGATCTGTTTATTTTTTTCCAATATTTTTTCTTAAAAATCTGTAACCATGTGTTTGATGAACTTTATGCGCTTTATGGATGAACTCGCCGAGGAGCTGATTGTTGCCAACAAAACCCACGAGGACTTCATCAACAAGGCGGGCGTGATATCTCGTGCGATCCAGCGTCAGCTTGTCAAGAACAATGCGGTGTTCCAAAACCTTCTCGGAAAACTCCACACCACAGGTGAGTAGCTCTGATATTCGCAATTCTCCATACTCCATTAACTCCTTCGAATATCAGCTGTTTACGTAAACAATCTCTTTATGGATATCCCACTGAATTTTGACATCTTTCTGCCCATCCGTATTCCGGTTCCGGTCAAGTTACGCTTCGAGAAGACGGAACGCACGGTGCAGGTGACCAGATTCCGTACCCAGCATCCATTCTTTTTTGGAAATGGATTGAACTTCAAGCTCATGAATATAATGCTGTCGCAGGAGCTCGGCAAAGTTGTGAAAAAACTGCGCACCGTCAATGCCTTTGGGGTGATCTATGATCTTAGCTACACCGTGTTCCGGCGTGGCGGTATACCCTTCCTCCACCAGCTGGTGGCCACAGAGTGTGGCAGCTATGGAGAGCGTTGTATCCGTTTTGATTTTGTCCTGGCCCTAGGCTTTGAGGGTGGGAATACACCGCTACCATCTTATTACGATGCCCCCATTGCGGGTCAGTGGCTGGCCTACGGATTGGCCGGTGAAGAGCGTTCGCCGGATGACTGGTTTGTTCTGGTACCCAAATGGAAGACTGCCGATCCTGGGGTCTGTTTGCGCTCCTCGAGCTCCCTGATCATGCTGTACCGCCTCATGAAAGTCCAGAAGTGTCAGCTCTATGCCCTGCCCTACTCTTTGAAGTTAAGCTTTGTCTTGGTCACCGAGGAACGGGGTGAAATGTACCAGAATATGAGTGTCGGCGAGATGACATTGACGGTAAGGAAAGGGAGTACTCCCAATCATTCAGATCCCTAAAAATTTTATTGTTTCCCCTCCCATCTTAGATTCTCTTTCATGAGGTTTCGCGTGATCTGTACCAAGCGGCCCTGGAGCACACCAGACGCGATCGATTGAGTCGTTCCAGCAAGCTGCTGTCCATCCGGAAGCAGCAAATCCGTGCCCGGGGAATCTACTACATTCTAACAGATTCGGCGCTCAAGGATTTGATCCATAGCGAGTTTGTTTTCGCCTTCTTCTCGCACCTGTACATCCCGCCGGTGCCGAGCAGTTCCAAATGGATTTTGATCAAAGAGGTGGATACCAAGGTGGTTCCTGATTTCCCCCTAGAAATGGAGTACGGTATCCCCCTACCGAAACGTAAGAAGCGCAACTAGAGTTGCACTTGCCGTAAGCCAGCCAAGTTCAATTGACCAGAAACGATGAGCTTGGGTGGCTTCTTAAGGGCTTCCTCCCTTGTTTGACTCCTCTCCGAATTTACAGCAAAAACTTCAAATTGTTCCAACAGTTTACGGTAAGGGGAATACCCCGATTCACAGCCATCGTCTTAGTGTCAAATCTCAGTAATTGTACAACTTTAATTCCCAAAAAAATAAGTGGAAATGTCTGAGAGCGAGGCTAAAAACACAGTGAGATACAAACAAGAAAACAAAACATACACACACCACCGGAGCGGAGCAGAGACAAAAGTTAATAAAAGCCAACTAAAAACTAAAGCCGAGTTGGGGCTACGTGTCCTTGTTTTGACTTGCTCCTTGCTGCTCCTGCCTGCCTCCTTCTCCTTTTTTTTTGGCACGAGGGGGAACAAAGTTAAATTGCAAATAGCTTGGGCTTGGGCTTGGGCTTAGCTCGGGGTTGTGGGCGTGGCAGGAGGCGGCGAGGGCGACATGAAATTTTAGAAAAATTTGCTGTTATTGTTCGGGCAAAACAAAAGGGGTAAAGGACGAGCGAAGGGATGTCGGGCGGGCGCAATGGGTTGGCAAAAAGGTAGCAGGACTCCCACTCCCACCCCCCACCTTTGCCGGGGGGGTGGAGTCGCATTAAAAGACACAAAAAGTTTCCAGAGCAGCATAAAGTTTTGCCGAGCGCTTTTGACATTTCATTGTTGTCAACTTTTAACTAGTTTTTTATGTAGTCATTATTTTAAAATGCAAATCGCCAACCCTCTGGATTATTGTTTCAATTTAATCTGCTTCAAATCAAAATATATATCCTTTAATTGGAATGAAGAGAGAGATAGAGTGAGACAGAGAGCAGCTGGGATAAAATTTGTCATATGCCAAGGCAAGTGGAAAACAGATTTGCTCTCGTTTAATCTTATTAATTCGTCTGCCCAGCGCAATCGGAAAAGTGTTTATTGCGTTTTCCACTTTTCGTTATTTTAATTGCATTGCCAGCTCTGCACAGTCCTTTTTGCAGTTCAACTTTCTGTGTATCGAATGCCAATAAATAAACTGAAAATTGCTGCCACGTCCCAAGGGAAACTTCATCTGTGAGTCGCACAAGTTGAGCTTGAACTAATGATTGAAATTGGCTAAAATGTTTGTGATAAATGAATTCATTTCCGTAAAATTGAAGATGTCGCCTTATCAATCACTTAATTCTCTTACAAAAATATTTTCCAACTTAAATTAAAATTCAAATTTTAACTCAAGAGCATCCTTGTCAGATTTCACCATAGTTGTTGCACAAAGGAAAAGCCACCCGAAAGGACGTCAAGTTGTCTGCTGGACAGGACGGAAGCTGTAAGGAGCTGAGGGGATGACATCTTTAATCAAAAAATAATTATGAGCGACGGGGGAATGCTGAAAAGTGCGTGGGCTGCCTGGGTGGCGGTGGAAAATTACATTTGAATTATGACAAAAACGGAAATGGACCCCAAGAACCCCAGTCCTTCCAAGGAGGAAAAAAAATTGATGTGCAGCAAATGAGCTAAGCGACGGCCAAGTGAAATTTGAGCGGAGGCAAGGACCGCCCACTTTTCGCAGGAGCAGCAGCAAACAGAGCGCAGAATATTGGCAAGACGCGGCCACAGGACCTCCGACTGAAGCCTGGAGGAGATCCAAATAAAACTGGGAACTGGAACTGGAGACCCGAACGACAAAAGTTTATGTGCAAAAACAGACAATTAATTTGTTTTGCAGCGCCAAAAGGGACACTGGGAGACCCCATCCAAACGCCAGGACACAGGACACCCGGGACAAGAGAGAGACAAACAATTTCGTGCTTGTTGGCAAAGAAAATTTACGTGCCAAAGACAATTGGGTGGAGGACTGCTCTACCATGAAAGGCAAACAGAGAGCAGGACAAAATGGTGGAAATGGTCAAACATTTAACGCTTTTTGTTTAATTAAAATTGCAACAGGCTACGCTCGGTCCGTAGGCAACAGGAGAGCGAACAAACGAACACACAGCAAAGGCGCACTCTGGAAATATAGCCAAGTCAGCGTTTTTCAATTAAGCTTGCATTTCATTTAATATAGGGTAACAACTACAGCATTAGTTGCTTTGCCCCCCATTGCCAGCTGCTGCCTGTATTTGCGTCCAGTTATCCCCTATTTGCCTTTTTCCTCCTCTACGAAAAAGAAAGGACTCGCTGGCATTTCCCTGTGCCAAAAAGAAAGGACTCGCTATTTGCTGACTTTTGTTGTTTTCCACAAAAACCTTTTACGGCGGTTATTAAATTGCTCTTTAAGTGCTAAACTCAGGGCAAACTATTTGAGCCATAACCCAGCCCATTCCCATTCCCAACCCAATCTCCTGATATTACCTGGTCTCCGTTGTCGCTCTCCCAAATCCGCGTACGTGTTGGCATATCAATTCACGTTACGAACCGAGAATAACTGCATGCGCATTCATTTGCGCCAAGGAATCCTTCTTCCCAAGGAGCTGGAGCCTTCGATGGGTAGTGTCATCGCCCGAAGGGGATGTCAGGAATATGCGCTTTCATAACCCCCCTGTGTGTGTGTGTGTTGAGTGTATCACGTTTCAGTCATTTGGTGGCTGCCACTTCATAATTCAATAAAACAATAAAAGCAAAATCCTTACAAATTACAGCAATCAAATCATACGAGTCCTCACATGTGCGACAGTGCTGGCGACAATCAGGATAAGGTTTTCATCTATATGTGGGGAATACTTAGGTGGAGGGTCTAGGATCTTGACGAATCTTTGAGTTTTATATATTAAACAAGAAAGGAAGCAAATTTGGAGAAGCCAAAGTGTGTATAAGCCTTGCAGTTATCCATAAGATAATGGGTTCGAATTGTGAAATATTTTGTTCATATGTTTTATTTTTTATTTATTAAGATTTTAGTTGCAAGTTGAAATATATACAACGTTTGAGAATCATTGACTTTTAGCCTTTGTATACCTAAAAAAAAACCTAAAGTATGTGTATTCTAGGTATATTAAATATATATTTTCATATGCTAATTTTGTGGCCAAACAAAGATATTCAATTATCATAACTAAGCTAATAATTAATTAATTTTACCTCGGATAACTTTTCTCTGCTAGTTTTAATACGGTTATTTAATCCACATACGAAGTTTGAAAATTTAAACAATTAAATTTTTTGTCAAATTTTGGCAATTTTAACAATTAGAAAAATTTTAAATTTCGAAAAAATTAAAAAAAAAGTCTTTTCTAGCGGACATGGCTAGATCGATTAGGCTGTTCATGCTGATCAAGAATATGTATGATTTATAAGGCCGGAAATGACTTCACAAGTTACAAGCTTCTGAATAACATTATAATACACATATATATACATACATACATATATAAATAATATAATTGTCATGCTTAAGACTTACCGGAGTAGAGGGCACACGGTTTTCCTACCTGCGTAGAGTTTCATTTCCGGTGGCATCAAATAGCATCATCATCATCATCGTAGTAAGCTTCTTCTTGATCATCCAGATGTAATCCATTGGCCACGTAATGTTTTTGAGTTCGATGAGTAATCACAATCACTATCACTGGAGATGTAAGCACTAGGTACCCCTAGGACCGACTGAAGCGCGCGCGCCTGAAGTGCCTCTATTTATAGTCGCCGAGGCGAGAGAAGAGCAGAGAAAGTTAGAGCAAGAGCGCGAGAGAGTAAGAGCTATCACTAGAGGCAGGCAGCAGAGTAAGAGGGAATGTGTTATCTATAGAGATAGGCAGAGAGAGACATGGAGAGCAAGCATATACAGAGAGCGATAGGCATATATTTAACGATCGTTGTTATGGCCGATATAGTCGGCCGATTTTAATCAAATTAAAACCGAAAATATAAATTAATTAATTAAATATGTTGAAACATGAAAAAGTTATTATATTCCGATCGTTCCTATCTTAGCTATATAATTAATTAAATATGTTGAAACCTGGAATAGTTATTATATTCCGATCGTTTCTATCGCAGCTATATAATATAGTTGTTCGATCGATTTGAGTGTTGATGCTGATCGAGAATATTTATAATGGGTGTATATATATATTTTTTTGTATATATATTTTGTTTTATTTATTTATCATCTTCAGCAACAAATACATTTTCAACTCTGGAAATACAAAACTTTACCAATCAAAAATCAAATTTATTTATTCAAATATAAGTGACTAAAATTTGTTATTTAAGTTACAAGTAAATATCCACTCACTAAAATCGTAATATTTTTTATATTTTCTTCTATGAAAAAAAGCCAAATATATCTAAAATGTCCAACACTCTTCGTCCTTAGCATATTTCCATAAATTGGTCACAATTTGCTATGCGCAGCAGCAACGCAAACAAAAGCCCTGGAACCCGAGAAGGGACGACATAAGCACTTGCCGCCGCGACATGGCAGATATGTATGTGGGTGGTGGTGCTTGTGGCCCCCAAAATTATGACGCCCAAGGATAATCGTGGTGAAGGGAGTACGTGAGGCGACTCCGCTTCGCTCAGCTAGACGTCCCTAGGACACGGCACAATACGTGGCCAGCGACTATACTCTTGTATTATTGTATGCAATGCTTTATTCATGGTAAAACCACTATCTTTGCGTGGGTAAAATGTGTGTATATATAGTATAAGTATGTGAGTTAGTCCAGCGTGATCGTAGATGCCCATTTCTAACCAAGAACTGGGCATTTACGATGACATAGGCGAGAGATCACCGCCACTCTGTTCTAGGGAACGGAGGGAATATATCTTAGAGTCTGTACAAGGCACTGACATTGGGACCGTGCTGGACCATGGCATCCTTGTGGCCCTGATACTGGATCTCCATTTCTCCTAGGTGCAAGAATTGCTTCAGCTGATTGCCAATGGCCATGACAGCAACGCTATTGCGTGCATTTTTTGTCCACAGGGCTTTAAAATAAAGATTTCTTATAGCAAATATAGTAAGAAATGAGGAGTACATTATACTCACACAACTTATTGGCCTTATTGCGCACATTGATCACCACACCACAGATCTGATCCGAATACTCAAAGCACTCGCCAATGATGCACAACAGCTTAGGGGAGAAATTGACTAATAACAAACTAAACTAATTAAATATATATAAAAACCTGCTTACCAAATCATGCCACAACTTATCACTGAACGCCTTTGAGGCCTTGTCCAAGAGCATAATCCAACGACCTCCCTCCTTATTGAAGTCATCCTCCCACATGGGTCTGGTTGGAAATTCATTTCTTTATAAAGTAATGGAAAAATCGAGCTTAACTTACCGGATTCCCTGCTTGAAAACCATATAGTCATTGAAGATCTTGAGGTCCGAGGGCGGCTTAATGAAGTAGTATACACTGGGAAAACAAAGGTATTTAATATACATATATTCAAAGGATTCAAAGAATACTCTCGACAAACCTGAAGAAATCCTCAACGGTGTTGAAGCTAGTCACATCGCTGAGCATGTCGCTCCAGGACTTGGTGCGGTCGTTCTCCCAGTGCCACACAGTCCAGGTGTGCTGAAGCAGATGCTTCATGCCCAGCTCGTAGTCAATGAGGCTTAATTGCGTGTTCAGAGATGAACCCAGCTGCGGCTCCTCGTCGGGTATTATACCCTCGCCAGTATAAGCAGCCAAATTCTGCTCCCAAGTATTGGATTCGCCATAAAGCCATTCTGTATTGGAATTCATATCACAAAATCAGTTCAATAATTTTTAAGAAACTTTTCAGAAAACGGGGATGTTACTTAAAAAGTGCAAACTCACCTGTTTCGTCTGCCTGCTGGCGCATGTAGTGCTTATAGCCGGTGTATACCATATTGTTTCTTGTTTTTTTCTTTTTTGTTGTTAAAATGTTTATTTTTCCGGTTTTATATTTTACTAGAAAACTCTTGGAACTTCTCTAATGTGTGCTACCGCGTGGAAAGTATATTCGTAAATGAAAATCGTAACCAATCGAGCATGACACTTAGAAAAATCAAGAAATGACATTAAAAACCATAGCTACCTATTTTCAGAAAAGTGTTGAAAAGCTTTTCAAAACGATAAATCGATAGAAAAAGCTATCGGTTGTGCTCAACATAATGCAAATTTATAATTAAATTTTATTATTAATTTTAATTTAAACGATTTGTACTTATAATTCAACATAAAATGTACATAGATATATCATATTTCCATTAATTTCTCATTACATTTTTTTTTTTTAATTTTTAAAGATGCGAAAAAATAATGCAAATGTTTACACTACACTAAAATCTCAATTTTAATTTAAATTATTGTGATGTGAATAGCGTATTTATTATTTTATACATATTTAAATACGTAAATCACACTACTGCATATATTCTCATTTTTAACATGATAACCTCAGCTCCAAAATTAAATCAGGGTCTTAACAACCAATTCAAGCACTCAACTTTTGCAGCTCCCATGCGCACATTTTGCCCAAAAGAATCGAAGGAAGTCGGTTAAGCACGGCCACAAGGGTCTATCAATTGAAATGTCACGCTAATAAAATAAAATGCCACCGAGCATACGATAAATGCACGAAAATAATAAAATGTGACTCAAATGAGCGACGGCGACAGCAGCCACAAGCAGACACACAAGCTGGCAGCCGGAAAGGATAGGTTCTGCAATGGAAATGGGAATGGGGATCCATGTCCTTGTCTCTCCTTGTGCAACAGTTTGGCCTGCAGTCAATAATCGAAATCGACTTGGGCTTGTGGCAATAAAAATTTGTCTTCGCCGCTTAAGTTCTGCGCCTTGTTGCACTCGGTCTGGAGTCCTTGGTTCCCGGGCGTCCTGTGGAAATTCACCCGGCGTCCCCCCTGTGCAGATAATAAAATATGTGAGTCGCTCTACGTGGCAGCTCCTTGGGCGCTGGCAAAGTAGCTTTGGGCCCCTTGTAATGTGCACCATTTGTTGCACGGCTGGTGGTGTGCTATGGTGGCTCCCGACGCTGGAGAGGATGTGCACCCTTCGCATTGCATCGCCTGCTTGGGTGAGTTATGTCGGCCAAGTTTTTGGAACAAAAGTGTTGGCACCGCTTCTGGGGTCTTAGTTTTTGCCGACAAATAAGTTGCCAGCCCCAATTTACTTAAAAATTCTATTTACTTTTGCTCTTAAGCAGCTTTGGCTGCTGCTGCGACAACCAAAAAGTATAAATTTATTCTCTTAATTGGGTGAATACGTAAAGGTTTTAGTATTTTCAGGGATGGTAAAGTATCTTCCAGAATAACTAAGGAGAATAGTGATATAAATTTAATGTAAATAAGTTACAATTAGCTGAGATATAAACTCTGAATTAAAAATAACTATATTAATACATCGAAAAGAAACCCTTCTTGTATATATATTTTATTTTCCTTCACTTAATCCTTACCCTAACCTATTATCCCTAAAAAGGCAAAGCCCCTGATGTAGTAGCTTACTTTCGGTGAAGGGGAAAAATACTTTAATTTCGACTCCTTTAGTTTTACCCCATTTAAGACTTGGCAAGCGCTTAGCTATGCTTTGTTGGATTTGACTTTGTGCAGCGCTTCTCAGGTGGCACTTTGGCGTATACGCAATATTTTACAGCTTTTTGCACTTTGCTGGCTGAGCTGAAAATACATGGTCAGTAAATCTTTTAAAATATTGTAATGTCGAGAGAGCTACTAGCAAGGGTGGCAACTGCTGGTACCGGCATAGTGCCAAGAGCTCCCCCACCTTACCAGCTTAAGCGCTTTGAGTACCGGAGCCGTAAAAACGCCCACAAATGGCCAAGAAAGTTGTAGAGGAGGGGATGGCGCGTAAATGAGGCAGTCGTTCGCGCGGAGGATCCGAGGAGCCAGGACCTCATCTTGAGTCAGCTCAGTGCAGACAGGCGCATGCAAGAAATGAAAATGATTTGAGGCATTATGTTCGCTCCGCTTTTCCTCCTCGCTTCGCTTCCGTTCAGCTGCTTGTCTTTTCTTGTTTTTTATTTTTGTTTTTTGGCTACAAAATTGCTTTGCTCCTCCTTCATGTTGATTGTAAAAGATTTCAGTGCTGAGAGCACAAAGCAAGCGATGATGTACGGAACAGCGCACCTCGTACATTTCGCACCTTGAAGTGGCAAGCAGGTGTAGGTAGGGTAGTAAGGGAAACTCCCGGAAAAGACAGCCACATAAAACAATAAAAAGCAATGGTAAATGCCAAGGATGGGTAGCGACAAACACATCCTGCAGCACCTTGAGGCCAAAACCAACTGACAGGGGCTTCCGGCAGCTGCCCCCCTCTTGCCCGGACAAAAAGTTAGAGGTGTACGATGCTAAGGTATGTCTCTACACAGTGCAGGTAAGTATTTCAAAACTTTTGGTATATGTAGGTGTTGTCTTGATGTTTTTAGTTAAAAAAAAAATAATCTCCTAAGCTGCAAAGAAAAAACACAAACAAATACGATAAATATTAAAGTAACAAGAGATAATTACGAGTTTTTGTATAATAATATTCGCGGGCCCCAAAAAGTATGCTATATTTTTTGATATGAACTGCTTGCCATGTTTATGCAGGGGACATTTGCAAAAACCGTTGTTAATAATTTTAATATATTAAAAAATCCCCTCTTTGATATATATCATTTCGTATAACATTTTTACAAGTCAAATCTATTAATATTCCTGATATTTTCGTGTTATTAGCTAAATGTTTTTAAAACTAAAAAAATAATAATTTTAAATAAAACATATTTCTGCAATTGATTTCTATTATAATTATTTGACTTATATAATTGATTCTCTATAAATAAAGGTCATTTATCTACTTGGCAAATACTAACCTGATATATAGCAGTATTTAGTTTCCGGTAAATATTACGTATACGCACCGATAAATTAAATTAATTTCTAGATTTATGACTGCTATTAGTCCGGCCATTGCTGTGTGTGTGTGTGTGCATGTGTGCATGTGCCTGTTTACGGTGCTAAATGCTTTGGACCCAGAAGACGCCTCTGGGCGATGGCCACCCCCGACCAGAAGCTGAAGCCTCAACGAAGCTATAGCTTTCCAGCGGGTGAGCTCGGTGCTCGGGGCCAGGTGAAAGTCATTTCACGCTGTGTGTAGCGCAAAAGATTAAAATAATAGCAGCGCGTAAATTAAACAGCCCGTTGGAGCCGAAGGAGGTATAAAGGATATGGAGCCGGAGAGCCATTGAAGTGGCAGCAGCCATCGGGAAGCAGGACCTGCCACATACCACTCACAGTCTCACACCACCATCGCATCCTTTTGTTTAGAACTGCGGTCTGCCCATAAGATGCTTACCTGGTACACCTCATCTGCTCGGGATCCTGCTTCTTTTCCAACCCCCGTCCCTGCCCCTGTGCTTCACCCCACTCATTCTGACATTCGGCGGCTGCCAGGACATTGCGAGCATTGCGTTGTCAGCACTTCATTTTGATCCAACATGCCGCGTGCTTCACTTAATGCGACGACTGCCAGCAGCCCGGCATTTCTGAGGAACGGCAGCACTGAGGCTCTGGGGGGCAAGAAATGTGCACGACGAATGGCATTCGGGGGTTAAGGGCCGGAGGAAGCTCGCTTCTTCATCATGCACATAACTACAAAGGCTGCTGCATTTCTTTGGCCGGCAGGAAAAAAACCTTATACAGGCGACACAAAACCTTTTGTCTATATCCGATAATTACTACTGATACAAAAATAGATGTGTCTTTAAACGTTTTGAGTATATCAAAAATTTTTCTTTTAAATTTTTTTTTTTTAAATATGTAGATAAATATTTAACAAATTGCTTAACTAGTTTTCGACACCCTTTGTCGCCTGTCAGCTACCGTTGCAATACTCTTCACGAATGCGTGCGTATTATGCTCTCTGCAAAGCTCTGTATGTGGGGGTGGGGGGGGAAGTCATGGCGCTGAGCTTGGGTGAGAGAGGGGGGAGTGGGGATGCCAGAGAGTGAGATGCAGTGATGCAGTAGTGATGGTTCGTTGGGCTGCTACCTTAGCTGAGTGTTTTGCGGCTTGTCTCCTCTTCGCCTGTCTGTCCGTCCTTTTCTTTTCGCTGCTGCTCCTCCTCCTCGCTTTCTCTACCTTCCCCCTTGCATCACCGCTGAGCTCCTTTCAAGCCGAAGCTTGCTTAATGCTTTATGTTTGCCAGCTTTCAGCTCTTTGTTCGTGTTTTCACTGTTCTCGTTCTCGTTTCTGTTGTTGTTGTTCCGGCAAGGTACTTTGCTTTTGTTCGATGAAACGTAAAAATAGCAACAAGCAACGAAAACTCATTTTTAGACAATGCCGCATAATTCCAACGCAACGGAGGTGGAAGAAGAACCTTAAAAAAAAGGAGCAAACGATAAAGAAGAAGATCCCAACGACTTTTTGTTGTAATGAGGTATTTCCGCTTTGTTGTTGCTTCCTTCTCTATCTCTCTATCTTTCTGTCTCCTTCGATCGTACAGTGAAACAATGTTTGGTATAGAAATATAGGACCTATTATTTAATTGTTCAAAACCAAATTTATAAATAATTAAAGAGCCAGAGAAGAAGCTAGTCTGAGAAGTCAAAGTTTGTATACCCTTGCAATTGAAATCTGCCATAACTAAGCCAAAAAAGCATTAATTTTAATTTGGTAAGCTTAACTATGCTAGTTTTTGATAGGTTAAAAAATCTGCATACTAATTTTTTAATTTAAAAAATATTCAAATTTTTGTAAATTTTTGAACATTTTTACGATGTAACCCCTTATAAAATTAAAAAAATAAAATTGAAAATTGTTTTTCCTATTGAACATGGCTAGATTGACTTAGCTGATAATGCTGTTCAAGAATATATATGATTTATAGGGTCGAAAATGACTATTGTAAAAGATACAAGCTTTTGACTAAATTTATAAAACCCTACAGGTGTAAAAGGGCATTTAGCAATTTAAATTAAATATAAAAGATCTTTTTTATCTTAAACCCAAACCTTATTCTGATATTAAACCTTTTCTCTCAGTACATTCTGTTTACATTTCGCTGCGTTTACCGTACAAAAGCAACCACAAGAAGTTTCTTACGCGCTGTCAGTTTTTGTAATGAAAGTGGATGCTGGCTGTATAAGCACCTCCCTCTGGTATCTCCGCAACCTACCGCAAAGCCACCCACTCACCGTTACCGTTGCCCCTTTTCACCGGCGATTATTCAAGCGCAAAATTTGCGGTAATCTGCCGGCGGACGGCATCCAGCTTCCAGCTTACAGCATCCCAGCATCCAGCATATGCAGAAAGTTTTTCCCAGTAGATCCCAAGAACTCGGTTCCCAGGAATCCCGGAAACACGCACGGCTTAAACTTTTAACCCTTCTATGTTTGCTCTCCCCAAAAACACACACACACACAGACATACAGGCAGCCAAAAATACACACACACACACACACAGACTCGTAGCGGAAGGAAGCCTGTTGCTGCAGCGTTGTTTTTGTTGCTGGTCATTTACGCCCATTTAGCCGCATTTAACAAAGTCAACAATAAAGTCAAACAGTCGTTGGGCCTCTCTCTCTCGCTCGCTCGTCCTTGCTGCCCCTTTCTTTTATTTTTTGGAGGGGTGCAGAATGCAAAAGGACACCCCAAAAACCAATAATTGAATAAGTTTTAGCTTCAAACATTGGTCATGGTCAATATAAAGTTGAGTCTCATCCTTAAGCCAAGTTGGTGTTAATACACAACTCCCAGACTATTAACTTAATTTCATTTTAACTTTGAGGCAAAAGTTAACTGGAAGCAGGAATTAATATAGGTATTTAAAAGGTAATAGGACTTAATTTATTTTTTTTTAACACCCTTATGGCATGCTTTCTAGTTAATAATAGCTAAGTGGGGGATAATTCCGATATAGAATTATAGAAGAACAAATAGGATGAAAAAAGGACAGGGTGAAAATAGTCCGGTTTGTTAAGCTTAGAACAACAAATTAAGAAACATTTCTGTACAAATTGAACTGTACTATATGATATATATATATATATATATGATATATATATATATATATATATATATATATATATATATCATACATACTATGACACTAACTAGTTACTTAAGTACAAGGACCTTAACCCAAATAAAAGGACTTTATTATACCCTTTTACAATATTATAACTTTATTCAAAACCTCGTAACGCACTGAAGGAGTCATTTCCAACCATATAAATCATATATATTCTTGATCAGCATCAATAGACGAATCGATCTAGCCATGTCCGGCAGAAAACAAAAATTTTCAAAATTTCAAAAATTTTATAAGGGGTTACATCGTTAAAATTTAAAAAAATTGACAAAAATTTTAATTTTTGTATATTTTAAATTGAGTATGCAGATTTATTAACCTATATAAAAACTAGCACAGAACAGCTTTCCGAATTGAAATAAACGCATTTTTGGCCAAGTTATGAGTAATTAAAATTGCAGCTACTTGTTCTATGAGTATCCAACCTTCGACTTTACAAATTTAATTTCTCTTCCTGTTTATTATTTATTCTGTGAAATATCCTTGACTGGTACTTATCAAGACACACTTTTCCCCTCAAGCCCAAACCCCAAATATGTATTATAAATATTCTATAGCGAAATGATTGCGATGAAATGAAATTCTAAAATTCTCCTTGATAGCTTCAATCTTGAGCCAGAGCATCCCCCTGACCCGGATTCATTAACTGAAACGCTCCACTTGAGTCGCACCAACGAAATCTCTTCACTAAAGTGCTCAGCCGAGCTCTTCATATGCCATTTAATAATGATTAAGTACACGAAGGGGTGGCGGTTCAGTTCGGTTTGGTTTTGGGTAAATGGAGCACCTTATTCGAATGTCATCAAAATCACCATCACCATCACCATCATCATCATCATCATCATCATTGGGAGGAGGCGAGACGAGCCTCCAGTAACTGTTGACGCATTCTGGTTTCAGGCCTCATTAGCGCCAGGACTTGGCAGCCAAGTCAAGTAAACCCGACCCAGTCGGAGCACTCAAATTGTGTCAGCATCAGGTGTCAATTTTAATTTACTGCTCCCAGCCGGTATGTCATCTCTGATGTTTGTTTGCCTTGAGCTGGGTGGAATTCGGGGTAATGGCGCTTCATGTTAACCCATATTTTGGTGGCTTGCGGTTGTTGCGGTAATTTTGGGTAGTAGGTTTCCGAGGAGGGGGTTTTGGGCGAGAGCCTTCGCAAGGATATCCAAACTCATTGAAGCCTGCGGCTCGAGCCGCAACAATTTCATCATAGATGAAAGAGCTTCGCAGCCGCACAATCCTCATTGATATGCAGCCCCAATCCGCAGCCTCGACATGTAGCAATAATTGAACGCTTAGCGCAAATGGTCGCACAGCAGAAATACAGAAAAAGGAAAATAATAGCAGCAGTTCGCTAATGGAGCAATTTAAATATGCGAATGCCAACGCTTCGCATGCTAATCCATTAAAACCCATTCTGGGGGATGTCATCGAAATATTTTGAGAGATTTTCCAATATCAATGGAATATCTTTCATAATAGAAGAAAACGAAATGGTGAAGAGTTTTAAAAACCATATTGGAAAATATTTATAATACAGTTTTCTTGGGGTTCTATGTATTTATAAAAACTTTCTGGCAATAATTAATGTAGATTCATCAAAGTGAAACCCTTTTTAATCCACAAAAATCTTTCCTAAACATTTCATAGAACCTGTTCTGAGAAAGATTTCGAACGGAAATGATAAGAAAATCTGAACACCTTCTATGAAATATTTAGTAAAGACCTTTTTTGGGTGAAATAATCTACAACGATCATGAATTGAACCCCAGAACATTTGATTTCTCAAAGGTATCTCCTTCTTCTATATAAAAACCCCTAAATAAAATCTCTTTGAATAAAAACCTCTAAAAATTGTTTCTTATAAAGTTTAATTCATCACAAGTTCTGGGAGTTGGAGAAATATAAGCACCAAGCCATGAGACAAACTCATGGGGTTATATTTCCTTAGTGTTCACAATCCATTGATTTACTTCTTCAGCAGCAGAGGAGCAGCAGCGGCGGCCACATAGGGACGGGCCACATAGGGCGAGCTGTAGGCCAGGGGAGAGGTGTAGGCGGCGGCATAGGGAGCGGCAAAGGGAGCAGCATAGGGCGTGGCAAAGCGGGTCACGGGAGCGGTATAAGCGGCAGCCAGGGGAGCAGTGTAGGCAGCAGCAATTGGAGCGGTATAGGCGGCCGGGAAGGCGGCGCTATGAGCCACGGTGTGGGCGGTGTAGCTGGAGGCATAGGGAGCCACATAGGCGGCACTGCCCACCACAGCTGGAGCGGTATAAGCCAAAGGAGCGGCGGCCAGAGGAGCCACAATACCAGGCTTGGCAGCAGCCACAGCCACAACAGCGAAGAAGCAAACAGCCTGAATATAAAGAGTTTAATTTATGGGATAAATAAAAAAAGATTATTCCAGAACACGTACTCTAAAATAGCTTCTTGTCTTTTTAATACTTTTCTATAAATTCAATTTCTTAAGCTTTTTTGAATATATTAAATGTTGGGAATTTTTGAAATATTAAACATTATGGAAATCATTTTGAGAATTCAAAGATATATGTTTCTAGAATATTAAACTTGCTTTTAGCAATTTGATCTTTCTTTAACTTTATTTAACCTTCTTTAAAATATTTAAAACTGCATTTTTTTTTTGTAAGATTTCTATGTGCAGTTTGAGATTTACTTCTTGAATTGTTTGATAATTTAAAAAATTTGTTGAAATATCTAATGTATGTCTTTACAAATCAAGTTTTTTAAACTCTTTTAAACTTATGTTTTTTTTGTAAACTATTCTTTTGTGTACTTACGAATTTAAACATCTTGGTTATGTTTTGGTTTTTAGATTGTCACTTGGTGGATGGCCAATTGGGTTGTGATGTCCAATGAAGATCCGCCCTGGTCTTTTATAGCCACTTACACTTTCCGAGAGGCATTAGCCATGCGGGTCACGCCCGTAGTTCAGCCATCGATGGCTGCCAAGTCAACGACATTCGATCGTTTGACGTTGCGCATGCGCAATTCTTGGCGCGGATCGCAGCTATCCACCTCTTCATTTCTTTCTCTTTTTTTATATTTTAAATATATATATTTGTTTTTGTGCTCTACACCTGGCCATGTCTTATTTTGGTGCGTGCCTGAGCGTCCGTTACTCGAACAACTCAGAGTATTCAATGTTGGCCCTGACCTTGGCGGCTGCAATTCGTTTTACAAAATGTATTAGGGTCAGCGGGTTAAACCTAAAGGCTAAACTTTAAATCGTATGAGTCATTTCATAAATATATTTTTAAAGCAAAGCATTTTCTATATTTGAATCTGTAGGATTATTCCGCTTAATTAACGTCGGCAGCCTATTTTTAATGGCCCAGAATAAAGCCGGCTAATCAGAGTGTAATAATGCACTTATCGTCGTTGCTGCCAGAAATTAATTAATAAATGTCGCAAATTGCGGGCAAAAGAGCTTAAAACTCACTAATTAGAAATATCGAGTGCAGGTTTCCGCGTGTGTAACTTCGCACTCGTCCTAAGGATGCACATACACATAGACCCGCCCAGTTACATATGAACACTCCTTTGGCAGGACTCGAAACTCCCCGGCAGTGGCAGTCTCACACTTGAAAAAGTGTTGAAGCGTGAATTTTGCTTAAAAATGCCAATTACGCGAATTCAGAAATGCAATGGATTTGTGGGGAGAAGAGGGAATTTGCCACAAGAGAAAGGGAAAGGAGCTCCCTCGAGAGGGTAGTAAATTCTGGGGATTGCGGTTGGGAAAAACACTGGGAAAACTCCATCATATTTCCATTTAAAAATACTGCGATATAAAAATGTATATTACACTTTAAAGGGGTTGAATTCCAAGCCTCTATTAATTGACAGAATAAATATTGTTAGCTTAAAAAGTAGTTAAATAATAAAGTTAATATGCACTTTAAAAGATATTTTCAATTTAAGTAAGTTTAATATTTATATTAACTGAAGAAATAATAAATTGTTCTCAATAAATAATTCGCAGTGCATCAAATTGTTGCCAGTTCCTCTGTGTGTCCTTTCTCGCTGTTGATGATGATGTTGCTGCCGAAGGATTTGGCGCGCATCCTGCCGCCTCCTTCGCATCCTTTTGTGCAGCTTCAAGTGTTTGCCATGTGCCTGTGCATACGCGCCAGCCTATTGGCTCCAGCCACCACCTCTCCGATCTCTACTCTCCACTCTCTATGCCGCTTTGGGATCCTTTTGTGGATGGTCCTGCTGGCATCTACTAAATGCACAATCATGCAGCCGGGAGCTGGCCTCCAATTCGAAAACTGCTCCTCCGGCAACCGCAGGCGGCAAACATATTTGTTTTGACACTTGACTTGGGCGGGGTGCACTGCGTCCTCATCCTCATCCTCATCCTCATCGTCATCCTGGCCGCCATGTTGCTTTCATTGTCAAGTTTGTGGCAAGGACTTGCTACTGAAATTATTATATTGGTTAATCCGCCTAAAAGCTTTGATGGCACTTCCCCTGCCCTGAGCGGTGAGTCCTCCTTTGGCCATTTCAAGTGCAGCGCCCGCAACTCTCGAGTGGCCACGGGGAGCTGGGAGAGCATATCAAAGAGCAATCCCCCGGGAGCTGGATATTGCCAGCACTAGGGATCAGGGAGCAGGGAGCAGGGATGGATGTATCCACGAGTGCTGGCAAGTAATTAAAAAGCAAGAAATTTTCACAAAAAGCCGCGCACAAAAATTCGCTCCGTTTGACGGGGACAAAGCTCCAGGACCAAGGACTTTGAAAGCAAGAGAAAAGCTGTAAAGATTTTAGTCGAATACAGAGTATCCTGTTTAAGGAACTAGGAATTAGAAACAGCTTTTTAAATGAGTAAAAAATCCATCAAATATTTAATTAACAAGCTGACGGTGGAAACCATAGCTTACAACTGAACCTAAACAATTTCCATGAGTATTAATTTAATTTATATACAGTATAACACACTTTAATCAGTACTTCCTTAACCATTTTTACAGGGTATCTTTAAGGAACTTTGAACAAGTTGCGTGAAATATTTGCGCCACTTTTCTTCTGTTTTTTTGCTTTTTTTATTTGCCCAGACCCAGACCCAGACTCTGTCCCTGCCCCAAGTTGAGTTTATTGCCATAATAAAGGCACAACTGCCTCTGACTTGGCCGGGGTTATGTCTGCATCAGGCAAAGGACATGGGCGTACGGGTTTGAGGGGCGTGGCAGCAGCTGTGCGTGCGCGTTAATGCGTCGTTTAAGTGCCGTAAAAGGCGAATGGCACACATGACGCCCCCCATGCCTCCTCCTAAATCGTATTCGTTTCCGTATCCGCATCCGTATCCATATCCCGGGCCCCTCATCAAGATGAAGTCTATTAAAAAATTTCTGTTTTGAATTCGTCTAGAAAATGCCAGCGACATTTGGTAAGAACTTCGAGAGGCATAGCGGCTTTTAAGTGGTTTCCACAAATTATTCATGGGAACAAAGGCGGCTAGAAGTGTGTATTGAGAGGTGTAGAAATAAGGGAGGAAGGTCCTTCGGAAAGAGGTTACCAGGGGTGGCACAAAGTTTACACAAATTACTCGAAGAAGCCATTTAAAATACAAACTTTACTAAATCATAACAGCTGAGAACAATTAGAGTTAAGAGGCAGACTTTAAGCTAAGAAAATAATTAGAAAAATTAAAAGAAATCCTTGGGTTACTTTAGGAATTGAGTTTATAAAGTATAAAAGTATTTTAACAACATGTTATATGCAACACAACCTTACTGATTTTATTCTTTTTTAGTGATAAATCAAATAAAATAGTTCTATGACAAAATCTCGAACCATAAGCTAAACTCCTTCTAATAAATATTTCAGGTAAGGATTTAAACCCTCCTCTCTTTAAGTACCCATCTCCCTTTAGAGGGATTCTGCGATCATAATTGCTTTACGGCCTTTGTTCCGCCTTGTGGCCGCATTTCAATTACTCGACAAAGTCAAATCGAATTAGGTTTTGGCACGTGCCAAGATTTGGCTTCGGATTCGTTGGACTAAACTGGAATGGAGTCAAAGACTTTGAGCTGCCAGCGATGTCAGTTGCATGGCCAAGTGCGACCTTCGTTGGATATTCAACTGGTGACTATATAAATTGGCCAGCTTGATCCATTCGATATCAAATCAAGCTCACAGCTCCAAGTAGTCACAGCTACCAAATACAAAAAAACCCCAACAAAATCATCATGAAATACGTAAGTATTTAAGGGTTTTTAATTATTTAAAAAACATTTAATTAACCAGGAGTTTTCTTTTATTACAGTTCGCCGTCTGCTTCTTCGCTGTTGTGGCTGTGGCTGCTGCCAAGCCTGGTATTGTGGCTCCTCTGGCCGCCGCTCCTCTGGCTTATACCGCTCCAGCTGTGGTGGGCAGTGCCGCCTATGTGGCTCCCTATGCCTCCAGCTACACCGCTAATACCGTTGCTCATAGCGCCGCCTTCCCTGCTGCCTATACCGCCGCCGCCTATACCGCTCCCATTGCCACCGCTGCCTACACTGCCCCCGTTGCTGCCGCTTATACCGCTCCCCTGACCGCCGCTTATACCGCTCCTTTCGCTGCTCCCTTCACTGCCGCTGCTTATACCGCTCCCATTGCACGTTACGCAGCCGCCCCGTTGGCCGCTCCCATTGCCGCTCCTGTGGCAGCTGCCTATACCGCCCCCATTGCTGCCGCCGCTGCCCCCGTTTTGCTGAAGAAGTAAGAAGGATTTATCTTCTGTGAAAACCATCTTGACCAATCTGTGTAAATAAAGAATTGTACATATCAAGCAAGTGATTTCTGTTCTTTGTGAAAGTGTTGACACTGGAAAAATGAAGTTCTCCAAGAAAACTTAATGGAAATGATTGAAAGTTAGTCCTAATATCAAGGATTCCCTACTTCATTTAATCATATATAAATTATTTTATTATCTTAGCTTATTAGGGAGATTTGGCTTAATTAACTTTGGTTTAAAAATTCATTCATATTCTTTTTGTTTAAATAGCAAACAAGCTAGTAATACAATCTGTTCAATCAAACTCTCCTATCTGTTGCATATTTATATATATTTAGAATAAATGTTTCCCCAAGAAGAGTGCCTTAGCATAACTTATATTTAATACCAATTTTCTTTACGGTGGAAATCTACCCAACTCTCTGCTGCGATTTGCCGCAACAAAATGAACTCCTTTGGCTTTGAGCGTTGCTGGGAAGCAATTTGTACTCCGCTTTTTCCACTCGGTTCAGTTCAGCTTAGTTCTTATCGAAAGCCGGGCATCTGGAGAGTCCCCTTTTCCTAGATTTTCTTTTTTTCTTCTTTATTTTTTGCCCCACATCGGCACCTAGCAGCAAGTTTTGCGCTCCCTGCCTTGGCTGGGATTAAACTTTCCATTTAAAAGGATTTCTTTTCTATATGAAATATGCTTCCTTTCAGCGCGTTTCCTGCGCATTTCCCACCTCGTCCGTCGTGCGGCTCCTCCTTCAGTCAAGTTTTCTGCTTGACTTTGTCCTGCGCGTTGAAAGGCCCGCGTGGAGGAGCCGCCAGCCGCCAGCCGCCGGCCCACCGCCGGCATTGGTGTGGTCTCCTGCTGCTCCTTATCATAACTTTGGCCATCGCCTCGTCCCAGCCCTGCGTCCCTGCTCAGGTGGTAAATGCCAAGTAGTTGTGAAGTTTGCTACCTAAGCGGAAAAGGCTAGTAAAAATCCAAGGCAACGGCGGCAGTGGCGGTGGTGGGAAAAATGCTCCATTTTCACAAGTTCTCGGAACAGATAGCGTCCAAATTTAATGACCTTTTATTCAATAAAACTGCGTTGAGCGCCGTCAACTTTTTGCCTTACTTAGTTGTTGTCATTCTGCTATCGGGTTTTGTCATCCGTTTTTCCTTATATATTTTAATACCCTATTGGAGGGTATTCCATATTTAGTCAGAAGCTTCAAAAGTAGTGAAGAAGTCATTTCCGACCCTATAAATCATATATATTCTTGATCAGCATCAACAGCAGAATTGATCTAGCAATGTTTGGTACAAAAATAAATTTTCGAAATTTTTTCCAAAATTTTATGAAGGTTTACATTGTAAAAATGTTAAAAAATGTGCCAAATTTTAAATTCTTTTTTAATTTTAAATTGAGTATGCAGATTTTTTAACCTATCAAAAACAAACAAAGAACAGCTTTTTGAATTTAAATTAATGCATTTTTGGCTTAGTTATGAGATTTTTAAAATCTGATTTGTCGACAAAAATTGTCATACAAACATATCATTTATTATCGATATAAAAGAATCCGAATATTTAAGGCTTCGTTTTGATCGTTATCCTATAATTCGATTTCAAACTATTAGGGTATATTTGCGTCGGCTTCTAGAAGTTATCTTCTTTTCTTTTTTTACATCTTTTTGTTGGCCAAAAGTTGTCAAAAAGTAAGGCGAAAATATGAGATAAACAAGCAGGAAAGGTAAAGTGAAAGGATTTTGTTTGATAAATGAAGGAAAAGTTTAAAAGAATTTACAATAAAAACAGCGTTAATTTAATTTAAATATTTAAATATTAAATAATAAATTAGAAAAGTAAATTTACGAAAGTTTTTGTTAAGTAAATTCAAATTTTATTTAGAGAATTATCTCATTTCCTTCCTAAACCTGTTTAACTGTCCATTAAAACAACTTCTAACTTAATCCTCTTTGACTTTTTAAAAATATTATACTATATTTTATACCCATTTAAATAAATAAACCCCAAATTAATGTACACTTCGATACATATATCTCAAACAGAGTTAAAGAACAACTATTTTGATTGCCGGAATTGTGGCTTTTGTTGGTAGCAATGGGCAACCAATGTTTGTCTGGCAACTGGCGAAGCAATAAAAGCGAGCAAATGAAATTTGTATTCACTTTATATAATTTTGACGATTTTTCAAATCAAGAACACACTCACACCTCATGTGTGTGTACACACACATATGCTGCTGTTGGAGATTCCCTTCTTTTTTGCTCCGAAACGAAACGAACACAATCATGTGCAAACGTGTTTTTCAAATGGATTACATGAATAAAAGATTTATACACGTAAGGTAAATCAGTAGCGGGTTACCAGGATACTCACAGACATCCTTCGTCCTTCGGGCCGCACAGCTTCCCCCCTCACTCTTCATCCTATTCCTATATTCCCAGCCGAAGACTTGCAAGTGAAAATATGCGCAGATGTAAGCAAATTTGAGCTGGAGGAAAATAAAACCCCAAATGGAAAATCCCACAGAACCGGAGGTAGATGATGCCTTTTGCCATTTATTGATTTGTTTATCATTTTATGTATTTATGCGGCCAAAGTGTGTTTTGCCGCTTTGATTTCCAGGCGCCAAAATTGAATCAAGAGTTTAGGGGGGGTATGGAAATAAAACATTACAGAAACAGGAACAGGAACTGGATTATTCCGAGCATATACAAACACAAGCAAAGCAAAAATAAATACAGGATTTGCATTTTTCCGATTTCGGTAGAAGAAACTTTATGCGGTTCGTCAAGTGGCTTCTTTTGGGAACTTTTAATAAACAATTATTGGATTTGAAAAGGACGAGGAAATCATAATATGATTTATTTTCTTTTTATGATAAACAAACAACTTTGAATTGGCATTCTTAAAAAGGAAAAGGAGAAATATTAAAAGAAAATATAAAGAAATTTTAAGAATTAAAAGAAAACTATTTGAAAATGAAAAGAGCCCTTTTTCACGCTTAGCTTGCCTTTATTTAAGTTTTAGTTTTCACCAAAATATAAAAAAAGTGTTTTAACAAGAAAAAACAAAAACACAGTATTGTTAAATTTTCTTAAATCAAAGTACACACACACTAACACACACGCACACCACACCGAGCGTGATTAATGCGATATTGCGTCCTCGGCGAAATTTCCATTTCCGTTTGGAGAAACTCGTGCCAGCTTCATCGCCTGAGATATGGATAGTAGGGATATGTGGCGTATGCGCCATATACCGGTGCATACGTATACGCCGCGTAGGCCGGATAGCCATAGCTGGCATACGCCGGATAATAGGCGGAGGCGTGTCCCAGCCAGGCAGTGCCACCCACTCCGGCGGTGGCATAACTCACGGGGGATGTGACCAGCAGCTGGGGCTTCGCCTGGACACCCAAGGACGCGAGCAATGCGAGCTGGGCAGAATTATTGATACGTTTGTGATATATCCATATACATACTATATATCCAGGCGTGTTTTTTCCTTTCTCTACTCACCAATAAAACCTTGACCAACATGACTGACCCTCTTGTTTGATTACACCAGGACTTCTTGGCGAAGTTGACGTCTGAAATTCAAAATTTTTACTGCCCCTTCGGTTGGGCAAGTCAATCATATTTATAGCCTTTCCAGGGGAACCCAAAGAGAATCACTGAGAATCCGGGAGAGATCCAGAGAGAAGTTGGGGCCCATCATTAATATTGCTAGACCTGTGAGCGAGCTGAGTGGCATAAATTATATTCTTAATGCCATTTGAAATTGTTGAGAAAGAATAAATATAAAGACGTGACGTAAAAGATTTCAAATTGATGAAATAATGCATACTCTGTGGGGGCATAAAAATACAAATCATGAGCTCATTAAATGTTAATAAAGTCGTGGGTAATTTAAGAAAATAATTATGTGATTAAAGATGAGCTTTATTATTAAATTTCAGGAATATAGAGAACTATTTTAATTGATTTGTAAAACTTAGATCCGCATACAAAATTTATAAAAACTTAATTTAACTAAACTTTAATATAATATAAAGTGTTATTCGATTACTTAATAATTAACCTTACATTAAATTTAATTTTTAAAAATTTAAGAAGCTTTGCAATATGTTCTCCAATATATAATTTAACAATAAACATTCAAAACTATATTATTACTAATTTATACACTCTGCTGATCATAATAATGATATAGTAAAGCTAATTATAGTTCTCTATTGTTCATAATTCTTACAACAATTGAGTCACACCCCCTTTCCCTTTCTCTAAACCAATTATTTTCATTTAAAGCTTCAACTCCCAGCTTGGCCAAAACCCTGGCCTAATCAACTGACAAAACTGATACCCTTTTGTTTTCCTGCTATTAATGGATGGCAGCGAATGTCGCGCTACCTTCTTTGGACTGTCATTCATTATTACAGGTAGCAGCAACCGCCCTACCTGACTCAGTACTACTATATAGTACACTATATACTTCTCGAGGCTTCTCTCGCATTTGCATTTATTTAGACGTTGTAAAAATTATAATTACGTGTGCGTGCCCGCCATTGAAATCGGGAATATCTTTAAAATGCTATAAGATAGAGGAGAGCAGTCAGAACCATATTTTGCGATCAATTTTGTTAGATAAGACTCTGAAGGGTGATGGTGACGTCTTGCTCAAAGCCTTCCAATGAGTCTAGGACACAGCCAGTAAAATTTTGCAAACTGAGCAAACATGGCCAGAGAACGGGGAGTAACTTGATTCGCAAGCTATAAATAATTAATTAATGCAGACGCAGACAAGCGTTCTATGCAAATTTCCGAATATAGACCATAAATTCTGCCCCGAACGGAGAAACCGATGAAGCCATCACTTTTGCCCTACCTATAACTATATATATGTTTATATGGATGTATATAGACTATATAGAGGTCTACTCAATAATTATATGTGTATGCAAGCCGGACTTTGGGTTGCTCCAAGTTCACTGACCATCGTCTACGTTGGTGATAGAGTTTGGTGGAGGAGACCAACTCCGCTTGACCACGCCCAGTAAGCTCAATGGAAAGTACTTGGGAAAACTGCTTTTAGCGACAGTTTTTCATTGCTTTTATGCAGCAATTTTTCCCCTTTTTTTCTACGGTACTAATTTCGAGCTTGCTTACAAAATGGCAAATAGTCGCAGCTGGCAGCCATTTTTCTTGTATTTCCCGTTGTTATTGCTACCCTGGATAAGTTGGGGATAATGAGGGTATATTATTTCTGATATTAATTAGATTTTTATGTAAATTAATTTGTAGCAAAAAAGATGTGTATTTTTATATCAAAATATTCTTAATTTAAATTCTGAGCAATTAATTATAGCACTAAAAAGCAAACAAATTCTATACAGTACTGTAAAATACAAACATTTCATAAAATAAAACAATTGAAATGCATTATTTACACTTCTAATTATGGACACTTGATAATGCAACTGCAATGTACATTAAAAGTGTAAGACTTTCACGTTATCGACAATCTATCGATTCTAATGTCACCTCTAGTCGCCATTTTTAAGAAGAACTTTTTTCATTCATTCAATATCAGTTGGACATCTTTTTTTTTTATTCGTCAAAAAAATGGAACTCGCACTCCTCCTGGAAAAGATGAATTTATCAGCTCCCTCCAACCCCCGGAAGATGTTCTGCGCATTTGATGCTATGCAGGGGATAGTTAGAAATATTAGTGACAAACTGGCACTCGTGGGATTCCAAAAGACGAAATATATGGATTTTAACTGTAAAAAAAAAACTGAAAAATCAAGCATTCAGAAAGTAATATAATTCTTTTCAGTGTACATTGATCTACCGAACACCTACTATGCCGAGTTGGATTTGCCAGTAAAGCTTAATTTTCCCGATATTCAACCAATACGAAACAACAATGGACTGATCTACTTGAAAGCCCTCAACGTTCCCTGTTCAAACTTGGAACTTTTATCGGTTGATGGCTTCGTTCGTAACGACTGTGTCCAACACTATGTGAATAGCAAGTTGAACGATATAATAGCAACAGCTCCATACGGTTGGAGTATGGAGTTCATCCATGGAAGACACTATTACCACACCATCGAGGCCAAATCCGAGTTGATTACCGTCTATATAAATATAGTTCCGGTATTCGAGTTCGAGAACAAGCAGTGGCCCCTTCCAGAGCCTTCAGTTCCTCTCTCGGTGCGCAGCAAGCATCCCTGGTTTGCGGTTCCATGGCAAAGTTCTGTGAACCAGGATCATCGCGCCTTCACGGTCTACGCCCCGTTTTGGTTAACCCAAACGCTCGAACAATATCCCAATTCGATTCAATTTCTGAATCTACTAATGTCCTGTCATGCTAAGCGCTTCAAGGATTTCCCAAGCTTCTCGATATACATGCTGAAATCGTTTGTGCTTCAACATGTCTTTAAGAATGGAGATGTGGGACATGATCAATTAATTCATCTTATGCCTGAATTGATGGCCCGACTTAATAACGGGAGGCTCGAGTCCATCCTAATAAAGGATCACAATATGATGGAGTGCATGAGCTTCGAGGATCTCCAGAAATGTCTTGCTACACTCAAGGATCTTCACACAGAAGCTCCATACGATAGTCATGAGTTTTGGGATAATTTGCTGGAAAGAGTTCCAGCCGCTGCCTGGTTTTCGAAATACATTTCTCTATATTCGTACTCAAATCAATTGGTATAAAGAAGGAGATGGCCTGGATTTACCTAAAAGAGATTACTATTTTTATTTTTTTATTTACAATTCATGTAAGACTATATTATTTTTCAAATCAAATGGAACAAAGAATCAGATGGCCAGCATGGATTTTGGCTTGAATTACTAAAGACATTTCATTTATTATCATCCATTATCAACTCATGTAATATTAATACTGTAATAAATTAAAACTAACTATTTGAAGCAATTGGTTTATAATTTTGTATTTAAAAGGGTATTCATATTGGTCTATCAGTCGCCAGCTCGTTGTACCTCAGCTCAGCTTTCGGTTTTGTAGCAAAGCTGCAGCGGAAAGAGTGCATAATTAAAAAATGGCTGCTGTTTACGAGTAGATTGTTTTGTTTATTGTGTAGTCATCCTCGGCTCGGGTCCCCCTCGGCGGCCACCAGCTGCTCTCTTCCGATTCTCCTTGCTGCTGAGTCCTCCCCCTGGCTCTCTCTCTCTCTCTCTCTCTCTCTCTGGTTAGTTTGTAATTTAATAAAGCTTTAGATGGTATTTAAATTAATTAATGAGTAGCGACTGTCAGTGTTAATTTTGTTTGTTACACACTCTAGCAGGTGCTGGACAACATGTCCTTCAACTGATGCTCCAATCTCTCCACATCTCCGTTTGCCGTTTCGTACTCAAGGTCCAGGCAATGGAACATCTTGTCTAGGACATCGGGAAGTATGACTCCGCGGCAAAGGATTTCACATAGCTTTCGAATTTCGGCCACATGAGCCATATACTCCGTCTTGACGGCCTTCTTCTGCTCGAGCACCTCCTGCATGCTGTATGGTGGCTTTTGGTCAAAGTCAACAAAGACGGGATGAAGACGCCTCTTTCTGCGCATCCATTGGAGAGCCACCAGCTCGAAGCGACGATCCAGAGCCTTAACTCGTCCGGTCACATCGGAGGCAAGGCCACATCCCCGGAAAATGGTTCGGAAAAACTTCAACTGATTTGGCTTTCCGCGCCAGCGTTTCAAACGCTCCATGGCTCGGGAGGCGCCAATTGCAAATCCTTCGATTTTGCTTTTTGGCAGAGAGGTCGGCGCCGGCAGGTCTTTCTTGAGGGTACCATCCAAGTTGTAATAGAGCAGGCACTCCTGTCGTAACTCCTCTTGACGCCTCAGCAAATCCATTATAGTCTTATCCCGTTGGTAACTTTTAGGAATGGACTGACCACCCACCAGACGGGTCTTTGAAGGGAGATCCTCTTCACTTGGGCACTTGCGTCTTTGAGTAGTCCTTTTAGCAGACATAGACGGAGGAGAGGCGGCGCTGATTCTACCAAAGACGGGATTATCATCTTTGGAAGGATCTTGCAAGCGTACAGAAGCTTCCTGGAAGCAGTTCTTTAGCTTTTGTACAACACCAGAACAACCACAAACGGGTTTCCATCTTTGGGGAAATGGATGCTGATCAGGGAAGGATTCATGTGTATTATTGCAGTAGCAGTTATGGGTGCACTTCCGGATGTTTTGTGTGGAATGGAGTGGTACTAGAGGTGTCTCCTTCTGTACAGCAATGGGCGAGGCATTCCGCGACTTCCTTTTCTGGGAAGGGTGATCCTGTGATTGTCGATTGTCATATCTATTGTTGGAGGGTGCCTTTGCCTCATTACGGCAGCTCTGATGGGTGTTCCTTTGCGTGGAAGATTGTGGCAATGGAGGGGGCTTATTCCTGGCTAACTCCTTTTCGATGGCCTGGATTCTCTGTTTCACAGTAGTCATATTAGGCAGCAAAGCAGACAATGGAGTATCTCTTTCGATCACATTCTCCCCACTGGCAGCGGAAAGTTCCTCCGCAATGGTATACAGTCTAGAGCGACTTGGAATTCTTTTGGGCGATCTGGAACGATAGGCAGATGATTGTCCACCTGCCACGCGTTGCGGTTCCTTGTTTGCTTGGTCATTGCACCTGGATCTGGCATTCTTCAACGGCCTAAGTAGTGAAATCCCATGGTAGCCATTTATAACCTGGTTCAAATCTCTATAGCAGTTATTGATATCCGTAAATGGGGCCCTAAGGAAGCCAAAGTCCTCCAGGTGGCCATGCATGAGAAGCATCAAACTGTTCCGGGCCATTTTCTGGCTAACTGGTGCTGCCTTAAAGACCTGCAGCCACTTGGCCATGATCACGCGATCGGACAGACAGGCTGCCGGCAAATCCTCCTCCGTGTAGGTGCGCAATTGGGTTTTGAAGTGCCAATCTAGCCATGATTCGCTTGGTTCTGCCATTCTCAGTTTTTGTACATTTATATTTTTCTAAAAACAAACAAAAACAGACGGATAATTTTAGTGACCAAGACAAATAAAATGAGCCGGCTGCCTGTCTGAGAGAGAGGGTGCTGTCACTGGAGAATGTGAAAATGTGGGGTTGAAGGTGGAGCTGCAGGACATCTTGGTGATGCCTCGAGTGTTGGGCATAACTCTGGTAATAAGCACAAGAAGCTGGAATACACTTGAATAAAAAAGTTAATATTTATTAATAAGATTTAAGAAGGAAGTTGAGGGAAAATATTGAGAAAAGCTTTGTGGTCTTATATCTTAGAGAAGCTTTAGGGAATTCTTTATGGATTTAACAGATCTCTTGAATTTAAATAATTAAAAATGTTTTACTAATTTTCTTTTAGTGCCATTAGCAACAGCAGCCGCTCCAGTATGCGGTTGCGTTGCCACGTAAATTTTCATTAGCACAGCGCGCGTATAAATTAGGAAAATGAAGCAGCGGCGGTGGCGGTGGCGGTGGCAGTAGGCACTTGAGTGCACCGCAACCTCACCTCCCCACCAGGCAGCTCCATCTCCATTCAAGATGGCCCTGACGCCCACTTGGGGGTTAATGGGAAATGGAGCCCCCCCACCAGTTCACCCGGTGGGTTAAACCGCAGCGACAACAACAAGAGCGATATGGTACCTAGGTGCTGCGGCTTGTGGCAAATGACGACGAGCTGGGCAAAAGTTGCAAGCCCGCCTGCATAAATTTATATTGTTAAACATGAGCTAGAAAAAGCACGCGCAGCCTGTCAGAACAAAGCAAAAAGCAAAGAACCTGGCCCCGACATGCAAAAAGTAAACTAAAAAGCCATAAAACCATAAAACATACCTTGCAAAAATAGAATACAGCTAGTTGCAGGACATCTAAAGTTACAATTTGGTATACAAAATTGCTCGAAATATGGAAATTTCTCCTCGAAAGTTGATATTTTTGTTAGGATTTTTCATATATATACTTAAGATATAAGAATTACTTTTATATTTTCAGACACATTTCCCAGTTATACATATGTTCATTTGTAGATTACAAAATGACAACTTTGACTTTGATAAGCACTTCTGAAAAGTTTGGCAACGCCTTCCTCGACAGGATTGCAATCGATAGTTGTGGGATAATCTGGCCACTCCATTCGTAGCCTTTCCTGCGCACGCGTCCCTTGCTCGGAATTTATTTCTTCGCCTGTAAATGGATTTCGAGAGCAAGTACCACAAAAGCCAAGTGAATGGAACCATTTATATTACCACACGCCAGGTGCTGGCCAAGGACGTGCAAGAATCACTGGATTTGGGAGCCGGTGAGGTGAGTTACTACCGGTTGCTACCTTCCCTTCCGTTGAGGTTATGTTTTTCTCATATTTTTGTGTAGCTTTTTCTCAAATACATACACAAGAACATTTCGCCAGAGATGATTATAGATATAGCCAGCGAACTGGGCGAGATCTATGCCCTGCGATACAAGATCGATTTTAGTGGTGAAAGCCGCGGGTTTGCCTATCTCCAATACATCGATAAGAATATCAAGTACAAGGCCCTGAATCAGTGAGTATTTAAGTTTATAATCACTGAAAAAAATGGTTATTAATAATCTGTGAAAACCTTAGGCTATCACAGAAATTCATTAACAAAAACTTGGACATTCGCGTTTTTAATTCAATCAATGCCCGGGAGCTGCTCCTCGAACGGGTTAAGGCTTTCAATCCCATTCAGGTGTACCATGAAATGCGCAAACTCTCACCATTCATTATGATGCGTGTCTTTGAGCACCGACCCCAACGATTCTTCTATATCTTTGAATATCAGAACAATGAGGCGGCCGCCAGTGCCCATCGCGATGTGCGAAACATTATCCGGATGTTTGGCCCTCAGGCGTACATCTCTTGGCTGGACAGATGTCATCCGGTGAGCAGCCGGTATGGCAAATCCAACTGCTGCCAGGAACTGGACCTACAGCTCCAGCTGCCCGATCCAAGCAAGTGCAATTGTTTTAGATTTAAGGGGAATTAAAAGGGAGAGAGGAGAAAGATTGATATTTAATTCACAAATGATTTAAGAAGGTTCTGATTTTGCATTTCCTTTAATGAACTTAAAAATCCAACTTCCACTATCCTAAACAATATTTAAATTCTTAAAGTTTTTGCCTTCATTTCTGAATACTTAAACTCTTAAAACTTAAACTTGAGAACCTAAAGTAATTATTTCCACAAAAGTTTTTTAGATTAAAACGAGTAAATTATTTTAAAAGAAGGAGAAAAAGATTAATTTCTTATTAAGAAGTGCGAAACCACTTAAAATATTATTTTTTTATGCTTTTTTTTATTTTAAAGTTTGTTATTAACATAAAAAATGTCCATATAGAAACCATTTGTTTTAATTTTGTACCAATATATATACTTTTTAATTAGTTATAATAAATGAAATTTCTAATTATAAAGCTTGAACTTTCAATTTAATATATTAAGAAAATGTTCCGGAAATTATTTTAAAGGTTGTCAAGCTATAGAAAATGCTGAACATAATCTAGCCAAGTCCTTTTTTTCCATCTCATAGTCATAAAGGACATCCATTCCCCGCCTGTTAAATGTTCATTGTTTTGTTTCTGAATCACCTTTGACCCGAAGCTCCCTCCAGCCGCAGCTTGTTGACTTCATTAACTCTGGGCAAAAACAGGGAGCAGCTATTAAAAAATAACAAAAACATTCCAGCTAGCTGCTGCTCCGGCTTCTGGTGGAAAATGCAGTTTTTCACATGCAAATTAATGCAGTGTCTTTTTGGAGTGGAGCTGGCAGGACTCCTCTTGGTACTTTCAGGGCAATGCGACAACCTGCGGCATAATGCAATTAAATGAGTGCAGTAAGCAGGAGTCGAGCCGCAGGCGGGCATTGTGTTAGACGGAGTCTGGAGTCCGGAGTACGGAGGGGCCTGGAGCAGCTGCCAGAACCATCATCCATCAGGATGGGACAGGTCCGCTGCGCATTCTAATGCGATTGCCGCACTTGACGGGATGTCGCGGCAGGCAGGAAACGGATGTTGTTATCCTGCTCCTGCACTGCACTGCAATTAAATTACGGCATGAAATCGAAATGCAGAAGCCAACAAGATGATGCAAAAATAAGATGAAGATGGCAGCGGTGGCTTCACAAAAACATTTCGAATGAGAGCCACCTCATAAATATTCATTGCATTGAGTCACAAGTCGAGACATCATCATCATCGTCATCGTCATCTTCTACCCGGGCGAATGTGTTTTCGAAAAGCATTTGCATTAATTTGTTAATTCAAGCGCGACATGCCACGCCCCGCTTCCCTCACTTAAAGCCCATTACAATTGCAAAGTCATGCCATAGTTTAACCCATGGCAATCTCATCGCTTCCCCTTCGAAGGGTTAAAGCCGCCACATCTGTGACGCAATTACAATGGCTCAAAGTTTGCTTCTAATTTTATTCTAGTTCGGCTAACAAGTGGGTTCAAGGAAATAGGAAAACTTAGGAAAATTATTAGCTATTCCATTAAGTTAAAATATGATCAAAGGAAACTTTAAACTGCTCCTAAAATGTAGGCTTAAAGCTCACTGAAAATTCCCATTAAATCTGTGAATCTACTGCTATTTCCCTCATACCAAGTGTACGTGTAGTATGACCCATTTTCCAGCCTGTGATAGAGGGGAACTCAGCCTGAGCTTACCTGGTTATTGCGGCAAGTGCCAATATTTGCTTTTTGATGCGAGCGGCAAAGGATATGACGGGTACGGGGCACAGGAGGGGGAGAGGTAGGAATAAAAGTCAAGTGGAGGAGTACAGCCGTGGAGGAGGAGCAGCTTGGCTGCCAACTGACACAGTTTGTTTTAGGCTTTAAGGCGACGGTCTTTGGGATTTGGGTCACAGATTGCCCGGGACAAAGGTGGAGCATTGGATGGATGGGGGGGTGGGCCTCCTCTTTCACCGGAAAGCGAAAGTTATGCACATATTGAGTTCAAGCTTTAAGGCGAATTTTTCACCAGTCCAGAAAGACCCTGTGGTTTTAGTTTCGTTCAGATCCCTTTTTCCATTTTCCAACCATATTTTTATACGCTTTCTGGGTATTCTTATTTTGGCCAGAAGTTTGCAACGCAGTGAAAGAGGCATTTCGAAATATATAAAGTAAAGTATATATATTCTCGATCAGCAATAACAATGAAATAGATCGAACAACTATATTAAATGGCTGCTATTGGAACGATCGAAATATAATAACTTTTCCAGGTTTAAACATATTTAATTAATTATATAGCTAAAATAGGAACGATCAGAATATATTTTTTCCAGGTTTAAACATATTTAATTAATTTATTTATAATTTGGGTTTTAATTTAATTAAAATCGGCCGACTATAGCCGCCATAACAACGATCGTTAAATATATGCCTGCCGCTCTCTGTGTATGCTTGCTCTCCATGTCTCTCTCTGCCTATCTCTATAGATAACTCATTCCCTCTTACTCTGCTGCTTGCCTCTAGTGATAGCTCTTACTCTCCCGCGCTCTTGCTCTAACTTTCTCTGCTCTTCTCTTGCCTCGGCGACTATAAATAGGGGCACTTCAGGCGCGCGCGCTTCAGTCGGTCCTAGGGGTACCTAGTGTTTACATCTCCAGTGATAGTGATTGTGATTACTCATCGAACTCAAAAACATTACGTGGCCAATGGATTACATCTGGATGATCAAGATGAAGCTTACTACGATGATGATGATGCCATTTGAAGCCACCGGAAATGAAACTCTACGCAGGTGGGAATACCGTGTGCCCTCTACTCCGGTAAGTCTTTGACAATTATATTATTTATATATGTTATGTTATAAGAGGGATCAGGTCCAGATCTGTGTTAATTATGTTATTCAGAAGCTTATAACTTGTGAAGGAGTCATTTCCGATTCCATGAATTATATATAGTCTTGATCAGCATAAACAGCAGAATCAATCTAGCCATGTCCGACAGAAATTCTACGTAATATTGAACTGAATTTCCCAAAGCTCCACTCGATCATGGATCCAATGGATAACTCCAAGTGTATTACACACTTCGGCTTCTGGAACTTAGCTTCCTTTTTTCCTAGTTTTCCTCGTTTTTTCGTGCACTATCTCTAACCGCAACTGCTGCAAAGAGCATGACAGATGTGGACGTGTATGAGGATGAGTGTATGGATGTGGCTGCAAATCTGGATATGGATACGAATGGAGGAACAGCAGGAGGAGAAGCTGGTGGATTCAGAAACCTCTAGCACTTAACGCGAAATTTTTGATGATTTTTTAAGCAACTTGTCGTTGGCTTGGAAATGCCATTACCGACATGCATCATGCATATGGATGACTTTGCTTGTTTTCCCTGGCTTTTCCTTTTGCCGGAGCTTTGGTTTAGCCAGGAGGAAGACTGGGTCTGGGCTGAATAATGGGTTCTTGGGGTAGCCAGAATTTAAGATGAGCCCCGGAATAACCATCTTTAACCAGTTGGCTAGGATAGGATACCAATTTGCATGTTAACCACTGCTGCGAAGCTGCGAAATGTTTTCATAAACGCTGATGGGATCCCCAGCAGCTGCGAAAATATTAAGTGTGTTTAACTTTTACGCGGAAATTCTATTAAAAAAAATGTCATAACAAAAGTTTACGTAAAAAATGAGGGGGGAAAAAACACAGCTTCACAGCAATTATCTCTGTGTAAGCAAAGGATAGTTTTAATGTTTGAGCTGCCATGAGCTTAAATCAAAACAAAGTTGGGCAATTATTAAAACAAAAAATGTAATTTTTCAGGAGTTTAAATAATATATATAAAATTTTAAACAACATTTTTAAATAGGTATAGAAATTTGTAGATATACATATAAAATAGTTCATTCTTGAATTTAATCAGACTTTTAGGATGCCAAAACTATACCACTTCATTATAAATTTTGTATTTTATATACTGTTATCCTATTTGTATTTATATCTCTTTGAAATTTATTCTAAATGTTATCAGAAACCTCGTTAGTTCCACTTTGCAAGCACGTTAACCTTCTATTAAAAGCAAATACTAAGAAATTATAACCTTGACCCTGCCCAAAACTTTCTCTTCCTGTCACCGCCGCCTCATATTTTATTAATCAATTCAATTTTGTTGCCGAAAATTATGAAAATTTTCCCAGATGCTGCCCCAAGTGGATAATGACAGCCAGAAGACGACGACGACAACGATAGCAAAGGAAGAAGTGTCAAAAGTTAAAACAACACTTTTATTGACTTTTGTCGAGGGGGACTAATCGTCCCACGTCATCACTCCAAGGAGAAGATACTTGTAAATTAATGAAAAAAGTTGTTCTTGGTTGCGGGTTGTCCAAGCCAAAGTCTGGTATATTTTAATATTTATTTATATTTCTTAAGAGAGACAGGTCCTGGAGGTCGAATTAAAAAATTTCTGGGCTACACTTGTTTTCGCTGGCAAATGAGTTTACGAGCGTGTCGTGTCCTTGTTGCTTTTGTTTATGCTGCATATTAAATAAATTTTGACATCAGGCTACGACAACTCCTCCGGCGCCTTCTGGCTTTCGTCGGCATCGTCTTTGGAGTGTGTGTGTGTTTTTCTTTTTTGGGCAACTTTGCTTGTTGACAATAAAATAACATTTTGCACTCACTTAGCCCAGCTGGGCTTCTCCTTGCTGCTCGAGAGTTTTAATGAAAAAACTTTCCACCAAACGATTCGCACCCATATTATTTCTCATATTTTACTACAGAAATTGGCATGCAATGGGGTTTTCTTTTCTGTATTTATACGCATTTATATATAGATGTTTCAGCGAGCTTCATTAAAATGTACACTTGATCACATCGCTTGTGCAAACTTTTCCCGGCGCTGCGTGCAAGGATGTGGCATAACAATATTACGCATACGCAGCGTGGTCCCAACTTGAGGAGAGCTGGGAGGAAGCTGTTTGCTTCGATGAAGGAGTTGGTAGAAGGTGGAAAGGGAGTTGATTGTCAGCTACGCTGTGGGCACTGCAAATCAATCAATAAAACGACAGGCCAAGTCAATCGCAAGGAATTCCATTGGCACACCCAATCAAACCCATATTCCTTTTGGTGAAAAGGCACTGAGGAAAAAGGGGATTTACTTTTAGATTTAAGAAGGAGTTATAAAGATTTTAATTAAAAGGATTAATATGAATTAAAATGAGCTTATTATATTATAGAAAAAGCTATTTAAGCAAGCAAAATAAGTATTAATGAACTAATATACTGTAAACCTGCTTCTGCTCTTAATTTCCTTATAACTTTATACAAATATATATTATTGATTTATTATTTATGCAATTTACATTCACATAAACCCATGAAATTCATACACAATATTGAGAATCTAGCCTGAAGTCAAACGAGGTCAAATGTTCTGCCATTAATTAACTGCAAACTGACTGGCAAGTTGAGTTTAAATACAATAATTGTTATTTGATCACCTTTATGGCACTCTATCTCGCTTACTCTCTCTCTCCCCGTCTCTTTCCATTTGATTTCCCTGGCATTTTCTCAGAGTGTGTGTGAAAATTTGAAATGCTATGCGCAATATTGAAGCAGCTGCTCATACTTTAGCTAACATTCCAATTGAGAGTCAAACGGACAGTTGGCGCTGACTGACAATCGATTATTTGCCGAGTGCGAAATAAAACATCAGATGAAATAGAACGGACTGGAATGGAATAAAAATATATATACCGGCAGAGTACCAGTACCATTATATATAGAAGATATATATATATATAGAAGGAATATGCTTTTATGCAGCCTGACTGCCGGCATCTCGGATTCCTTCAGTCGAACGAATGGCAATTTAATTTCAATTTCTTCGTTGCCTGGCTCCCCGCTTTTCACATTATTTATGGTGCAATAAAAAATATGTAGATATATATGTATATAGAGAGAGAAGTGGCAAAAACTTTACATTAGCATAGCAACAATATTTGCCAAGTCTCTTTTGTCCCTGCCACACAATTTTGTTGCGAAATTTCATTATGAACGGATGTCGCTTAAGTGCACATTGAATTCAATTAGAAGCCAAACTGCACACACACACTCTCTGTTGGTATGTAGATGAGCTTGACATATATACAAATTTCAAACCTGCCAATTGAAAATTGAATTATAAAATATTTCCCACACATGCACAGTGGCATATTCGATGTCCTTTTGAGACGCCTAACGCAGGACTCTGAAGTCTAGGCAAAACCACAAGCCAGATGTTGTCCGGCTTTGATTGGAATGCTCTACATTACGTAGTCTACTGTCCAGCGCTCTAAATAAAAGTATTTTCCCAAGAATTTCGATTAGAAATTGCCTTCGGGGAGAGTATCCTTAAAAAAGTTAAGTCAAAGTTATGTAATTTAAAGTTAGAATTTGAATGTTGACCACAGAATGTAGAGTCAAGTATTGTCCTTATTTCAATTTCAAAGTTTTTAAATGGCAGGAAAGAAATCATAAAAGTGAACACACTCGAAGGAAATATATAATGTGGAGTTATTATGGGAATTTAAGGATTTGTATAAGTATTTTAATTAAATATTTCTCAGAGGTTTTTGAGGTTCTCAAGTAAAACAGCTTGCTGAATTTCTATTACAAGATCTTTAGATGTTTTAATCATAAAGTATCTTAGTGATTTATTTATTTATTCTATAATTATCAGTCCACATGAAGTGTTTTTTAACTATACAAGCTTTTTTTACTTCCAATTTCTTTATAAAAATAAATACCCTTTCCTGGTTTCCACCACTAACCATCTCTTACCCAAAAAAGTGTTTTGCTGAAAGATGTATAGCCCATTGGCCTGGCCCATTCGTTTCTGTGATTCCCCGAGTCATCTTCATTTAATGTGTCTACATAACAGCGTTCACCGGCTTCTGTCTGCCTGAATGTTGCCCAGTTCTTTTCCGCCTCTAAATTTTGTTGGCCAACAGAGAAGGCAGACCAAAAGATGCTTGGGCGAGGCGAGTGTTTCCTGCATCCTGTCGCTTCCTGTGTGCCTGGAACTGCAACACACCCAAGCTCCAAGTTGCTGCTGCTGCTGCTACTGCTGCTGTGGTGGCCATTATTTCCTGTATTTAATTGCACTACTCTCGGCTGCGGTTTTCTGCTACATTTGTTGCAGCCTGCAGCCGACCGAGGACTATAATGTACTTTGGCTAACCATCCGGGCAGTGCCTTTGCCTTTGCCCTCGCCCAGTTGGGTTTCCTTTCTACTCCTTTTTTTCTCTTCCTTTTTTTTGGCTTGATTGTCGCTTGCCAGGTTCCTTCCTTGTGACGTATTTGTTGGTCACTTTTTCCAGAGAGCGGCAATCACACGGTACAAAAGTGGAAACCTAAATTATAAACCACTTAAATGGTAAGTAAAACTCTTTTTGAAAAGGGGTTTTAAATTATATACTTTAGTATTTATTTAAGCATGAAAAATGTAGGTAAAATTTATAAAACAATACTTATAAGGGGTACAGGCTGTAGGAACTCTTTAGCAATAAATCTTATATTTTGTCCATGTGCAATGCCCAATGATTTATACTTTAATAAGCGTGTTCGAGACATGCAGAGAAATTAGATGTGACCACACAATCTCCTGCTGCTTCAGGTCCTTCTAGTCCTGCTGATGCTTCGCTTCCCTTCGTCCTTGCTGACATTTTTCTTTGACGCTCTCACAAAAGGAATTTGCGCAATTTATGAGTGGCAGGGCAGGCAGTAGGAAGAAATACCAAAGCAGCATCCAAGAAATTAATAAGGAACTCGGCACAGATCGAAAGAGGCAAAGCAACTAAAAAAAAGTTATGGCTTCTTGAAAGTATTCGAGGTATTCGGGCCATTAAGGCAAAACGGCAGCGAAAGGTGACAAAAATGCAGGGCACAGGCAACCTCGACTGGTTAAAGGATATGCCAGGACGAGTTTCCATAATGTCACAATGATTTTAAAATCAAAAATATATATTTTCATTTATAATTATGTAATGTCCCCCATTAAAACAACTTTTACTTGTGTTTTAATTTTACTGAGGGATTACTTTTGCTGTTATTGTGCATCGGCAATAAAGCTTTTATCCTTCTTACATTCCATTTTATAAGAGGATTATGGTAAACTTTAAAAGCTGCAATCACCTGAAGGACACTTAAATGTAAGATTAACATAAAGCAGATCATTTAAAATAAGAGGTCAGACAGTCAAAAATATTTGTAATAAGAAGTATACATAAATGTATATAGAAAGCCGAAAAATATTAATGATTTTAATCTTTTATAAAGAGCTTACCCCATTTAAAACCAGTTACTTTCAATTCTTTCAAAGTTTTATTTCATCACAAGTCGCGCATTAGGAAAAATAAATACCAAATGAGTCAAGCTCATGAGGAAATATTTCTCTCAGTGTTCACAAGCCATTGATTTACTTCTTCAGCAGCAGAGGAGCAGCAGCGGTGGCCACATACGGCGAGCTGTAGGCCAGAGGAGAGGTGTAGGCGGCGGCATAAGGAGCGGCAAAGCGGGCCACGGGAGCGGTATAAGCGGCGGTCAGGGGAGCGGTATAAGCGGCAGCCACGGGAGCTGTGTAGGCGGCGGTAGCAATGGGAGCGGTATAGGCGGCGGCGGTATAAGCAGCTGGGAAGGCGGCACTGTGGGCGACGGTATTAGCGGTGTAGCTGGAGGCATAGGGAGCCACATAGGCGGCACTGCCCACCACAGCTGGAGCGGTATAAGCCAGAGGAGCGGCGGCCAGAGGAGCCACAATACCAGGCTTGGCAGCAGCCACAGCCACAACAGCGAAGAAGCAGACGGCGAACTAAGATAAGAGATAACTCCTGGTTAATTATCTCTTTCTTTAAAAGTTAAAACACCTTAAATACTTACGTATTTCATGATGATTTTGGTGGGGTTTTTTTTAGCTGTGACTACTTGGAGCTGTGAGCTTGATTTGATATCGAATTGACCAAGCGGCGCAGCTTATATACTGCCAAGTTGGACATCGGGCGAAGGTTCCACTTACTCATGCAGCTGACATCGCTGGCAGCTCAAAGTCTTTTGACTCAGTTCCACTTTGGTGGCCCAATCCGTAGCCATCCACACACGCACTCGGAGCACGTGCCAAGCTGAATTCGCAAAGGGCATTGCCGGGTTTCCTAGGTACTACCAAGTAAGTTAATATTTAAACTAAATGTTATGAACATTGTGTCATTTGAAGGTCTCACATCTATAGCATTTTACATCATTCTCCCAAAAAAAGCTTACCATAAACATCCTTATATATTTGATATAAAATTTCCTAGAATTTCCTAAAAAATAGAAAACAAAGATGTGCGATATAAGTGAGTATGCCCTGGATCGCCAGTTTGCCACCCAAGTGCGGGCTTTAGGTGAGGTCTACGAGGAGAACATCAGTTGCCAGGACTTTGATCTTAGCCAGCACTGGCTGCAGGTCTTCCAGGAGGCCAAAACAAAAGCCAAGTGTGCCAGAAATGGGCTTATGTTGCTCCTGATCAGCCAATTAAGGGAGATGGGTCGTCTGGGTAAGCCCTTTGTGGACCTTAAGAACATGTGCCGGCCACTGGACGATGTGTTGAATGAGTACGATGGCAAGATGGATGGAGAACTGGAGTTTGATGCTTTGGAGGTGGATACAAATGCCTCCACCTCTGGTAGTGTCAGTAGTCGCAGCTACCTTAAGCTGGAGAAGGATCTCACCAAGAAACCTCAGGCCGGAAATCAGGAAAAAATATGGCAGGCCACCATTCGGGCCATTGATAGCCTAAAGGATTGGACAGAGGGTAACCAGAAGATTGATTTCCTGGCCACTTGCTTTGAGCCATTCCTTGAAAATGAACCATTCATAAGCAGCCAGATTCACGAGCTGGATCGTCGCCTGGAGGCCATGCTGGATGATGTGGTCAAGCAGGCCACCGAGCGAAGCTACAAAAATATGAGAATCATGTACTCTTGTGTCTTTCAGCATCAGAAGAATTGCTGCAAGGTTAGGCTTAAGGAATTGGAAAAGTCGGAAAAGTTGCTGAAGGAGGAGAAACAGAAACTACGTCTCTATGCCGAAGATCTGAAGCGCCGCGAGGATCAGCTTCGGCATCACGAAGCCATTGCCGTGCAGGTGGTCAAGTGTCCTGATCCTGAAAAGCTCCTCCTCCTCAGCCCAAGGACTCCAGGCTGTGAGCATTGCCAGAAGAATCGCTCTGGCCGTTATCGCAGGCGTTCTTCCAAATCTCGATGTGTCCAGGAGCAGGGGAAATTATCCGATGAACCAAGCGATCTCCCCGATGGAAAGCTACTTTAATCCAGCTTTGTTTTATATATATATATTTTTTCCCCCTATTTTCTTGTTCGAATCAATAAATCGTTGAGTTGTTTTCAAAACTTCCGCCTCTCTAAGTTTTCAGAGCAAACGCCCGCCCGCCTCTCTTCCCTGTCAACTGCAAAACTTTTAATGTAGTTTTAATTTTCTCTTAATCACGGAGGGAACTTGGCTGTAGTCCTGGCAAATCTGCACAAAAATCTACGCACTTACACGGGGCGAAAAAGCATACCTGAAGGATTTCTTTCATATCCTTAAAGGCAAAGTAAAATGACACATGTCCTTGCTGTCAAACAAAAGTCCTGAAAGAATATCTTATCTTTCATGGGAGGCTATCATCTCATCTCAATAATATCTGATTTAAAATCAATTCTTTTCCTCAGTGTATTGGCCATTTCTTATCCTTCGAAAGTGGAGAAAATAAACGGAATCCAGCAACAACAAAGTAAGAGAAGGAGCAGCAACAGCTTTGTTCGTAATTAGTTTTTAAGCGCTTCGACAGGGAGTGTGTATGAGGGAAGGATATAGCCTAAGTGGGGCCCAAGGATGCAGGGAGTGTGAGTGTAGGGTGTGCGTGTGTGTGTGGGTTTGGTTATGACAACATGCAGTTAAGCACTTCTTAACGATGGCTGACTGCCGATAATGGGCTCTGGAAAAATAACTGCAATTGATTTCTTGGCAGGCAAACATAAATTTTAAAAGCAGAAAATATAAATGCATTTTCCACAAATGCATTCATTAGTCTTAAGACCATGTTCGCTATTTTTAATTGAAATTATTGGCAGTATAAGGAAAGGTTATTAAAAGAATTGTCCTTTTAAAATGATGAATTAAGGGACACTTTGAGTAGTCTAATTAGAAGATTGTCTGCTTCTTTTACATATGGGTAAAGCAATAAGTATTTTCTAGTTTTAGGATCTTCTATTTCTTCTAAGCTTCTAAAACTATACAAAAGTATAATAAATAAATATCATGAAAACCATTAAGATTCCTAGACCCATTACTCGAAACGGAATATTCCATGTTTAAACCCCTTAAAATCCCTTTAGGAACTAAATATTTAACATAATTTCTTGCCACTATATCACAACTCATAAAGCTGCCATCATTTCCCGCTCCAAAAGCCGTATAAATATCCCAAAAATTTGATAAAGCCAACATTTATCGCCATATGCACGCATAAGTAGTTATACACTCACATTTCTTTCATATACATTTTGCCGCATCCCCGAAACCATTCATTTTCCCAAGTAAAAGTCAAGAAAAAGTTACCAGGCAGTTGCGAAAAAGTTGTCAAAGAAAATGCAGTCCCCTTGGCCTAGGCTTTTCCCCCCCAAAAGAAAAAAACTTTTCCATCCAAGCCAGTCCATCTTTCCCGGCGCACTGCAAGCCCTGACAATAGCTCAAAATATGTGGAGCTGTCGAAGCAGACGGAAGAAGGAGAAAGCTCCCCAAGAGCTGGTACAAAAAATACCTACCAGTAAAGTTTTCCCTTGGCTTTAATGATGCGTGCAGACAGTCCCAGGATAGGAGCCCCAAGAATGACGAAGAATTCGAGGAAGTGACGGAAGCCCGGCGCTTACATTAGTGGCATAAAATTAATGACAAATTTCGTGGACTTACGCCGATGCATTGTTTCCGGTTAGCAGACAATTTTCCGGTGGGCAACGAGGAAAAGTGAACTTGATGCAGACAATTAAGGCCAGCAGAAGCTAAGGGGGATATTTGCGTAAAGCCAAGGCAAGGCGAGCAATAGCATCTGCGACCGCTGCCGGCAAAAGTTGCATTTTTGCGGCACTCCAGCGACTCCGGCATAACCATTACGGCACACGGAATTGCCCCATGGAGTCGCAGGAGTGCAATGCCGGTTGCCGCTAGCGGTAGTGGTGGTGTTTATCACATGCAGCCAACATCTCCAACGCCGCTTAATGGTTTCCTACTGCCGGGCGTGGCATAACACTTCGGGGACTCCTATTCCGGACACGGAATATGACCCAGCTGGGGGCCACTACCATTCCTTAATAAGTTACATCCATGTTGATTACGTTGTCCTGGTTTTTATTTACACTTGGTTAGTCGTCTCTCCGGGCAGCTTTTTGCCGGCAAAATGCCGCTTGGCAAAAGTTTCGCCCACTATCAGCGGAAAGACCAGACTGGCCTCGGCATACACTTTTACGGGCGTGGCATCCTTGCGGATCTTGCCCCAGGAAATGGCCTCATCCGGTCGGGCGCCACTATCACTGCCATCGAACTCCGAAGCGGTGTTGATGAACACCGAGAAGTCAGCTCCATTTCGCATCAGATTTGCGTTGCAGATATGATGCTTGATGACTCCGCCGCCTACGATGATCATCCCACTGTTTACGGCCTTAACGGCCATGGTGTTTAGCCTCCGGAGATCGGATAGGATGTCAACTACAAGACCTGGCTGTCGGAAGGAGTGGAAGTACATCATATCGCCCAGGCTGCCGTCCGTCAGTGCGGGACAGAAGACGGGTATCTGGTTCTTCGCCGCCCAGTAATAAATGGAGCTGGGATCACCAATCCGTTCGCCCAGGCGATGAATAATCCTCGAGGGGGACCAAACTGTGCCCTTGCCCTTCTGTTCTGCCAGCATCTCGTCTAGCAGTGGCATCAGCCAATCCTCGAACTTGCAGTAGTTGTCGTTGGGCACCAGGAGGTTACCAATCCGATTGATTCCCTTTTCACGTAGATCCCTGCCGTTCAGTTCGAAGGAGCCCATGAATGTAGGTGCAAGGCATTTGATAAAGTCTTCCTCTACTCCGCCGGCCGTGGTCACAATGCAGTCAATCATCCGGTGCTCGGCCAGAAAACGAATGGTCTCCCTCATCCCCGATGACACCAGATTTGAGGTATAGCCCAGGAATATGGTGCACTTGCTGCGGCGCCGAATGAAGTCATCTGTCTCATGGCGGTCCTCCTGCTCCTCATCAAGCGGCTGGGCCCTGCAATCCAGCTACCAGCGTTAGGTTAGGGGGTTGATTGGTGTCCCTACGGATGGACTCACCATTCTGTTGATTTCCCGCATGGCCAGGCCGAGATTCGTCGCCTGGAAGCCGGTGTTCACATACGACTCGAACAGCTTGCTGTAATTAACGCCTTCGTTAAAGTCATAGCCCTGGACTTGCGGCGTGTCCTCCGCCAGGCGTTCGCTGGGCCTTAGCACTGCATCCTTGGCTACCGCAGGCTCCGAAGACATGTTTTTATAGTTTTTTAAATCAAAATAAATAACGCGGAAGAACTACACATGTGCTGGTGCTCGCAGCCCTGGTTTCCATTAATGTTGGCAATTTGGAGGGCGCAAAAATAGCTCAATTTGGAGAAAAAATAGCCAATTTGTTTTATTAATAATTGTTTTTAGTCATTTTAAATTAGTTCACAATTAGGAATACTTAATTAGTTAAATAATTTGTTTTTGTAGTGGTTCAGAGTAGGCTTTACTAATTTTCAAACAAAAAGCAAAGGAAATATTAAATAACTAGAACACGTTCGCTCTTGACCTTCACAAGCTGAAGATTTGGCTTTAAAATAGCTAACTCGTCCTCCAAAGCCCCTCACCAACACTGACCTGTTATCGAACATCGATTACTCACACCCATCGCTTGGCAACTGTCATCACTAGATCCAACAAGAAACAAGGAGGAACGAAATAAAGAAAGCACTCGAAGCAAAGCCAATTTTCCATTAAAACTTTTGTTTACGGTAGGCCGAGCTTCTCCCGTTCGCACTGATATTTACCCGCACATTCCCCCGATTAGCAGGAGTAGCAGCAGCCAGCATACCGAGAGCGAGAGATCTCATCCGCGCGCAGCAGGAACGAAAGCCAGCGAGACGAGGACGCCACAGCCAAGATGATTAAACTCTTTACGCTGAAGCAGCAGAAGAAGGATGGCGAACAGAAGGGAAGCGGCGGGCAGCAGAAGAAGGCCTCGGCTGCCCAGCTGCGCATACAGAAAGGTGCTCCCGTGCCCCATATCCTCTTCCATGGTCATTTCACCCATAATTTTCATTATTTGTCTTCCCACAGATATTAGCGAACTGAACCTGCCAAAAACTTGCGCCACAGACTTCCCTGATCCCGATGACTTGCTCAATTTCAAGCTTATCATCTCGCCCGACGAGGGCTTTTACAGAGATGGCCGCTTCGTGTTCAATTTCCGCGTCGGCTCGAACTATCCGCACGAGCCGCCCAAGGTGAAGTGCGCAACGCAGGTGTACCATCCCAACATTGATCTGGAGGGCAACGTATGCCTGAACATATTGCGCGAGGACTGGAATCCTGTGCTGACCATTAACTCCATTGTCTATGGCCTACAGTTTCTCTTTTTGGTATGTATTTCTTAGTGGACATGTTGTTACCCTAATATTCAACCTACTTGTTTTGTATTTGAAGGAACCCAATCCGGAGGATCCGCTTAACAAGGAGGCCGCCGATGTCCTGCAGACCAATCGCCGCCAGTTCGAGTATAATGTGAAGAAGGCTATGCGGGGCGGCTACGTGGGCGAGACCTACTTCGAGTGCTGCCTGCTCAAGTGATATAGGGAATCCCAAGGTCTCTTACTTTAAGCCTGCCCCCACTCCCAGCCCCCAACCCGAAACCGGAGAAGACGAACGAGCGGCGACCACAAATTATTGTAATAAACGAAAAGCAAAAATCACAGCGCGTGCGAAGCAGAAAGAAGCCGGAGTCGAGTCAAAAATGTCTAGTTTTTAATACAATTTCATTTAGCAATTTCGCCCGCCCCGTCTCTTAATCTTAATTATCGGCACATCCCTCCTGCTTGATCCCTCACAGGTGGATGCTGTGCCTGGCCATCTGCATGTTCCGCCACAGGCACAGATCGGCGACGGCCGCTTGCCTTCCGCCCGGCACTCTCAGATCGTAGAGCCGGCTGATGAGGCCCACACGTATATCGTCGGTGACCAGAACCTTGAGCAGCTGTTGCACAAGATTGGAGGGCAGGAGCCGCAGCACAGGGGCAACTCGCTCACCGCCGCACTCCACAAGCAGCGAAATGAACTGGTAAACGAAAACGGCCTTGGGTGACAGCTCATCGCCGCTAACGAACTGCACAAATACCCCGAAAATGTGCTGAACGCTTGTCTGCAGAGACTCCCTAAGCGTAAGCGGTGTGGCCCGCACCTCGCCAGTGAAAGCGGCGGTGGTTCCTAGTTGAGTTCCTCCCAGACCTGCGCTCCCGCCTGTGGCTGCCGTGTCCGTAAAATCGCTGGAATTGTCGCTGCCCTCGCCAATTACTTTTCGCACCTTGGCCGCATTGTTGACCAGTTCCTCTTCATCATGGGACCGCGTACGTTTCTTCATGGCTGTCAATGCCGAAGAGGAGTTGGCGTTGCGTGATTCCAGGCAGGATATAATGCAGTAGACGCAGAGGCGGGCCAGCACCAGGGATTGAGGCTCATTGATGTCCTCGCTGGAAGAGGATTTTAAAAAGTTGAAGAAGCTTTGCGTTTGCATTTTATTCAAGGATACTTACCCCTGTCTTCGGAGCATTAAAGGAGCCACTACACTTTGCAGCAAAGCCTCTGTGGTCTTCTCGATATCCAGGTGCATCACGGCAAAGACCACATCCATGGTGCGTGACATATCCCGCGTATACTTGCAGGCCAATAGCTGCTCTACCAGCTGCGTGGCCAGCCACGCCGCTCCGCCGGCCAAAAGCAGGGATTCTAACGTCTGGGCCGCGCGAACTGGCAAGTGTCCGGCCTCCACCACCGTGCGCCACACCTCGCGGAACTGTTCGACCAGCGGGGAGTGTGAAATCAGGCGAGATTTAGCGCTGGATGCGGGATGGACGTCGTGCTGCATTTTCCGAATAATCTGATAGGATAGTGCTAGTCGCTCCTTGGCATTCTCCTGGCTGGACAGCTCCTCGTTGGTTAGCGGCGCCAGGAACTGCTGGATCATGTTGAGAGGCTTCAGTAGCTCCGTTTCCTTCACTAAGTACATGTAGGCGCAGAGGAAGCTGGTGGCGCACACGGAGAAACTAAACAGCCGCCTCTTAATATTATCCAAAATACTTTTGACATCTGCCGAGGAGAGCGTCTCCTGTTCCCAGGCAATGAGTACATGGTGAAGCACTCCGGGCAGATTCAGGCATGTGTCCTGCCAACTCAGGTTGCTGGGTTTCAGCTGGGCCGCTTCCGGTTTGCTTAGGCTAAGGAGAAGCTCATCGACGATGCTGTCATCGCAGAGAGCCAGTATCTGGCGGGGATTCTTTAATTTGTTGCGTTCCACCATGCATTCGCGCACCCACTTCTCGAAGAAGGAGTCACCGCGCTCAGAGAGGACCACCTGAAAATAAATAGTTTATGAGGAAATCATAAAGCTTTAAGGGGCTTGTATATTACCTCTGATCCGTAGGTCTGGACAATACTGGTCAACATCAGAAAGGACACGTCGAATAGAGTGGACCGGATGACGCACAGCTTGCCCAGCTCACCGGGCACTGGCTTAGAGTTCTCATTGCACTGAATTAGGCGAGAAACAAAGGTCTTGAGCCGCCCCTCGACGGTGGCCACCGAAAGAATTAGCTCGAAACTGTTGCCCACCGGTACCTGGCAGAGCACGTTCACCATATCCTGCACCTTGTTGGTGCACAGGGTTTTCAGGACCCCGGAAAGGGGCACCTCTGCACGCTTAATGAAGTTAATGTTGGAGGGTGTCTGCTGGACATTGTCACACTTTTTGAGGAGCTGCGAGGCGTCTTCCCTCTGGCTGGCGAACTTCTTGACGTGTACGTCATTGACCAACTGCTGTTTGGTCCAATCGTTTAGCAGGAACTCGATCATGTTGCACGAGCACTTGGTGTCCATAAAGTCTAGCAGCAGGTTGTCCTCAATTAGCAGCTCCAAGGCCTCTACCAGCTCGGGTATGTAATCCGCTGGCGGTGGCTGTTCTCCGGGCATACGCTGTAGGGCGTGCAGCTGCTTGATGATGTGCGGCATCTTAAAGAACATGAAGGCACCCCACACGGTATCCGGACTTGTGTCAGCCACGTTGCTCAACGTTAGAAATCCCGCACGGATGATCTCGTAAAAAAGCCTTGTGTTGGAGTAGCGCTTCAATCGTTGCAGCATCTGTAACTCAGCCACATAGTAGCTGGTATCCTTGCAGGGATTCAAGAGCACCTCGACCGCCAGTAGAGGTTGTACACAACAAGAGGTCTTCTCCAGCGTCGGCGGTGGATTCAGTGTCTGCATTGGTAAGTGTTTGGCCTCGATATATGCCAACTGCTGTAGCTGCTGCTCGACGGCAGGTGCATTCAGTGTGAAGTTGGAGTTGGTGAGCGATCCCTTGACGCTGGCATACTTGTCCCTTATTCGACCGCGTACCTCGAGCTCCTCGTGGCAGCCTACATATAGCATAGAGAGCAGAAACTGTTGCTGGCTGAGGCGATCGATGACCAGGCAGATCTGGTCCAGCATGTATGACTGCTCGGCACTGATTTCCCCATAGAGCTCGTAGTGCTGCACGGTTCGGGCAAAATCTGTAGCAGCCAGTAGACCAGGTGAACCACAGCTCCTGGCAGCACAGCCTCTTCGGATTTGATTCTGGAAATTGATAGGATTTATAACAATGAAGACACCTCTTTGGTCCTAGGGCACTCACCGACAGGTCACGCCGTCCACAATGGTGGCTAGAAACTCCAGAAGTGCGGTGATGCAATAGACCCGCTCCAGCTTGTCATATTTGGCAATGCAGCGCAGAACGGCAGCATGGGAGACGAGATGAGTGCATAGCGAATGCTTCAGGTAGTTCAAAACCAACTGTAAGGAATATGATTACTATAATTAGAGATTTCCTAAACAAAACTATAAATGTTACTCACCGGATTCGCTGTGGAGCCAATAAGTGCCTGCTGCATAAGACAGTCTGCCAGGTTGTACACATCCCCGCTGACTCCCCTCGGTAGCACCTGCAAATATAATCAAAAACAATTAGAATTGAGTTAGTTAGGTGGCTTTCAGTTTCCCGTCAAGATTTTCTACAGACATACAGCTAAAAACCAAGCCCTATATGAACTTATATATTTTTTCAAAGTTGAATTATTCATTATTTCGCGACAAGTGCCATGTTTCGATGTTTCTTAGCCAGCAGACGAAAGGCGTTGGACAATACTGTTGCTGGCTGGATGCGGCTGGCCAGTCAGTATCAATTTAAGATCCCAAAGCCTTTCTACTATCCCGATCGCCAGGCGGAAATGAAGCGACCGCACATGCGGGAATCTTTGCAGCAGAACGCGATGTCCCGGTCTGTCAAGTACCCGCACAGCCGGGGCTTGCCCAAGGACTACTACTACAAGGTGCTGGGTGTCAATAAGTACGCCACTATCCAGCAGATACGTTCGGCCTTTTATGCGCTGGCGAAGCGCTATCATCCCGACTCTGCGCACTCGGAGCAGAAGGTCAAGCACTTCCAGGAACTGTCCAACGCCTACAATATTCTCACCGACGAGACGAAGCGCCTGGAGTATGATCAGTTGGGTGGCGTCAGGGATGAGCAGGCCTTTCTCGAGCAGGCTGGCAATCCCATTGAGAACGAAGACAACAAGGGATGGTTCACTGAGCAAAGGGCCAATGATGGTAAGTAATTAGTGTAGAGCCGGTGTGCCAATGACTGGTAATCCCATCCCATTTAAGAAATCAATAGGCTGAAGCACGATTTGGAGCTGTCACTTGATTTTCTGGAGGCCACGATAGGCTGCAAGAAACGGGTGGATCTGCACTACATGGCCAAATGTGATGCCTGTAAGGGGAAGTCGAAGATGATGGCTTACCGCGACGCCGGCAAGGAGCCGTGCCGCCGATGCAATGGTACAGGTAAGGAGACCATCAAGACGATGACTTCAGTGTCTGTGAGCACGTGCACCCCGTGCAATGGTAAGGGGTATACCAACCGCAACGATTGCGAGACCTGCTCTAATCGCGGCCAAATGATGCACAGCGTCTCAGTGCTGGTCCAAGTGCCATCGGGATCGCGGGACGGCGATGTGTTGAGCATCGCAAATCCAAACACCAAACAGCTGGTCAAGTACCGACTTAAGGTGCAGGACAGCGATTACTTCAAGCGCGATGGGAACGACATCCTCACCGAGAAGTACCTTAACATTTCGGATGCTGTCCTGGGAGGTACCTTTCACGTGCACGGCATCTACCAGAGCCTGGAACTGCGCGTCGAGCCCGGAACACAGTCGCACACACAAGTGGTGCTCAAGGGCAAGGGCGTACGATCCACGAAGGGCGTGGGAAATCACATTATTACGCTAAAGGTGCGAATACCACAAAATCTCTCCGTGAAGCAGCGCCAACTTGTCTTGGCGCTGGCCAAGATAGAGGATCCGGTATTTGAACACGAGGCCAAAAGAATAGAGGCGACAGCCTGATCCGAACACAGGCACAACACCAGTCGGGATTTACCCACAACCCCTGTGTTTAAAATTCTCAATGTACAGGATATTTTGCGTTAAAATACATTTAGCAGACACTGAATATTGATTGGGGTCTCGCCTTTTTTATGTTGATGCCCCACTGGGAGTCCGACCAGCGCTCGCGCCACGCCACATAGATGAGCTGGAGGATCTTGTTGTTCTCCTTCATCTTGCGCCTCCCAACAGTGTTTTGCGTTGGATTATATCTCGTATTTTCGCGTTTTGTTTAAAATTTTCGCTTTCGAATGTTTTTTTTAGCACTAGTGGTGGGCGAAACCTGAAGCCGCTGTGGTGAGCTGTTTAACTATCGGTTTTCGATATTATTGAAAGTCTATTTCACCATCGATACATCGCCTATCATACGCACAACGTCGAAGATTAAAGGTGGACTAACTTACAAATAATATTAATTAAATAAATAAATATATATATATATATATATATGTATAGTTCATGATTTTTTTAGTTATTTTAGTGGGTAATCAGAATATATAAACCTAAAGAAATCTCATTTTTTATCGATGTTTACCGCTATTTTTTATTATAAAAATAAATAAAATATATGCAAAAACTAAATAACTTAATTTAGAAAGCTTTTAAATTCCAGCTTTTGTCGGGTTAATAAGTCCAATAAAATTTTTATGTAAAATGTTGTGATTTTTAAAAGTTTTATTAATTAAAACCCTATAAAATTTTAAATATAGATATAATTTTGGTTTTTAAAATTTCTTTGTAGTTTCTATTAATAAATCAGAATATAAGTGACAAATTAGAATATATTTAGATATTTTTGAAAATCACTGGAAATTTTACATATTATGACAATATGAAAACCTGAGGCATTCGCATTCTTTGCCGATATATTTATTTATACCTACAAATCAAAGTCTACAAGCACCATAGTTGATCAAAAAGTCGATATTTTTAATGCCAGTTCAATTCTTTAAATTTGTTGTTTCAAAATATTTTAATTAAATAATTAAGATTTTTTTTAAGAATCGCAATGTATACACATGAGACGTAAGGCAATTGCTAGATCTGCGTGTTATGCCCCTAAGTAGACCTTAAATATTTTTTCCTTAGCAGAATTAAAAAAAATTCATGCCATCTTATGTATTTGATAATCCGATACTATCGATGGAAAATACCATCACTGTCACTATGGTCCAGTGTACCATCCCTATTACTTTGGTGCAGTTTTTGTTTAGTCTTGATCGATGGTTGCGTTCAGCAGAACATGTTCACAATCAAAATAAATATGAATATTGGAAATCACTGGATTTTTCGACGTCTTTTGCCCTTAAGAAAATTTGAAGTGTTGGCGATCTAGAATTAAAGTTAACCGATATTTCTATTTAATAATATATTCTTAGGAATCAGATTAAAATCACTATAACTAATAAAAAAATAAATTAATATTAATTTAGACAGCTTTTCTATGCTTTTAATGTTATTTTATCTTTAATAATTGTTAATTAATTAGAATTTTAGTGACTTATCAAAATATTTATAAATTTTGGAAATCACTGGATTTTCGGAATATTTGCCCTTAACAAAACCTACGTTTTCGCACTTTTTATTCGATGTTTACCGATTTTTTTATTTTGTAATTATTATTGTACAAAAAATAAAATAATGAATGTATTTTATTTTTAAATGCTTTTCTATGCCAGTTTTTATGTGGTTAATAACTCCGATTAAATATTTTATATGAAATGTTGTGATTTTTTTTTTTAATTTTTATCAAAATAGACCTTAATTATTAAAAAAAGGATATATTTTAATTTAAATTTGTTTCCCTATATTTTTCTAGTAATAAATCAGGATTTTAGTGTCAAATCAGAAAATATATATAATTGTTGAAAATCACTGGAAATTTTACATATGATGACAATATGAAAGCCTGAGGCATTCACATTCTTTGCCGATATATTTATTTGAAAATTTTTTATTTACAAATCACACTTTTAAGGTACCATAGTTGAGCAAAAATTATATATTTCTAATGCCAGATCAATTTTTAAAATTTGTTGTCTCAGTATATAGAAATTAAGAAATTAAAAATTTTGTTGATCCATCGGCTTACTTACATATGTGACGCTAGGCAATTTCTAGATTTTATGGGCATCTCTTGTCCTTAAGAGGACCCTTAAATATATAATATAATATAATCCTCAAGCAAAACTTAAAAAAATTCATATATTTTATATATTTGATAATGCGATACTATCGATGTTTTATACCACCACTATATCGATGGTTCAGTATACCATCACTACAGCTGTGGTTAAGTTTTTTTTTTTGTATATGATGGTAGCGTTCAGCAGAATAAGATGATCACAATCTAAATATATATGAATTTTAAAATCACTGGAATTTCCGATGTCTTTTGCCCTCAAGAAAAATTAAATCGATCGCGATCTTGAATTGAAGTTCACCGATATTTTTATTTGATAATTATTTTTTAGTAAAAATTCTTTAAAAAACAAACAAAGTTTAATTCGCAAAGCTTTTATATGCCTGCTTTTATTGGGTTAATAAGTCCAATTAAATTTTTTATTTAAAAAAATGAGATTTTTAATCATTTTATATAATTAAATTCTTTTAAAAATTAAAAAAGGCATGGGTTTAATTTTAAATTAATTTCTCTATATTTTTCTATTAATAAATCCGGTTTTAAGCGACGAATCACAAAATATATATAATGTTTGAAAATCACTGGTAATTTTGCATGTTATGGCAATATGAAAACCTGAGGTATTCTCATTCATTGCCGATATATTTATTTGAAAATTTTTTGCTGACAAATCAATGTTTAAAAGCACCATAGCTAAGTAAAAATTCAATATTTCTAATGCTAGTACACTTTTTTAAATTTGTGTTCCTAATATTTTTAATTTCTCAAACAAAAGTTCAAAAAGTGTTGGCCAACTTATTTATTAGACATCTCGATATTATCGATTAAGTGTACCACCACTATCACCTGAACGCAACCGATGCTTTGAAAAGAATATCGCAACATCGATATATATTGCTTTCAAATCAAAGTTTAAAAGCACCATAACTAAATAAAAATGCAATAATTCTAATGCCAGCCCACTTATTTAAAAATTGTTGTCCTAAAATATTATAATTAAGTGATTAAGATCTTATTGACATATCGAAATATACACATGTGAATCTATGCAATTGCCAGACTACATGGGAATATTTTGTCCCTAAAAAGAACTAAAATATTAATTTCTCAAGCAAAGTTTAAGAAATTCATGCCATCTAAAATATTTGTTAATCCGATACTATCAATGGAAAATACCATCACTATCACTATGGTCCAGTATACCATCACTATCTCTCAATTTCATTTTTTTTTAAATTAATGGTTGCGTTCAGCAGTGCAATGTGAACAGAATCAAACTTTAAATTTTAATGATAATATTTTTTCTTTAAAATAACTAAAGTGCGTAATTGAATTGATATTATATTATATGATATGATATTATATTTTTTTATAAAATATTTTGTAAAAAATAAATAAAAAATATGCAAAAATTAAATAACTTTTAGTTCGGAATGCTTTTCTATACCAACTTTTATTGGGTTAATAAGTCCAATTAAATTTTTTATTTAAAAAAATGTGATTTTTAATCATTTTTTATAATTAAACCCTTTTAAAGATAAAAGAAAGGCATGGGTTTAATTTTAAATTTATTTCTTAATAGTTTTCTATTAATAAATCATGATTTTAACGACGAATCACAAAATATATATAATGTTTGAAAATCACTGGTAATTTTGCATTTTATGGCAATGTGGAAACCTGAGGTATTCGCATTCATTGCCGATATATTTAATTGAAAATTGTTTGCTTTCAAATCAATGTTTAAAAGCACCATAGCTAAGTAAAAATGCAATATTTCTAATGCTAGTACACTATTTAAAATTTGTGTTCCTAATATTTTTTTATTTCTCAAACAAAAGTTTAAAAAGTGTAAGCCAATTTATTTATTAGGCATATCGATATTATCGATTAAGTGTACCACCACTATCACCTGAACGCAACCGATGTTTTGAAAACAATATCGTTACATCGATATTTGGGCAAGCAAAACATCGCGATATAAATATATCAATTTGAAAAGAATCGATATATATATATATATATAGCAACCCTACATTTCAGATTCATTTTTTTTAACAATTGGACGGGAAGACATGGAGCTCGAGATCTTGAACGCCAAAAACAGCAAGCCATACGGCAAGGTGAAGGTGCCCTCCGGCGCCACGCCCATCGGCGACCTGCGCGCCCTCATCCACAAGAGCCTCAAGAGCACCCCGGAAGCCAACCGCCAGTCGCTGCGCCTGGAGGTGAAGGGCAAGAGTCTGAAAGACACGGACACCTTGGAGTCCCTGTCGGTGCGCACCGGCGACAAGGTGTACATCAAGGACCTGGGCCCACAGATTGGCTGGAAGACGGTGTTCCTGGCCGAGTACGCCGGGCCTCTCATCGTCTACCTGCTGTTCTACTTCCGCCCGGAGTTGGTGTACGGCAAGGCGGCCACTCTGCCGATTTCCCTAACCACCCAGTGAGTGTATATGTGTGTGTGCGTGCGGTGCGCTGTGGCGAAAGTTGCTGAAACCCATCGATTTGGGTTGACCCAATGGCCCCGCTTATGCAAACTAAAACGCAACGCAACACCTCTGCATAATTAGCCAGCGACTAACTCGTTTTTCCGCTTGCACCCCGATCTCTTCCAGCATTGCCGCCGGCTGCTACACGGTCCACTATGTGAAGCGTCTGCTGGAGACGATCTTTGTCCATCGTTTTTCGCATGCCACGATGCCGCTGCGGAATCTGTTCAAGAACTGTACCTACTACTGGGGTTTCACCGCCTATGTGTCCTACCATGTTAATCATCCGCAGTTCACCTCGCCCTGCATGTGCACCGTTTGGCCGGCTCTGGCTGCCTTTGCTGTATGTATTATTTAATGGACAATCGTATTAGTAGGAATAATAGGACCTTCGAAAATCAGGTTAAATTCAGAATTCGGTTTATAAGTAGTTTTAAAGAGTTTATAATATGACCTAATTTTTATGGGTTATAAACTTTTTAATTTTTCCTATTTTAAAAGCTTGCTACAGTTCAGGCACCACTATAACTTTTACTTGTGAACCTTAACTTTTGTTATCAAATCGCGATAAAACACCAAAGTTTCCCGCGATTTATACTTTAAAAATTTATTTAAAATGAGGTGTGTTAATTCTTCAAGTGTTGCCGTGTTGATAAGGCTTAGCAAATGCTGATAAGGTTCACTAAAACAATCGTTTTTAAACTAATCTTTAAAAAATATTAAAATTTAAAAATAGTACACCAGAGGTGTTTAGTATTTATTAGCATTTCTGCAATTTAATTTATAGCTATTACTTAATAACTTTCTCAATGCTAAATTTCCTTTATGTACAGTTTGAATTAGAAAGTAGATTTTGTTTTAGTTAATCACAATGTATAGCTGAAAATCTGAATAGGTAAAAGTTGCAATTTGTTATCATTTATTAATTGCAACCGTGCATATTTTAATTTATTTATTAAACTAGTTTTGACATTCATATTAACCAAATAACTAAACCTTACTTTCAACTTTGCAGTTCTGCGAACTTGGCAACTTTTCGGTGCACATTGCCCTGCGCAACCTGCGTCCGCCCGGTACCAAAGTGCGCAAGATTCCCGTCCCCGATGCAAACCCGCTGACCAAGCTCTTCAAGTGGGTTATTTTCAATTAAAAATTAACATAATTATATTAACCTTTGTGTTTCCCCGTCACCAGCTTGGTGTCTTGCCCCAACTACACCTATGAGATTGGAGCTTGGGTCTCCTTTTCGGTGATGACCTCTTGCCTCGCCGCCTACTTGTTCGCCTTCGCCGGCGCCTTCCAGATGACCGTTTGGGCCTTGGCCAAGCACCGTAACTATAAGAAGGAGTTCAAGGACTACCCTCGCGAGCGCTGCTCCATCTTCCCCTTCGTGCTGTAGGCGACGGACTTCCGTCTTACATATTCCAAACAATTACACATTTACATCTTGGTAGAATTTACGGGGTAGTTTGTAATGAACTTTGAGTTAAAGCAAATACATTTGGAGAAGCGTGCGCTTTTGTCGATTTGTTGAACTTTGATCGCTGTGGGCAGTTCGCTGCGGGTATAATCAATGATTGCTATTTATCTCGGGCTTTAAAAGGTGCGTGGTAATTCCCAGATGTGGAAAACTTTGTTAAGGTTATGTTTATTATTATTTGTTTTATTATAATTATACCCTTGCTGGGTATTATATTTTTAGTCAAGAGCTTCAAAAGTAGTGAAGGAGTCATTTCCGACCCTATAAATCATATATATTCTTGATCAGTATCAACAGTCGAGTTGATTTAGCCATGTCCGGTAGAAGAATTATTTTTTTTATTTTTTTTTCAAAATTTTTAAAGGGTTAAAATTTTTAAAAATTTAAAAAATTTTTAATATTTTTTAGATTTTTAATTGAGTATTAATTAGCATTGGAATGCTTTCCAATTTAAAATTTATGCCATTTTGGCTTAGTTATAAGTATTTTAAACTATGATTTCTAAAACAAATTGTCCAATAAAATATACATATTTGCCGATTAAAAAATTAGAATATTTTAAGCTAGTTATAATCGATTTCCAGTTCGATCATATAATTCGATTATAAAATATGTATTGTTTCCTTTCTAGTTTTAATACTTGTTTTAAAAACATATCAATGAGTTTGTATTATCTAAATGGGACAAAACATTGGTACAAACCTATTAAAAGTAAAAGTTTTGCCAGTTACAAAATCCTTTTTTGAGTTAATTGCTGTAAATCAATTAAACTCTTTCAATTTAGTTACAAATTTAATTTATTTACAAATATATTTAATAAACGCGGTCTTTTCAGGGCTGCAACTTTCCCACTCCCATCTCTAGCAAGCTAAGTTGGCTGCGGCTGCTGATTTTTTGTTTACTTTTTTGCCGGCAAATCAAATTCGGGTTTTGCCATGAATCTGTTCGAGGAGCTGGACACCTTGGACCCCGGCTCCAAGCTGGTGCCGCCCCGCATCGAGACGCCCACGGCGCACAAGATTACGGTGCTGATACTGCTCAAACAATATGTGGTTGTAGGTGCTCCCCCTAGGTTTCCTTCAAAGAATCTTAATTTCAATTTAGTTTTATCTTTTTCCTAGAATAAAAAGGCCTGCCTGGATACGGGCATATCCATGCGTACCCAGCGACGACGCATGTTCTATATGCTGCTCTTCAAGCTTGTCCAGGAGGCGGATATGTCCTACAACGAGCTGCACAACTTGCTGACCACCGGGCGCTATCGGCTGGACACCCTGATGTTGGAGGCCTTTGAGAAGGCCATGTCGGAGTTCTGTGCGGGCAGCATCGAGTCTTTGTTTGACTTTACCGAGATACAGAACATCGACGAGATCCTCAACGAGAACTACGGCATCAGCCAGTTCAGCATGGTTGGAGTCTATGTGCGTCGCGTGGGCGTCGTCCTGGAGCGACTTAGTTTTGCCGAAATGATGGACATGTACAAGAATATCTGTTCGTACTACGAGAGAGGAGTTCGTGCATTGGCCACAGGACCGCGAAAGGCTATGGCTGGTGGAATTCTGCACAGAGAGGAAACGCCGCCTCCTTCGCTGGTAATAATCGACGAAACGCCAGGAAAAGAGACTCTTCACACCAAGAAAAAGGATAAGGAGGTAACCTTATCTCGTTGTGGAACGGAGGAGCGAAACCCGCTAAGCAAGTGGGCGCCCAAGCAAGCCAAGTTCTTCATCAACAAGCAGTCGGAGTTGCTGGACAGCAACGAGCGGAAAGCCCTGTCACCCCTGGAGCTGCAGAAGAAGGTGCAGGAGATCATACACGATCTGCCGCTGGCCACAACCCCCTATTTCCTGGGCTACATGAACCAGCTCCGAGTCAGGGACTACTCGAACGCTCTGTCCGCCCTCCACAGAGCCCTGGATCGCAGTCCCGTACGGCTGATGAGTCAGGAGAAGGGATATCAATACTTTTGCGTCAACCTGGCAGTGCTGCATGCCACTTTTGGACATAAGAAGGAAGCCCTGGCAGCCCTCAGGGAGAGTATAATGCTGGCCCAAGAGCACGGCGACAAGAGAAGCCTGAATTTGGCTAATACCTGGTACAGTCTGCTGAGGGATGAACTCCCTTTGTCTGCGGTTCTGAAGAGCGTACAGGAGGCAAGCGACTTGGATGGTTCCCTGCTGCAGAACTACACTCTAGCCCTGCACTTTGCCGTTAAGTTGGGCACAGTGGCTGGCTATCAACCTCTGCGTCTCTTTGATCTCCTCCAGCACAGTGATAATCTCACCAATCGTAACAACTTGGCGGATCACGCTTCCGAAGCTCTATCCTTGAGGAGCGCTGTGTGGTGCGCCTACGGAAGACATGAACTGTCTGCTCTTTATTCGCAGGTTCTGTTGACAACCAGGGATCGTTTTGGCAATGGCTCCGCTGGTCTGGGTAGCGCCTTGGCTAGCTATGCCCTGTGGCTGCAGTTGCAGGGAGAGCACAAGCTAGCCAAGGTGCTGCTGCATCGTGCCAAGGAGCGCTTCCCTCGACTGCCCAGTGCCGAGGGCTGGATGATAAGCCAGTGCCATGTCGTTATCCAGGCTGGAATCTACCAGTGCCGCTGGCATGATGCCCTGAAAGCCTGCGATCAACTCTACCTGCTGGATCCCTCGGATGCTATTATGCAGCGTGCCTCTATCTACGTGGCCAAAAGGGAGTTCTTCAATGCGCGACGACTTCTGGACAAGCTGGCTTCCCAGGAGGATCTGCCCTTCCTCTTGCGTATGAGGATTCAAGTTCTTCTTGGTTACTGCGGCATGGCCGACGGACGCTTCTCGAGCGAGACTACACTGATCTTACTGCGCGTTGCCGAGAGTATGGCAGATTCACAGATGGACTACGAGCAGGCCTTGGTAGATCTGTTGCTGGCTCAACAATTGCTCCTCCTCGGCATGCCCCAGAAGGCCTACCAGGCTATCAAGCGCTGCATGCACGACATTCACATCAACGGCGGACTGTATGAGCGTGCCAAGACGGACTTTGTATTCGTTCGCTGTCTGCTAGCCATTAGTCCGAATAATGTGGAGGAACGGAAGGCGCAACTGCTTAAATCTCTGGAGATTCTGGAGCGTGCGGCGAAGTCCTTTAAGAATCTCTCGGCACATGCCAAAGTCCTGGACGTGTATGTCTTCTTGGCGCAGCGTTTCAATGAATTCGGGGAAAGGAACTTGAGGAACAAATATGCCGGAGAGTTCAGACGTTACTTTACGGATCATCCAATTCCAAGGGAATATTTAGGGAGTCCTTAGGTGCTCTTAGGTTTTAATAGAGGTATTATTAATTGAATGTTTACTGATATACAATGATTGGGCAGCGTTAGCAGGCAGAAAACAAAGCAGTCCCGAGTTTGCGGGATTTGAATCAGTAAATTATTCAACAACTTGTTTGAATTTAACTCTTAATAAACATATTTTTATTAATTGGTTTAAACCGTAGTGGTTGCTTTTGTTTTTACACTGTGTACGTGAACTACAACGCTAACACCTATCTGAAACTTTCAGCTCGTTTCGTTCGAAGGGGGCGCCGGTCGTCGCCCCGATGATGGATGCTCCAGAGGTGTAGTAATGCGGATGCAGTGGATATGCTGGCATACGTAAATGCTGGGCTATGTTGTGGTTGGCTGGCAGACATCCGCGGCACCCTCGGCTTCAACTTCTACTGCGACTGGGATTGTATTTGTTGGTATTGACAAACTTAAGCTAAACGTGTGGCAAAATTCCCAAGGTCTCTGGAGTTCCGCTGTCGGATGTATCTCGTAGAGCTAATATATGCGTATGTGGTAGATTTAACGAATCATGGGCAGGCTGGGTGACGATCCGGGCGCCATCGCACTGCTGGGGCCAAGCAAAACTTGCTTCTGCTGCGACTTTTGCAACTCCTCCATTTGGGCGCGTTCCGTCTCGAAGATGACCGGCGCAAACAGAATGACGGAGCTGGTGAAGAATATCCAGCTGGCATTGCACGAGAACGAGTACAGCCGTTTGCAGCCATTGACGGTGCCACTGGTAACGGCACCCACCGCCTTGCGTAAAGGTTCCGGAAACATCTCAGTCAAACCCCAGAACCGCTCGCCCATCGACTCGTCGGGTTCCTAGGATAAAGAGCATAAAAAAGGGTAAATATATTAGGAATTAATTATTCTTAGATACCTTTTTCTAGCTTAAGTTTTATGTATAAGGTTAGGGGGTTAGTAAAAACTTGCCAAAGATTGTTTTTAGTATAACAAATGATAAACTTAGCAGTTTGCCACAAAGATTATCTATTAAAAATGCAAAGTTTGGCTTACTAAATGTTTGAAATATTGACTAAATTAATCTTAATAGACGAATTAAGAAGCTAGTCTCCGTTTTGAACAAAAACATTTGAAAAATTCCAAATTATTTAACTAAATACCATATAAAATATATAAAAATGTTACAATTTAAATGACCTCCAAGTTTTCATTCATTAACATTACAACTTCATTGACAAAAAAACCCTATAAGGTCCCTGTGATGAGGGTTCCCTCCCTCATTTTGAGGTTATATTGCCTCCTGTTGTTTACAAACAGGCTCCATTCCAACTTACATCATCGTAGTTCTCCCCCTGGGGCTCATTCGATGGCTGAAATAAATAGAATGATAAATGTCGATTATTACAGGGTATTGGCGATTCGCTCTTGCGGGACAGCTGCTCTCTATTTCACCGACAATTACGTGAGCACGATAAGAACCGTGGACGGGTATAGGCGGGGATGGGGGATTTGGGACCCACGTTTCTGGGGGATCGATTTTACTTACGGCCGCCACTGCCCGCCGCTCGGGCGTCTCATCCTTGCTACCGCCTAACGATGACATCCCGCTGTCCTTTTCGATGAACTCGATTTCAGGATCAGAGTCCATCAAATCCTCGATTTTCACTGTTTCGGTATCCACTTTTGCGGCTTTGACGGAACGCACACGGTTGGAGAATCACGGGTTCGCGTTATACGCAACCCTTTGGCAGCACACCCACGGATGTTAGGACGGACAGACGGCGGAAAATGCAGTTTGCACTGGCATTTAATTGAGCTTTAACGGAAAAATCACTCGCTTTTTCTTTGCAATAAAAATTGATTTTGGTTTCCTCGTGAACTTACTGGTGTGACCAGATTTCGTTGCGTTGATTAAGTCATAACGCGTCGCGCCTATCGATTAAATTAAAATTTCCGGAAAAGCCATTTTCCGCATTTTTTCACATTAAACGGATTTTTCAAGCGATTTCACAAGCAACGTTCTGACATATTCATTAAAAAACATAGAAATCAGAGAAAAAATTTTGTAAACAGCGATGCCAGATAGCTTGTGATTTTTCCGATTCGATTGGCGCCACTAATCGATAATTCGCACCGGAAACTAACGCGAGATTGAGAAATTTGTATTCCGTTGACTTTTGTTACTTTTTTAAATACAAAAAAAGAGAAAATCTTTAAATGTAAATTTTGTCCCCGCGACCTTTCATAAAACGTCCTTCGCTTTATATTATAAATTGCAGTTGCCACAAGAGCGCACTTATACTCTTCGAAACAGATACTCACTTTTTCTTCGGCTTCACTCATCGTTATTCAAGTTCTAGGGGGATTTTTTATAAACACACAATATTTTACGCAGAGTAGGAATTTTGAAACGTTCTGAATTAAAGCAACACAAATTTACATCTGCTTGTATATCCAGACCACCACCTGACAGTGTTATGAAAGGCTTACTGTGTACAGTTGTTGGGAGTTAAATAACAAAACATTTATTGAGCGTTGGTGTACCGATATTTATTATTTCGCACCTCCTTTTCCGAATCGAAATCGCAATTATAAATTATGAAATCATTAATATACCTAAACCAAATATGTTGTATCTACCACTTTAGTATGCATATAGATAATGTCTTAGTTGTTCTGTAATTCGTGTTATCCAGTACATATACTATATAGATAATATTAAGTACATATGTATGTAGTTCGATCGTAAACATAAACAGCAATCGTGTTATAATAGTATATTGTTGGGTAGGTATATAGTCCTGCGTATATGTTAAGCACATTTAGAGGTCATAAAAAACTACTTGAGTGAAGTATATATATCGGGTATATTCCATATTTAATAGTTAGAATTTATCTTGGAGCTTTGATTCGGTTTTCCATTTTGATTTTCTATTTAAATTGGGTTTTAATTTGCTTTGCCGTTGCTATTCTGTTGTAAATACCATACAAAAGTTGTGGTTTGCGTTCCTTGTTTTACTCATTTGACTATTTGTACCTTTGACCTGATTTATATACGTTCATTATATGTTCTGCGGTGCGCCAACTTTACCCATAAAAAGTTCTAATGTAAATATATATATATATGTATATATATATATATATATATATATATATTCCTTGCTAATTCTCATTGTTCACTGATGTTTCAAAAGAGCACTTTTATTAAATATATATATTCTTTGTTTGAATTTCCAACTGCTCTAAATTTGTATCAAAAAAGGATATTTTGAAATGAATAGAAAATTAATCTTCTGAAACCGCAATGCCTTAAATCGATGAGTAATCATTATACAAAAATTATTAATTATTTTACTTTGCTGAATTATCTATGGGACGGCAATATGCAATGGACTTTAATTTCGAGAGGATGCAAAGAAAATTAAAAAAATAAAGTTTGACTAGATTTTGAACTGAACAACTTCCGTCTTTGATAAGTTTTCCCATTTTTTTTTTGTGATTTTGATTACTTAAACTCTTGGTTTCATTTAACATTTTATATATATGTATATAATCTGGCTGTTATCCTTAGGTAACTTCCCAAAACTAAAATTAAATATTTTCTGTTTTTCTTATATAAAGTGTTAACATTTATTTCCTTAGGTCTAACAAGTTTGAAACAATTTTTGTTTGTTTTTGGGGGTATTTGAAACACGCATACATTGAAAGCAGCATAACTACAATAAAATACAAATATATGAATCTGTTTTTGTTCATCTCCAAATTTAGATATATGCTTTTATTGTATTGTTTTGTTTTTAATATTTCTCTTTTAATTATTCTTTATGCCTGCTCATTGTTTTCGCAGCACCCTAAACACAATATCACTCACGCGCTCAGACTTATCCGAATATGCATTTTTATGTTTATGTGTGTGTCTGTATGTTATGTCTGTGTGTGTGTTTGTGTTTGTGTTGAACTAATTTCTTTAAATTGTGTTGCAAATTTTCTACAAAAATAGCCCTAGAATTTTCCATTGCAATTTTCCTTTTTTGCTCCATTAACTTAATTTATAGAGAAAATGAATAAATTTTTACTTTTTACAATCAACGGAACTTTGAAACTAATTTACATGTGTATGTGTTGTGTGTGTGGGTGTATTTTTTGATGTAACTAAAAAGTTTTTAATGTTTGGGTGTTTGTGTGTGTGGCCTGCCTTGCACTTTTTCAAACCCTTGTATATATAAATAATTTTTCATATTTGTTGTTGTAGAAAATTTTAAACAATTATTTTCTGCGCATTTGCAGTTGCATTATTATTATTATTATTATTTTCTGCATGTCTGAGTATATTCTTAATAGCTTAACAATTATGCTGAAGGGGTTAACTCGGCCTGCACATTCCACTCGAAATTGTAGGTTTGCTCCTCCAAGTCGAGCGTAAATTGCTTAGAGCAAAAGTCTCGTGAATTCTGCAATTAAAACAAAACAAAAATATAAGAAAAGGTTAGAAAATCCATTAGGAATAATTGTTGGGGTAAGTGAAATAAAATGCAAGATTTCCTGGTGGTAAAAGAGGCATGAAAAACAAGTTGACCCACAAATTGTACACAGAAAAATTTTAGTTTAGAATTTTTAAAGCTTTTTTGTATATATCATTCAGCTTTAACTTATTTTTCTGGTTTCTTTGTCAACCCGACACTAAACTTAAGCCAATTTCTCTGATCAAACGCAATAAAACTGATTTGTGGCAAAGGGCTATTTCCCCTGACAGCTTTTCCACCTAGCAAAAAAAGAACATAAAACAACAAAAAAGAAGAACCTTCGATAACACACAGATGAGATAGCCAAACTATATAAACTGTCGCCTCGGGTAATCACGCCTCCAAATGAAACGAACTACATTCTCTGTTTATGGACCTGAATCCTGCCTGGTTAAGGTGGTCCGCTGGAGGCGACGTACGTGTTGCTCTGGCCAATCGTCCAATCCAATCCGGTACACACACAGTGCAGTGTCAGCGAAATCGAGCGGCCAACGTTGCGTATACGTTATATAGTACGTATACGTACGGGTACAATGTCGATGTCGATGTTGCTGATGTGGATGCCGGTGCAAAGTAAATAGAGCAAAGGCAAAGGAAAGGCAACGAAAGAACACTTAGAAAAAAACAAGAGAAGTCGCAGGGAATTGAATTATAAGATTGAATTTTTATATGAGAATTTCTATGACAATTCAATATTTAAAATCCTCATAACTAAGCCAAAAAAGCGTAAAATTACATTCGGAAAGCTGTCCTATGTTAGTTTTTATTAGCTTTATAAATCTTCATACTCTATTTAAAATTTAAAAAAATTAAAATTTTTTATGAAATTTTTGACAATTTTAATGATGTAAAATTGGTGAAAAAATTAAAAAAATTTTTTTTCTTCCGGAGATAGCCAGATCGACTCGGCTGTTCATGCTGATCAAGAATATATATGATTTATAGGGTCGCAAATGATTCCTTTACTGTTTTTTAAACTTTTGACTGAAGTTATAATACCCTGAAAGGGTAAAATAAACTAAAAAGTAAAGGGTATTAGCTTCCAGTCCCTGGAAAATATTATAGTTTTCCAAAACATTTTCTTATTTTAATATCTAATATTAATTACTCTCTGTTAGGTTGAATTTTTCTGAGTGCAGCAAAATGAGTAAATAAATTGCAGATGCCAGCAAACAAATGGTCGGCGAGGTTGCGAGCCGGGCTCGAACTTTGTCTGAACTAAAGGAGGCGGGGGCCTTTGTGGGCGTTGCTGACATGTCAATGCGTTACAAGGTCAAAGTATCAACTAGCGAGGCGATGGCATATGAACCTAATGATACAAGGGATTCCACACCGGCCAAGCACACGCACACACACAGCTGTGCGCAAAAAAAAAGAAAACAAAATAAAATAAAGAAACACTAACAAAGAGGACACTCGAGCGAGCTGTGTGTTTGTGCATGTCCTTCATATTAGTTTAAGTTTATTAAACCAATTTAATGCCACGCAAGGGAATCCCAGTGCTGCCGTTTTTGCTGCTGGTTGCAGAAAAGCCAGGGGATGTGGCAACATGTATATAGGAGGTGTCCTGAGGTAATACCCACCACCCCCGAGTACTCTTTTTCCACTTTGTTCTGTAGGTAACTGCATTATAGACTCTCCTTTTCTTTCTCTTTTTTTTTGTCTTTGCTGTATCAAAAAGTTTTTTATGCCTGAAACTTAAATGCAGACCTCAGGTCACTCTTAGGAAACTAAGGAGTTTACGACTAAAGGATACCTTTTGGGGTGTAGAAAGTTTTTTAGGTTCTTTTTTTCAAGAAGACATACTCTTCTTATTATTCGTTTGATAGAGTTTTCGAGTCGGTATATGAGGACAACTTTAAAAGGATTTAAAACTTTCTTATTGTGCACAAAACCGATAAGAAAATATGGTATAAAAACATTTAAAATCAAGTTTATTTACTTTTTTGACTGAAATGCCTTGGAACTTTACAAAGGTAAAACTTAAACTTTAGTAAAACAACTTGATTGCATCTAAAATTTAGTTAACTTTTTTTTTTAAAGCACCACAATTGGTTTTTAAGGAACCTATAAACCCTAGCTATATTTCGCCAAGACCTGGTATATAAAAACTTTTACGAGTAAACAAACAAATAAACATTGTGCGGCATTAGGTGAACTCCTGTTGCTAATAGTCCGAGGTTAATAAACTTTGCGGTGGACCCTGGTATTTGTTTAGCTGATTTATGAGCGAGCAGTTTTCGGGTGCGTTGGACAAATATTGACACAAGTTTATCGTATTTTATGTTACCACTTGATTAAGGCACAGACGGGAGCAGATGCAGGTAAAATACATTACAAAATATACAAAACTGCATCCTAAAATATTTATTAAATAATTTAAGTTAATCGAATCAAAGAGTTCCTTTGGTTTTATATATATTTTTTTTCTTAAAACCACTGTATAAAATGCTAAACTAACTTTGTGTTCCCCCTCAATTTTTCGCCAGTGCACACATGTCCTTCCAAGCGTATGCCTGCGTCACCACTGTCCTTTAGCTGCGGCTGCATTCTCTCACACACACACTTACCCTCGTAATTGATGCGCCCGTCCTGGTCCAAGTCAGCGATGACCAGGAGCTGTTCCAGTTGCTGCTCATTCAAGGGCTCACCAATCATCTCCATGGCGGTCTGGAGTTCATCGCGCGTTATAAACCCATTGCCATCACGATCGAATACTCTGTAGTCAGAAAGGATTAGCTGTTCAGGTGTATATAACTAAGGATATGGAGGGGAGGACACTCACCTAAATGCGGCTATCAAGTCCTCGGTGACATCATCGGCTTCGTCCACCGGCTTGCTATTGCTGGCACTATCCTCTGGTTGCTGCTGGTCATCCCGCAGTGCCTGGATCCTGCCAACCCATTGCAGGAACTCGGCCTCGTTGATTAAGCCATTGCCTGGAAAAAGGAGGAAAAACCCGAGTTTTGCAGGTGAGAAATCGAGTTCAATGAATTTTGTGGCAAATTGAGATACTAAGCAAGTGCAACAGTCGGGTTTCCAGAACGATAATTGGTTGCAGAGAAGGAAACGAAAAGGAAATAGGTCTTGAAAATCAGTTAATTAGTTAATTATAAAAAATATATTTTGAAGAAATTAAAAGTGTATTTTCTTCTTTCAAACTTGAAGATCCTTTGCCATTTCCCATTATTAATTTCCTGTTAAATTCAAAACTTTTTCCCTGTGTACCAACAGAATGGCAACATTTTTCATGAACAACATTCCCAGCACCCAAAATTGAATGCATTTTCATTCGCCCGTGTATACACGCCTCAGTCCGCGTGCACAACAACGAGGACATCCTATTGTTGGGCCAGGACATGCTCGTTGGCAGTTAGGCTGCATCCTAATGCTGTGCTCAGGTGGCTGGCATTGTCAGAAGCATTTCCGGCTGAGATCTCCGAGACCATTAACATGCCAAAAAAAAAAAAAAGAAATTAAAAAAATCAAAACCGAAAAGCTTAGGCAAAATCCTAAGCTAGTGAGCTCAACTTTTACTCTGCTGCTTCTGAAACTTTTATAATTAAACGCAGAAGATATAGCCGCCCGGAAAAACCTTTTGCGCTCTGCTCTTCGGCCTTGACCTTCACTACAATAACAGCAACTACAAAAAAAGTAAAAGAAAAATAAATGCGGGGAAAAAAATAGCAAAGAGGAAAACAAAGCCAAAAGGAATTCGCTGACTCTGCGTGTGAATGGGAATGAAAATGAAGTTGAAATCTGCGATAATCTTCTCTCGCATAAATTTTCGTGGCCAAAGCCGAAAGGATAAAAAAAAAGTAGGCTAGATGTGGGTGGTATCATTCGCATTTTCCTCTCTAATTGCAATTTGTTTGACCAACCAGCAGCCATAATTAGAATTGCTAATTTAGTTGTTGGTCAAAAGAAAAAATAGATCACGCTGGAAAATAAACATAAATAAATTAATTAAAGGAAAAGGCAATAAAAGAGCTCAAAAAGGTTGGTTTTAAAAATAGATTTCATGCTGATAGTAACCACTTTGTTTAAGAAAAAGCTCAAGACTTGGGCTTAAACTAATAGAAAATCAATTTGTGATGTATTTCTAACGAGCTGCTGGCATTTAGCTTCAAGTGACAATGTCATTATGTTTGTCTGGCATCAAAAACGCATTAAGGGTCAAAGAAACGCCGCAACAATTAGACACTGCAACCGAGAAGAGTTCCTGCCACACACTCAACCTCTGGCTAAATATTGGTTCATCGTCAACATATCAGTATGATGATTGCTTGGGGTATTTGCTCATATGTTGCCACAGACACACTCATATTCACAACATGGTCATACATGACCCATTATTGTCACAATCAGCCTCGACCCGAAGCTCACTCTCAACATTTTCCTAACGCTGTTTTTCCTGCTTTTTCTTGTCTGGCTTGACATCTGGTTGACATTTGTGTATTGTTGAAACGCTGCTTGAAAAATATTTTCATTTGCGCTTAGCGGCTTTCAACCTACTTCTGTCGGGGGGTTTCCCTATCTGCTACTTGGTCTTGTCATTTGCCAGGATAACGGAGAGGGTAACTATATGGCCAAGAAAGTAGGAAAGGTCTTAGATCATAAAAACTATTAGATCATAAAATAATTGTAGATCTAAGGGTTTAACAATTTTAGTTTTAACACTTTATAATATAATATAAGACAGTTGAAAGACAAAGATATTGAAGTATATTTCTATCTTCTATAAATATTTAAATATTATTTGTTAGACCCCTTAAGTAGGGTATCTATGATCTACTCTGTTTGTTGGGGGGTTTTTTTTCTCTTTGAGTAAAAGATTTCCCTTCCCTGCTGCCATTCGTAATAGCTTTTCTCAAGGGCCAGGCCCCCGCATTTCTTGAGAGGCCTTCCTTTTTTGCCTTCTTCCTCTTGGGTTACTTTTTCTTTTCTTCTTTTTTTTTTAAATACGAAAACCAAATGCACATTATCTCTATATCTGCCTCTATCTCCGCCAATGTCTGTGTCAGCCTGCAAAAAGGACAAGTCCAAGGATAATGAAAATGGCTTGGTTATATGTACGTTGATGTTGACGTTGCCGCCATTGTCATCGCTGGGTGTCCTTTTTTTCTTATTCCTTGTCTTCTTGTTGTTCCTTCTGCGCCATAAGGACATGCCTTGGCATTGCCAGCGACGAGGGCGTTTCTGCCAGCGACTGTTTGTCGCACATTTCGGTAATGTCCTGCATACAACGTGTCCTCCTGCCACAAACACATACACATATGTCGCTGCTCACTTGGCTCGTTAAGCAAAGCAGCAAATTTTCCAAGCTTGACCTGCAGTTTGCAAGCATTTCTTTTTGGCATTGATCGATGGTGGGAGTGGAGAGAGAAGAAAGGAGAAAGTTCTTGGCTCTATCAACGGGGTAAATCAATCAGAAAGTTGAAATATGTATAAAACATTATTTAAGTTATATTTAAGGGAACTTTAAAAGGGTCTGCAGAGGGAATAACTTAAGATATATTCTCAAAAATCATTTGTAATCCTTAAACTGTTTCTGTTACCACAGAGTCACCTCAGGGATTGCTCTTGATCAATCACAGGTTCCTCGATGAGCGACATCCACTGACAACTGGCATAACAAATGACTCCTGTGGCCTGGCACTACTGCATTTTCAGCTCGGAGGTGTGTTGCAGCAACAACTTCATGCCAAAGTGTAATCAATTATTGGCAAATGTAGTTTGCTGGTTGCAGGTTGCTGATGTTGCCAGTTGCCAGTTGTTGCTGCTGACCTCATGCCAGCAAAACGGAAACGGAAGTTCGCTTGCAGCCCTGTGTGTGGCTGTGTGTGTAAAGCACTCTTGTTTGATTGTTGCTCTGCTGTGCTGGGCTGTGTAAGTATGTGTAATTTGGCCACATTTGAGCTTGTAAAACAGGCAATAAATGCTGACTAACACAGAGAGAGAGTGCCTTTGATGGCCAATAAATTACCTTGCTGCTGTAGCTGTGGCCATTAATTGAATCGAGCCAAAACTTGGTAACTCGGCCAACGCTGCGTATGTGCAATGTCTGCTGCTGCTAATGCGAAATGCAGTTCAAGGCATTGGGGTTTCAGTTCTGAACTTTGAACTTAGCTTAGGTCTTTATTTCAACCCCCCCCCAAAAAAAAATAGATTTTATTGCTGACTTTCACCCGCCTTTCATGGTGATTTCTTCTTTATTTTTTCACCCTGCCATCCGGCCAGTCATTGCCATTCCTTTTGGTCTGCAATTTTCAGACAAATTTTCATGGAATTTTCACTGTTGGTATTTTAAGCTGTATTTAATTTGGCTCATTGGCAGCTTGGCTACGTGGCTCCTTTGGCTTCTCGGACTCCCAGCTGACTCCTTGGCTTTTTCTTTTGGCCACTTGTTATGTAAATTCTGGCTTTTTGGGGGGAGAGTTCGTTGAAATTCGATTAAAGCAAATGCACAAAGGCTGTCTTGTGGGTGGGTGCAATTGCGTCCACAGTTGTGGCTAATGTAAACCACAGCGCGCTGTGGCCGTGGCTGTGGCTTTTGGCCATGGCCAAAACTAATTTAACATGGCACAGATAGAGAGACAGAGAAACACATTTCCCCGTAGGGCCTGGCTGTGACACTTAACAACTTGCCTAATAGGAAATTTAATAGCTAGCGGCTGCTGGCATTTATGTGGATTTAGCGCCTAAAAGCAGGCAACTAAATCGCTGTCACATCTGGGCTAACACACACACACACACAACACACACACCCAATCGAAATTAATTGTGCGGCCTAAGAGCGTGCCACAATTACTTTTAAATGTCAGCGAACATAAATTGTCAATGGTCTGCTTAAGCGGCATTTGACCTAGCAAAATAAGAAGCAAAATAAGAAAAAATAATTGGGAGCAAAAAAGTCAAGAAAAATATAAGTAAAAATCCAAGAAAAATCCTGGGCAAATACTTAAGAGAAAAAAAGGAAGAAATAACTGTTGCTTGCGTGCTACCTTTGCTACCTTTGCTATCCTGGCCGTAAGGACACGCATAAATAAGAGGCCAGGTCTGGGGGAAAAAAAGGCTCTGCCAGGTGGTCACTTAGCAATGTCAGAACGACTAAATCAGCGACCCAGCTCCTTCCTTTCCTCCCTGTTTTGCTGGCCAAGAAAGTGTCATTGAAACCCCAAGAATGTTAATGAAGCCATAAAGTGCAACACGCTTTTTGAGCCAAACATTCAACAGCTTGGCCAGCCCTTAATCGAAATACCAGCGCACAAATTCGAGCCAAGAAAATATCAAGTAGATGGGGAGAGAAAAGAAACCAACAAAAAACAAAGTAAAGTAAAGTGTGTCTTTGTCTATTTCTTCCTTTTTTCGTGCCCACAATTTGCTGGCCTTTTATGTTGATTTGGTTGCCTTTTATGGGGTTCAAGGACCTCGTTAATATGCATTTTAAATCTGTGAAAAAGTTTCGATTTCACCAAGTGGGATATTGGATATTGGTGAACTTGGAGTTCAGAAAAACTTGGTGAGTAAAATGCGTAAAAAGTTTAAGTTGTAGTTAAATATTTGAATTTTATCTACTTTAAACTTGCGCTAGATATTTTCCATTCAAAAACTCAATTTCAGTCGGATTTAGTTATAATTTCCATTGAATTTTTGTTTTTGGGGCTAACAGCAGGCTTTTATTTCGCCTGCCTGCCGCACATGTTGTTGCGCCTGTGTTCCGTGTGTTGTTTGCTGTCAGCTTACAAGTCTCATACGCGGCGGGGAGTGTGTGTCTGTGTGTGCCTATGTGTGTGTGTGTTGGTATTTGCGGGTGTGGCTGCAACACTCGCCTGCCGTTGGCAGCCATCAAAGCGTCCCTCTCACCCCACTTCCGGCCACGGTGGCCCCCACACTTTCCGTCTGGAGCAGGGCGGCTGTCAGCAACAGTTGCCTGCTGTTCTATGATAAATGTCACTCGCCCGCAAAACCAATCCCACGATGCCGGGATCCTCCTAATGGGAGGAGAAGGTTTTGCTGCGCCTCGAACGTGACCGAGTTTAAATTTACAGAATTTATGCAGGTGTCTAATGCAGTTGACCAATATTTAAATTACCTGTGAAGCGATTAACCGCAGCGCAATTAACAAATGTCGAGTAAACAAAAGGTGACATAAATAGGCTTTGAAATCGTGGTCACGTCGGTCAGAGTCTTTAATTTATGCAAGCACTTGAAAAAATAATTAATTAAAAATCGAATTCTATAACTTAATAGATAGTTTGATGTAAATTTGTGTAATAATTTATGATTTCTACCATTCACTCGTTTTTTATTATGGAAATAAAGATCTATTTGTATTTAAAAATATTTATTTTCCCACCTTTGTACATTATAGTATTTTTTTCCAGTGCACAACTTATATTGCATTTTATCTATTTAAAGGATAAGCCCATTATGGCCATGAACACGTACATAGTAGTGGCTCAGACAACAATTGCATATTAATGCAGGAAATTCAATTTTCTGCCACGTTGCCCTAATTTAATTATAATATGCACAAACTGCCGCTTAAATTTATGACTGAAAAGTAAATAAAATACATTTTCCACATCGCAAAAAGAATGCAAGAAGCCCCCAGTCCCTTCTCGTTTATCTTCAATATCCTTATCAGGCAAAAGAAAAATGCTTTTACAGCCTTCCTTCCAGCCTTGACTGGGGAATTTCTATAATAAAAATTGCATTTCCTAACGAGTAAATTAAATGAGAGAAAAACTTCTTGCCGGCATAGAGGGACTGCAGAAAAAAGTTGCCTTAAAGCGGCATAATACTTGTGTCTTGCATGAAATTCTCAAGGAAGTAAAATGAAAAAAAAAACGTAGCATACTTATCTGGGTTTGGGTTACTGCGAAGTTTTACATTTCTTTTCTATTTTTAATGCTTCTTAGGGTGGAGCTTGTAGTGAAATACCTTAATTTAGGTGTAATATTAAAGATTTGTTTAATGTTCTAGACTTAAAAGTGTATTATTTAAAGACTTAGTACATATTTGTACAAGTTTGCAGGGTATTTTAATTGAATTTATAGCTCATAACCTGTGAATGAGTCATTTGCGACCCTATAAATCATATATATTCTTGATCAGTACGAGCAGCTGATTCGATCTAGTAAACTTAGGCAAAAAAAAATATATTCGAAAATTTTTCAAAATTTTATACATAGTTAAAATTGTCAAAATTTGAAACAAAAAATTAAATTTTTTTACATTTTAAATTGAGTATGCAGTTTTATTGACCTACTAAAAACTAACAAAGGACCGTTTTCCGAATTGAAATTAATGCGTTTTTGACTTAGCTATGCGTTTTTTAAGCTTTGATTAATCTAAAATTTTCTAATAAAAATATCGGTAATTATTGTTTAAAAGAATCCGAATATTTGAAGCTGTTCGCTTCGATTAAAAAATTTAATTGCTATTTTCAAGTTTCCTTTCTTATTACTATTTTCTCTTTATACGTCTGCAACTATATAATCCACAAAATCGTTAAAAATATCATAATTAATCGTAATACCCCCAAAATGAATCCGAAATTAAGCAATTTATTGCTGTATTATTTGGTTTACCTCTGGGGAAATTAACCCAAAGCGAACTCATTCAACCCGTTTATTTGCTTCGAGTGAGCTACAAAACTTGATTAAACTCTCCTACAACCAATCGCCATGCCTCGATGGGTTTAATTAACCTTTCCCCCCACGGCTGCGGCCGTTCAAATGCCATATAACTACGTGAATTATTAAAGTCAACGACAGAACAAACACTTGCACAAAGGACTAACTGTTGCACTTAGTTGTCCACAGGTTGCCACACAAGGGTTAAAAAGGGCTATGGGGTAAAGTGGCCAGTTGTCGTTGTCGTTGTCGTTGTTTTGCTGCACAGGTAAGTGCCACTTACCTGAGTGGCTCGCCTCACGTATGAGATCGTGTATGATTTCGTCACGCACATTTATGCCCAGGTTCTTTAGCATAAATTGCAACTCGTTGGCGGTGACACGTCCGTCACGGTTTCTGTCTAGTAAATCGAATGCTGTGCGTAGATCTGTAAATTGTTATAAAGAAATATATAAATTAATGGGAATATTTAATAAAAGTATTAAAATTTTCATTATATAAAAGGCAATAATTATATCTTTCTTTGTAAACAATTTTTAAGCAAGAAATTAAGAGACATAAACAATGATTTCAGGTCTTATTAGACAATTAAATTGTTATAACATGTTTTGTATTTTATGTTATTTATTTTCTTAATAATTTTCATTAAGTACCTGTTAATCAAATAACGAGAAATCTTAGAAAACCAAGAACTGTATTAAATCACACTTTTGCTTTCCGTGATTTCAAGTCAAGTCAAGTCAAGTTTCCCACTAAAATCTCAGGTTCCCTAAGCTTTTCTTAGAAAAGCCACTCCCCCTCTCCATCTCCTTTACACTTTTACCCATTTAAGGCGTTTACCAACCTCTCATACACATTCACACCCAGTTTTCCACAACTTGTGGTTTTCCCCAGAAGGAAAATAAGAAAAAATTACGTATGCGCAGTGTTGGCCACATAAGTATTTACATATCAGCTGGAATAAAATTGCTTCTTAAGTTCCAACCCCAAAACGCAAAAGAATTTGTCACAAAACATTAAGGCACAAACAAAATAAAACAAGAAAGAAGAAAAAAAACAAACAGTCGTAAAAATGAAAGAGTCGTCTGTTTTGGTGAAAATGCGTGATTTCATTTGTTTGCGGCGGAAAAACTCGCGTGGCTTGTTTCGTTAGTGTTAGTGCATCTGTACAAATTATGGAAAATGTTTATCGTCTGAGGGAATTTTCTTGTTTTTCTCCCTGTTTTATTAGACGTTTGGCGGAAAACAAAGCTTAAACTCTCAACCGGGACTTGTGTGGGTGAGGTATGAGGTCCTTCCACAATAATTAAGGCCTTGCCATGGCCTTCTCCGCGGCACGCCAAAGAAGCCAAGGAACAGGACCTTAGTCAATGCCTTGCGGCCATAAAACCAGAGTCTTCTCTGCTTCCCCCTCAATGCCAAATCGATCAAACATGCAGTTTGGCCTGCCACAAAAACAGGCCATAATATATTGCCTTTTAGTCAAAAACTTATAATTTTTCCAATCGCCCATAACTTTGCGTGCAATTTGCTATGCAAAACTTTGATAAACACTAAAATAATGAGGGCGGAGAGAAATTACAACACTTAAAATATACAATGCTTGTTTTTCAAGGAATATTTTTGCTTTTAGGATATATTTTTAGAGAAGTTTAAAGGCCTTTAACACCAAGTATTGGTAATAGCTAAATTTTAAAGATAACTAATAAATAAGTAAATAAATAAAAAAAGGATGTTTAGACACCTTTCCATTTTGCAATTTAATGATAGGATCGTTTCGAAAATCAATCAGTATCGATATTTTAATATGAGGATGTTTTTTCGACAAAATAAGATTTTTAAAAACTCGTAACTAAGCCAAAAAAGCAATTATTTCAATTCGCAAAGCTTTCCTATGTTTGTTTTTATAAGGTTAAAAAATCTGCATACCCCATTTAAAATATAAAAAAATTAAAATTTTTATCACTTTTTTTGACAATTTTAAAATTTACAATTATAAAATTTTTGAAAACATTTTGAAAAAATATTTTTCCTCCAGACATATCTAGATCGATTCTGATTTTGGTGTTGATCAAGAATATATATTATTTATAGGGTCGGAAATTACTTCTTCGCGGTGTTACAAGCTTCTGACTAAAAAGGAAATACCCTGAAAGGGAATACAAAAAAGATAGAGAAGCAAACGCAATAGAAATCCTTTAAAGGCAGCCAGCCGTCTCGACCAGAATTCCGTTGGAAAAAAAGGACGAAAAAAAAATGTGAGAATAGGGAACGAAGATATGCGAAAATTGCATGTAAATTGCTTTGGGCAAAGCCGCTTTTCCACCGGGCCACGCCCCCTTATACCAACTACAACTTGCCACACCCGCCCGATTTTCCCGCTTTTCCGTTCCGTTTTTCCCGTATGTAGACCACTTCCGTTGCCGTAGCTTTGTTAATACGACCGCACACACACTCTCACCCTCACACACCCACACTTATGTACATTTACACTTGAGTTGAGCTGGGAGGATGGGGGGAAAAGTGTGTGTGTTCTTGTATAGTTTGTAATTGCACACGTGTTTATACTTCAAATATTGACACATTGACACCAATATTTCACAGTGCAGTGTCTGCACTCCAGCTGGGCGAGAATTTGCTCCATGAATGGTGGGGGAATGACAGGTGTCGGCGATGGGACATATTGAGGTTGCCCCATTGGATTGGCGCATTTGATTGGCATCTAGTTAAGTTGGTGTCGTCGCCTTCAGTTCCCTTCGATCCAATGCACAATACATATTCAAAATGGGATTGTTGCTCACTTCCACTTTTATGCGGTTGTCAGCGATGTGATAGCTGTGTCTAATCAAAATTTTCAACTAAAATCTGTTGCTATATTTCAGTTGCTTTAAAAAACCTAAAAACCTCCTATTCATTATCTAATTATCTCCCAATATCACTTCCCAACTATTATCCTGTGTCGCAGCTCTTTTTAATCTCGGGAAAATCTCTCTATATTTTCCCCTTTGGCTTTTTAGAAAAATTCACACCGACGCTGCGCAACGTGGCCCAGAGTGTTGGCAATTAGCGAAAGTTTTTAATTGCCTTATTAAATCGGGACAAAGACAAAGTTGAGTTGCCATCAGGCTTAACAGTTTTTAGCCCGTCGGAAAAGCTTTGGCATTTCCATGACAAAGTCAAAATGCGCTCTTGCGGAAAGTTTGCAATCTGTAAGTGTCGCTGTAACTAATTGAAGGGGACAACATCTCGGAGCGATGGCTCCTCTCCTTGGTAGTTATTGTATAAAATTCCTGGGGGTTCCCCTAATTGCCGCTGCACTTGAGCTGTAAAACTTTCCCCTGGGAAAGAGACAACATTTGTTCGTTGTCCTTGTCCGTTTTGGTTTACTGTTATCAATGAACTCAAAAACACTATGGAACATGAAGATAAATACTATGGGGTTAAACTTTAAATGGAAGTTATTTTTAAGTATTTTTTATATATATGAATATAGATATTTGATAACTTAATTTAATTTTGTATTTGAAAAATGTTTATTTTAACTTTCTACTGATATTTTAAGGCATGTCGTTTGATGACTTTGCTTACGCGAGGTCCTTAAAGGATCTCCCCAAAGCCTCGTCTTGCGGTGGCAGTGTAATTGAGTTGGCAACAAACTTGGCAACACTTTCCTTCGCATACAACTCACAGAGGCAACCCAATAAATTGCACTTGGCCACATAAATAACGCTTAAAAGTGAAAGTTTTTTAGCTGCAAAACTTTTGCCATCCCACATATATTGGCAAAAGGATTTGGCTGAGTAAAAATAAAAAGACTGCTGCAAGGAAATTGCCTTGTGCATAAACCAAAATGGCCATGAAATGTGGCTTATAAAAAGCGGAAGTCACGAGGTTAGGGAATTTCATGTTACAGATCTTAATATATATCCATTTGGGATCAATAAAGTCCAAAAGACTTTTAATATGAATTCCATTTTTTAAAATGAAATTTGGTAACACAGATTTGCTTATCCATTTGAAATTTTCCATGGCTATTAATAGCTTGGCAATAAGCAATATTAATCCCCTTTCATGTTGGCATTGAAATGAAATTATCCTGCACAAAGGACGCGGCTTGAACATTTTACGCGGGCTTTTCAACACTTCAAACGTGTCAAATTGAAGTGGGCGTGGGCGTGTTTCCCTTTAAGGACCTCTATTTGTCACATACACACACACATACATCAGGGAGAACTGTGTGGGCGTATAGGAAAAACAGAGTTGCAAATAAAGTTGTGGAAGGCAGGAAAACTATAGTAAAGAGAACACAACAATTAAGAGGGGAAAACTCGTGCCGAATCACAACAATAATAATGTGAATTAATAATGAGGACTTTGTTGCCGGGTCGCCAAGATAAGATATTATTGTTACTATATGTTAATTCCAAGCCAAATCACCAAATGAAGAAGGAAAACAATAACAGAACAAAAAGTTATCGTGTTGATTAGATTGGAAATTCCGTTGATTGTGCTTGATTGTATTATTTTGTATTTCTGTTTGCATTTCCTTTGAGTGTGTGTGGGAGGGTAGTCTGCTGATTTCGCATGACACACGACTCTTTTGTGATTATTATTTCCCTCCCCGGTCTAATTTCTGTTTTAAAACATATAGATTTTCAGTGATAATTGTGCATATCATGTGCTCCGGTTAGCACAATCATAGAAATGTGTGAAACACATGGGGAATAATGATAATTACAGTAGCACAACTAAAGAGTTTAGCAAATTGTGCTGAAAATTTATGAGTCGCTGGAAGATTGCTCTTTTGGAAATAATAGATAATTTAAATATTATTTACGATTATTAGATTTTTCAGATCTTAATAAGAGGAGTCATAAATCAATGAATTTATTAGTCTAATCTGTTAATTTCCATCTCAAATCTTCACTAAATTTGTGATTATAATAAAAGTACCCACAGAATTAGCCAAAAATAATATACACTTATTAAACTTGGTGCTTTTTTATGTAATATAATAGCGAATATAAATTATTTTCCATACTTAGCTCACCTCGCACTTGACTTGCGATTGCTTTGTGATCCATTTTTGTTGTCTGTTTTTGGTTTTTTTGTTGTCTATATATATTAATTTGTGTATTTGTTTTCTATATCGTATTTATAGATTTAGTGTTTTGTGTTATATTCGACGCCTTCTTTTTTGTAGTATCTTTTTTTGCTCGTCGGCAATTATGACTTTTACTTTTTTCTTTTGTTTAGTTGTTTTTTCTGCGGATGTGTTCACTTATTTGTGTCTCTGTTAACAGGGCGTATGAGTAACGTGTGCGCGAAAGTTTGCACTACTTAAAAATAGAGGGGGGAAATCATTATTCGATTATTTGTCGATCTTGGCCGAGCAGCGTGCAAACAAAGCGAACAATTATTATCAGCTTGATTGCACTTGGACTCTTGGTTTGTTTTTGGTCCACTCCCCCTACGGCATTTTAATTGCAATTAATTACTGAAATCACGACCGATTGAGGTCAAATGTCGATGTGTTTGGGGCACGCATTCAGGGTCAGGGCTCTCTCTCTCTATTATTTTACCATGTGCAAGGCAAAAGCCCGTCAGCCTTTATATTGTTCCTTCCACATCAGCCGACACTTGTCGGCTTTCTTCAATTTATCGCCCGTCATTTGCTGAGTTTTCCCAGACTTGATATTTCAATAATTATGCAGCCTGTCAGCCATTTCTCTTAAAGGCCAATAAATATGTTACGTATATATATGTATATATGTGTCTGGGGCTGATGCAAATTGAAAGTTTCATTGCCAGGCACAAAAGAAAGAAATATGAAGGCCAATTAAGTTGTCTTAGGTTCGTCAGAGTCTTTAATAATATTGAGTACTGCTATTATAATACTTTAATGGTGTTTCTATACTACCTTTTCTTTAATAGTTATTCATTATTTTACTGTCTCTACAATTATAATAAACTCCAGACATTTCCAGGAACAACAGTCAGCTTGGGAAAACCCCACTTTTGCCTTATCAAATGCTAGAACTTTTGAGTCAATTCCAATTATAACTTTTGACACTATCCATCACATGCGGAAACTAATTTTCCCTATCAAATTTCCAAGCAATTGACGTATCCTCACATTTATCATGGTAATTATAGCTTAGTTGACATGTGAATAATGCACTGTCTTTTTGCTCTAAGGGAATTTGAGTTGGCCAAGTGACATAACAGACTCCTTTTGGTCTGTAGTTTTTCGGGGAGTTCACTCTTATTGTCCGTCCAGACTGAAGGAGACACTTCAAGGCCACACGTTACGCTTCAATTACGCGACTAGAGTTCAAAAATATTTTGCCGTGGGGGTGCAGTGCCCAAACCAGAAAGGGATTCCCCGGAACCATTTTTTACCCGTTTTTAAAATAAGAAAAATCGAATCGGCTGCTCTGGCCAAGAGATTTATAGAACCGATAGCGGTTGGAGGTGTTAAGTAAGTGTTAGTTAGTTGGTGATAGTTAGATGGAGCACCGATAGCACGGCTATTTGTTAGTTTATCTCAATCCGTCGCGACTTTTTCTTGCCAATCGCGTCGACTTCGAAACTTAAACTGAAAATGAAACTGAACTGAACGCCACATGAATGGCGGCTGGCGGCCCCTGTTGGCAGTAGGCTCGTGCCGCCAACCCCCCAGACATCGTTCGGCTCTGGTCCCGTTAGCCGAAGACTGTTCGCATTCGGGTGCCGATTGCAGAGACTTCGGCAATCTCTGGCTTCGGCGAAATTTCATTCATTGCTGGGGCAATCAGCGAAATGTGCTCTGTACTCGTACCTCTTAAGGGTATATTGGTTTTAATGTTAGTTTACAAAGCCTTATACATATTTTATAATTGAAATCGAATACTATTCATTTATTTAAAAAATCCTGTTTATTAAATTAATTTACGATTTCGATATTACGTATACGTAATATATTGTATTCTCTGTTTTTCTTAACTATACCAATTAATAGGTATTTCCAAGTCGGGGCCTTAGTTCGCATAGCTCCTTGTTTTGTTGCTGCTTCTGTTTTCATAACGTTCTTCTCCACAAAGAAATAGAAGAAGAGAGAGAGAGAGAGAGAGAGAGAGTGGAGCAATGGAGAGTGATAAGAGTGTAGGAGAATAAGAGATTCCACATTGGAATGTTTTTTAGTGTTTTCGCCTTTGACTCAGCATTCACGTGATGTCGTTCGCATTTCTGTTTGAAGGACTTTTCGGGCTTTTTGTTAGTGTTTTTCTTATGAGAAATATGATAAGTTTGTTCACTCCGCTTGGTAGTTATGCATTTCATTATTATTCAATATGCATATTTATAATGCTCTCATTTTCGGTGCTTAAAAAGTTTTAATTGATTGCAAATAAAGTTTGCTTTGGAAATGTGAATATAGGTAGAACCGACAATATATATAATTTAAAATAGAAAGTTTTAATAAGATCTAAAGAAAATTTAAAGTCCATGAAGAGTAAGGGTGAATATATGGAGCATATAACTTTTTTTTAAGACTTTTGTTTAATAAAAATAAAATAATAAAATAATGTATTAAATAAAAATAATATAAATATTATATTTAATATTATTAAATACATTTTTGAAGTAAGTTTAATTTTTATTTATTTTATTTTCCATCTACATGAAATATCACGCATACGCCCTGTTTCCCAGAATGTCCCGCTTGCAAAGAATTTTGCAAGAAGAATTTTTCCAGTAACCTTGTGTAAATAACAACAACAACCACAACCGAATTGCAGTCTGTGCAGCATGCAATTAAAATAACAACAACAATGCACACAGATGCACTTTGTCTTGTCTGTGTGCGCGAAGGGGAAATTCACGAGTCTCTCGCTCTCTCTTCTTTTGGAATCCAGAGTTCCGAGTCTCTCTTTGGCGCCTACTACCATCTCCGTCGCACCCACACCGAGGAAGCCCGTTTGTTTGGCTCAACGAATGTGCGGAACAAAACAAAATAATGGAAAACGGCTTTGTATTTGTTGTCGGTAGCAGTAGGGGGGGAGGAATTGGGGGCAGAACGAAAGAGAAAAGGAGAGGGAAAGTGGTGGTAACGTTACACGTAAGGGTTTATGCAACGTTATCGCTTGATTTTTATGTAATTCTCAATTAAATCGTTTTCATGGGCTTATGGGTCAGATTGTTTTATAAATGGACATTTTTAATTAAAATTTATATAAAAACTAGTTTACAATTTCTGCAAATAGGAAGTAGTTTTGCGATTAAATAAATTTTTTAGAAATTACTAATTATAGATTACTATTTTCAAGAAAGAAAATTCTGTAAAAGAAAGAAAACAAAGACAAGTTCAATGACTTCTCCTAAGCAGTGTCCTTAAAATAATCCTTTAAAATGAAAGAAAAACAAATGTTAAACAGTTGTAACTGCTGGTTGCCTTTTCCCCGGAAAACAAAGAGCGGGTTGAAGGAACTGTAAAACAAATTTTCGCTTTCGGTTTTCCCTTCCGACAAATGAGCTGCAATCCTTTAACAAGGTCCTGTCCACTCTGCCTCCCCCATCAAAGTCCTTGGTTCGTTCAACTTGTGGCAATGCAAACAACTTTTTAATGAAAATTAATTGCGAAAACTTTGGCCAGCCAACAGAGAGTGAAATGCAAGCCAAAAGCCATCAGCTCTAGGTTAGATGGATTGAGTTAACAATATGTGCAGCTTTATTTCAGGACGATGGCCTCTAGATTGTAGGTGTTCGGGTCAGTGCTTCTCCGATGCCAATATAAAATACAAATTACAACGCAAAAGAAACTTTACCAGAAGGCGTAAATTGTATTAGGCGCGGCCAAGTGGCTAACTATGCGGGTCCAAAAACATCACGAACCTAGCACGCCCACGAAAAAAAAGGCGGGGGTTTCCCTTTCGCAGAGCAAACGCAAACGAAGTCACGTGCCGACGCCAGAGGGCGACAGGCATCCACGACGGACAACGGACTGACATCGGTTAAAGGCGCCTGATTTTAATGCCTAATCACATTCCCACCCATAACGAGTGACAGGAGTCTATGGCACTGAAGGGAAAATTCTAGGATATAATATTAGAGTTAAATATAGAATTTAATGTTAATATACCAGTTTAATTTCCTTTACTTTGACCTAACAAAATAACAATTTATAAATGTATCTATTCATTATTTGACTATCTTTTAAGATATTTTTAAAGTATATCCTTTTTATCTCTGCAGAAATCAACAAAGGAGTTGCCAATTTACGAGGTGTTTGCCATTAGCAATGCGTTTCCACTCAATGATAAAAAACATAGAGCTTTTTATCAGCACTTTCTCCCTTTTTTATGGGTCCTTAAAACACTCAAGGCCACTCATCTGCATGGCTGGGATTCCCAATGATCTGAATGTGAGAGTGCAGCTGCTGGATGCCGATTCAATGTCCTGCATTAATATGCAAAAATCAATCCGAGGGCAGCCATTGCCATCGTCAAAATCTTTCATACGCAAAACGTGCCAGCTAAACGAGCCCCAAAAAGGGGGGTGTGTGGGGTGTATTACTGGGGTGTTAGGGTCAAGGACATGGAACACGCACAGCTGCAGACTGACTACGTAAAACAATTTTTCATTTTGCATTGTTATTGAATCCATTTACGTGACCGAATTAGCGCCTTGCCAGCATACAAATCCCTTCCTTTTTAAACACTCCTTTCACAATTTACAGTACATCAATATGAAAATTGCTAAACAATGTACATGGGTGAGGGGTTCAAAATACCGGAAACAATGCTGAAATTGATATACATATTTCATGGATACTTTGACATGATTTTGCTTAACAAAAACATTAAATTAATGTGTGTAATTTGGCAGCAAATTGGTACAATATCTAAGAGACTAAATAATGTTCTACTACTTTTAAAATTTGAACTTATAAGATACCTTTCAGAACAGTTTATTTTATTTTCTGACATTTCCTTGCCAAATAAATCACATGCAGAGTACAATTGCAATTTTTACAGTCAACAAACGTTCTCATTTTTCACTTCACTTCGGTTTTGTGCCTAATTGTCTTGCCATTCATAACTCAAGTCAAGTAGTAAGCCGAGAATTTTTGTGTGGCACGAACCTAAAAAAAACTGCCAGCGTTGCGTAAACATAAATCAAGTTGCAACGTAAAAAAAAAGGAGAAAGAGCTGGGCAGAAAATATTATGGCTGCCACTGACTGTCAGGTTTCATCAGTGGCAAAGTGGCAACAAATTAACTGCCAACCCATAACGCCCACTTGCCAAATACACACCAACATGTATAGGCATTGAGATAATTTTCAGAGTGATAACGAGGAGCGACAGGAAGCTACACTCGACAAAAATATTATTTTAAATTTTATTTATATATATTACAAACTTTGATCTATGATTTGCGAGCTTTATCATAAAAATTGCACTTTTTAAGAGGTTTTAAGAACACTACTAATTTCTAGAGCACCCTAGATGATGTTTCTTGCAAAACCTATTTATAAATGTATAATGATTTTATTAATATTTAAGTTTGTAATACTTTCTCCTAACCCATTCAATGTAGCTATCTTCTAAGACTTCTCTCAGTGTATTGACAATACGTGGCTGCTGACAATCGTTTAATTAGTTTTACAAGTGTGGCGACAAATGGAGATTGGCCGTGTCTCTCGCAAGTTGATTGCTGTCAAGCAAATTAGCAATATTTGACTTTTCTGCCTTCGAGCTACTATCGTATCGATAACGATAACGATTGACTAAAGTTCGGTTTTTTGATGGGGTTATTTCTTCTTGACTTTCATACTCACACTTATCATCTTTGCTCATATTTCCGAATCGAAAAGACGCAAATTTCTGTTGGCGAACGTTCAACGATCGCTGGTGCTATAATTTTCCAGCACTATCACAATCGTGGGATCAATCAGATACAAGACCGAGGGAACAATCAATCAATCAATCAAACAATCACAACACGACGAAGACACTCGAGGGCACTTCCGACCGCCACATAAGCTGAGCGCGAAATAATAATAATGCTGCAGGAATGCCCAGCGTTTACCGTGCGATTTATCTACGAAAAACTCCAAGATAATGGGACGGGAATGAAACGAACTAACCAGAACTCGGTGCCCGGAGAGTTCCCACTGTTAGCTAGTCTTTTCCCCCCGGTTGGTTGTATATTGTATTATATTTCATTTCGGTGATAACACCCGTCGTCGCTCCCCGCAGATAACTAACAAACCGAGTTATCAGCCGATGGATGGTAGGTGGTTCTGGATTCAAGGCGGGTATTTTATATCTGGGATGGGCCAGACCAGCGGGTCGCCTGATTTCATTAAGTGCTAGTCTATATGTCGTAATGATATTTGCTCTAGCCGGTAATATTATTATTATTGCTCTTCTCAGAGTGGCCTTATCATGATTTCAGTTGTCTGATTACCAGAGTGAGACAATCAAACATGAACACTCGTCGTCGTCGTCGTCGAGTGGGGCCTTAGCCTAAATGATGTCTCTCCAAGTGGGGTAATACTAGTAGTTCTATAATATCAGTTTCTATAAAGTTTATTTTAAATAT